TCTGCTCACATTCAAAGTAGCCAAGAATGCTACCGATGAAAGTGATCCCAACACTGACCTTTCTGATGACACCTCAACTGTCCTTTGCTCCGAAGTCTTACTGAATACTACTATGGAAGATGGGGATACACTGATTGCACTGCTCACATCAAAAGTCGACGATTTCACCACCGACGATGGCGCTTCCAGCAATGACATCTCTGAAGACGCCTTCAATGTACTCTCATCCGATGCCAAACTGGACACTATAACTGGTGATAACGATCTCCTGCTTTCCCTGCTAATAACATCACTCGACAATACTGCAACCGATGATGGTGACGGCAGCAATGAACCTGCAAAAGACTGTCCAACTGTCCTTTGCTTCGATGCCACACGGGAGACAAAAACTGATGATGACACTTTCTTGCTCTCTCTGCTAACAACAAAAGTCGACAAGGATGCAACTGACGATGGTGATACAAGCAACGAGCTTTCAAAAGATGCTCTCAGTGTGCTTTCTTCTGATGCCACACTGGACTCTATTGTTGCTAACAGGGAGCTCCTGCTTTCTCTCCTACTACCCACAGTGGACGATGGCACAAGCAATGAAGGTGACACGAACTCTGATCTCTCTGAAGACAGTTTTACTATCCTGTGCTCTGACGGTAGACTGGACACACTGGAAGCTACTACTGAAGATGACAATTTCTGGCTTTCCCTGCTCACACTCAAGGTAGGCGAAAATGGTACCGATGAAGGTGATCCCAACCCTGACCTTTCTGACGACACCTCTACTGTCCTTTGCTCCGAAGTCTTACTGGATAGCACTATGGAGGATGGGGATACACTGATTGCACTGCTCACATAAAAAGTCGACGATTTCACTGACGACGATGGCGCTTCCAGCAATGACCTCTCTGAAGACACCTTCACTGTACTCTGATCCGATGTCAAACTGGACACTATTAGTGGTGAAAACGATCTGCTGCTTTCCCTGTTAATATCATCAGTCGACAATACTGCAACCGATGATGGTGACAGCAGCATTGAACTTGCAAAAGACTGTCCAACTGTGCTTTGCTTTGATGCCACACTGGAGACGAAAACTGCTGATGAAGATCTCTTCCTCTCTCTGCTAACAACAAAAGTCGACAAGGACGCAACTGACGATGCTGATACTGGCAACGAGCTTTCTAAAGATGCTCTCAGTGTGCTTTGTTCTGATGTCACACTGGACTCTATTATTGCTAACAGGGAGCTGCTGCTTTCTCTGCTACTACCCACAGTCGACGATGACACAAGCAATGAAAATGACACGAACTCTGATGCCTCTGAAGACAGTTTGACTGTGCTGTGCTCTGATGGCAGACTGGACAGACTGGAAGTTACTATTGAAGACGAGGATCTCTGGCTTTGTCTGCTCACACTCGAAGTAGGCGAAAATGCTAGCGATGAAGGTGATCCCAACAATGACCTTTCTGATGACACCTCAACTGTCCTTTGCTCCAAAGTCTTACTGAGTACTACTATGGAAAATGGGGATACACTGATTGTACTGCTCACATAAAAAGTCAACGATTTCACTACCGACGATGGCGCTTCTTGCAATGACCTCTCTGAAGACGCCTTCATTATACTCTCATCTGATGCCAAACTGGACACTATAACTGCTGATAACGATCTCCTGCTTTCCCTGCTAATAACATCACTCGACAATACTGCAACCGATGATGGTGACAGCAGCAATGAACCTGCAAAAGACTGTCCAACTGTCCTTTGCTTTGATGCCACACGGGAGACAAAAACCGATGATGGTGATCTCTTGCTCTCTCTGCTAACAACAAAAGTCGACAAGGATGCAACTGACGATGGTGATACTGGCAACGAGCTTTCTAAAGATGTTCTCAGTGTGCTTTGTTCTGATGCCACACTGGACTCTATTGTTGCTAACAGGGAGTTCCTGCTTTCTCTCCTACTACCCACAGTGGAGGATGACACGAGCAATGAAGGTGACACGAACTCTGATCTCTCTGAAGACAGTTTTACTATGCTGTGCTTTGATGGTAGACTGGACACACTGGAAGCTACTACTGAAGATGACGATCTCTGGCTTTCTCTGCTCACACTCAAAGTAGACGAAAATGCCACCGATGAAGGTGATCCCAACACTGACCTTTCTGACGACACCTCCACTGTCCTTTGCTCTGAAGTCTTACCGGATACTACTATGGAATATGGGGATACACTTATTGCACTGCCCACATAAAAAGTCGACGATTTCACTGACGACAATGGCACTTCCAGCAATGACCTCTCTGAAGACACCTTCACTGCACTCTGATCCGATGCCAAACTGGACACTATTAGTGGTGAAAACGATCTGCTGCTTTCCCTGTTAATATCATCAGTCGACAATACTGCAACCGATGATGGTGACAGCAGCATTGAACTTGCAAAAGGCTGTCCAACTGTGCTTTCCTTTGATGCCACACTGGAGACTAATACTGCTGATGATGATCTCTTCCTCTCTCTGCTAACAACAAAAGTCGACAAGGACGCAACTGACGATGCTGATACTGGCAACGAGCTTTTTAAAGATGCTCTCAGTGTGCTTTGTTCTGATGTCACACTGGACTCTATTATTGCTAACAGGGAGCTGCTGCTCTCTCTGCTACTACCCACAGTGGACGATGGCACAAGAAATGAAGGTGACACGAACTCTGATGTCTCTGAAGGCAGTTTGTCTGTGCTGTGCTCTGATGGCAGACTGGACAGACTGGAAGTTACTATTGAAGATGACGATCTCTGGCTTTCTCTGCTCACACTCGAAGTAGGCGAAAATGCTACCGATGAAGGTGATCCTAACACTGACCTTTCTGTTGACACCTCAACTGTCGTTTGCTCCGAAGTCCTACTGAATACTACTGTGGCAGATGGGGATACACTGATTGTACTGCTCGCATAAAAAGTCGACGATTTCACTACCGACGATGGCGCTTCCAGCAATGACACCTCTGAAGAGGCCTTCACCATACTCTCATCCGATGCCAAACTGGACACTATTACTGATGATAACGATCTGCTGCTTTCCCTTCTAATACCATCACTTGACAATACTGGAACCGATGATGGTGACAGCAGCAATGAACTAGCAAAAGACTGTCCAACTGTGCTATGCTTTAATGCCACACTGGAGACTAAAATTGCTGATGACGATCTCTTGCTCTCCCCGCTGACAACAAAAGTCGCCAAAGACGCAAATGACGACGGTGATACTAGCAACGAGCTTTCTAAAGATGCTCTCAGTGTGCTTTCTTCTGATGTCACACTGGAATCTATTGTTGCTAACAGGAAGCTCCTGCTTTCTATCCTACTACCCACAGTGGACAATGGCACAAGCAATGAAGGTGACACGAACCCTGATCTCTGTGAAGACAGTTTCACTATGCTGTGCTCTGATGGTAGACTGGACAGACTGGAAGCTACTATTAAAGATGACGATCTCAGACTTTCTCTGCTCATACTCAAAGTAGGCGAAAATACCACCGATGAAGGTGATCCCAACCCTGACCTTTCTGACGACACCTCCACTGTCCTTTGCTCCGACCTCAATGACCTCTCTGAAGACGCCTTCACTGTACTCTCATCCAATACAAAGCTGGACACTATTAGTGGTGATAACGAGCTGCTCCTTTCCCTGCTAATACCATCAGTCAACAATATTGTAACTGATGATGGTGACAGCAGCAATAAACTTCCAAAAGACTGTGCAACTGTGCTTTGCTTTGATGCCACACTGGAGACTAAAACTGCTGATGACGATCTCTTGCTCTCTCTGCTAAATAAAAAAGTCGACAAGGATGCAACTGACGATATTGATCCTAGCAACGAGCTTTCTAAAGATGCTCTCAGTGTGCTTTGTTCTGATGTCACAGTAGACTCTATTGTTGCTAGCTGGGAGCTGCTACTTTCTCTGCTACTACCCACAGTGGACGATGGCACAAGCAATGAAGGTGACACGAACCCTGATCTCTTTGAAGACAGCTTCACTATGCTGTGCTCTGATGGTAGACTGGACAGACTGGAAGCTACTAGTAAAGATGACGATCTCAGGCTTTCTCTGCTCATACTCATAGTAGGCGAAAATGCCACCGATGAAGGTGATCCCAACCCTGACCTTTCTGACGACACCTCCACTGTCCTTTGCTCTGACCTCAATGACCTCTCTGAAGACGCCTTCACTGTACTCTCATCAAATACAAAGCTGGACACTATTACTGGTGATAACGAGCTGCTGCTTTCCCTGCTAATACCATCAGTCAGCAATACTGTAACTGATGATGGTGAGAGCAGCAATAAACTTCCAAAAGACTGTGCAACTGTGCTTTGCTTTGATGCCACACTGGAGACTAAAACTGCTGATGACGATCTCTTGCTCTCTCTGCTAACAAAAAAAGTCGACAAGGATGCCACTGACGAAATTGATCCTAGCAACGAGCTTTCTAAAGATGCTCTCAGTGTGCTTTGTTCTGATGTCACACTGGACTCTATTGTTGCTAACTGGGAGCTGCTACTTTCTCTGCTACTACCCACAGTGGACGATGCCACAAACAATGAAGGTGACACAAACTCTGATCTCTCTGAAGATAGTTTGACTGTCCTGTACTCTGATGGCAGACTGGACAGACTGGAAGCTACTATTGAAGATGACGATCTCTGGCTCTCTCTGCTCACACTAAAAGTAGGCGAAAATGCTACCGCTGAAGGTGATCGCAACACTGACCTTTCTGATGACACCTCAACTGGCCTTTGCTCCGAAGTCCTACTGAATACTACTATGGAGGATGGGGATACACTGATTGCACTGCTCACATCAAAAGTCGATGATTTAACTACCGAGGATGCCGCTTCCAGCAATGACATCTCTGAAGACGCCTTCACTATACTCTCATCGGATGCAAAACTGGACACTATTACTGGTGATAACGATCTGCTGCTTTCCCTGCTAATATAATCAGTCAAAAATACTGCAGCCGATGATGGTGACAGCAGCAATGAACTTGCAAAAACTGTCCAACTGTGCTTTGCTTTGATCCCACACTGGAGACTAAAACTGCTGATGACGATATCTTCCTCTCTCTGCTAACAACAAAAGTCGACAAGGATGCAACTGACGATGGTGATACTGGCAACGAGCTTTCTAAAGATGCTCTCAGTGTGCTTTGTTCTGATGTCACACTGGACTCTATTGTTGCTAGCTGGGAGCTCCTACTTTCTCTGCTACTACCCACAGTGGACGATGGCACAAGCATTGAAGGTGACACGAACTCTGATACCTCTGAAGACAGTTTGACAGTGCTGTACTCTGATGGCAGACTGGACAGACTGGAAGCTACTATTACAGATGACGATCTCTGGATTTCTCTGCTCACACTCAAAGTAGGCGAAAATGCTAGCGATGAAGGTGATCGCATTAATGACCTTTCTGACGACACCTCAACTGTCCTTTCCTCCAAAGTCATACTGGATACCACTATGGAAGATGGGGATACACAAATTGTACTGCTCACATCAAAAGTCGACGATTTCACTACCGACGATGGCGCTTCCAGCAATGACCTCTCTGAAGATGCCTTCACTATACTCTCATCGGATGCCAAACTGGACACTATTACTGGTGATAACGATCTGCTGCTTTCCCTGCTAATACCATTACTCGACAATACTGCAACCGATGATGGTGACAGCAGCAATAAACTTCCAAAAGACTGTGCAACTGTGCTTTGCTTTGATGCCACACTGGAGACTAAAACTGCTGATGACGATCTCTTGCTCTCTCTGCTAACAAAAAAAGTCGACAAGGATGCCACTGACGATATTGATCCTAGCAACGAGCTTTCTAAAGATGCTCTCAGTGTGCTTTGTTCTGATGTCACGGTGGACTCTATTATTGCTAGCTGGGAGCTGCTACTTTCTCTGCTACTACCCACAGTGGACGATGGCACAAGCAATGAAGGTGACACGAACTCTGGTCTCTCTGAAGACAGTTTGACTGTGCTGTACTCTGATGGCAGACTGGACAGACTGGAAGCTACTATTGAAGATGACGATCTCTGGCTCTCTCTCCTCACACTAAAAGTAGGCGAAAATGCTACCGATGAAGGTGATCCCAATACTGACCTTTCTGATGACACCTCAACTGGCCTTTGCTCCGAACTCCTACTGAATACTACTATGGAGGTTGGGGATACACTGATTGCACTGCTCACATCAAAAGTCGATAATTTAACTACCGAGGATGCCGCTTCCAGCAATGACATCTCTGAAGACGCCTTCACTATACTCTCATCGGATGCCAAACTGGACACTATTACTGGTGATAACGATCTGCTGCTTTCCCTGCTAATACCATTACTCGACAATACTGCAACCGATGATGGTGACAGCAGCAATAAACTTCCAAAAGACTGTGCAACTGTGCTTTGCTTTGATGCCACACTGGAGACTAAAACTGCTGATGACGATCTCTTCCTCTCTCTGCTAACAACAAAAGTCGACAACGACGCAACTGATGATGGTAATACTGGCAACGAGCTTTCTAAAGATGCTCTCAGTGTGCTTAGTTCTGATGTCACACTGGACTCTATTGTTGCTAACTGGGAGTTGCTACTTTCTCTGCTACTAACCACAGTGGACGATGGCACAAGGAATGAAGGTGACACAAACTCTGATCTCTTTGAAGAGAGTCTGACTGTGCTTTGTTCTGATGGCAGACTGGACAGACTGGAAGCTACTATTGAAGGTGACGAACTCTGGCTTTCTCTGCTCACACTCAAAGTAGACAAAAGTGCTATTGATAAAGGTGATCCCAACACTGACCTTTCTGATGACACCTCAACTGTCCTTTCCTCCGATGTCTTACTGGATACCACTATGGAGGATGGGGATACACTGATTGTACTGCTCACATCAAAAGTCGACGATTTTACTACCGAGGATGGCGCTTCCAGCAATGACCTTTCTGAAGACACCTTCACTGTACTCTCATCCGATGCCAAACTGGACACTATTACTGGTGATAACGATCTGCTGCTCCCCCTGCTAATACCATCAGTCGACAATACTGAAACCGATGATGGTGACAGCAGCATTGAACTTGCAAAAGACTGTCCAACTGTGCGTTGCTTTGATGCCACACTAGAGACTAAAACTGATGATGACGATCTCTTCCTCTCTCTGCTTACAACAAAAGTCGACAAGGAAGCAACTGACGATGGTGATACTGGCAACGAGCTTTCTAAAGATGCTCTCAGTGTGCTTAGTTCTGATGTCACACTGGACTCTATTGTTGCTAACTGGGAGTTGCTACTTTCTCTGCTACTAACCACAGTGGACGATGGCACAAGCAATGAAGGTGACACGAACTCTGATCTCTTTGAAGAGAGTCTGACTGTGCTTTGTTCTGATGGCAGACTGGACAGACTGGAAGCTACTATTGAAGGTGATGAACTCTGGCTTTCTCTGCTCACACTCAAAGTAGACAAAAATGCTATTGATGAAGGTGATCCCAACACTGACCTTTCTGATGACAACTCAATTGTCCTTTGCTCCGATGTCTTACTGGATACCACTATGGAGGATGGGGATACACTGATTGTACTGCTCACATCAAAAGTCGACGATTTTACTACCGAGGATGGCGCTTCCAGCAATGACCTTTCTGAAGACACCTTCACTGTACTCTCATCCGATAAAAAATTGGACATTATTACTGGTGATAACGATCTGCTGCTTTCCCTGCTAATACCATCAGTCGACAATACTGAAACCGATGATGGTGACAGCAGCATTGAACTTGCAAAAGACTGTCCAACTGTGCGTTTCTTTGATGCCACACTAGAGACTAAAACTGATGATGACGATCTCTTCCTCTCTCTGCTTACAACAAAAGTCGACAAGGAAGCAACTGACGATGGTGATACTGGCAACGAGCTTTCTAAAGATGCTCTCACTGTGCTTTGTTCTGATGTCACACTGAACTCTATTGTTGCTAACAGAAAGCTGCTGCTTTCTCTGCTACTACCCACAGTGGACGATGGCACGAGCAATGAAGGTGACACGAACTCTGATCTCTCTGAAGACAATTTGACTGTGCTGTGCTCTAACGGCAGACTGGACAGACTGGAAGCTACTATTGAAAATGACGACTTCTCCTTTTCTCTGCTCACACTCAAAGTAGGCGAAAATGCTACCGATGAAGGTGATCCCAACACTAACCTTTCTGATGACACCTCAACTGTCCTTTGCTCCAAAGTCTTACTGGATACTACTATGGAAGATGAGGATACACTGATTGCACTGCTCACATAAAAAGTCGACGATTTCACTACCGACGATGGCGCTTCCAGCAATGACCTTTCTGAAGACGCCTTCACTGTACTCTCATCCGATGCCAAACTGGACACTATTACTGGTGATAATGATCTGCTGCTTTCCCTGCTAATACCATCAGTCGACAATACTGCAGACGATGATGGTGACAGCAGCATTGAACTTGCAAAAGACTTTCCAACTGTGTTTTGCTTTGTTGCCACACTGGAGACTAAAACGGCTAATGGCGATCTCTTAATCTCTCTGCTAACAAAAAGAGTCGACAATGAGGCAACTGACGATGGTAATACTGGCAATGAGCTTTCTAAAGATGCTCTCAGTGTGCTTGGTTCTGTTGTCACACTGGACTCTATTATTGCTAACTGTGAGCTGCTACTTTCTCTGCTACTACCCACAGTGGACGATGGCACAAGCAATGAAGGTGACACGAACTCTAATCTCTCTGAAGACAGTTTGACTGTGCTGTGCTCTGATGGCAGACTGGACAGACTGGAAGTTACTATTGAAGATGACGATCTCTGGCTTTCTCTGCTCACACTCAAAGTAGGCGAAAATGCTACCGATGAAAGTGATCCCAACACTGCCCTTTCTGATGACACCTCAACTGTCCTTGGCTCCGAGGTCGTACTGGATACTACTATGGAGGATGGGGATACACTGATTGCACTGCTCACATCAAAAGTCGACGATTTCACTACCGAGGATGGCGCTTCCAGCAATGACCTCTCTGAAGACGCCTTCACTGTTCTCTCAACCGATGCCAAGCTGGACACTATTACTGGTGGTAACGATCTCCTGCTTTCCCTGCTAATATAATCAGTCGAGAGTACTGCAACCGATGATGGTGACAGCAGCAATGAACTAGTAAAAGATTGTCCAACTGTGTTTTGCCTTGATGCCCCGTTGGAGACTAAAAACGCTGATGACGATCTCTTGCTCTCTCTGCTAACAGCAAAATTCGACAAGGACGAAACTGACAATGGTGACACTGGCAACGAGCTTTCTAAAGATGCTCTCAGTGTGCTTTCTTCTGATGTCACACTGGACTCTATTGTTGCTAACAGTGAGCTGCTGCTTTCTCTGCTACTACCCACAGTGGAAGATGGCACACGCAATGAAGGTGACACGAACTCTGATCTCTCTGAAGACAGTTTGACTGTGCTGTGCTCTGATGGCAGACTGGACAGAACGGAGGCTCCTATTAAAGATGACGACTGCTCCCTTTCTCTGCTCACACTCAAAGTACGCAAAAATGCTCCAGATGAGGGTGATCCCAACAATAACCTTTCTGATGACGCCTCAACTGTCCTTTGCTCCGAAGTCTTACTGGATACCACTATGGAAGATGGGGATACAATGATTGCACTGCTCATATAAAAAGTCGGCGATTTCACTACCGTGGATGGCGCTTCCAGCAATGACCTCTCTGAAGACGCCTTCACTATACTCTGATCCGATGCCAGACTGGACACTATTAGTGGTGATAACGATCTGCTGCTTTCCCTGCTAATATACTCAGTCGACAATACTGCAACCGATGATGGTGACAGCAGCAATGAGCTTCCAAAAGACTGTCCAACTATGCTTTGCTTTGCTGCCACACTGGAGACTAAAACTGCTGATGATGATCTCTTGCTCTCTCTGCTAACAAAGAAGGTCGACAACGACGCAACGGATGATGGTAATACTGGCAACGAACTTTCTAAAGATGCTCTCAATGTGCTTTCCTCCGATGTCACACTAGACTCTATTGTTACTAACTGAGAGCTGCTATTTTCTCTGCGACTACCCACAGTGGACGATGGCACAAACAATGAAGGTGACACGAACTCTGATCTCTCTGAAGACAGTTTGACTGTGCTGTGTTCTGATGGCAAACTGGACAGACTGGAAGCTACTATTAAAGATGACGACTGCTCCCTTTCTCTGCTCACATCCAAAGTACGCGAAAATGCTCCCGATGAAGGTGATCCCAACACTAACCTTTCTGATGACACCTCAACTGTGCTTTGCTCCGAAGTCTTACTGGATACCACTATGGAAGATGGGGATACAGTGATTGCACTGCTCACATCAAAAGTCAACGATTTGACTACCATGGATGGCGCTTCCAGCAATGACCTCTCTGAAGACGTCTTCATTATACTCTGATCCGATGCCAAACTGAACACCATTACTGGTGATAACGATCTGCTGCTTTCCCTGCTAATATAAACAGTCGACAATACTGTAACCGATGATGGTGACAGCAGCAATGAACTTGCAAAAGACTGTCCAACTGTGCTTCGCTTTGATGCCACACTGGAGACTAAAACTGCTGATGACGATCTCTTGCTCTCTCTGCTAACAACAAAAGTCGACAAGGAAGCAACTGACCATGGTAATACCGCCAACGAGCCTTCTAAAGATGCTCTGAGTGTGCTTTGTTCTGATGTCACACTGGACTCTATTGTTGCTAACAGTGAGCTGCTGCTTTCTCTGCTACTACCCACAGTGGACGATGGCACAAACAATGAAGGTGACACGAACTCTGATCTCTCTGAAGACAGTTTGACTGTGCTGTGCTCTGATGGTAGACTGGACAAACTGGAAGCTACAATTAAAGATGACGACTTCTCCCTTTCTCTGCTCACACTCAAAGTAGCCAAAAATGCTACCAATGAAGGTGATCGCAACACTGACCTTTCTGATGACACCTCAACTGTCCTTTCCTCCGAAGTCTTAATAAATGCTACTATGGAGGATGGGGATACACTGATTGCACTGCTCACATCAAAAGTCGACGATTTCACAACTGACGATGGTGCTTCCAGCAATGACATCTCTGAAGACGCCTTCACTGTACTCTCATCTGATGCCAAACTGGACACTATAACTGGTGATAACGATCTGCTACTTTCCCTGCTAATAACATAACTCGACAATACTGCAAATGATGATGGTGACAACAGCACTGAACTTCCAAAAGACTGTTCAACTGTCCTTTGCTTTGATGCCACACTGGAGACTAAAACTGATGATGACGATCTCTTGCTCTCTCTGCTAACAACAAAAATCGACAAAGATGCAACTGACAATGGTGATACTGGCAACGAGCTTTCTAAAGATGCTCTCAGTGTGCTTTCTTCCAATGCCCCACTGGACTCTATTGTTGCTAACAGGGAGCTCCTTCTTTCTCTCCTACTACCCACAGTGGACCAAGGCACAGGCAATGAAGGTGACACGAACTCTGATCTCTCTGAAGACAGTTTTACTATGCTGTGCTCTGACGATAGACTGAACACACTGGAAGCTACTATTAAAGATGACGATCTTTGGCTTTCTCTGCTCACACTCAAAGTAGGCAAAAATGCTACCGATGAAGGTGATCCCAACCCTGACCTTTCTGACGACACCTCCAATGTCCTTTCCTCCAAAGTCCTACTGGATACCACTATGGAAGATGGAGATACACTGATTGCACTGCTCACATAAAAAGTCGCCGATTTCACTAACGAGGATGGCGTTTCCAGCAATGACCTCTCTGAAGACACCTTCACTGTAATCTCATCCGATGCCAAACTGGACACTATTGCTGGTGATAACGATCGGCTCTTTTCCCTGCTAATATAATCAGTCGACAATACTGCAACCGATGATGGTGACAGCAGCAATGAACTTGCAAAAGACTGTCCAACTGTGCTTTGCTTTGATGCCAAACTGGAGACTAAAACTGCTGATGACAATCTCTTCCTCTCTCTGCTAGCAACAAAAGTCGACAACGACGCAACTGATGATGGTAATACTGGCAACGAGCTTTCTAAAGATGCTCTCAATGTGGTTTCCTCTGATGTCACACTAAACTCTATTGTTGCTAACTGGGAGCTGCTAATTTCTCTGCTATTACCCACAGTCGACGATGGCACAAGCAATGAAAATGACACGAACTCGGATGCCTCTGAAGACAGTTTGACTGTGCTGTGCTCTGATGGCAGACTGGACAGACTGGAAGTTACTATTGAAGATGACGATCTCTGGCTTTCTCTGCTCACACTCAAAGTAGGCAAAAATGCTAGCGATGAAGGTGATCCCAACACTGACCTTTCTGATGACACCTCAACTGTCCTTTGCTCCAAAGTCTTACTGAGTACTACTATGGAAGATGGAGATACACTGATTGTACTGCTCACATAAAAAGTCGCCGATTTCACTACCGACGATGGCGCTTCTTCCAATGACCTCTCTGAAGACGCCTTCACTGTACTCTCATCCGATGCCAAACTGGACACTATTACTGGTGATAACGATCTGCTGCTTTCCCTGTTAATACCATCAGTCGACAATACTGCGACCGATGATGGTGACAGCAGCATTGAACTTGCAAAAGGCTGTCCAACTGTCCTTAGCTTTGATGCCACACTGGAGACCAAAACCGCTGATGACGATCTCTTCCTCTCTCTGCTAACAACCAAAGGCGACAATGACGAAACTGACGATGCTGATACTAGCAACGAGCTTTTAAAAGATGCTCTCAGTGTGCTTTGTTCTGATCTCACACTGGACTCTATTACTGCTAACAGGGAGCTGCTACTCTCTCTGCTACTACCCACAGTGGACGATGGCAGAAGCAATGAAGATGACACGAACTCTGAAGTCTCTGAAGACAGTTTGACTATGCTGTGCTCTGATGGCAGACTGGAAGTTACTATTGAAGATGACGATCTCTGGCTTTCTCTGCTCACACTCAAAGTAGGCGAAAATGCTAGCGATGAAAGTGATCCCAACACTGACCTTTCTGATGACACCTCAACTGTCCTTTCCTCCGAAGTCTTACTGAATACTACTATGGCGGATGGGGATACACTGATTGTACTCCTCACATAAAAAGTCGACGATTTCACTACCGACGATGGCGCTTCCAGCAATGACATCTCTGAAGACGCCTTCATTATACTCTCATCTGATGCCAAACTGGACACTATAACTGGTGCTAACGATCTCCTGCTTTCCCTGCTAATAACATCACTCGACAATACTGCAACCGATGATGGTGACAGCAGCAATGAACCTGCTAAAGACTGTCCAACTGTCCTTTGCTTTGATGCCACACGGGAGACAAAAACCGATGATGGCGATCTCTTGCTCTCTCTGCTAACACCAAAAGTCGACAAGGATGCAACTGACGATGGTGATACTGGCAACGAGCTTTCTAAAGATGCTCTCAGTGTACTTTCTTCTGATGCCACACTGGACTCTATTGTTGCTAACAGGGAGTTCCTGATTTCTCTCCTACTACCCACAGTGGACGATGACATAAGCAATGAAGGTGACACGAACTCTGATATCTCTGAAGACAGTTTTACTATGCTGTGCTTTGATGGTAGACTGGACACACTGGAAGCTACTACTGAAGATGACGATCTCTGGCTTTCCCTGCTCACACTCAGAGTAGACGAAAATGCTACCGATGAAGGTGATCCCAACACTGACCTTTCTGACGACACCTCCACTGTCCCTTGCTCCGAAGTCTTAATGGATACCACTATGGAAGATGGGGATACACTGATTGCACTGCCCACATAAAAAGTCGACGATTTCACTGACGACGATGGCACTTCCAGCAATGACCTCTCTGAAGACACCTTCACTGTACTCTGATCCGATGCCAAACTGGACACTATTAGTGGTGAAAACGATCTCCTGCTTTCCCTGTTAATATCATCAGTCGACAATACTGTAACCGATGATGGTGACAGCAGCATTGAACTTGCAAAAGGCTGTCCAACTGTGCTTTCCTTTGATGCCACACTGGAGACTAAAACTGCTGATGATGATCTCTTCCTCTCTCTGCTAACAACAAAAGTCGACAAGGATGCAACTGACGATGCTGATACTGGCAACGAGCTTTTTAAAGATGCTCTCAGTGTGCTTTGTTCTGATGTCACACTGGACTCTATTATTGCTAACAGGGAGCTGCTACTCTCTCTGCTACTACCCGCAGTGGACGATGGCACAAGCAATGAAGGTGACACGAACTCTAGTGTCTCTGAAGACAGTTTGTCTGTGCTGTGCTCTGATGGCAGACTGGACAGACTGGAAGTTACTATTGAAGATGACGATCTCTGGCTTTCTCTGCTCACACTCAAAGTAGGCGAGAATGCTACCGATGAAGGTGATCCCAACACTGACCTTTCTGTTGACACCTCAACTGTCCTTTGCTTTGAAGTCTTACTGAATACTACTATGGCGGATGGGGATACACTGATTGTACTCCTCACATAAAAAGTCGACGATTTCACTACCGACGATGGCGCTTCCAGCAATGACATCTCTGAAGATGCCTTCACCATACTCTCATCCGATGCCAAACTGGACACTATTACTGGTGATAACGATCTGCTGCTTTCCCTTCTAATACCATCACTTGACAATACTAGAACCGATGATGGTGACAGCAGCAATGAACTAGCAAAAGACTGTCCAACTGTGCTATGCTTTAATGCCACACTGGAGACTAAAATTGCTGATGGCGATCTCTTGCTCTCCCCGCTGACAACAAAAGTCGCCAAAGACGCAAATGACGACGGTGATACTAGCAACGAGCTTTCTAAAGATGCTCTCGGTGTCCATTGTTCTGATGTCACACTGGACTCTATTGTTGCTAACAGGAAGCTCCTGCTTTCTATCCTACTACCCACAGTGGACAATGGCACAAGCAATGAAGGTGACACGAACCCTGATCTCTCTGAAGACAGTTTCACTATGCTGTGCTCTGATGATAGACTGGACAGACTGGAAGCTACTATTAAAGGTGACGATCTCAGGCTTTCTCTGCCCATACCCAAAGTAGGCGAAAATACCACCGATGAAGGTGATCCCAACCCTGATCTTTTTGACGACACCTCCACTGTCCCTTCCTTCAAAGTCTTACTGGATACCACTATGGAAGATGGGGATACACTGATTGTACTGCCCACATAAAAAGTCGACGATTTCACTGACGAGGATGGCCCTTCCAGCAATGACCTCTCTGAAGACACCTTCACTGTACTCTGATCCGATGCCAAACTGGACACTATTAGTGGTGAAAACGATCTGCTGCTTTCCCTGTTAATAACATCAGTCGACAATACTGCAACCGATGATGGTGACAGCAACATTGAACTTGCAAAAGGCTGTCCAACTGTGCTTTCCTTTGATGCCACACTGGAGACTAAAACTGCTGATGATGAACTCTTCCTCTCTCTGCTAACAACAACAGTCGACAAGGACGCAACTGACGATGGTGATACTGGCAACGAGCTTTCTAAAGATGCTCCCAGTGTGCTTTCTTCTGATGTTACACTGGACTCTATTATTGCTAACAGGGAGCTGCTACTCTCTCTGCTACTACCCACAGTGGACGATGGCACAAGCAATGAAGGTGCCACGAACCTTGATGTCTCTGAAGACAGTTTGACTGTGCTGTGCTCTGATGGCACACTGGACAGACTGGAAGTTACTATTGAAGATGACGATCTCTGGCTTTCTCTGCTCACACTCAAAGTAGGCGAGAATGCTACCGATGAAGGTGATCCCAACACTGACCTTTCTGTTGACACCTCAACTGTCCTTTGCTCCGAAGTCTTACTGAATACTACTATGGCGGATGGGGATACACTGATAGTACTGCTCACATAAAAAGTCGACGATTTCACTACCGACGATGGCGCTTCCACCAATGATATCTCTGAAGACGCCTTCACCATACTCTCATCCGATGCCAAACTGGACACTATTACTGGTGATAACGATCTGCTGCTTTCCCTTCTAATACCATCACTTGACAATACTGGAACCGATGATGGTGACAGCAGCAATGAACTAGCAAAAGACTGTCCAACTGTGCTATGCTTTAATGCCACACTGGAGACTAAAACTGCTGATGGCAATCTCTTGCTCTCCCTACTGACAACAAAAGTCGCCAAGGACGCAAATGACGACGGTGATACTAGCAAAGAGCTTTCTAAAGATGCTCTCCGTGTGCTTTGTTCTGATCTCACACTGGAGTCTATTGTTGCAAACAGGAAGCTCCTGCTTTCTATCCTACTATCCACAGTGGACAATGGCACAAGCAATGAGGGTGACACGAACCCTGATCTCTTTGAAGACAGCTTCACTATGCTGTGCTCTGATGGTAGACTGGAGAGACTGGAAGCTACTATTAAAGATGACGATCTCAGGCTTTCTCTGCTCATACTCAAAGTAGGCGAAAATGCCACCGATGAAGGTGATCCCAACCCTGACCTTTCTGACGACACCTCCACTATCCTTTCCTCCGACCTCAATGACCTCTCTGAAGACGCCTTCACTGTACTCTCATCCAATACAAAGCTGGACACTATTACTGGTGATAACGAGCTGCTGCTTTCCCTGCTAATACCATCAGTCAACAATACTGTAACTGATGATGGTGACAGCAGCAATAAACTTCCAAAAGACTGTGCAACTGTGCTTTCCTTTGATGCCATACTGGAGACTAATACTGCTGATGACGATCTCTTGCTCTCTCTGCTAACAAAAAGAGTCGACAAGGATGCAACTGACGATATTGATCCTAGCAACGAGCTTTCTACAGATGCTCTCAGTGTGCTTTGTTCTGATGTCACAGTGGACTCTATTGTTGCTAGCTGGGAGCTGCTACTTTCTCTGCTACTACCCACAGTGGACGATGGCACAAGCAATGAAGGTGACACTAACTCTGGTCTCTCTGAAGACAGTTTAAATGTGCTGTACTCTGATGGCAGACTGGACAGACTGGAAGCTACTATTGAAGATGACGAACTCTGGCTTTCTCTGCTCACACTAAAAGTAGTCGAAAATGCTACCGATGAAGGTAATCGCAACACTGACCTTTCTGATGACACCTCAACTGGCCTTTGCTCCGAACTCCTACTGAATACTACTATGGAGGATGGGGATACACTGATTGCACTGCTCACATCAAAAGTCGATAATTTAACTACCGAGGATGCCGTTTCCAGCAATGACTTCTCTGAAGACGCCTTCACTATACCCTCATCGGATGCAAAACTGGACACTATTACTGCTGATAACGATCTGCTGCTTTCCTTGCTAATATAATCAGTCAACAATACTGCAGCAGATGATGGTGACATCAGCAATGAACTTGCAAAAGACTGTCTAACTGTGCTTTGCTTTGATGCAGTGGACACTACTGCAACCAATGATGGTGAAAGCAGCAATGAACTTGCAAAAGACTGTGCAACTGTGCTTTGCTTTGATAGCAGACTGGAGACTAAAACTGCTGATGACGATCTCTTGCTCTCTCTGCTAACAGCAAAAGTCGACAAGGACGCAACTGACGATAATGATCCTAGCAACGAGCTTTCTAAAGATGCTCTCAGTCTGTTTTGTTCTGATGTCACACTAGACTCTATTGTTACTATCTGGGAGCTGCTATTTTCTCTGCTACTACCCACAGTGGACGATGGCACAAGCAATGATGGTGACACGAGCTCTGATCTCTCTGAAGACAGTTTGACTGTGCTGTGCTCTGATGGCAGATTGAAGAGACTAGAAGCTACTATTGAAGATGACAATCTCTGGCTTTCTCTGCTCACACTCAAAATACGCAAAAATGCTACCGATGAAAGTGATCCCAACACTGACCTTTCTGATGACACCTCAACTCTCCTTTGCTCCGAAGTCATACTGGATACCACTATGGAAGATGGGGATACACTGATTGTACTGCGCACTTCAAAAGTCGACGATTTCACTACTAAGGATGACGTTTCAAGCAATGACCTCTCTGAAGACGCCTTCACTGTACTCTTATCCGATACAAAACTGGACACTATTACTTGTGATAACGATCTGGTGCTTTCCCTCCTAATACCACTACTCGACAATACTGCAACCGATGATGGTGACAGCAGCAATGAACTTCCAAAAAACGGTCCAACTGTGCTTTGCTTTGATCCCACACTGGATACTAAAACTGCTGATGACGATATCTTCCTCTCTCTGCTAACAACAAAAGTCGACAAGGATGCAACTGACGATGGTGATACTGGCAACGAGCTCTCTAAAGATGCTCTCAGTGTGCTTTGTTCTGATGTCACACTGGACTCTATTGTTGCTAGCTGGGAGCTCCAACTTTCTCTGCTACTACCCACAGTGGACGATGGCACAAGCATTGAAGGTGACACTAACTCTGATACCTCTGAAGACAGTTTGACAGTGCTGTACTCTGATGGTTGACTGGACAGACTGGAAGCTACTATTACAGATGACGATCTCTGGATTTCTCTGCTCACACTCAAAGTAGGCGAAAATGCTAGCGATGAAGGTGATCGCATTAATGACCTTTCTGACGACACCTCAACTGTCCTTTGCTCCAAAGTCATACTGGATACCACTATGGAAGATGGGGATACACTGATTGTACTGCTCACATCAAAAGTCGACGATTTCACTACCAACGATGGCGCTTCCAGCATAGACCTCTCTGAAGATGCCTTCACTATACTCTCATCGGATGCCAAACTGGACACTATTACTGGTGATAACGATCTGCTGCTTTCCCTGCTAATACCATTACTCGACAATACTGCAACCGATGATGGTGACAGCAGCAATAAACTTCCAAAAGACTGTGCAACTGTGCTTTGCTTTGATGCCACACTGGAGACTAAAACTGCTGATGACGATCTCTTGCTCTCTCTGCTAACAACAAAAGTCGACAAGGACACAACTGACGATGGTGATACTGGCAACGAGCTTTCTAAAGATGCTCTCAGTGTGCTTAGTTCTGATGTCACACTGGACTCTATTGTTGCTAACTGGGAGTTGCTACTTTTTCTGCTACTAACCACTGTCGACGGTGGCACAAGGAATGAAGGTGACACGAACTCCGATCTCTTTGAAGAGAGTTTGACTGTCCTTTGCTTTGACCGCAGACTGGACAGACTGGAAGCTACTATTGAAGATGACGAACTCTGGCTTTCTCTGCTCACCCTCAAAGTAGACAAAAATGCTACTGATGAAGGTGATCCCAACACTGACCTTTCTGATGACACCTCAGCTGTCCTTTGCTCTGAAGTCTTACTGAATACTACTATAAAGGATGGGGATACACTGATTGCACTGCTCACATCAAAAGTCGACAATTTCACTACCGAGAATGGCAGTTCCAGCAATGACATCTCTGAAGACGCCTTCACTGTACTCTGATCCGATGCCAAACTGGACACTATTACTGGTAATAACGATCTGCTGCTTTCCCTGCTAATATAATCAGTCCACAATACTGCAACCGATGATGGTGACAAAAGGAATGAACTTGCAAAAGACTTTCCAGCTGTGCTTTGCTTTAATGCGACACTGGAGACTAAAACTGCTGATGACGATCTCTTCCTCTCTCTACTAACGACAAAAGTCGACAAGGACGAAAATGACGATGGTGATACTGGCAACGAGCTTTCTAAAGATGCTCTCAGTGTGCTTTGTTCTGATGTCACACTGGACTCTATTATTGCTAACAGGGAGCTGCTGCTCTCTCTGCTACTACCCACAGTGGTCAATGGCACAAGCAATGAAGGTGACACGAACTCTGATGTCTGTGAAGACAGTTTAACTGCGCTGTGCTCTGATGCCAGACTGGACAGACTGGAAGTTACTATTGAAGATGACGATCTCTGGCTTTCTCTGCTCACACTCAAAGTAGGCGAGAATGCTACCGATGAAGGTGATCCCAACACTGACCTTTCTGTTGACACCTCAACTGTCCTTTGCTCCGAAGTCTTACTGAATACTACTATGGCGGATGGGGATACACTGATTGTACTGCTCACATCAAAAGTCGACGATTTCACTACCGACGATGGCGCTTCCACCAATGACATCTCTGAAGACGCCTTCACCATACTCTCATCCGATGCCAAACTGGACACTATTACTGGTGATAACGATCTGCTGCTTTCCCTTCTAATACCATCACTTGACAATACTGGAACCGATGATGGTGACAGCAGCAATGAACTAGCAAAAGACTGTCCAACTGTGCTATGCTTTAATGCCACACTGGAGACTAAAACTGCTGATGGCGATCTCTTGCTCTCCCTACTGACAACAAAAGTCGCCAAGGACGCAAATGACGACGGTGATACTAGCAACGAGCTTTCTAAAGATGCTCTCGGTGTGCTTTGTTCTGATGTCACACTGGAGTCTATCGTTGCTAACAGGAAGCTCCTGCTTTCTATCCTATTACCCACAGTGGACAATGGCACAAGCAATGAAGGTGACACGAGCCCTGATCTCTCTGAAGACAGTTTCACTATGCTGTGCTCTGATGGTAGACTGGACAGACTGGAAGCTACTATCAAAGATGACGTTCTCAGGCTTTCTCTGCTCATACTCAAAGTAGATGAAAATGCCACCGATGAAGGTGATCCCAACCCTGACCTTTCTGACGACACCTCCACTGTCCTTTGCTTCAAAGTCTTACTGAATACCACTATGGAAGATGGGGATACACTGATTGTACTGCCCACATAAAACGTCGACGATTTCACTGACGACGATGGCGCTTCAAGCAATGACCTCTCTGAAGACACCTTCACTGTACTCTCATCCGATGCCAAACTGGACACTATTACTGGTGATAACGATCTGCTGCTTTCCCTTCTAATACCATCACTTGACAATACTGGAACCGATGATGGTGACAGCAGCAATGAACTAGCAAAAGACTGTCCAACTGTGCTATGCTTTAATGCCACACTGGAGACTAAAACTGCTGATGGCGATCTCTTGCTCTCCCTACTGACAACAAAAGTCGCCAAGGACGCAAATGACGACGGTGATACAAGCAACGAGCTTTCTAAAGATGCTCTCGGTGTGCTTTGTTCTGATGTCACACTGGAGTCTATCGTTGCTAACACGAAGCTCCTGCTTTCTATCCTACTACCCACAGTGGAATATGGCACAAGCAATGAAGGTGACACGAGCCCTGATCTCTCTGAAGACAGTTTCACTATGCTGTGCTCTGATGGTAGACTGGACAGACTGGAAGCTACTATCAAAGATGACGATCTCAGGCTTTCTCTGCTCATACTCAAAGTAGATGAAAATGCCACCGATGAAGGTGATCCCAACCCTGACCTTTCTGACGACACCTCCACTGTCCTTTGCTTCAAAGTCTTACTGAATACCACTATGGAAGATGGGGATACACTGATTGTACTGCCCACATAAAACGTCGACGATTTCACTGACGACGATGGCGCTTCAAGCAATGACCTCTCTGAAGACACTTTCACTGTACTCTGATCCGATGCCAAACTGGACACTATTAGTGGTGAAAACGATCTCCTGCTTTCCCTGTTAATATCATCAGTCGACCATACTGCAACTGATGATGGTGACAACAGCATTGAACTTGCAAAAGGCTGTCCAACTGTGCTTTCCTTTGATGCCACGTTGGAGACTAAAACTGCTGGTGATGATCTCTTCCTGTCTCTGCTAAAAACAAAAGTCGACAAGGACGCAACTGACGATAGTGATACTGGCAACGAGCTTTCTAAAGATGCTCTCAGTGTGCTTTGTTCTGATGTCACACTGGACTCTATTATTGCTAACAGGGAGCTGCTGCTCTCTCTGCTACTACCCACAGTGGATGATGGCACAAGCAATGAAGGTGACACGAACTCCGATGTCTCTGAAGACAGTTTGACTGTGCTGTGCTCTGATGGCAGACTGGACAGACTGGAAGTTACTATTGAAGATGACGATCTCTGGCTTTCTCTGCTCACACTCAAAGTAGGCAAGAATGCTACCGATGAAGGTGATCCCAACACTGACCTTTCTGTTGACACCTCAACTGTCCTTTGCTCCGAAGTCTTACTGAATACTACTATGGCGGATGGGGATACACTGATTCTACTGCTCACATAAAAAGTCGACGATTTCACTACCGACGATGGCACTTCTAGCAATGACATCTCTGAAGACACCCTCACCATACTCTCATCCGATGCCAAACTGGACACTATTACTGGTGATAACGATCTGCTGCTTTCCCTTCTAATACCATCACTTGACAATACTGGAACCGACGATGGTGACAGCAGCAATGAACTAGCAAAAGACTGTGCAACTGTGCTATGCTTTAATGTCACACTGGAAACTAAAACTGCTGATGGCGATCTCTTGCTCTCCCTACTAACAACAAAAGTTACCAAGAACGCAAATGACGACGGTGATACTAGCAACAAGCTTTCTAAAGATTCTCTCATTGTGCTTTGTTCTGATATCACACTGGACTCTATTGTTGCTAACTGGGAGTTGCTACTTTCTCTGCTACTACCCACAGTGGACGATGGCACAAGCAATGAAGGTGACACGAAGTCTGCTCTCTCTGAAGATAGTTTGACTGTCCTGTGCTCTGATGGTAGACTGGACAGACTGGAAGTTAATATTGAAGATGACGATCTCTGGCTTTCTCTGCTCACACTCAAAGTAGGCCAAAATGTTACTGATGAAGGTGATCCCAACACTGACCTTTCTGATGCAACCTCAACTGTCCTTTCCTCTGAAGTCTTACTGAACACTACTATGAAGGATGGGGATACACTGATTGCACTGCTCACATCAAAAGTCGACGATTTCACTACCGACGATGGCACTTCCACCAATGACATCTCTGAAGACGCCGTCACTGTACTCTGATCCGATGCCAAACTGGACACTATTACTGGTGATAAAGATCTGCTGCTTTCCCTTCTAATATAATCAGTCAACAATACTGCAACCGATGATGGTGACAGCAGCAATGAACTTGCAAAGGACTGTCCAACTGTACTTTGCCTTGATGCCACACTGGAGACTAAAACTGCTGATGAGGATCTCTTACTCTCTCTACTAACAACAAAAGTCGACAACGACACAACTGAAGATGGTGATACTGGCAACGAGCTTTCTAAAGATGCTCTCAGTGTGCTTTGTTCTGGTGTCATACTGGACTCTATTGTTGCTAACAGGGAGTTCCTGCTTTCTCTGCTACTACCCACAGTGGGCGATGGCACAAGCAATGAAGGTGACACGAACTCTGATCTCTCTGAAAACAGTTTGACTGTGCTGTGCTCTGATGGTAGACTAGACAGACTGGAAGCTACTATTGAAGATGACGATCTCTCGCTTTCCTTGCTCACACTCAAAGTACGCGAAAATGGTACCGATGAAGGTGATCCCAACCCTGACCTTTCTGAAGACACCTCATTTGCCCTTTGCTCCGAAGTCTGACTGGATACCAGTATGGAGGATGGGGATACACTTATTACACTGCTCACAGCAAAAGTCGACAATTTCACTACCGACGATGGTGTTTCCAGCAATGACCTCTCTGAAGACGCCTTCATTGTACTCTCATCCAATACAAAGCTGGACAGTATTACTGGTGATAACGAGCTGCTGCTTTCCCTGCTAATACCATCAGTCAACAGTACTGTAACCGATGATGGTGACAGCAACAATAAACTTGCAAAAGACTGTGCAACTGTGCTTTGCTTTGATGCCACACTGGAGACTAGAACTGCTGATGACGATCTCTTGCTCTCTCTGCTAACAAAAAAAGTCGACAAGGATGCAACTGACGATGGTGATTCTGGCAACGACCTTTCTAAAGATGCTCTCAGTGTGCTCTGTTCTGATGTCACAGTGGACTCTATTGTTGCTAGCTGGGAGCTGCTACTTTCTCTGCTACTACCCACAGTGGACGATGGCACAGGCAATGAAGGTGACACGAACTCTGGTCTCTCTGAAGACAGTTTGACTGTGCTGTACTCTGATCGCAGACTGGACAGACTGGAAGCTACTATTGAAGATGACGATCTCTGGCTTTCTCTGCTCACACTCAAAGTACGCGAAAATGGTGCCGATGAAGGTGATCCCAACCTTGACCTTTCTGACGACACTTCAACTGTACGTTGCTCCGAAGTCTTACTGGATACCACTATGGAAGATGGGGATACACTGATTGCACTGCTCTTATCAAAAGTCGACGATTTCACTGCCAAGGATGGCGCTTCCAGCAACGACCTCTCTGAAGATGCCCTCACTATACTCTCATCGGATGCAAAACTGGACACTATTACTGGTGATAACGATCTGCTGCTTTCCCTGCTAATATAATCAGTCAACAATGCTGCAACCGATGATGGTGACAGCAGCAATGAGCTTGGAAAAGACTGTCCAACTGTGCTTTGCTTTGATGCCACATTGGAGACTAAAACTGCTGATGATGATCTCTTGCTCTCTCTACTAACAACAAAAGTCGACAACGACACAACTGACGATGGTGATACTGGCAACGAGCTTTCTAAAGATGCTCTCAGTGTGCTTTGTTCTGATGTCACACTGGACTCTATTGTTGCTAACAGGGAGCTCCTGCTTTCTTTGGTACTACCCACAGTGGACAATGGCAAAAGCAATGAGGGTGACACGAATTCTAATCTCTCTGAAGACAGTTTGACTGTGCTGTGCTCTGATGCTAGACTGGACAGACTGGAACCTACTATTGAAGATGACAATCTCTGGCTTTCTCTGCTCACACTCAAAGTACGCGAAAATGGTGCCGATGAAGGTGATCCCAACCTTAACCTTTCTGACGACACTTCAACTGTACGTTGCTCCGAAGTCTTACTGGATACCACTATGGAAGATGGGGATACACTGATTGCACTGCTCTTATCAAAAGTCGACGATTTCACTGCCAAGGATGGCGATTCCAGCAATGACCTCTCTGAAGACGCCTTCACTGTACTCTCATCCGATGCCAAACTGGACACTGTTACTGCTGGTAACGATCTGCTGCTTTCCCTGCTAATAGTATCAGTCGACAATACTGCAACCGATGATGGTGACAGCATCATTGAACTTGCAAACGACTGCCCAACTGTGCTTTGCTTTGATGCCACATTGGAGACTAAAACTGCTGATGACGATCTCTTGCTCTCTCTGCTAACAACAATATTCGACAAGGACACAACTGACGATGTTGATACTGGCAACGAGCTTTCTAAAAATGCTCTCAGTGTGCTTTGTTCTGATGTCACACTGGACTCTATTGCTGCTAACATGGAGCTCCTGCTTTCTCTGCTACTATCCACAGTGGACAATGGCACTAGCAATGAAGGTGACACGAGCACTGATCTCTCTGAAGACAGTTTGACTCTGCTGTGCTCTGATGGCAGATTGGACAGACTGAAGGCTACTTTTAAAGATGACGATCTCTGGCTTTCTCTGCTCACACTCAAAGTAGGCGAAAATGCTACCGATAAAGGTGATCCCAACACTGACCTTTCTGATGACACCTCAACTGTCCTTTGCTCCGAAGTCTTACTGGATACCACTAAAGAAGATGGGAATACACTGATTGCACTGCTCACATGAAAAGTCGACGATTTCACTACCAAAGATGGCGTTTCCAGCAATGACCTCTCTGACGATGCTTTCACTGTTCTCTCATCCGATACAAAACTGGGCACTATTACTGGTGATAACGATCTGCTGCTTTCCCTGTTAATATAAGCAGTGGACAATACTGCAACCGATGATGGTGACAGCAGCAATGAACCTTCAAAAGACTGTGCAACTGTCCTTTCCTTTGATAGCAGAGTGGAGACTAAAACTGCTGATGACGATCTCTTGCTCTCTCTGCTAACAGCAAAAGTCGACAAGGACGCAACTGACGATAATGATCCTAGCAACGAGCTTTCTAAAGATGCTCTCAGTGTGTTTTGTTCTGATGTCACACTAGAGTCTATTGTTGCTATCTGGGAGCTGCTATTTTCTCTGCTACTACCCACAGTGGACGATGGCACAAGCAATGATGGTGACATGAGCTCTGATCTCTCTGAAGACAGTTTGACTGTGCTGTGCTCTGATGGCAGATTGAACAGACTAGAAGCTACTATTAAAGATGACGATCTCTGGCTTTCTCTCCTCACACTCAAAGTACGCGAAAATGCTACCGATGAAAGTGATCCCAACACTGACCTATCTGATGACACCTCAACTCTCCTTTGCTCCGAAGTCATACTGGATACCACTATGGAAGATGGGGATACACTGATTGCACTGCTCACTTCAAAAGTCGACGATTTCACTACCGAGGATGACGTTTCCAGCAATGACCTCTCTGAGGAAGCCTTCACTGCACTCTTATCTGATACAAAACTGGACACTATTACTTCTGATAACGATCTGGTGCTTTCCCCCCTAATACCATCACTCGACAATACTGCAACCGATGATGGTGACAGCAGCAATGAACTTCCAAAAAACTGTCCAACTGTGCTTTGCTTTGATCCCACACTGGGGACTAAAACTGCTGTGGACGATATCTTCATTTCTCTGCTAACAACAAAAGTCAACAAGGATGCAACTGACGATGGTGATACTGGCAACAAGCTTTCTAAAGATGCCCTCAGTGTGCTTTGTTCTGATGTCAAACTGGACTCTATTGTTGGTAGCCGGGTGCTCCTACTTTTTCTGCTACTACCCACAGTGTATGATGGCACAAGTAATGAAGGTGACACGAACTCTGATACTTCTGAAGACAGTTTGACTGTGCTGTACTCTGATGGCAGACTGGACAGATTGGAAGCTACTATTACAGATGACCATCTCTGGATTTCTCTGCTCACACTCAAAGTAGGCGAAAATGCTAGCGATGAAGGTGATCGCATTAATGAACTTTCTGACGACACCTCAACTGTCCTTTGCTCCGAAGTCATAATGGATACCACTATGGAAGATGGGGATACACTGATTGTACTGCTTACATCAAAAGTCGACGATTTCACTACCGACGATGGCGCTTCCAGCAATGACCTCTCTGAAGATGCCTTCACTATACTCTCATCCGATGCCAAACTGGACACTATTACTGGTGATAACGATCTGCTGCTTTCCCTGCTAATACCATCAGTCAACAATACTGCAACCGATGATGGTGACAGCAGCAATGAACTTGCAAAAGACTGTCCAACTGTGCTTTGCATTGATGTCACACTGGAGACTAAAACTGCTGATGACGATCTCTTGCTCTCTCTGCTAACAACAAAAGTCGACAAGGACACAACTGACGATGGTGATACTGGCAACGAGCTTTCTAAAGATGCTCTCAGTGTGCTTTGTTCTGATGTCACACTGGACTCTATTGTTGCTAACTGGGAGTTGCTACTTTCTCTGCTACTAACCACAGTGGACGATGGCACAAGCAATGAAGGTGACACGAACTCTGATCTCTTTGAAGATAGTTTGACTGTGCTTTGCTCTGATGGCAGACTGGACAGACTGGACAGACTGGAAGCTACTATTGAAGATGACGAACTCTGGCTTTCTCTCCTCACCCTCAAAGTAGACAAAAATGCTACTGATGAAGGTGATCCCAACACTGACCTTTCTGATGACACCTCAACTGTCCTTTGCTCTGAAGTCTTACTGAATACTACTGTGGAGGATGGGGATACACTGATTGCACTGCTCACATCAAAGGTCGACAATTTCACTACCGACGATGGCACTTCTAGCAATGACATTTCTGAAGACGCCTTCACTGTACTCTGATCCGATGCCAAACTGGACACTATTACTGGTGATAGCGATCTGCTGCTTTCCCTGCTAATATAATCAGTCGACAATACTGCAACCGATGATGGTGACAAAAGGAATAAACTTGCAAAAGACTTTCCAACTGTGCTTTGCTTTGATGCCACACTGGAGACTAAAACTGCTGTTGACGATTTCTTCCTCTCTCTACTAACAAGAAAAGTCGACAAGGACACAACTGACGATAGTGATACTGGCAACGAGCTTTCTAAAGATGCTCCCAGTGTGCTTTGTTCTGATGTCACACTGGACTCTATTGTTGCTAACAGGGAGCTCCTGCTTTCTCTGCTACTACCTACAGTAGACAATGGCACAAGCAATGAAGGTGACACGAACTCTGATCTATCTGAAGACAGTTTGACTGGGCTGTGCTCTGATGGTAGACTGGACAAACTGGAAGCTACTATTAAAGATGACAATCTCTGGCCTTCTCTGCTCACACTCAAAGTACGCGAAAATGGTACCGATGAAGGTGATCCCAACCCTGACCTTTCTGACGACACCTCATCTGTCCTTTGCTCCGATGTCTTACTGGATACCTCTATGGAAGATGGGGATACAGTGATTGCACTGCTCACATCAAAAGTCGACAATTTCACTACCGACGATGGTGTTTCCAGCAATGACCTCTCTGAAGACGACTTCACTGTACTCTCATCCGATACAAAACTGGACACTTTTACTGGTGATAACGATCTACTGCGTTCCCTGCTAATACCATCAGTCAACAATACTGCAACCGATGATGGTGACAGCAGCAATAAACTTGCAAAAGACTGTGCAACTGTTCTTTGCTTTGATGCCACACTGGAGACTAGAACTGCTGATGACGAACTCTTGTTCTCTCTGCTAACAACAAAAGTCGACAAGGATGCAACTGACGATGGTGATACTGACAACGTGCTTTCTAAAGATGCTCTCAGTGTGTTTTGTTCTGATGTCACACTGGACTCTATTGTTGCTAGCTGGGAGCTACTACTTTCTCTGCTACTACCCACAGAGGACGATGGCACAAGCAATGAAGGTGAAACGAACTCTGATCTCTCTGAAGACAGTTTGACTGTGCTGTGCCCTGATGGCAGACTGAACAGACTGGAAGCTACTATTAAAGATGACGTTCTCTGGCTTTCTCTGTTCACACTCAAAGTAGACGAAAATGCTACCGATGAAGGTGATCCCAACACTGACCTTTCTGATAACACCTCAACTGTCCTTTGCTCCGAAGTCTTTCTGGATACTACTATGGAGGATAAGGATACACTGATTGAGCTGCTCACATCAAAAGTCGACGATTTCACTACCGAGGATGGCACTTCCAGCAATGACCTCTCTGAAGACACCTTTACTGTACTCTCATCTGGTGACAAACTGGACACTATTACTGGTGATAACGATCTGCTGCTTTGCCTGCTAATACCATCAGTCGAAAATACTGCAACAGATGATGGTGACAACAGCAATGAACTTGCAAATGACTGTCCAACTATGCTTTGTTTTGATGCCACACTGGAGACTAAAGCTGCTGATGAGGATCTCTTGCTCTCTCTGCTAACAACAAAAGTCGACAAGGACGCAACTGACGATGGTGATACTGGCAACAAGCTCTCTAAAAATGCTCTCAGTGTGCTTTCTTCTGATCTTACAACGGACTCTATTGTTTCAAACAGTGAGCTGCTGCTTTCTCTGCTACTACCCACAGTGGACGATCGCACAAGCAATGAAGGTGACACGAGCTCTGATCTCTCTGAAGACAGTTTGACTGTGCTGTGCTCTGATGGCAGACTGGACAGCCTGGAAGCCACTATTGAAGATGACGATCTCTGGCTTTCTCTGCTCACACTCAAAGTACGCGAAAATGCTAGCGATGAAGGTGATCCCAACACTGACCTTCCTGATGACACCTCAAGTGTCCTTTCCTCCGAAGTCTTACTGGACACCACTATGAAGGATGGGGATACACTGATTGAACTGCTCGCATCAAAACTCGACGATTTCATTACCGAGAATGGCCCTTCCAGCAATGACCTCTCTGAAGACCTCTTCACTGTACTCTCATCCGATGCCAGACCGGACACTATTACAGGTGATAACGATCTGCTGCCTTCTCTGCTAATACCATCAGTCGACAATATTGAAACCGATGATGGTGATAGTTGCAATGAACTAGGAAAAGACTGTCCAACTGTGCTTTGCTTTGATGTCACACTAGAGACTAAACCTGCTGATGACGATCTCTTGATCTCTCTACTAACAACAAAAGTCGACAAGGACGCAACTGACGATGGTGATTCTGGCAACGAGCTTTCTAAAGATGCTCTCAGTGTACTTTCTTCTGATATCACACTGGACTTTATTGTTGCTAACAGGGAGCTCCTGCTTTCTTTCCTACTACCCACAGTGGACGATGGCACAAGCAGTGAAGGTGACACCAACTCTGATCTCTCTGAGGACAGCTCGACTGTGCTTTGCTCTGATGGCAGACTGGACAGGCTGGACAAACTGGAAGCTACTATCGAAAATGACGATTTCTGGCTTTCTCCGCTCACACTCAAAGTACGCGAAAATTGTACCGATGAAGGTGATCCTAACATTGACCTTTCTGATAAAACCTTAGCTGTCGTTTCCTCCGAAGTCTTGCTGGATACCACTATGGAGGATGGGGATACACTGATTGCACTGCTCACATAAAAAGTGGACGATTTCACTACCAAGGATGGCGCTTCCAGCAATGACCTCTCCGAAGACGCCTTCACTGTACTCTCATCCGATGCCAAACTGGACACTATTACTGCTGATAACAATCTGCTGCTTTCCCTCCTAATACCATCACTCGACAACACTGCAACCGATGATGGTGACAGCAGCAATGAACTTCGAAAAGACTGTCCAACTGTGCTTTGCTTTGATCCCACACTGGAGACTGAAACTGCTGATGACGATATCTTGCTCTCTCTGCTAAGAACAAAAGTCAACAAGGATGCAACTGACGATGGTGATACTGGCAATGAGCTTTCTAAAGATAATCTCACTGTGCTTTCTTCTGATGTCACACTGGAATCGATTGTTGCTAACAGGGAGCTCCTCCTTTCTCTGCTACTACCAAGAGTGGACGATGGCACAAGCAGTGAAGGTGACACGAACTCTGATCTCTCTGAAGATAGTTTGAGTGTGCTGTGCTCTGATGGCCAGCTGGACAGACTGGAAGCTACTATTGAAGATGACGATTTCTGCTTTTCTCTGCTCACACTTAAAGTAGGCAAAAATGTTAGCAATGAAGGTGATCCCAAGACTGACCTTTCTGATGACACCTCAACTGTCCTTTGCTCAGAAGTCTCACCAGATACCACTATGGAGGATGGGGATACACTGATTGCACTGCTCACATCAAAAGTCGACGATTTCACTACCGAGGATGATGCTTCCAGCAATGACCTCTCTGACGAGGCCTTCACTGTACTCTCATCGAATGCCAAACTGGACACTATTACTGATGATAATGATCTGCTGCTTTCCCTGCTAATATCATCAGTTGACAATACTGCAACTGATGATGGTGACAGCAGCAATGAACTTGCAAAAGACTGTCCAAGTGTACTTTGTTTTGATGCCACGCTGGAGACTAAAGCTACTGATGACAATCTCTTGCTCTCTCTGCTCACAACAAAAGTCGACAAGGACGCAACTGACGATGGTGATACTGGCAGCAAACTATCTAAAGATGCTCTAGGTGTGCTTTCTGATGATGTCACACTGGACTCTATTGTTGCTAACAGGGAGCTACTGCTTTCTCTGCTACTATCCAGAAAGGACGATGGCACAAGCAATGAAGGTGGCACGAACTCTGATCTCTCTGAAGACAGTTTAAGTGTGCTGTGCTCTGATGGCAGACTGGACAGATGGGAAGCTATTATTAAAGATGACGATCTCCGCCTTTCTCTGCTCACCATCGAACTAGGCGAAAATGTTAGCGATGAGGGTGATTCCAACACTGACCTTTCTGATGATACCTCAACTGTCCTTTGCTCCGTAGTCTTACTGGATACAACTATGGAGGATGAGGATACACTGATTGCACTGCTCTTATCAAAAGTCGACGATTTCACTGCCGAGGATGGCGCTTCCAGCAATGACCTCTCTGAAGACACCTTCACTGTACTTTCATCCGATGCCAAACTGGACACTGTTACTGCTGGTAACGATCTGCTGCTATCCCTGCTAATACCATCAGTCGACAATACTGCAACCGATGATGGTGACAGCAGCATTGAACTTGCAAACGACTGCCCAACTGTGCTTTGCTTTGATGCCACACTGGAGACTAAAACTGCTGATGACGATCTCTTGCTCTCTCTGCTGACAACAATAGTCGACAAGGACGCAACTGACGATGGTGATACTGGCAACGAGCTTTCTAAAGATGCTCTCAGTGTGCTTTGTTCTGATGTCACACTGGACTCCATTGTTGCTAACATGGAGCTCCTGCTTTCTCTGCTACTACCCACAGTGGACAATGGCACTAGCAATGAAGGTGACACGAGCTCTGATCTCTCTGAAGACAGTTTGACTCTGCTCTGCTCTGATGGCAGATTGGACAGACTGGAGACTACTATTAAAGATGACGATCTCTGGCTTTCTCTGCTAACACTCAAAGTAGGCGAAAATGCTACCGATAAAGGTGATCCCAACACTGACCTTTCTGATGACACCTCAACTGTCCTTTCCTCCGAAGTCTTACTGGATACCACTAAAGAAGATGGGAATACACTGATTGCACTGCTCACATAAAAAGTCGACGATTTCACTACCAAAGATGGCGTTTCCAGCAATGCCCTCTCTGACGATGCTTTCACTGTACTCTCATCCGATACAAAACTGGAAACTATTACTGGTGATAACGATCTCCTGCTTTCCCTGCTAATACCATCACTCGACAATACTGCAACCGATGATTGTGACAGCAGCAATGAACTTCCAAAAGACTGTGCAACTGTGCTTTCCTTTGATAGCAGAATGGAGACTAAAACTGCCGATGACGATCTCTTGCTCTCTCTGCTAACAGCAAAAGTCGACAAGGACGCAACTGACGATAATGATCCTAGCAATGAGCTTTCTAAAGATGCTCTCAGTGTGTTTTGTTCTGATGTCACACTAGACTCTATTGTTGCTATCTGGGAGCTGCTATTTTCTCTGCTACTACCCACAGTGGACGATGGCACAAGCAATGATGGTGACACGAGCTCTGATCTCTCTGAAGACAGTTTGACTGTGCTGTGCTCTGATGGCAGATTGAACAGACTAGAAGCTACTATTAAAGATGACGATCTCTGGCTTTCTCTGCTCACACTCAAAGTACGCGAAAATGCTACCGATGAAAGTGATCCCACCACTGACCTTTCTGATGACACCTCAACTCTCCTTTGCTCCGAAGTCTTACTGGATACCACTATGGAAGATGGGGATACACTGATTGCACTGCTCACTTCAAAAGTCGACGATTTCACTACCGAAGATGATGTTTCCAGCAATGACCTCTCTGAAGACGCCTTCATTGTACTCTTATCCGATACAAAACTAGACACTATTACTTGTGCTAACGATCTGGTGCTTTCGCTCCTAACACCATCACTCGACAATACTGCAACCGATGATGGTGACAGCAGCAATGAACTTCCAAAAGACTGTCCACCTCTGCTTTGCTTTGATCCCACACTGGAGACTAAAACTGCTGATGACGATCTCTTCCTCTCTCTGCTAACAAGAAAAGTCGACAAGGATGCAACTGACGATGGTGATACTGGCAACGAGCTTTCTAAAGATGCTCTCAGTGTGCTTTGTTCTGATGTCACACTGGACTCTATTGTTGCTAACTGGGAGTTGCTACTTTCTCTGCTACTAACCACAGTGGACGATGGCACAAGGAATGAAGGTGACACGAACTCTGATCTCTTTGAAGATAGTTTGACTGTGCTTTCCTCTGATGGCAGACTGGACAGACTGGACAGACTGGACAGACTGGAAGCTACTATTGAAGATGACAAAATTTGGCTTTCTCTACTCACACTCAAAGTAGACAAAAATGCTACTGATGAAGGTGATCCCAACCCTGACCTTTCTGATGACACCTCAACTGTCCTTTGCTCTGAAGTCTTACTGAATACTACTGTGGAGGATGGGGATACACTGATTACACTGCTCACATCAAAAGTCGACAATTTCACTACCGACGATGGCACTTCCAGCAATGACATCTCTGAAGACGCCTTCACTGTACTCTGATCCGATGCCAAACTGGACACTATTACTGATGATAACGATCTGCTGCTTTCCTTGCTAATATAATCAGTCGACAATACTGCAACCGATGATGGTGAAAAAAGGAATGAACTTGCAAAAGACTTTCCAACTGTGCTTTGCTTTGATGGGACACTGGAGACTAAAACTGCTGATGACGATTTCTTCCTCTCTCTACTAACAAGAAAAGTCGACAAGGACACAACTGACGATGGTGATACTGGCAACGAGCTTTCTAAAGATGCTCTCAGTGTGCTTTGTTCTGATGTCACACTGGACTCTATTGTTGCTAACAGGGAGCTCCTGCTTTCTCTGCTACTACCTACAGTGGACAATGGCATAAGCAATGAAGGTGACACGAACTCTGATACCTCTGAAGACAGTTTAACTGCGCTGTGCTCTGATGGTAGATTGGACAAACTGGAAGCTACTATTAAAGATGACGATCTCTGGCCTTCTCTGCTCACACTCAAAGTACGCGAAAATGGTACCAATGAAGGTGATCCCAACCCTGACCTTTCTGACGACACCTCACCTGTCCTTTGCTCCGATGTCTTACTGGATACCACTATGGAAGATGGGGATACACTGATTCCTCTGCTCATATCAAAAGTCGACGATTTCACTACCGACGATGGCGTTTCCAGCAATGACCTCTCTGAAGACGACTTCACTGTACTCTCCTCCGATACAAATTTGGACACTATTACTGGTGATAACGATCTACTGCTTTCCCTGCTAATACCATCAGTCAACAATACTGCAACCGATGCTGATGACAGCAGCAATGTACTTGCAAAAGACTGTGCAACTGTGCTTTGCTTTGATCCCACACTGGAGACTAGAACTGCTGATGACGAAGTCTTGTTCTCTCTGCTAACAACAAAAGTCGACAAGGATGCAACTGACGATGGTGATACTGACAACGTGCTTTCTAAAGATGCTCTCAGTGTGCTTTGTTCTGATGTCACACTGGACTCTATTGTTGCAAGCTGGGAGCTACTACTTTCTCTGCTACTACCCACAGTGGATGATGGCACAGGCAATGAAGGTGACACGAACTCTGATCTCTCTGAAGACAGTTTGACTGTGTTGTGCCCTGATGGCAGACTGGACAGACTGGAAGCTACTATTAAAGATGACGTTCTCTGGCTTTCTCTGTTCGCACTCAAAGTAGACGAAAATGCTACCGATGAAGGTGATCCCAACACTGACCTTTCTGATAACACCTCAACTGTCCTTTGCCTCGAAGTCTTTCTGGATACTACTATGGAGGATAAGGATACACTGATTGAGCTGCTCACATCAAAAGTCGACGATTTCACTACCGAGGATGGCACTTCCAGCAATGACCTCTCTGAAGACGCCTTCACTCTACTCTCATCCGATGTCAAACTGGACACTATTACTGGTGATAACGATCTGCTACTTTCCCTGCTAATACCATCAGTGGAAAATACTGCAACAGATGATGGTGAACTTGCAAATGACTGTCCAACTATGCTTTGTTTTGATGCCACACTGGAGACTAAACCTGCTGATGACAATCTCTTGCTCTCTCTGCTAACAACAAAAGTCGACAAGGACGCAACTGACGATGGTGATACTGGCAACGAGCTTTCTAAAAATGCTCTCAGTGTGCTTTCTTCTGATCTTACAACGGAATCTATCGTTGGAAACAGTGAGATGCTGCTTTCTCTGCTACTACCCACAGTGGACAATCGCACAAGCAATGAAGGTGACACCAACTCTGATCTCTCTGAAGACAGTTTGACTGTGCTGTGCTCTGATGGCAGACTGGACAGCCTCGAAGCCACTATTGAAGATGACCATCTCTGGCTTTCTCTGCTCACACTCAAAGTAGGCAAAAATGCTAGCGATGAAGGTGATCCCAACACTGACCTTCCTGATGACACCTCAACTGTCCTTTGCTCCGAAGTCTCACTGGATACCACTATGAAGGATGGGGATACACTGATTGAACTGCTCACATCAAAACTCGACGATTTCATTACCGAGGATGGCCCTTCCAGCAACGACCTCTCTGAAGACCTCTTCACTGTACTCTCATCCGATGCCAGACCGGACACTATTACAGGTGATAACGATCTGCTGCCTTCTCTGCTAATACCATCAGTCGACAATATTGAAACCGATGATGGTGATAGCCGCAATGAACTAGCAAAAGACTGTCCAACTGTGCTTTGCTTTGATGCCACACTAGAGACTAAACCTGCTGATGACGATCTCTTGCTCTCTCTGCTAACAACAAAAGTCGACAAGGACGCAACTGACGATGGTGATTCTCGCAACGAGCTTTCTAAAGATGCTCTCAGTGTACTTTCTTCTGATATCACACTGGACTTTATTGTTGCTAACAGGGAGCTCCTGCTTTCTTTGCTACTACCTACAGTGGAGGATGGCACAAGCAGTGAAGGTGACACCAACTCTGATCTCTCTGAGGACAGCTTGACTGTGCTTTGCTCTGCTGGCAGACTGGACAGGCTGGAAAAACTGGAAGCTGCTATCGAAAATGACGATTTCTGGCTTTCTCCGCTCACACTCAAAGTACGCGAAAATTGTACCGATGAATGTGATCCTAACATTGACCTTTCTGATAAAACCTCAGCTGTCGTTTCCTCCGAAGTCTTACTGGATACTACTATGGAGGATAGGGATACACTGATTGCACTGCTCACATAAAAAGTCGACGATTTTACTACCAAGGATGGCGCTTCCAGCAATGACCTCTCCGAAGACGCCTTCTCTGTACTCTCATCCGATGCCAAACTGGACACTATTACTGCTGATAACAATATGCTGCTTTCCCTCCTAATACCATCACTTGACAATACTGCAACCGATGATGGTGACAGCAGCAATGAACTTGCAAAAGACTCTCCAACTGTCCTTTGCTTTGATGCCACACTGGATACTAAAACTGCTGATGACGATCTCTTGCTCTCTTTGCTAACTACAAAAGTCGACAACGACGCAACTAATGATGGTAATACTGGCAACGAGCTTTCTAAAGATGCTCTCAATGTGCTTTCCTCTGATGTCACAGTAGACTCTATTTTTGCTAACTGGGAGCTGCTACTTTCTCTGCTACTACCCACAGTGGACAATGGCACAAACAATAAGGGTGACACGAACTCTGATCTCTCTGAAGACAGTTTGACTGTGCTGTGCTCTGATAGCAGACTGGACAGACTGGAAGCTACTATTGAAGATGACGACTTCTCCCTTTCTCTGCTCACACTCAAAGTACGGGAAAATGCTACCGATGAGGGTGATCCCAACACTAACCTTTCTGATGACACCTGAACTGTCCTTTGCTCCGAAGTCTTACTGGATACCACTATGGAAGATGGGGATACAATGACTGTACTGCTCACATAAAAAGTCGACGATTTCACTACCGAGGATGGCGCTTCCAGCAATGACCTCTTTGAAGACGCCTTCACTGTACTCTCATCCGACGCCAAACTGGACACTATTACTGGTGATAACGATCTGCTACTTTCCCTGCTAATATAAGCAGTCGACAATACTCCAACCGATGATGGTGACAGCAGCATTGAACTTGCAAAAGGCTGTCCAACTGTGCTTTGCTTTGATGCCACACTGGAGACCAAAAATGCTGATGACGATCTCTTGCTCTCTCTGCTAACAACGAAAGTCGACAAGGACGCAACTGACGATGCTGATACTGGCAACGAGCTTTCTAAAGATGCTCTCAGTGTGCTTTGTTCTGATGTCACACTGGACTCTATTATTGCTAACAGGGAGCTGCTGCTTTCTCTGCTACTACCCACAGTGGACGATGGCACAAGCAATGAAGGTGACACAAACCCTGATCTCTCTAAAGACAGTTTCACTATACTGTGCTCTGATGGTAGACTGTACAGACTGGAAGCTACTATTAAAGATGACGATCTCAGGCTTTCTCTCCTCACACTCAAAGTAGGCGAAAATGCTACCGATGAAGGTGATCCCAACCCTGACCTTTCTGAGGACACCTCCACTGTCCTTTGCCTCAAAGTCTTAGTGGATGCCACTATGGAAGATGGGGATACACTGATTGTACTGCTCACATCAAAGGTCGACGATTTCACTAGCGACGATGGCGCTTCCAGCAATGACCTCTCTGAAGACGCCTTCACTGTACTCTCATCCGATGCCAAACTGGACACTATTACTGGTGATACCAATCTGCTACTTTCCCTGCTAATACCATTACTTGACAATACTGCAACCGATGATGGTGACAGCAGCAATGAACTTCCAAAAGACTGTCCAACTGTGCTTTGCTTTGATGCCACACCAGAGACTAAAACTGCTGATGACGATCTTTTCCTCTCTCTGCTAACACCAAAAGTCGACAAGGACGAAACTGACGATGGTGATACTGGCAACGAGCTTTCTAAAGATGCTCTCAGTGTGCTTTGTTCTGATGTCACACTGGACTCTATTGTTGCTAACAGGGAGCTGCTGCTTTCTCTGCTACTACCCACAGTCGACGATGGCACAAGCAATGAAGGTGACACGAACTCTGATCTCTCTGAAGACACTTTCACTGTGCTGTGCTGTGATGGCAGACTAGAGAGACTGGAAGCTACTATTGAAGATGACGATCTATAGCTTTCTCTGCTCACACTCAAAGTAGGCGAAAATGCTACAGATGAAAGTGATCCCAACACTAACCTTTCTGATGACACCTGAACTGTCCTTTGCTCCGAGGTCTTACTGGATACCACTATGGAGGATGGGGATACACTGATTCCACTGCTCACATCAAAAGCCGAGGATTTTACTACCGAAGATGGCCCTTCCAGCAATGACCTCTCTGAAAGCGCCTTCACTGTACTCTCGTCGGATGCCAATCTGGACACTACTACTGGTGATAACGATCTGCTGCTTTCCCTACTAATACCATCAGTCGACAATACTGCAACTGATGATGGTGACAGCAGCAATGAACTTACAAAAGACTGTCCAACTGTGCTTTGCTTTGCTGCCATACTGAAGACTAAAACTGCTGATGATGATCTCTTCCTCTCTCTGCTAACAACAAAAGTCGACAAGGACGCAACTGACGATGGTGATACTGGCAACGAGCTTTGTAAAGATGCTCTCAATGTGCTTTCTTCTGATATCACAACGGACTCTATTAGTGCTAGCAGGGAGGTGGTGCTTTCTCTGCTAGTACCCACAGTGGACGATAGCACAAGCAATGACGGTGACACCAACTCTGATCTCTCTGAAAACAGCTTGACTGTACTGTGCTCTGACGGTACACTGGACAGACTGGACAGACTGGAAGCTACTGTTGGAGATGACGATCTCTGGCTTTTTCTACTCACACTTAAAGTATGCAAAAATGTTAGTGATGAGGGTGATCCCAACAATGACCTTTCTGATGACACCTCAACTGTCGTTTGCTCCGAAGTCTCACTAGATACCACTATGGAGGATGGGGATACACTGATTGCACTGCTCACATCAAAACTCGATGATTCCACTGCCGAAGATGACGCTTCCAGAAATGACCTCTCTGAAGAGGCCTTCACTGTACTCTCATCCGATGCCAAACTGGACACTATTACTGGTGATAACGATCTGCTGCTTTCCCTGCTAATACCATCAGTCGACAATACTGCAACCGACGATGGTGACAGCAGGAATGAACTTGCAAAAGACTTTCCAACTGTGCTTTGCTTTGATGCCACACTGGAGACTAAAGCTACTGATGACGATCTCTTGCTCTCTCTGCTCACAACAAAAGTCGAGAAGGACGCAACTGACGATGGTGACACTGGCAACGAGCCTTCTAAATATGCTCTCAGTGTGCTTTCTTCTGATGTCATACTGGACTCTATTAATGCTAACAGGGAGCTGCTGCTTTCTCTGCTACTACCCATAAAGGACGATGGCACAAGCAATGAAGGTGACACGAACTCTGATCTCTCTGAAGACAGTTTGACCGTGCTGTGCTCTGATGGCAGACTGGACAGACTGGAATGTAGTATTGAAGATGAAGATCTCTCCCTTTTTCTGCTCACCTTCAAAGTTGGCGAAAATGGTAGCGATGAAGGCGATCCCAACACTGACCTTTCTGATGACACCTCAACTGTCCTTTGCTCCGAAGTCTTATTGGATACCACTATGGAGGATGAGGATACACTGACTGCATTGCTCATATCAAATGTCGAGGATTTAACCACTGAGGATGGCCCTTCAAGCAATGACCTCTCTGAAGACGCCTTCACGGTACTCTCATCCGATGCCAAACTGGACACTATTACTGCTGATAACGATCTGCTGCTTTCCCTGCTAATACCATCAGTCGACAATACTACAACCGATGATGGTGACAGCAGCAATGAACTTCCAAACGACTGTCCAACTGTGCTTTGCTTTGATGCCACAATGGAGACTAAAACTGCTAATGACGATTTCTTGCTCTCTCTGCTAACAACAAAAGTCGACAACGACGCAACTGACGATGGTGACACTGACAACGAACTTTCTAAAGATGCTCTCAGTGTGCTTTGTTCTAATGTCACTACCGACTGTATTGTTGCTAACAGTGAGCTCCTACTTTCTCTGCTACTACCCATAGTGGACAGTGGCACAAGCAGTGAAGGTGACACGAACTCTGATCTCTCTGAAGACAGTTTGACTGTGCTGTGCGTTGATGGCAGACTGGACAGACTGGAAGCTACTATTGAAGATGACGATTTCTGGCTTTGTCTGCTCTCACTCAAAGTAGGCGAATATGCTAGCGATGAAGGTGATCCCAACACTGACCTTTCTGACGACACTTTAGCTCTCCTTTCTTCCGAAGTGTTACTGGATACCACTACGGAGAATGGGGATACACTGATTCCACTGCTCCCATCAAAAGTCGACAATTTCATTACCGAGGATGGCGCTTCCAGCAAAGACATCTCTGAAGACGCCTTCACGGTACTCTCATCCGATGCCAAACTGGACACTATTACTGCTGATAACGATCTGCTGCTTTCCTTGCTAATATCATCAGTCGAAAATATTGCAACCGATGAGGGTTGCAGCAGCAATGAACTTGCAAAAGACTGTCCAACTGTGCTTTGCTTTGATGCCACACTGAAGACTAAAGCTGCTGATGACAATCTCTTGCTCTCTCTGCTAATAACAAAACTCGGCAACGACGCAACTGACGATGGTGATACTGGCAACGAGCTTTCTAAAGATGCTGTCAGTGTGCTTTGTTCTGATGTCACACTGGACTCTATTGTTAGTAACTGGGAGCTGCTACTTTCTCTGCTACTACCCACAGTCGACGATGGCACAAGCACTAAAGGTGACACGAACTTTGATCTCTCTGAAGACAGTTTGACTGTGCTGTGCTCTGACGGCAGACTGGACAGACTGGAAGCTACTATTAAAGATGACGATCTCTGCCTTTCTCTGCTCACACTCAAAGTAGGCGAAAATGCTACCGACGAAGGTGATCCCAACACTGACCTTTCTGATGACGCCTCAACTGTCATTTGCTCTGAAGTCTTACTGGATTCCATTATGAAAGATGGGGATACACTGATTGCACTGCTCACATCAAAAGTCGACGATTTCACGACTGAGGATGGCGCTTCTAGTAATGACCTCTCTGAAGACGCCTTCACTGTACTCTCATCAGATGCCAAACTGGACACTATTACTGGTGATAACGATCTGCTGCTTTTCTTGCTAATACCATCAGTCGACAATACTGCAACCGATGATGGTGACAGCAGCAATGAACTTCCAAAAGACTGTCCAACTGTGCTTTGCTTTGATGCCACACTGGAGACTAAGACTGTTGATGACGATCTCTTGCTCTCTCTGCTAACAACAAAAGTCGACAAGGACGCAACTGACGATGGGGATACTGACACCGAGCTTTCTAACGATGCTCTCAGTGTGCTTTGTTCTGATGTCATACTAAACTCTATTGTTGCTAACTGGGAGCTGCTATTTTCTCTGCTATTACCCACAGTGGACGATGGCACAAGCAATGAAGGTGACACGAACTCTGATCTCTCTGAAGACACTTTCACTGTGCTGTGCTGTGATGGCAGACTAGAGAGACTGGAGGCTACTATTGAAGATGACGATCTATAGCTTTCTCTGCCCGAAACATCAGATGAAAGTGATCCCAATACTAACTTTCTGATGACACCTGAACTGTCCTTTGCCCGAGGGATGGATACCACTATGGAGGATGGGGATACACTGATTCCACTGCTCACATCAAAAGCCGAGGATTTTACTACCGAAGATGGCCCTTCCAGCAATGACCTCTCTGAAAGCGCCTTCACTGTCATCGTCGGATGCCAAACTGGACACTATTACTGGTGATAACAATCTGCTGCTTTCCCTGCTAATACCATTACTCGACAATACTGCAACCGATGATGGTGACAGCAGCAATGAACTTGCAAAAGACTGTGCAACTGTGCTTTGCTTTGATGCCACACTGGAGACTAAAACCGCTGATGACAATCTCTTGCTCTCTCTGCTAACAACAAAAGTCAACAAGGACGCAACTGACGATGGTGATACTGGCAACGAGCTTTCTAAAGATACTCTCAGGTTGCTTTGTTCTGATGTTACAACTGACTCTATTGTTGCAAACAGTGAGCTGCTGCTTTCTCTGCTTCTACCCACAGTGGAGGATGGCACAAGCAATGAAGGTGACACGAACTCAGATCTCTCTGAAGACAATTTGACTGTGCTGTGCCCTGATAGCAGAGTGGACAGACTGGAAGCTACTATTGAAGATGAAGATCTCTGGCCTTCTCTGCTCACACTCAAAGTAGGCGAAAATGCTACCAATGAGGGTGATCCCAACACTGACCTTTCTGATGACACTTCAACTGTCCTTTGCTCCGATGTCTTACTGGATACCACTATGGAAGATGTGGATACACTGATTACACTGCTCACATCAAAAGTCGACGATTTCACTACCGAGGATGCCGATTCCAGCAATGACATCTCTGAAGACGCCTTCACTCTACTCTCATCCGATGCCAAACTGGATTTTATTACTGGTGATAACGATCTGCTGCTTTTCCTGCTAATACCATCAGTCGACAATACTGAAACCGATGATGGTGACAGCAGCAATGAACTTGCAAAAGACTGTGCAACTGTGCTTTGCTTTGATGCCACACTGGAGACTAAAACTGCTGATGATGATCTCTTGCTCTCTCTGCTAACAACAAAAGTCGACAAGGACGCAACTGATGATGGCGATACTGGCAGCGAGCGTTCTAAAGATGCTCTCCGTGTGCTTTCTTCTGACGTCACAGTGGACTCTATTGTTGCTAACAGGGAGCTGCTGCGTTCTCCGCCACTACCCACATTGGACGATGGCACAAGCAATGAAGGTGATACGAACTCTGATCTCTCTGAAGACAGTTTGACTGTATTGTGCTCTGATGGCAGACTGGACAGACTAGAAGCTACTATTGAAGATGACGATCTCTGCCTTTTTCTGCTCACACTCAAAGTAGGTGAAAATGGTAGCGATGAAGGTGATACCAACACTGACCTTTCTGATGACACCTCAACTGTCCTTTGCTTTGAAGTCTTACTGGATACTACTATGGAGGATGGGGATACACTGATTGCACTGCTCACATCAAAAGTCGACGATTTCACGACCGAGGATGGCGCTTCCAGCAATGACCTCTCTGAAGACGCCTTCACTGTACTCTCAGCCGATGCGAAACTGGACACTGATGGTGGTGTTACAGACATGGTACTTTTCTTGACTAGAAAGGTTTGCTTACTCATAGTTTCCTGCGTTGATTTCTAAAGTGAAAAGTGATTGTAAGATTAATGTATCTTACTCTAGGGAGTGTTTGGATAAACTTAAATATGGTAGAATTCTTGACAAAGATACATAAATTTATTGGTAAAAGTTATCAATAGTTTTATTTACAAAGAATTTAGATGGAAGTGATGCTGTAAAATTAAAAATTTTCGATAAAGTCAGGCTACTTATGTTATTTCATGGAATGAATAACGAAAAATAGGATCTGCATTTCATAGAACAGCCAAAATATACAATAACTACAACATAAGAGAACTATAAAAAAGTGCAACTATGGCTTTCATGGAGCTACTAAATAAGCATCTCCTTCTGAATTGAACAATAAGAATATTTGTTTACAGGTTTCTCTCCATTCTTTACCAGGGGAGAGTTCAAGCTCACAAGTGCAACAATCAATTAAAAGTTTCTACATCCCCCTCTTGGGTGGCCGAAGCAACCCCCTTGGACATATGAACTGTTGAAGACCAGTTTTATAAATTCCCACCTCAGAGGTAAAAAGATTATCCTCAAATGAACCGTCCAATATTTCTTTAAAAGTCAAAATCAGCAACCAAACCTTTCTACTCATTGGCCAAGCTTTAAAACCTAGCCCTTGAGGACCTTCTCTTCTGAGCCATTTTCTTAAGAAAGTGAACATTTCCACATTGAAAGATATAACACTTGTATTCCATGGGAAAGACTTGACACATCCAATTCAAATTTCCCACGCCAGCTAGGCAGGGTTCTAATTCCCCACCCTCAGGGCAAGCACAACAGTCAAATACCTGACAATTGCCTGTGGTGGGGGGGGGGGATGTTGAACTTTGAGTGATTGGAGCATTATGATACCAATTCATAAGGTTGAGTGTACTGTTTCTCTACTTGTGATAAAAATACTGTTTCTCTCTTTATTAAGTTTTGATTCAAAAAAAAAAAATCAATAGAACTAGTTCCACTATTACTTACCAGCTTCAAGGTTCTCATATTGTTTTTTTTATTTTCAAACAACAAATCTGGGATGAATCATACCTGTTAAATACATTTACTTCTTAACCTGCTAAATTAGTCATAAACAAAATGTACTCATTTTTCTCAAAATTGAGGACACTATGATAACTCTTGAACCTCTGAAAATAACAGCCTTGTTTTCTAATTGATGTGTCAATTTCTGAACCCTGTTTCATGATCTCCATTGCATATCACTGAATTGTGATACGCATATCTTTCTAAATCCAAAAATAAAAATCTACGTATTCAGTTCAGAGCCACCTCAGTATTTTGGTGATAAAAGGTTTTTCTTAACTGCATAGAGTTTTCTTTGATGCAGCAGATAGATGACTGCAATCCATTGTGAAAGAATGGGGATCACCAAACTTGTTCTGGAGTTAAGCTTAAAATAAAGTGTGTTTGTTAGAGGCAGTAGTGTTATTATAGCAAAGCTTACAAGTATTAAAAATCATGAAACCATTTTGAGGAATAATTGGCCATTTTTGACACTATCTTTAAGGGGAACATGCCAAAAATTGTGGTAGTATCATCCATTCATCTTAGAAATAATGTTTGAAAATAAAAACAATTAAGGGCCACCTTAATTAAATTCAAATCAGCTGATGGAAAGGTCTGATTACCTCTCCAGGGAAATTAAATCTTAATTTATGTAGATGACTACAGAACTAACCTGAGAAGGAGTGGGACTCATTGATTCTTCGATAGAGGAAATAAATTGATTTGAGCTCACTACAGCAAATGAAATCAAGTTTCCTCCAGAAGACAATAGGGATGCACTTTGATGTACAGATGAGAGCACAGAAAACACTGTGCTCCCATCCCTTCCCAGAAAGTGTGATGATTTCTTAGACACCTTTTCTGAAGAAACACTTTCCTCCCTCTGCACATTGCCAGGGCTAGAACTAAATTTCACATAAGAAGAGCTGCGCAACTCCTCTTTGCTTGAAACACTAAATTCAGTTGAACTCTTTGCAGCTGATGCCATCAATGATGACCTCTCAGAGGCCAAACCATAGCTACTTTCATCTCCTGTTGAACCAAAACTGAAAGTCCCAGATGACATCATTCCTATCTCCATGCTTGAAACAGAGGCAGATGAAGACTTTGCAGATGATACTAAATACACACTAACATCCACTGCCACAGTGGAGCGTAGAATGTCAGACACCACACTGCCTCCCTCTCTACTTGAAATGTCAGCTGATGAAAAAATTACACCAGATAATAAAACCACAGATGGTGTCAAAGCCAAAACTGCAGCTGTACTGTGCTTTATTGGAACACTGGAACTTTGCTCTAAACCAGAAGCGCCTATTGAGTCCAAAGATTTTGAAGTGAATATTGCAGTTGTTCTTCCAGAGGCCTTATTTACAGAGGGCCATGAAAGATAACTTGAGTTTTCAGCTGAATTTGCCAGCAGATCTGCTGAGTAAGATGAATTGGTGAAATAACTACTCATTTGCAAAACCCCTTGATTGGTCACTTCTGTGGGTGACAAAAGTAACTCCGTGTGGGCAACAGGTACAGTTAACGTATTTTCAAGTACCCCTGTACTTTCCAAGTATTTCTTGTTTGAAGAAATTTCTGTAAGCTGCATATCATGTTCATAGGATGAACTCGTTGATTTTTGTAATAATTTGATTACATCTTGTGTCCGGTTTGACTGTGACTCGGGGGAGCTGTTCACCGTGATTTGTGATAACGACAAAAACGGGGACGACTGATCAATATCAGACCTGACGCTTGCTTGAGTTGGAGAACTGTTCACTTGCCATGATGTACTATTCAATGGGATTGTGGCACCCCGTAAAATGACATCATCTGTTGAAAGGCTTTCTACATTGATCATTAAACCAAGGATAAGCACACCCTCCAACAACAACCACAACATGCATGATAAAGCTGGATCACCGACTGCCAGTGGTCCTGTAAATGGTAGTGAATTTTTCAGAAAGACACATTACTTTTTAAACAATAAAATGGCGCACAACAGGCAAATTCTTATTACTGCAAACAATTTGAAATACACAGAGTGAAAACAACACAACACGTGTCACCTTGTACATTCAATTCCCAACCCTCATTGATTTGTTTTTTCCCATCAGTTTCAAAAAAGAGTCGAAGTGAATTGGTTTTAGGCACCCGCGTACATTACTATTGTTTGAGAGAGAGGAGCCCTGATGCGATTTCCGGACGGTTTCCGAGCAATTTGTTACAATACTCAAAGACATGACTCATTCTGAGAGACGATTATCGAACGGGAGTTTTTGCCAAGAGTGCACATAATCCACGGATTCAACCGCAAATGAACCGGCGCCTTAAATAACCGCAGCTCATACCGCTAATGACCCCAGTTGGAAAATTCTGGAATGGCATGGACTTTTCTCATGGAGTTCTACAACAGCCATTCATTATAACATAAATGTAACTGATAAAAAATGAAGACACACATCTGAACAGGATAGAAAACTTCCAACGAAGATTTAATATCAATGGAGAACTTAAGGGGAGTTATTTTTGAAACGCTGGCGTCAACCGGAAGAATAATATAATTAACTCAGTGGCGCGTTGACCCTAATATATCCACCAAATTGTGTTGACCAGAAAGGTGTAGTGAGCAACAGGAATGAACACTTCTAACTTCTCTTAAGTGTTTTTGGTTGATGGTTGCACGAGTCTCTGTTACTTGTTTTCGCCCTTTACTCATTCTCAATGTGTTTGTGACCAATGCCGGTAAAATCTACAACTTTTTCATTCTCCCGCAATCTCAGTCTATTTGAGCGCATGAGAGGAGCTTACAATTTTTTGCACATTTTTCAGCGTAGACGTGAGGTTCCATTTTGGGTCAAATATTTTCTTGAGAAATACGATTTACAGTAAAAGAATATGTGAACGCTGAGGAGAATGTTTCGCAAATACACTTTACGTCTTTAAAAAAGACAAAAGCGAACAATTTTCCTCACCAATACTAATCCAAGACGCCTTTTGGAGAGGTCATATCCTCTGAAAACTTAAAACCTTCATGCCCCTATTGAGAGCATTTTCGCCTGTGATGTAGATTGATATGTTAGCGGACAAAAAGGAGATTGTCTTTTTCGATGGAATTAAGTAACTGAGGTAAGAAACTACATTAGGAAACCTTGATGCAGACGTCTTGGAAAATATGCTTCCCACTTTTGCTAGAAGCGAAAAACAACTTATGTGGAATCGACAAATCACATATATGATGATGGTAGGCAATATCCCGTCTTCATATCATAAAATTATTAACCCTAGCTACAAACCACGCAAGCGAGGGTTGTCTGCGAGCTAATCTCATACCTGAATCCTACCGTCTAACTGCTAGGCCGTGGAAGGTCTGGGTACGAGACTACCTTAGGGGTAACAAGCCCTTGGTCGCCAGTAAGGAAGTTTGAGGCCAGCCAGGGAGAAGTCTGCCATTGGTCCCAAACCCTGTGCATACTTCTTCCCGGTTCTCTTTGCTGAAGGCCTAAAACTATCTTACGGGCCGAGAGACGTAGGCGACGGTGATAAACACTAAATGAAGATACATGAGAACCTTGACAGAAAAAAATTTCCCTCATAAGGCCTCAATGATCGTTATAATAATTTGCGATCACTAAGGAGAACAAACACAACGGTGATCCGGAATATATGAAGCGATGTTGTAATGTTTTTCGCGATGCTCTTGATTGCTAGGATCCCCAATGGACGAGATCTGCTGTCTACATGATCGTTACGGTCAATAAGATACTTTATTTGAATTAATCTCAGTGGTTCCAGACGCCGTTATTTGAAGATCGTTACGATTGATGGGATTGATACAGTCGCTGGTCAAGTTTATGGCGATCATAGCGAATGTAAGGATTACATTGAAACCACGCAAGGCGCGCGATATTACGATGCATAAATCCGCTCATCTATTTGACGCACAAAAGCATAGCATGTGTAATACTTTATGACCAATACGTGACTACAGCTTTTGTTTGAAATGGAGAACAAAAATAAAAACAATGGCCTTTTAAGCGTTCTTTGTCCTTTTCTGTGTTCGGAGTCTTTCTAGAATACTTTTATACAATCGTCATATACTATTTTTGGCGTTTTCTGTGTGTTAGATGTAATTAAGTTTTGCATTTGCACAAGGCGTAGATCCTAAAGTAACTTTGTTTAAACAGGGTTTGTTTGTTTTTGTTGCTGCTTTAGATATATGAAAAAAAAACTTTGGAGGTAAAACGAATGAAAAAGTCCTTGTGCTGGGAGAGAAATTTAATATGCATCTACTTGTTATAAATATAAAGCTTATCATTGCAAAATGTTAGTAATAAAGTGAAACAGATTGAGCCAAATTTTTCATTTCATATTCAAATCCTTATTAAGCAAATATTACAAAGTTTGCCTGGAAAACAAGCACTCCTGTCGAAATTACCTTCAAAAGAAAGCGTTGGGGCCGAGGAAAAATGGTGAACTAATGAATTTAAGTTAACTAATGAATGAGCTTTGTCAGATTGGAACAATTATCTCAGTCTATTCGCTTATATTCAAATAAACTCTGTCCCCAAGGTGATAAGGTTTTCAAGAGCACTGTTATGTAAACTGATTCATCCACCCACGTTGTTAAACAATTCAATTTATCACAACCTACAACTTTGCGCAACACTTAAGTAAACATCCGTTTCGGGGCAGAAAAGAAGTTATTGCCGTGTCTGTTAACTTATTTCATCTCGTAATAAAGCTATTGACAATGTTCCAGTCTTAAGCCAAACAATTTGTAACTTTTTGTCTAAATTCCAAGGTAATTTTACCAAAATACAAGTCTGGTTTGCTAAGGAAATATATTTAGTCCACTAAGAATGAACAACATAACATGTAAGATGTACTGTGAATTTAAAAAGTGTTGTTTCGGTGTAAGAAGTAAAGCATAAAATCATTACTCGATGGTGAAATTGGTGTCCTAGTTGCGCAGTTAATAAAATACGTGGATTTCGATAACTAAGCCGCGCTGTCAGTTCAGAATTTTTTGCTATCAATTCTGGAATACTGCCCATAAATGTTTGTCATTTGTGATACTGATACTTTTAGGGCTAAACGAACACGTGAAACCAAATTTTGCTTTAACGACGAAATTTTTTCAGTCAACAGTTCATGGGTACTACGAGAAAAGACATTTCCCGCGCTCCAAACAGGGGTTGAACTTCGGACAGTCCGTCTAGTATCCGACCTCTCTAATGCCACGCTTTGAATCCTTTATCGAATCGATTTTTCCCGATAAACGATTCTGTTTCCTTTTCATACTTAAATCCAGCGGGGAGCTTTTAAAAGACATAACTCATCGATAAGATTAACTAAATCCGAACTTGTTACGGAGCAACGCAACAAGTTGCTTGAATTCATAACGAGAAGAGTTGATACTAACGTTATGTACATGTTTAGTGTATCACTATATTAACGACGCAATCTGTGATAAATATAAATATCTTAATAAAAACATTAAGGAAATACTTACCATAAAAAAATGTTATTTATCAATCTGCTAACTCAGCTCAGAAATTTGCTGGAAACTGTAGGCGGAAAAAGTGCTCGAAATCGAAAATGCCAGGAAATGAAGCCTGGCTAAAACTGCACCTTACACTAAAACTATTTATCGATTAGAAATCTTCTTACGCCCGACGCCACAAGCAGCTCAAAAAACAGCAATTTGCGGCAAATTTTGAGTCCAATTGGGAAACCATAAGCAAATGACTTACTTACCTCGTGCAGCCAGATTACATGGCTGGTTATCTTTCATATTTCCACTTGCAACGTAAATACGGCGCTATTCGACCTTCTTAATCGTTCCATAAGTCGAGCTTTTCACTTGATTTCCATTCAATTACTTGCTCACGCTCAACTCTTCTGTACTATACTTTATTGCAGATCAAAGTAGCCGTGGGTTGCACAACTCTTATGTTTTGTGAGTCACAGTGCAAAGAGCGATTTCGTGCATAATCATTTGACGTGTTGTCGATCGTTGTTTCACGAAGCTCTCTGGAATGCTTCCCTTGTCACCCAAAGCTTTGTTTAAAAAAATGCAGAATTGTGAAGCATTATACACAATTTTTCACTTTACAAAAGCGGATCACAACGAGTTTATGGCCTTTACATGCAAATGTTTGGTAACACTGGCGCGACTGGTTTGTTGCCTTGAACTCATTTCCCTAAAGAAAAGGATGTAAAGAAAGACAATTCACCGATCGATTCGTTTACCTTGGGATAACTCGTCGCTTTCGCACCCTTGAAAAATTGCTAATTACCTGCGATGGGTGACCAGTGCGCAGGCGGATATATGCTTACTTACGATCGGTTTTAATATAAAATGACCCGCGTCATTTTTTTTTCAAAAATGAATGTCGGGTTTTTTCTTCACAGAGAGGAACGCGATAAACTACAGTAAGAATTGCGAGTTTCGGCACAAAAAGCGACAAACTCATTAAAAAGTCAATACAGTGTGGTTAAAAGACCTGCCGAGATATCAGGTATTTGTATGTCCTGTAATGCAGTCTACAGTTTAAACCTGCTCATGATTTATTGACTGCATGCTGTCGCCCATTAAAAATAAGAATAAATAAATAACCGAAAAAATTTTTGTCTCGGATTAAAGTTAATACTAGAGAAGTCGTTCCATAGATATTACTGAAAACGATGATAAGTGTCTTTGGCAAGTTAAAGACAAAAAAAAAAGACCACCAAGTAAATATTTTTTCCTCAAAACAAACATGTAAGCCATAACGAATTACGCGAAATAACTCTAAAGAACATAATATATCATCAAATCCCTGCCTCCATGGGATAACCAAACTAAAATATCTGTTCTGTCAAAACCATAAGAACCGATAAATCTCAATCGCACGTGCAAAAAATTGTACAACCCAGCAGCATCGCTATATCTGAACAACGTCCCCAATACTGCTCACTAAAAATTCCGGATTATAAGAAATACGAACACAATGAATGGGTGATAATAAATTGATCCTCCGCACAAGCCAGACGAGAGAGTTATGTGAGTTTGCTTTTAATAAGCCTCCTAATTGCAATTGTACAACAAATGCGCAAGGGATAGATTTTGCGACGTTGCATCAATCGATGATGATAGACTTGCTAATTTCATGAAGGCAACTTATTAAAATTACGGCTACGAACACAGCAAACAAATTAGGCAAATAAAATGACAAAAAATTATGCACGCACGTAGTTTAGCGCAAAGGAGTAAAACGTATTGAAAACCGTTCAGTAACATGCTTACACAGTAGGATTAGATGATCGAATGCCAGGTCACACTGTTTGAACAAGAAAAATGTCGCATTTAATACCATTTGACTAATGAACTTTAATTCGCTTGTGTTAATTGATGACAGCACGTAACCCTGCTGCCATTTGAATCACGGAATACAACTGACTAAAACAATAAAAGTTTCTTGCAATTTCTCTTGAACACAGTATTTTCTTGTTTTTACATATTTCAGTTTCAACTCTTCTTTGGCAAGTTGTTCATATCTCTTCCATTTGCGTGAAATTTGTGAGCCGAGGCCATAATTAAATCAATCCCGGTCCCGAAACGACAGTTGTTTGTGATTGGATAATGATAGACCGAAAGCTCTTCGGAAACTCCTCCAGACTGACCCACGAGGCCCCCTGCTGAACTTCGTCGAGGTTCCGAAGAATCTCGACCATATCCGAAGTATTTTGGAAGCCCCTTAGGGACCCCTCCAGACTAACCCACGAGGCCTTCGGAAATTCTGCAGAACTTCGTCGAAGTCACGAAGTATTTCGACCACATCCGAAGTACTTTGGAAGTCTCATAAGCAGACAAAACACAGGGAAGCATTCGTGCCACCAAAGCCAAATGAGTTGGTAAGCGCTGTTCTCGGTGTCCGTCGTTCCGAAGCCTCGTTTAGGAGCTGCGACTTAAGTGGTACATAGTTTAAGTTAAATTCATCTGAGTCAACGTTGTGCAAGTTTAACGTGGGAGGTACAGCGCCCTTTGAGGAAACAAAAAATCTCTCTTAAGAAAAGTAAAAAAAAAAACAAAAAGCCACAAGAAGCTTTCAAACACAGGACTGAGTCAGATCCTGTGCCACACAAAGCCGCGTTGGCATATGGAAAGCACAAACATATGGTCGTGGTAATCAGGAAGCACAGTAACTCAACTCACATGGTGTATAGCAAGCACAGTGAATATAGCCTCTACTGCACCAGCCGCTCCCAAAAGATGGCCAACAGCTCCTGATTAAAAGAACAACCAAACAAAACTCAACCTGAAGTCTTGGAAATAGCTTTGAATAATTTGTCTCTGGTCAGAACACAATCATAACCAGACAATCAGACTGATCGCAGGCACGAATAACAGTATTCATGGAGAAAACACGTCGTTGTACTTTACCTAAATAGAAAGAATCCCACCTTTAGTGGAAGAAACTTGAACATTTCGTGAGTGGTGTCCAAGCAAGGTCTTAATGGCATTATTCTCTCCTGCATCTCCTATAATCAACAATAACATTTCGTCAAACTTTTCAAGCTTTGAAGAGAAATACGAGAGTGAATAGATCAATAACCTAGAGAGCTGTGTACAGTCTGGCTTGGAGTAAATAAAGCAAAGAAACGCAAAAAATTACTTGGTTAACCCGTTACGCCCTAAGATCACGGTATGTATATTCTCCATACTGTTCTTTATACATTTCCTAAGGTGCTGACAAGGAGAATTTGTTTAGCAATCTCGAGCTTCTTAAGTTGGTGGTCATTTCCTTTATTCTCGTGACCTTAATGCGTGACCCAGGGGTGATATTGTAAGGAGAATTTAGATGCTAGTCACTCTTAAAGTTTGAATGGTTAAGCGTAAATGATACGTTCCTCTTGACTTGTTTCCAAGGGGGTGGTAAAAAGGGAAGTAATGGTAGCGTGTCGGTACCGGGAGACGACGAAATTTACTCAGCGGTTTCACCGAGAATCAGTATACTGGCATCGGCGTATGAAATCGGTTACTATAGGGTTAGTATAGTTAAAACTATCAAGAAAAACCATGGGCGACAAAAAGTGTATTTCCTATAGGAAAGACAACAGAAACAGCACTCAAGTGTCGTTGCCTCATACCAAGTGGAGTAGATGTAGCATGGGCATTAATGTAATTCACATCCTCTGGGTTGACATTAGCATCCTTCAGAGCGTTCCTCATCGCCAAGTATGCCCCATGTCCTCCCTCTGAGGGGGCTGTAATATGATAGGCATCCCCTGAAAAAAATCAAAGGCAAGAACGACGTCTTAGTTTCAGCAAATTTATACACAACAGCGGTTGAAAGGCACTTAAATAATTTAATTCTTAGAAAATGGAAACATAATTACAAGTTCTGCAGCACGATCAGTCGCGAGAATAGACAATGTGTCAGTCACTACATTATAGAATTGTGAAGGGTAAAGTTGAGGCATAAAATGAGATTGAGCAAAAGCGCGGAAAACAAGCGGTCAGTGGCGGAGCGGAGGAAACGCATATTCAGTTAAAAGCACAGTTGAATACTTGGGGAAAATAGAGACGTTGAAAAACGGTTGAAATGTCTGATGAGACCCGATGAAAAGCTAAGGACGCTCCAAAGCTAGTACAGTAAAACATAAAACTATCTAGGAAATAGCAAATACATCAACTGGAAAAAATGTAATACCTGAAAGACCGTAACCAACAAGTTCCGCGTACAGCGGAGCACCACGGCTGACAGCATGTTCATATTGCTGAAAGTAGAATGGAAACAAACGAAGTGTTTTAAAAGGGTCTCATGGTAGAATGTCCATGTTCTAGGCAGCTTAATTGTGGAGTGGGACAATAAACAGTCCCGTTTGCAAAAAGAGCAGCTACAGAAACTCAGGCTTAAACATTTTGGAGAAACAAGCACCAAACGTACCAAAGTTCCACTTCAGGGGACAGACTTTTGTGCAGGGTTTTCATACATGAAAAACTATTCAGGTACTGCTCATCAGAGGGCCATAGGTTCATGACAGATATGTTTGAAGGCAACACCACTGATAGCAATTGATGAATTCAAACAGAGAAAGTGCAGCTTACCTCCAATATCATGACCCCTGCACCTTCACCCATCACAAAGCCACTCCTGTCTCTATCAAATGGCCTTGACGACTCATGAGGATTGTCATTAAATTTGGTAGTCAAGGCACGCATTCTGGATGCAGGACATAAATATAATTTATATATGAATTCACACTCCAGAAAATGTTAAGAATCGTTTTTAGTAGTGTAATGTGGTCTGGTATTTCAATGTAGCAGACATTTCTAATTGACATTTAAAAAAAGAAATTGATGCAATGAGTGCCATGAGATAGACATACACAGGGAATCAACTGGCACACCAACATGCCTGTCATTTATTTTGTAATACAACAGTATGGTATGACTCTCATAAAATTGCTTATAGGTGTGATATAATTTAAGTAAAAACTGAAATCAAATCCTGATGTGGCCAAATTCATACTTGCAAAAGCCTGCCATGGCTAAGGGGAGAATGCAGGCTTCCACGCCACCAGCAACCATCACATCAGCATCACCATGACGAATCATTCTGAAAGCATCACCAATAGCATGCGCACTGGCTGCACATGCAGTGGAGACTGCATGATTGGGGCCCTACGAAAAGAAAGAAGAGACTCTTGCATGGGCTGGTGGAGATAAATAGTGGAGGACACAGGTCTCTGAATCTAAAAGTACCAGTTTGAGCTCCAGTTAGGGTCATCATGTAAAATTCCTGGGTGAGTAACCTAAACCCTTTACAATGCAACTTTAGTTTGCACATTCTCCAAACTGTTCTCTATGCATTTCTTTAGGTGCCAAAGAAAAAAATTGTTTGCTAATGAAGATCTTCTTTAGTCGGTGATCATTTCCTTCATACTCATGACCAAAATGTGTGATTCAAGGGTGACAGTGTAAGGAGAAATTATATGCCTGTCACTCTTAGGAGTGAAAGGGTTAAGGTTATGGTCCCTGATCTCCTTTCAGGAGTAGTAATACTAGTAGATATTTCCAAAATATATGGGGTGATATAACAAAATACCAAAGAATAAGTTGACAACTTGTCAAACATCCCATCCAAGTGGGGGGATGAAATACTTCAATGGAACTCATAATGCAGATACAGAGATAAGGTCTGTATGCTTTAGACTTGAGTGCTGACTTTCACTGAGTGAACAGAAAACATGACTCTGTGACACAAACACCAGTTGGTAACCCTTTAACTTCCAAGATCTCATTTGTAATTCTCCTTACTGTCTGCCATACAGTTCGTGTGATGTTAGTTTGTAGAATTTGGTATTGGATCAACTTATAATCCATTAACTGATATTTTTCTTTATTCTCATCACTTTTCTGCTTGATAATGTTTTGATAATGTAAGGAGAAATTCTGTCTTGGTCACTCATGGGAGTTAAAGGGTTAAACTTCACTGTGCAATATAAAGAAACTAACCTGAAGCCCAAATGTCATACTGACAAGTCCAGCTGGCAAATTATGAAGAACTCTGGGAACAAAAAATGGACTCACTCTTCGATAGCCCTGAAAAAGTTGCTCCCTGTCAGTCCCAGTCAGAAAATATCAATGGTATACCTATCTTTCTTTTAAAAATGCAAAAAAAAGGGTTTGCAAAATTTCAGAAATGTGTTGGTTATAAAACACAGTATCTAGTAAGTTAATTGAATTTTGCTAGCTTTGCTTCATATATCAGGCAAAATAATGAATTCAAAATAAACATGACAAGCCCTCATCTATGACTTACATTTAACAGTACACAGAAGTTCAGATCAGCATCGTCAATTCAATGTGAACATCCTTAAGTAACAACTTAAGTGTCAGTCTTGCAACATTACTCAACATGTTGACTTAATGGCCTGAACACTTGTTCAAAGAGCAGAAGACCATATCTTGCCAACAAAATGTTGAGCCTCATCCATCAGACAGAGATTATTCAGTGGATAGCATTATCCACTCTTTGCACAACAAGGCTCTGTTCTTAAATCTGACCTGATTGTTGAGTGTATTGCCCTCTTGCAGTATGTCCTTCAGACCTGTCATTGCCATCCCAATAGACACACCCTAGGATAAAAGGATCATTTTTAATCATAAGTCTGGTGTTCAAATCCACCATCCCTTGAAACTTCCCTCACAGTGCTTATTGTTATCAGGAAGGAGTCAACTACTATTTTCCAATTAATCTTTCCACTGCCAAGATCTCATTAGTAATTCTTCTTACTGTCTGTGATACAATTCATATAAAGTTAGTTTTGAGAATTTAGTTTGGGATCAACTAATAATCTCCTAATTGACAATTTTCTTTATGCTCATCACTTGCCAGTGCTTGATATTGTATTGATATTGTTAAGAGAAATTCTGCCTTGGTCACTCATGGGAGTTAGAGGGTTAAGGCCATTTCTCACTCCTGAAAGTTAAATAAATGAAATATTCAGGGATAAAAACAAAATGAAAAATCTCATTGAGATAACAATGATGAGGAGGTGACTTTGATCAGGTTAACAGTTGATTAATGCACTGGTGGCCACTTATTTTCAATTTGTTTTAATTGCCAGTGTAGCATTATGACATCAATAATTGAGTTGAACAGGAGACTCCTGAGAGATGACCAGCTAACAATGGTATGATTGTGAAAGTAGAAGCACTTGACTTACTGTTCTTTCTTTTTGTTCTTGCATACCCGGTTTCCATTTACAATCTTCTAGAGCCTCATATGCAGCAACTAATGCAAACAGGCCTTCTGTTGTGGTACTTCGTCTGTCCTAAGGGGAGAAAAATACCCCATCTTTATCCATCATATTATCACACTTCCATAACTGATTTTTTTAAAATGTAATTAATTAGTAAGACTAATTAATAATCCTTACTATCTTTATTAACATACCATGCTGATGACTCTTTAACTTACCACATTAAGTTTTGTTTCCCAATGTTTCCTGTCAAATTCTCCTGGGTTTGTACCCCTTGGTACAAATGCAGCTGAAATTTAAATAAATAAATGAACAAAAAACCATTACTGTAAATTTAAAATGGAACCAATGGGATTCACAGTGTTATCAAATTTGTTTGTTTGATTCCTTTCAAGATGCATTGCATTTCAGTTTAATTTTGTAATACCAAATTCTCTCTGTTTAAACTAATTGCATATGGAAGTTTATTTCTTGTTTGTTAGATTAAAAAAGTATTGTCATTTCAGTTTTTCAGAGCAAATTTGACAATTTAGGGTCTAGAATACACTGAAGCCATTACATATTTTAAAAGAAAGAGTTTTATATGCTTACCTATTTTGGCTGGAATTCCTTTGAACTCTACCATGAAAAAACAAAATATTTCATAAGAATATACCATAGATTTTAGTTTCATCTTTCAAATAATTTTGGTGCAAAGAATAATATAGGAAACTATAATTCATACTTTCATCATAAATTTGTGTTATTCCACATTTTCCTTGCAACAAGTTTTCCCAGACTCTGGTTGTGCCAATCCCAAGAGGAGTAACAAGTCCTGCAGGGATACCAACATTCAGTTCATTCACAGGTGACACAAGCTCATTAACCCTTTACACCCCAACATCAGTACGCATATTCTCCATACTGTCCTTCATACATTTCCTGAGGTGCTACTAAGGAGAATTTGTTCAACAATCGAGAGATTCTTTGGTTGGAGATCATTTCCTTTGATCTCATGACCTTAATGTGTGATTTACCTGTGATATTGTAAGAATTTGTTCAACAGTCAAGAGATTCTTTGGTTGGAGATCATTTCCTTTGATCTCATGACCTTAATGTGTGATTTAGCTGTGATATTGTAAGGAGAAATTAGATACTAGTCACTCTTTGGGGTCAAAGTTAAACAAGGTTGTTCTTCATCAATAAAACACCAACCAATAACTTATGGATTTTTTTAATGAAAATTTACTTCAAACCTAAAATAAATATGTTGATGCCAAAATAAAGACCAGTAACTTTGAGGTCTTAATCTTTCCATGCCCAATGTGCAGTTTGATGGCAATCAGTGTTCATTTATAATGTAAAATGCTAAGAGTACTTACAATAGGAGTAGCAAATTATTGAACAAAAACTAAAAAACCTCACTTCTGTTTCATAATTTTGATGCATAAAAGCAACATTATTGAATAAGTTATGACTGAAACTTCACACACCGAGGTTGGGCTACCTGTGGTTAATTTTGGCTTTACATTTATCAGTCAAATCTAACAGGAATCTCTCCAGAGTGCCCATAGTATGATCTTCCTAATAATTACATATCTGTCTTTAATCGTCAAATCTTTAGCTGTTTCAAATATAATTTACTCTTCTCACAGCACTACCATTAATTTTGGTATTTTCTGGTATTGGGGTGTACTTCATCAAATCATCAATAGTTTTGAATTTTTCTGTTATTGAGAAGTGGCAGAGAAGGAACATTAAGATGGTTTTTGCCCTTTCCCAAAATGAAATTCTATAAGTATCCGACCTAGAATTCCACAACACTTTACTCCACTATGTCCCTCTCACACCAGCGTTTGTAATCTACTGCCATACTTCACCTCAGAGAGGATCGATCAAAGGAGGATTTGAAAATAGAAAGACACGGGGCTTACCAAGGCCGGTAACAACAACACGGCGTTGAGATTTCCACATCAAACCTCCACAACTTCTACCTATGATAGATTTGCAATTTCTTGCTCTCTCGAAAAAAGGAAATCTGGATTGGATTTCACTCTCAGTATAGCATGTCGGTAGTTTTGTCACAATTTGGCAATATTACAATTCGTAAAGGACGCGTTTTTTCAAAACTTTCCGCCATGTTTTTGGGTAACCAGGCCTTCTAAGTTACAACACCTCTTATGCCAGTCAGTACTTAGGGTAAACCCAAAACTTGCGTTCACTGGTTCAATAAATCTGGTAATCTTTCATTTCTACGTGTGTACGACAGGAGAGGTCAACCTGATATGCTATTTTTCTTTCCCCAGTCTGCTTTTCTCCTCTTTTTTAGTCTTATGGGCATCCTAAGAGTGGATACCCCAAATATGGGGGGCCATTTGTGCGAAAATATCAATCGCTAGCGATGAAACTAAATCGTTAGTGCTAGCAACAAGTCGTAACTGTAAATCAATTTAGTTACCGTTCTAAAATGGTCAATTGTAAGTGCTGAACCTCAATCGCTTTTGTTATTGCACCAAACGCCGTTGTCAATCTCCAATTAAAGCGCTTATTATAAAACGCTGGTGCTCTGACGATGGTGTAAAACCTATATGACTTGTGTTATTTTTAAAATACAGCCATCGTAACGATGTCTATCGAACACTGCCACCCATCGTTTGTGAAAAATAGAAAATCGCTACCGCAAAACATAGATTGTCGTGCTAGTATCGATTTGTTACCGATTCTAACTTGAACCAGTCTCCCGCTTGTTTGGCAAGATAACCCAATCAAACCTTGCCAGGAGCGCAGTGATGGGCTCCTGACCTTGCTTACTTTCTTGCAATCTGATAAAGGACATTGACATCCAAAAAAATTTTGAATATAAATTCTTTTTAATAAATCCTCATCGAAAAGTTATTGTAAATCTAAAAAAAATCAACTACAAATTCCGATTAGATCACTGTCTCCACAAATGACTTACTAAAACCCCAAAATAATTTGCGATCCAAGATTCTTTGCGAAGTTCAGAAAAATGTTTGGAATCGCAGAAAATGACTAGGCCTGTGGTTGTCACTATGACTTTCGTCGTTTAAAATATACCGCAAAAAGTAGAAGCGTTTTGAAGGCTGATTACCAAGCGCAAAACAAATCCAGAATCCTGAATCCCTCATGCGCTACGCTCTGGCGCAAAATCGTATCTACCACTTTCATGAAAGATTGTAGTTCCTCCGAGAAGCAATTATAATTTGATGGCGACGCCATTTTGTGCTCGTTACGAAGCAGGAAAGTAAAAGACATTTGATGTTTTGCGGAGGCGATTTCTACTTATCTCAAACGATCGGTGGCAGCACTGACGATTGGCATCGCTACAATTTCTGTGTTTTACAAATAACACAAGCCGTAAAGGTTTGACACTATCGATAGATTGATGTTTAGCGCTATCGATCTACCTCAGAAAACCAGCTATTTATAATTAGCGCTTTTAATTTATGACAACGGCGTTTGGGGCAACAACGCAAGCGATTGAGGTTCAGCACTAACAATTGACCATTTTAGAACGGAAACTAGATTGATTTACAATTACGATTTGTTGCAAGCACTAACCATTGAGTTTTATGTTGTTATTTTAACGATTGAGTTTTATCACTAGCGGTTGTTATTTCAGCACTAACGATTGAGTATTATCACTAGCGATTGGTATTTTTGGCACAAATGGCTCCTCATACCCAAACACTTGTGATTTGGGTACTGAGATACCAAAAACCACCGTGACATCGTAAAGAGGAGAGACCCTGGGGACGAGCTTATCGGAGACGTGGGTCTTGACGGTAACTCTAAAGTAATAAAGTAAAATAATATTAATATCTGCATGAGTCACATTCATTGTGAGTTGATAACTCACACCTTCCTGCGGCAATTCATCATAGGTACCAAGGAAAGGGGATCTTATTCGTCTAACACACTTCATATCCGAAAAAATACTACCCCGCTCGCTCACCAAGGGCTATCGCTCTAAACAGCAGCTTTAGAAACTCTCAACGATGGACGATTTAAACTATCGTAAATAAAATAAAACCAATTAGTTTGTAATACCTCCACTGACGCAGCACCACAATGTCTTAAGAAACTTACCCCTATTATTCTTGACGCGCAAAGTCGACTGTTAGAGAAGGCGCTAACTACTAATTAAAGCTTACATAAAGTCAGGATGAAGAATTGATCGGCGAACGATTATTAGCGGCCACAAAAGGATGTGTGACGTTGATATTTCGCAAGACTGTAACTGATTTTACGTCATAGAATTGGTAAGTTGTCGATGGCAACATGATACACCAGAACGGATAACTGTCGTCTTTTAAGAGTTCACACAAACTTCAGTCCACACTACAACATCGACAAACTCTTTTACATCCTCAAGAATAATGGAACAAACTTTCAGGCCCGAGTCTCCTCCAATTCTAGAGGTGGTTATACCGTTTTTGATTAAAGAGGAAATGCCTTCCCATCATGAGGGGCAAGAATCGTCAGAGATTCCAACCGTTCAACCGGGTAAGTTTCCGAGTTCCACACCGATAGAGAAACGACATATTTTTATAATTTCATTTTAAAGCCAGCGATTTCAAGAAAAAAGAAGGCAGGAGGAGAGGTGTCCGTGATTTTTGTGTGTTTGTATGGTCAAGGAAGAAACTTAGTTTATTGAGAGAAACAGGTATCTAGATATCACACAATTTTAGGGCGCTGGATTTCGTTTTAGGCTGTGAGTGCAAAAAATACATCGAATCTTGAGAGTTTCTCGCGACGAAATAGCTTCACACATTGATCGATTGAAGGAGAAGCGTTTTCCTGATAAATTTGCAGTTTCTCGGGGAGATTACATAAGAAGTCAAAAAGGCAGTTATCTTGAGTCAGTTAATTTTCATGGAGAAAGCATCCAGTACTTGCAAAATATCAGTAATATTCTTACTTTACATACTATCACTGTTTTTGTCTTCTTTTTTTTAAGTTTGCTTTTCAAAGCAGTTCGTTTCGATCGCAGCTGATTGGAAACCTGTGAGAATTCCAGCCTGCCTAATAAGACAAAACGGTTCGATTTTTACAAAGGGACAATTTAACAAAAGTAAAATTTCAGAGGTTCTTTGATTAACATACCTTTGCCGGTAATGCCTCCTTTCGAAATCAGACCATCTCTATCTTAAGCACTAGCAGAATTTGAAGTTACGGAATGAGACGACACAAAATTATTCAAAATTGATTCCGGTAAACTGTTTGGAATGAACCATAAAAATTTATTCCAGTGAATTTCGATCTAAAATAGTGGTATGCCGGTAAAAATGATCGACTGTGAAGCTAGAAATTATGTAATCAGCGTTTCGTATAAACTGCACATCAGAGACACTCTCTCAGGTTACACGCTCGAAATAGAGTGCATATCAATTTTACGCCTGCATGAAGGAAATTGAGAGTTTTTCTTGTTGCTTCTCATCTCTGAGTCTTGATTCATGGTAAAAGAAAAAAAATAACAAGCTTCCGGAACACCAGAATGGTGGCTGGAATGTCATTTACTGAGTTTTATTTTTGGAGAGTCATTTATTCATATTTTTTCGCGCTCTTCTTTCACATTCTGGAAAAACAGCCACGCTTTTTTCTCTTTTTTTTTCTTTCCGACGGAAATAAACGGATGATAAATATTGATGTTGTTCGGGGTCTATTGATTTTGCACCACGTGACGTGAAGGAGCCAATAAAATCGCGCGAAAATTAATGAGTTCTGAATAAATTTTGTCCTTTGTTCCATTCTCATATAGTGAAACACGAACAAGTTTCTCCAAGCGTCGAGGTGATCAAGAAGCGAGCATGCCGCACTCGTTTCACAATTTATCAAAGAGCAGAACTGGAGGCGGCCTTTTCAGCATCACCTTACTTGACTCCTCACCAAAGAATGGCTTTGGCTTCGAGACTCAGAGTCAAACCTGTCGCTGTGCAGGTAATTAACATGACTGCTTTGAAATAAAAATTAGATATCATTCATTCAGAACCAGCCACGCACAGAGAAAATAATCTTTGTCCTCTGCAAAGATTCGAACTTTAGGTAAAGTGCACAGTCAAGAGTACAGTCTGTACTCAAGCCAAGAGGGCCACCCAACCAGAACTAATCCTGGTTTTCATGGCATGAGGTGACTAGGAGTATTACGTCTCCCCCCTGGATGGGATAGCAGGGGGTGTGTTATCCCATCAGGGATAAAGGATGGCCCCCCTTTGATAAAACCTCGTTGGGGAGCTAGGTCATATGGGAGATTTATATGTTACACAAGTATTCAGTATGCTCCCAAGGTCAGCAGTTTCAACAGCTTTGTGTGGGTAAATCAACAAGGGCAGACTCCACTTTCGGGACAAAAAACATTTGTATTCATTCAGTCAGACGACCAAGCTGAAAATTGACCCCAATTCTTAATCTTATAATTCACGTTTGCCTTTTGCTCGCTCCCTATTACAGTTTAATCCCAATGCACTTTAGGTGATTTACTCGTCATTTCGTGTCTCTCATTTTTCAGTCATGGTTTAAGAACAGACGATTCAAGTGGCGCAAAGAAGTACGGGAAGGCTCTCACGCCTCGCCAGCTGCGCTACCCGCACCTGCACAAGGTATTTCCTTGATGTATCAGCCACGATATGTCTACAGTTCTGGTCAGTTTCCAGTGTCAGCTCAGTGCCAAGGATGTTTCACAAGACAACCATCCAGCGACTCGCATTCACATGTAGACTTCACTCCGTATCCCTATTCTTCTCACTGACCAACTGTAAAATATCTATGTATCTTTGCCTCATATATATGTATATTTATAAATTTTCTCTTTGCCTAAGACACTCCTGAAGACGAGCCGGAGAGGAGGGGAAGAGGCGGAGGTCTTGATCGCAGGAAATAGATCATAATTACTTTTCGTACGCCAGGGCGAAAGAGACTTCCTTCTTTTTTCCTTTTTTTTCTTTTTTTTTTTTCATTTTTTTTTGTTTCAGTTCACAACGATTGATATTTCGGAGTGCCCCCAAATGACAGAAAGGCGTTAATCAACCCTCTCTTCCCCCTCTGCCCACACCCATGAATTAAATTTTAAACTACGTAGAATTTTTGGCTAATGAAAAATTTTTAAATGTAAATAGATTTCTATTTGCCTGCTTTTATCTTTGAATCCTTTTGACACGTCGCTACGAATCTTATGATAAGACAGTTTTTATTTCTAGTTCAGCAAAAATTAGTATGCGCTGAGACAAAAATTTGTTGCGAAAAGTTCTAGTACATAATTGCATGTTTTTTTTAATATCTTCGTAAACCTTATTTTCAAATCTGGTTTGCTTCCAGTCCCTACTGAGTCTGTTATCTTCAATGAAGGCCCCTTCTAAACGGAAAAGCGCTATGCGATCTTTCAACTTCATTTACAAGTTGGTAAATAGATTTATGTTTTTTTACAAATAATTGGTCACCAAGCCAGATACTGGGTTATTGGCTTCATGTTCAAAAACAGCAGCAGGTCTGCTAATTAATTCCTATTTTGAGTAACCAAACGATGTATTTATAATTGAACCTACATAGATCGGCGTTTTAAGATGTGAAAAGTTACTTGCGAAGAAAAACAGTTTTGTTGTTCAGAAAAGAGCTGAGCATGAATGTAAAGAAATCGAAAGTATCATGGAAAAAATGGCAATAGTTGATCTCATGAAACTTGGAAGGATGGAACGCTATTAATGAGGAGATTAAAAGATAAGGCGTGCCTGAGAAAAATCAACTGAATTTATGTCAGTTTTCTTAAAGTAGAAACACCGAAATGTCGAAGGCAAATTTATTTCAACATGCATTACCGAGAAATGGTTAATTTGTTAAAATCACTTCATACATTGTATTAGAAATAAACTTGTATGTTGGTATTGCGAAAATAAATCAGTTTTTATTGTTTGAAGAAAGTGCATAGAAATAGTATAGTGCGTATAGATTTGTTGTTTGCACAATGGCTTTGACATGAAACTTTCAAAAAAACATACTCTTTCCTTTCCCCCCAAATGACTTACGTGACCTATCAACGAGTAAGAAAAGTAACTTTTCATTCAATCCTTGATCTACATGGTTTGCTCCCTTAAAGCTCAGCCACCGATCTGGACCTGTAAGGAGATGAATTTTGCCTCCTTTTGAGTTTAGCAAATTTCCGCGCGATTGCTATTAATCCAAGGGGAAATGTGTGAGGTTCGACCTTTAAATTTCACACCGAGGTAAAGTGCTCACGAGAGCACTTTCTCAGCCTGGCTAACATGAGCTTTTAATCTTCAACAAGCAGAGATGATTCAGTGGTAGAATTGTATCTTCCCATGGAGGAGGTCTGGGTTTGATTCTCGGTCATTTTACCTTTTACCGCTCTGCTGAGTTGTCTCTCCTTGTCTTCTTAAAGTACTATACCAGACTGCATTTTCGTGCAAACAAATCAAACGTTTTACATAGGGAGGCTGCAATGATAAAATCTTAGATGCATGGCCAACATAGTCAGGAAGTGAAACAATTCTGGTGTTCCAAACTGTTTTACTTGTCTTACCAGCTGAAGATCAACGGGTACCTGCACCTCGGCAAGTGAAGCTTAATAATCTCATGTATGATGCTATCTAGACATGTAATGATACATAAAAATTGCAACCTTGGTTCAGCTTGGACTTCCTTCGTGGAATTTTGAGGAGAGAGACGTGTTCGTCAAACTCTCATTTAGGCTATATTAAAGTTCACATGGCAACCAGGTGGACAATCAGACATGGTTTGATGCTGCTCTGGTTTACAGATTTAGTGAATGTAACCGAAGAAGTTGCAATTCATAGACCCAACGTTTCGACCCGATTTAGGCGTTGAATAAATTTTTTTCAGGTTCCCGAAACCAGATAGTAATGAAACCGAAGACAATTTTGAATAAAGCTCGCCATTCAGACGAAGAATGAGTGTTCAACTTCAGGTCTCTTTCCCCTTAAAAGCTTTGATGTTTCAATACCTAAATTCAAACTTCAGAGTTCTCCAGAGTCCTTTGTGTGAGATTGGCAGAGAGATTACATACCATCACTGAGCTTGGAGTTTCACTTTTTTCAAAACTTTTTATTCATGAATATTCTATACAGTAGCTGGCTAAACTGATGCAGTTAAAGATATATCCCTAAACAAGTAACATATCAATTACAACTAAGATTATATAGCGATGTATATACATAAGTCTCTAGGTAAGTACAACTTTCAAACGTAAAGTAACCTTACAGTTTAACATGTACTTTACCAGCAGCAACAAAGCAGTCAGCCTGCATAGTTACATAACCGTATAGTACCTATTTTTGCTATGGAAAACCCTACGAAGAAACGTTTTTTTTTGCTTCACAGTATGAAGAAATGACAAAACTATAACGGAGCAAAACGGAACAAAATACCTCTTTGTGGTTCTACGTTTTTCTTACTCTATACAGTTCTCAGAACCAATCCTCCAAAGAGATCACTTACCGACTACATTATCAAAATGAATATAAAATTACAATGGTGGACTTAGAATTAAATAACAATTAGTCATGAAGAGCGGTAAACAACAGCTTTTAAAAAATCTTGTCCCTGTCGGGCAATGATATCAGGAAATGTTAATCAGAACCTTGTAGGAAAGTTTCTTTTCGGCAGAAAAAATTTGCTTGTAATGTTACCAATGTAATTTCATGCCACTTTGCTCATCTACAAATAAAAATTAAAGAACAGAGTGTCACATAGCATTTCTATAATCTGCAGTTAGATAAGGAAGATCGTGAATCTGGTATGGTTCCCAGCTCACGAACGAGTTCTTTGTATCATGAGGAAATTCCTTGATTTTGGGTGCGACTTCATTCACTCCTTTTGATCTCTTTCTTTGTTCTTATCGACAGTTCTAATTGCTTTGGTGTAAGTCGTACCACACTCAATCGAAATGCATCCTAGACATTTAAAGATAGTTATCATTTAGGGCACTTACCACTTGCTTTTAGCTCGATTTGCTATCAACAACTGTTTCTAGAGACTCCTGTACTGGGTCATCAAGCATGTCTCTTTGAAAACCACCTAAGAGAAATGATTTAAATATATGGGTAATGTTTATGACAAGGGCACCCTCAAGTATACCTTGAAACAACCCTTCAGTGTAAGGTCCATCAGTCTTCGAGAATCAATCCTTACTTTTTCTATGGAGGTCCAAAGAACATTATTTCAAGTACGCATATTTTTGTTATTTCCTTTTTTTGTATCATCTTAGGACAATTAGACCAAAACTATCATGCTTAAATATTTAGATGACTGACTGAAATAAATGATTATATAGAAAATCAAGAGGTTTTCATTAAATTAATATAAATCACTCTTTCGGTCTGAGTAAGAGTAGTGTCGAGGAGTGTCATTATTGGCCATTATTATGGTGCATACTGCTAGGATTAGCGATTTCGATAGCGTCATTTTTGTAAATAGAGAAGGACAGATAGTAAGTTTTGAGCTCGGTAAAGAAACATAATGAAAAATATTTTTCGTCTTGTCACGAGCTTGGGATAAAGAAAAGATTCTGAGTTCCCATGAGGAATTGAACTTCAGACCTGTGGATTCCGCGCTCCGATGCTCCACCACTGAGCCACAGAGACTCTATGGTGAGCGAGGTCCATTACAATTTAAAAACGTGGCGTGATCGACATCGCTGATCGCTCATAATTGAGTCTCTATGGCCCAGTGGTAGTGTATCGGAGCGCGGAAGGTCTGAGGTTCGTTTCCTCATAAAGACTCAGAATATTTACTTTGTTCCATTCTCCAACCCAGACGATTACACTATAACTCCATTTCATTTACCGCTTTCTTGAAAGTCAATTTTAAAGGATGCCCAGGTGTCGTTTACCTACCTTCTTCTGCTAAAGTGCTGTTTGCGAATTCAGATGGTGCAGTTGCAATGGGAAACGTACTGTATCCCTCAGATGACAGCGATGATTCTGAATACCCTGGGGAAATAGTTGCCCCTGAGTCACTGATGTCAGCTGACGCCGTGTTAACGGAAGACGCAGGCATCGACGACAAGGTGGTTTCATCCTCTGCCAGTGAATCGTCACCTACTGGCGACGATAAGGTGTAGACGGGAATCTCATCCGAATTATCCTCGAGACTTATATCTTGGGACGCATCCTCGTGATAATCATTTAATTGAGACCCATCTACATTCACCACTGTTGGATAAGCAATATTGGTCAGAGGAGGCTCTGCAGGGCCATCTATGACAGCCGGAGTCTTAGGTTCATCTGAAATTCCATTTTGGTCGTTCTGTGAATTTATGGCCTGTGTTTGTTCAGTTTGTTCCAGAGATCCCTGAGTAAAGCTGGCTGCTCGTGATCCATTATCTATTCCGTACGATGCCGGTTGACTTTGTTTGTTTGGCGGGGCTTCACCGAAATCCAGGTTCTCCCGAGGGTTGCTATCATGGATCGTTGCATCTTTTACAGCACTACTTACTGAAAATACTGCCTTCTCTGAATCATTACCACTGAGAGATTGGCTGGTGTGACTCTCATTCTTTGGTTCGATAGACTCTGTCGAGTCTGAATAAAATGCCTCTTCGCTCTGGTTTCCCATAGTTTGATTTCCTGCAACACTCACCACCGCGGGCTGATCCGATGGCTCTTTAACACCTTCATTCGATCCGCTAAAATCAGAGTGCATCGTAGTGTCCTTTACAGATGTCTTTCTTTCACTTACATCAACGATTTTAACTTCAGTAGGTTCTTCTCCCGAGCCACTTTCTTCTTCAAATTCTTTGTAATCGTCTTCACTGGCATCTTCATTGTTTCGCACATCATCGAGGGAATCGTCTCCACTCCCTGAAGTTTCAATATTCTCTTCTTTCTCTTCTTTGATGTCTCGACTATCACTCTCTGGTGCAGTGGCTGATTGATTTGATTCTGTCAACGTTGCATAAGATTCAGGAGCAACCTCGACAATGTGACGGTCATTCTCGTCCATTGTTGAGTTCCTGTCCAAGCTTTTGGGTTCCTCAGGTAACGATGCACTATCCAGGCGTAATGATGCATTGTCAATGCCATTTTCAAAAGTTTTTTCCTTTTTTCTTAGGGAGATAGTGTTTTCATCGTCTGTTAAAATGTCTTTCTTGGATGCGGCATTCTTTGGATTGGTCCCCTGTACGAGAGGCTTGTCCTCTCTCTTTGTGCTAGCTTGTCGGTCTTTAAGCTGATATTTGTTATTCATATCGTCTATCTCATGAAGTCGTTGTTCAGCAGAGTCCTCGATGGTATCATTAGATACTTCGTGTTCTTGTTTCTCTATAGGACCATACATCTCGTGCTCCGAATAGGTTTCATTTCTTCTGTCTGCCTTTTTTCCTTCGTCACTGTTGAGGTCTTTTGTGGAAGTAGCATCTGACTGAAGGAGAAAAAACAGTTACAGGTTCATTTGATAACTGTCAGGTGATTGTTGGGGAATTGCATGAAGATGTGCTTAATTGAAACCTCATACTCAAAAAATTGGTTTATCTTAATCACAAGCTCTTATATTAAAATATCAAACGCATTTACTTATTGATTTTCCGTTGGGAAGAAGACACTTACTGTGTTTGCTTCATCATTTCCAGAGAAACCACTCTCCTTGTTATGATCACTGCTCGCTGCGTCGAGGGCTTTGTGTAAGAGAGCTTCAACGTCAGTTACAGACAAAGCACTTTTCCGCGAGCCCTCCGGAGCAGCAGCTGGTGTTGATGATGAATCTTCTATGAAATTATTGCCTTCAGTTGAAGTTGTTTCCGATATTTCATTTCCAACTTTATCATCATGGATTTCTGCAACAAGGTAAAAAGAACCTAATTTTGTGCCTTCCTTTGTTGTTCTTGGTTATGTAAATAGAAAACCCCTAATCAATAGTCCAAAATCATCCACTGAATGGAGGAAACTTGCAACCAAATAGATTTGCGGACAATTGTTGGTTTCCTATTACAGCTTACCATTCAAAGGGGAAGGAGTTTCCATCTGCGATTTTCTCGGTGACAAACTGCTTCCCAGGTTCATCAGATGCTGGCCAAGGTTGGCCAACAAATTGGGCAAAGACTGTCGCTTTGTCGCTTGCATATCTTTAACTTGCACGTGTAGTTTCAGCTTAGTAGGTAAGACACCAGCAACATGGAAGATATCGCTTCGACGGTGACTTTGGTGATGCTTGTCCGAACCGTGATGAGGCTGGAAGGAGTGTTTATGATGATAATGATGAACAGGGTTTTTGTGGAAATGGTTGTGTTGGTGGAAATGGTGATGCAATGGGTTGTGATGGTGATGATAATGTCGGTGGTAATGATAGTGATGCTTTGGTCTGTTGTCATGGTGATGGTGAGGGTGATGATGGTGGTAGTGTAAATGATGACGATGATGACCGTGATAATGATGATGATGATGTGGGTGGTGGGGGTGGTAATGGCGGTGGTGGTAATGATGCGGATGATGGAAAATCTTACGATGTAGCTTTGTTTTGTGTTCTACGCCTTTTGCTCTGACACCTTGAAGAAGAATCAAAAGCCAATTTTTTAAGTAGATTTAGTTTGTTTTCAGAAAAAAAGCCTTATTGCTGCAACTTCTCAGGGTCTCCATGCTTAAAATTTCCTAATGTTTTGATCAAATTTTAAAAGAACTGGCTGAATTGCGGGAACCAGTTCCATGGAGTTTTCCCCTCATGTGTGGCGACCCTTGTGGACACCATCGGGCGTAAAAAAAAAACAACTTGAGTGAGGCAACCGATCTTGGTGACTTATCAATCACTCAAGGTACAAGACTAAAGAAATTAGTCTCTTTTTAGAGAAAGAACAGCATAAAACGCCTTTTTAAATTTATGGAAAAGAATCAGCAGAATTCAATTTTTGTAGGATGAAATTTGTTCCGGACTATTACATGTACTGCCAGTCGAAAGAGTGTTACTTGCTTAGTTTACGCCTGGGCCAATTAAAATAAAGGAAACAAACAGATTATTAAAGGTCAGAAGAAATCTTTTTTTTTGTATATGGAACAAATATCGAAAAAGAGTCATCATTTTGACGGGAAGTAATTTTTAAAAGTTGGCATGTTAAACATGAGGTCACAAGTAAACACAGAAATTGTCGCAGTCAAAACCAATGATTTAACCGCATCAAACACTGTTCTTACCTTTGGCGGCGCCATCGCAGGCGTTGAAAATTACAGCGAGAAGCATTGCGAAGAGCACGAGAGCCACATTCATTTTTGTAGCACAGCTGAGGTTTATTTTCAGGACTGTTTCATTTCCTTTCCCTGGAACTGATTGCCGATTTCCTTATCACTTTGGCATGTCTTGTGTCCTTTTGAGAACTTTTTGTTTAAAACTCTGTTCAAAACAAAGAGTTTAGGTGTGTCGATGAATGGTGAAAATTAAAAAACAGCAACAGGTTAATATGAATTATAACCAAAACAAAAGCAAGAGCGGACATTCCAGTCCACAATCTTTTTATTTGTTTGAATGAAGAGAGGTTCATGAAATTGTAGAAAGACATCTGACACTCTCTAGTGATAGAAGACAAAGTGGAAACAAAAGCTGAAACTGTGGGTGCTCCATTGGCTTATGCTTAGCGACTTTGAGGAAGCACGAATAACATTGTCTATCGTGACGTTAAACTGAAACCCTGAGCTGGTTTACCCATAAGCCCTTTCTTTCTGGATATCTGTACTGGAGTACATAAGAGATAGCGAGTCGGGCCATGCCTTCTCGGTTTTTACCTAGCAGTCCACTAAAGACAATTGCTTAAGAATTCCGCGTTGCAACACACAGAAAAAAATTAGAGAGACACATCACACATTTTTCACGCATAGTGCACCATCATAATTCCAAGAAGTAAAGAAGTGAGGGTTCCAAATTAAACTGAAACGCAAATTGAAAATAATAGGTGTTCCGGAGTCGTTATGGCAAAGCCTGCAATACAAGTTAACATGCATTATCATAGTATATTTAAAATTAATTTTGACGCGCTAAATGTTGTTGCATTGTTAGTGCCACACGACTAACATCATAGTATGTTCATCAAGTACAGCTATTAAATCTTAAGTGGTAAACATCAATCAGCGTACCATAATCATGAATTCTGAAATCTGAGTGGTCACCCTACTCGCTGTTTATTTAACAAATAGATTCCAAGTTGCCGTGCGTCTGTTCAGTAATAGATCACAGATGACGTTAAAATGTGGTAAGAACATATGCGCGCTAGTTTCACTAAAGTCCTCGCAAACTATATATCAGAAGAAAGCTTAATAACAGCATCTTACGTTAAATATATGATTTAAGCGAATTTTCTTTTTAGGAAGTGTCAGGAACCGGGAAGGCGTGAAACGGCCGAGGGTTCTTCTATTGAATTTGTCGGGTATCGGATGCCGCAGCACGAGCAAAATGGCTGCTCAGGCATCAATCAATAAAAGTGTGTCAGGTTTTTTCGATTTTATAGTGTGTCAGGTTTTTTCGATATTCTGATTGGTTGTCTAGATATCAGCATCTAAAGTTGGAGTGGCTAAAAATATGCGAGGCGTGTTGCGTAAAAGGACGCCACAGGACAAATATTTCAAATATCAAAATTTCTCGACACACTTTCGTTTGTCGTTATTCCTGGAATGTTTTGGCGAGATTTGACGAAAATCGGTCAAATCTATATACCCTATAAATTCACTCAAAGTGGTTGTAATCCTCTCAAAATTAAATGCAAGATTTTTGCTCATAAAGGTTCAAACAACTTGCGCCACGCCTGGAGATTATCTCGCCTACTGAAACCGCAAACCAATGGCGTCAATGACGATGGTTCATGATTTCCTGGGAAAAGTAACCCACTGCGGACACGTTTTTTATCATTGTTATTATTATTATTATTTTTTATCTCGATCGCTCAGTAGAGCATTGAGAAGGATGACACAATAATGAGCAAAGTTTCTTAAGGCAAAGGAAAAAGTAGCGACAAAAATGGAAAGACCTGAGAATGTGCTGAGGAGCAGGACAACGAATCGACAGACGGCTTTCAAAATTACGATTCGAGGCCATTGTTAATTGTTTTTGTACATATCAAGGCTAGTTCTTGCATTAAGAAAAGGAAACGTAATTTTGACATTATGTTTGGCAGATTTTGGTTTGATGGCGACTTCTTTGTTCGAAATCTGGGAGCCAGCGTGGAGCTCCGCCAGTACCACTCGTTTTCAAAAAGGATTTTTTTTCCTTTTTTGACAGAATGGTACTCTTTCTTTCTTCTTTGGGTCTGTTTTTCTTTTAAATTTTTTCACCAGGGACTTTTTTCCGCTTTTGATTTTCCCATGAGCAAAGATTTTTCCATAAGCAAAGAGCTTCCACGTGTGAATTGTGCTAAGTGCGCGCTGTAAACAAAATATGGAAATAACATGAAAAAAGGAGGGAATTCGCCCAGGTCCGAGATTATGACCCCTTCCTGATTTATTAACTCGGGTGCTTTTAAAGATTTCAGAAAATTTGTTTATGGAAACGTTAGGTTGAACGTTTAAATTCGATTTAGACAAATAAAAGAAAACTGGATTTTTCGGCTTCTGAAGGTGGGAAGCAACCTTAAATACTAAAATATCAAGAGAAAGGCCGGTTAATCGTAGCTATTTGCCACATTATTTGCAATTGTGCACGTTTTGTGATAATATCGGACGCAATACCGATCTAGTGCCTGACCTAATCCTGTCTCAGTTAAAACGGATCATTTACAGAGGTGTTCTTTGGGTACTAAAAATGTTTTAATTACAGGACGTTCGTCAGCGATGCAAATATCGGAACGTGAGCAGAGCATGTTGCATGGCTTAGTCCTGTTTCTAGTACAAAGGATTACTTACTAAGGCGTTCCTGGGGTATTGAGAATATTCTCCTTACAGGAAGTTCACCTTGGGGAATTAATTTTAAACTTTTAACGAGTAGTTGAACGAGGATAGATTTGGCTGAATGCAACTGTCCAAAACAAATATGAGTTTAACTCGGAAATATCACAATCGCATGATGTCCGCTTTAGTCTCAGTGAGAACCAAGATAAGATCACGTAAGCGGTGCTTCTCGTAAATTCAATCCCCAAATTCAAGTTTCAATCTTTTTTCACATTTTTTCACTCTTTCCAAAATGCAGAATCTTGCATAGATCATGTCTCTGTTTGTCTCGGAGCTTGATGGATAGTCAACGATATTACGCACGCGAAGCAACGATATAGATATTGATTGTTTTGACAATCGAGTTTAAAATAGACTTGACCTTTGTTATATACAAGCTAATTTATGTACAACTTTTTCAGAATGCCTTCAACGGAAAAGAGCATTGTTGATTGGAGAGTAGTGGAAAGTGGCTAACGCCGGCTCAAACCTGATATGGTAGCTTTAAGAGACTTTCATTGGCGCGAAACAGAATTCGCCAGGATCCTCAAATAAACGACTTTCCTTAAAATACATGTTTGAATACAACAAGTCAAATTTAAGACTTGTTGTCGCAAATGTGCTGAATAAAGCTAGATACTGGATTAATCCATCATTTTCTGAAGCTAACATTACAGCATTACATTGCGTTTCGTGTATCTGGATCTTGTCCTCATCAAGTAAATATTGGGCCACGGCAGAAAGAAAAAAAAAACCCTTAATACTGAAGGCGTTGTTTATCATCTTATCTAAAACCTTTCCTTAAATGTTTAGGTCTATACAAGGGAAGATTATGTCGTCCATTGAGTGAATAACTTTGATACTTGTCACAGTAGAGACAGTAAACTGGTTCTCGTTTACTTTTGTCAGTTGCTTTTTGGATATTTAGCAGATCTATCAACAAGACAAAGCATTATTAGCTGGATATCTTTCTCCACCCGGTCAGTATTGTTGAGTCCGCGCAGGGTGAGAGGCTAGCACTTGCTGTTAACACAGCGTAAATAAATAAATGATTTAATAAGGGCCTGTTTACATGGAGGTGGGGGACCCCAGGTAGGTGAGGTTACCCGCCTAAGTGGGATAACCCACCTTTCAATATAGTCTCTTATTTTATCTCGATCACGTTTACATGGTAGGTGGGGTGACCCGGTCTGCTGGTATGTTAACTCTGTCAGCCGGGCTTACAATTTGCCATTTTTACATTTCCTAGCCGTCCCATGCAGAGCTAAAACGTTAAAACACAATTTTTACGTCCTCTTAGCAATGAAACCTCGACAGCAATTTAGTCACGTTTTTACTTTGAACCCAACACTACAATCGCATGTTATGCCGCAGTGAGGACGTTGTACCGTCAGAAACGGTTAACGCATCCAGCTACTGGCAAAATCTTAAAGGAAAATAGATTACGTTTTTTTCGGCAACGTTTTACTGCACGTCGCCGTTAAACTCCCTAATTACAAGTGCGATAACAACCGCGAGAAACTTTACCCCGGCATCCCAGGGTTGTAAGATTAAATGTAAACGTGAGCTTTTTATCGACCTCGGCTAGGCGGGTTACCTCACCAACCTGAGGTCCCCCACTTCCATGTAAACAGGCCCTAAGATTGCAGTAGGATTTACACTGGTAATCTGCCATCTCCGTGCGGTTGAACAATTTTTCAGACAGTGACAAACCTCTGGTACCTTCAGTGGTAGCAGACTGAAAACAGTAATGACACTTTTCTCTATAAGTCCGGCAAATAATTTTTTTACAGAGACTCAATGATACAACTTCATGTTGAAACCGTATGCAAGACACTTGAATCTGGTGCGTAGACAACCAGAAAACTTGTCAGTTCTCGCTAAAACATTCCATTCCATTGCATACTGTACTCTGTCTGTATAACCCTTAAAAGTAGTTAAAAGAGTAAACTGGTCAGTGGAAAGAACGACCCGGCTCACAACTGGACTGCAATTAGAATGTAGTGTCTAATGAACGAATTATGCATTGTAGTGCCTAATGAAAGAGTTCAGACGTCTCCGAAGCTACAATTGTTTTCTCAGGCTTGATACGTACGTTTCGGCAATTGCTCTGAGCAGACTAACTGTAGGAATTATTTAGTCAGATATCATCCTTGATTCGAACATGGGTGATTTACATTATTCATGATGTTTTTTTTCCCTTCTTGTAAAGGGAAATAAAGAATCCGCCAATTGTGACTCGTTACTGACGAGTAGCCCCGTAGGTCAGTTGATACTAGCGCGTAACTTATGTTTCACAGGTAAAGTCTCGCGAGTATTGAAGCCTAAAATCGTCAAAGTCAGTCAACTGCCGCAATTTGCCACTGCGAAGAACACCTTGTCACCTATCATGTACAAGTGGCAGCCAAACAGGATTTAGATCTCGATAACTCATTTCCGAGGCAGGTACCTCTATTTTGAAAACAAGGTATTCGGGTCGTTTCATATTTTGTGTCCACCTTAAGGGAAAGCCAAGTTATTGCTTTATGATTGGACTCGACTAATTTAATTAGAAGTCGGACAGATTGTCCTCTGTTCAAGTTGTTTGTACTAGCCTTTTACTCTCAAACAATAAAATCACAAAGCAAAATCACAAACAAAATAAAATTCCCAAGAAGTTAGGGAGACTGCATGGACAACATGATCAGAGAGTTTGCTCAGACGCTTTCTTTCTTTTTTCGAAAGTTGAATTGTACATATATACGAAAATATTTTGCGCAATCATTGCTAAAGTTGTTAGAGACGCCATGGATACCGTCTGAGAATACATTATTTGTTGGATTTCGTCATCATTTCACAGTCATTACGTAAGAAGAATTGAATCTTTGTTGGAGTGTAGTTGCATTCTTTCACGGTCTGTTTAATTGGACGAGTTGCTTCATATCCTCTCAGCTTTAAAAACTTTCAAAACAAAACAGAGTACCAGCTGTGGCGTTATCGCCTGTTTTTTTAAACACTTATTGCAGTTCTCGTGAAATCTTTTTGTTTGCCGAGTCCTGTTCCGGTTACACAATTCGCATTCCAATCTCTATAATTGTACTCTGAAATAGCTTACATTCTTTCACTCAAAATACTGATAATTTTAGCGTTTTTGAGCTTCAACCTTTTAAGAGGTCACGAACTCGCCGTTAAGACTGGATCAAACACTTTTCGCTCCAGGACGCCGTTTTAAATGCTAAAAACTTCCTTAAAGATGATCATGTAATTGGAGGAATTTGTTGTTGTATGAAATTGGAGTGGAAATCATTTGTTAATCTAATAAACCGATGTCACAGTGTCGCCCTGGTGAGAAAACTAGGGCGTGGACTAAAATGCCCCCTATTTGGTATATCCATGAACGAGTAGAAAAAAATAATTTTCTGAATAGGAAGAAAACGTTTATTGTGTCGTATTGACGTTATTTTTTACCCGTATATGATGGTTAAAACAGAAAATTAGATTGAAACCGAAGCGTAAAAAGAGATGGAACTAAATGAAAATCAGCTCTGTTGCCTAGAACAAAGCGTTCAGCGAATTGGCCAATCAGCTCTCGCTGTCATGTCTGCGTAGGTTGACTTCACGTAATAACTTCGAGTTGAACGCTTCAACCACATTGTGCAACGCGAAGCATTTCACTTGCGAGACAGCGGTCATTAATAAGAGAAATCTTTATCTTCATTACTTAGCAAAATGATTTCCAAGGAAATTATTTTACTTTTGTGTTTGGATTTTAGTTTGAGATTTCTGGTTCGTGCTCATGAACTACCAAAGCAGGAGCATGAGCACTATACTTTTACAGCGTTACAAGAAACATTAAATGGCGAGGTTCTCCTTTCAGATGATGTCAATAGACTCCTCTCCAAGCTGCATTTCTGGAACTGTTCAGACAGCAGTGCTGGGATCGACTACAGAATGGTAAAGGGAGATAAGTTAACTTGTTAAAAAACACGATCTTTGACCTTGTGGTTCGTTTAATTTAAGGTAGGAAATAGATTCGCTCGATTCCCTCCGTTCGTGAAAAAGTTAATAAAACTCCTGTATTCAATACTCGAATGAAGTAGCTCTTCTTTGATATATCTTTAGCTAATACCAAAGCATCAAAAGAATTGAAATTGTCATAGTTGTGCTTAGAAAACATTAAAGAAATAGAGATCGAATAACGCGTTTTCCCTGTCGTTGTTTCGCCGAGCACGCGGTTCCTTTGTCTTTCTCGTCTCTTTGATCGAATTTTTTGCTATTTAGTGTCTCTCCACGACGGATGTCTTCAATTACGCTGGGTCATCGGTTACACAGTTGAATTCCAGCGAATTTGTTGAAATCAGTCCCATGATTGTTTACTGTCTGCTGCCTGCGCCTGAAAAGAACCCTGGTCGATGTTCACCTCCCAAGAACCACAGCGAACTTTACAACTTCTTCGCAAGGAATGTCAGTCAACATGGCGAACACGGAAATATTACGCATGAAGCATTGGATGAAATATTGGACAAGATCAACTCGACGATCGGGAAACATTTAACTAAGAAAAAGGTGAGAGAAAAAAACTTGAATCTGATGTGTTTTCTTTTCTTTTTTGTACAAAAAATGTTGCGCACCTAGTTGAACGTTGCTGTGCTTAAGGTACTTTCAGTTTTCGATCGATTCAAGACTTAGGGTTGAGAATAAAATATACCAACATGTTGCTTCCACGTGGCACAAATGAAGTCATCGCTTACTCTAGTTAATTCCCTTGAAATAGCCATGTAAGCAGGATTTTCTTTAAGGTTTTTAATCAGCCAGAGCTTTTTTAAAGGTAAACGGTATTCATATATCGAAATCCAACAGGGCGGACAAAACGTCATGCCGTTCGTACTTTCCTGCCACCGCAGCAAGGCGTACTTCGCGTACTTCGCCGGCTACCGGCTCTTATCTACAACCCTCAGTAAGGTTTTCACTGGGTGGCATGTAATCGCGTTACTAGTTTCAGACACATTGAGCTGTCTTTACATTACATCTCTTAAAAAAACGTGGCGACCATTGTGAAGCAGTTTTGAAGCGCAATTACTTGACCGAGATTTCTCCCCGTGTGTCTCTCTTGGAAGTAGTTTACATTTATTTGTAATCTATGACACTCGTATCGTGTCGACGGATGGTCTTAAAATAAACCCAAACCCAACTTTTCTTTACGTAAAGCTTCATATCGTGTCGACCGATTAAAAAAAATACTTAATGCGGACTTAATATTCAAAGTCGAGAAAATTCGAGGGGAAGATGTGTTCCAGCTATTTTTCTATATCTAGTTGTCATTTTAGGTATTGGTGTGTTTTTCCACACGGACTTTATACGTTTAAAAGGTTTTTTTACCATAACTTCAGTAAGACAATTTCTTTCTAAAAATGGAAGTGCATGCCCTGGCAGAGTGCCAGCTGCAGTGACATGTTTTTTTGGTATCAGAGATTGGAATTAGAGGCCGCATTCTTTTCACGTGGAGCAAGATAATAGACAGGTGATCCTGTCTTTTTATCATGAGATTATCATTGCTGATTATTAATTGTTTAAAAAAATGTTGTGAATTCTCATAGCATGAGGTAAGGTTAATAATGCTCTGCTTAGAAGGACTCTCCTTATCAAGGAGATAAGCTTGTGCTGGTTAAAAATTGTCATTAATTTCCTATCTTTTCAATAGATTGCAATAGTGGCCAGGATTTTTCTGGTCACAGCATATTTGCAACAACAGGTGGAGTAAACTTGAAAGAATGCAGATTATGACTGAGATGTTCTATTCAGTCAATGTCAACATTCCACAAGAGGTTCCTTTTGATTATATAACTCTGCAATAGCAATAGGTTTGATTCTGAAAGAGAAACTAATATTTGTGGAAAGAGGAAGTTGTTTTGCTCACTTAAAGATTTTAAGGGACAAAAGCAGCAGGCTTACATGTATAGAAGGTTAATTAAACTTCCACCAACAAGCCTTAAAACGGAGACCCATTTATTAGTGATCCCTGATGAGTCAAGTGCTTTAATTCAACTCTGAAAGAGTTTGGCGATGAGAATAGGTAGACTTTTTTATGAGTAATTGTTGTAAATATGGGCTTCTCGAAATCTCCAGACTGCTGAGTCATGCTGATTTGCATACCATAGAACTCTCCAGAACATTTCATCATTCACGCATTTATTATGTAAAACAACTAAAACAGTTCTTATGTAAGCCTCTGGGATGTTCCAGAACACTTTGTGAATATATATAAAGACTCACTTATGTAGTAGTAGGTAGTTGTTGTTGTTGGAGCAATGACTGTTTTGAAAGCTATACAGAGAGAGAGAGTTACTGTAGAAGATTGCTCATTTCAAGGAACTTTTGGAGACAGCAGTGAGAATTTGTCAGTGGTGTGCAAGGATATGGTGTGGTGGTGGAGATAACTATTGTACTACTTTAAGGAGTCATTCCTTATTAAGAACATTGCTAGCTGGTTAATGAAATAGTTGAGTTTGTGAGATTGTAGTGTTTATCTGCCAGTTAGATTATACTGTAACAACTTCTAAAGAGTTGGTTTAACTTTAATGCATAAACTTTCAGACAAAGGCACATTTGATCACATCATTACTGTGAAGATCGCTTTCATATTCAAAGGCACATTTATAAGTCATCAAAGTGATCCTATTCATTTTTAAAGATAAGTGTGGAAAAATGTGCAGACTTAGTATGAAATAGTTGCACTTGCACTTGTAAGCTTTAAAACAAAGGTCCACTTATAAAACATCCTAATTAATTGTTTATGGTCTAGCAGATTTTATGCAGTCAAAAATTATTAATTGACAATGACTGCAGAGTCTAAGCAATGTGGCAATTCTTGTTTAGTTAAGAGATGTGGTGTTGTGTTGGCATAAAACCCTCCTAGTCTCAGGGGAATTAGTGTACAGTACAAGGGGTGTTATCATCATCTGTTTGCTTTGTTTAGTATGGATACTATAGGAAGAATTCACATGGATCTATCATTTCTTGAAGTTGAAGGGTTTAAAAAAGCTGACTGCCAGCAGACTAGTTTGTGATCTCAGCCAGTTACTTTGCACTCTGGTGGCTACTGCACTGAGTCTGTTTGAACAGTTTAACTTCTAGTATTTCTCATCATGCAACTTCAGCTCACAATTTCAAGACATTATCCACCAAACATGTGATGAGACTAGAAAAAGTTTTATTGAAAGAGAGTTGTTTTGATATTGCACCAATCTCTCATCACTTATTTGTGAAGAAATGTGTATTGGAGAGAAAGGAGAATTACAATGTAGTGAAAGAAAGGCTGTTTACTTGATGATCCTAAGGTACAATTCATCAACTTGTAAATTATGCCTTAACAATCTTCCAATTTTGAGAGAGTTATAGAATTATCAGGACAAAACCTGAATTTTTTTTTTGTAAAATTTACATTAGGATTCTTATTAATGTGTCAAATTGGGGACTGTGAATAGTAGTCCAATGGTTAGACAAGGAAGAATGTGAAATTAAGAAGTGACTGTTTTCTTCATTTGTTCCTGTGGAAAAAGCTGGCTTACACTGTTGACAAGGTAGTTGCCTACACAAACTAGGTGAATTGCTTTGTTGAAAATTATGTCACTTGTTTCAAACACCTCTACATCTTAGTTTTTAACTACTATGTTGTTCATGTGTGATAGCAATATACTTTGTTTCCATAAGGCTGTCAACAGAAGTATAAAGAAAGTGTGACAAGCAAACAAACTATCTGAGGAGTCCTTTTATGAGCATTTGACTTCATATCAGGAAAAATTTGACAGTGATGTGTAATTAAATTCATGCTTGTGAAAGTTTATAAATCTGTCTTTTTAGATGAGTGTTTTCAGTTACATTAGGTAGGATAGTTTATTGAGCAATAATCACTTGATTGCTCACAGTTTTTTTGAAGGAAACATGGAGCTTAAATGAAATCAGGAGGAAGCGTTAAAACAAATCAGCTGAAAATTTTCCTGTCATTCTATTAGTTGGTTAAATGAATTGAGTGTGCATTTTAAAAATATTTCAACTCACTAGTTTTATCAGAATGAGCATAAATATGGTGCTGTTGTTGTGTAGTTTAGAAGAACTGTAATGAATAGCGGTGGGAAATTTAGGAAAATGAACCATTAAAAAAGACTGTCAATCCTGATTCCTGTAGATGTAGTAACAGGAAAAATGGCTGCTCTCCTACCCAGTTATCTTTTGTTTTAAGGAGGGAAGGTGTTCACGATGTGTATTGTTTGGCATATAACTTTCACAGCTTTGAATGCTACTTTACTTTACATAGGTGAGTGTGATTTAGGGAAAATCTAACAGTTTCTTTGTGTGTGTGTGTGTTTTTTGTAGTGTTTTTCTGCTGAAGACATTGTTAAAGAGATTGAGGAAGAAAAAGATCACCATCATGAAGAAGAAGAACATCACCATCATGAAGGAGAACATCACCATCATGAAGAGGAAGAGAAAACCCTTGACCTGGGAGACTTTCAAAGTGCCTGTGCCAGTATTGTGCTACATTTAGTACAGGGATACTGCATTGAAGAAGCCCATGGTCACAATAAGACCTCATCTCTACCTTCAAGGGAGTTCTTCATGAATGAGCTCTTTGAGAACAAGACACGCCTCCTTGAGAAAGATTTGGAAGCAATTATGAAAGTCCTAAAAATTGGTAAAGTTGAGTCATCAGGTGGAGAGGATTCACATAATGGTCACAACCATCGACGAAGACGATCTGCTGGGTCCCTCTTGTCCTCATCACTGGAATCAAAGACCTCTCATTCTGTTCATCGCCGTGAAGTTGATGATCATGCTCATGCTCATGAGACTGGAACTGTAAGGAACATAGTTATTGATTTAACCTTTAACTTCCAAGATCTGATTGTTAATTCTCCCTTCTAGCTGCCACACCTTTCCTTGTGATTTAGTTATTAGAATTTGGTAGTAGATCAAGATAGCAACCACCTCATAGGTTTGATTATTCTCTAATCGTCATTTGTTCTGATCAGTGAGGGGTTTTGTTATTGCTGATGTTGTTTACATGTTGGGCAAACTTATTGTTGTGAAACAACAGTATAAAAAGAGGGTATGTTGTATCATTACATTCCCAGTGTTACTCCCTTGATGACATGCTGACAGTTTTTGATATTGATCACGAGACTGGTGCAGATAAATTTGACTTCAAAGAACTATGCCCTGCTTTCATTCAACAAGCCAAAAGTGGACATTGCAATGAAGCTGCTCCAACAGCTGGACCTAACACTGATAGAGACATGGGAAAAAGTAAGTGTTTCTATGTAAGGCTGTTATTTCATATTTAGCTACTTAAGTCTCATTCTGAAAGTGTTTTTCAATGCATAGTTAAGTCGGCACTCCAAGCTACAACTCTTTTGGTAAAAAAAAAAACCAACTTAGCAACTTGACTGTCTGGTAATTTTGAAGTTAGCTGTAGGATTTATTCTGCTCTGTGCTTATGGTCTAAGAGTGTGATCAATGTTAAAATGGTAGAGGTAAAGAATCCAGTCCTACTGACATGTCGGCTGATAGTCGGCCAATACGTTGGTCACTGTATACCTTCTAATGTACAAGATGTGTCAGTGGTGTGTTGGTGACTTTGTTTGGGCCTTACTTATGCAAAGCAATGCTAAACCTTCCTTTTCCACAACTATCTGTAATGTCGTCTTTGGAAAACTTTCACTTGCAGTATGAAAATGAATAATTTCTTTTGGCCACCATTTTGTTTATCATGTTATTGGAACCCAGTCCCTACTCAGTTACTTATCCTGACTGAGCATTAGATGAACATTTCCCTTATTTTTCCATAAGAAGACCTTAATATTCCAAACTGACACCTGTTGTCAAGTTTTTAAATTTTTAACACCTAAAACACTTCAATTTTATTATGTTGGACATTAACTTTTTCAAACATGGTGGCTCCTGAAGGAGCCATTTTTTTTGGTGACCAAGCCCTCTTCTTCCTCAAAATGGCGATGATTTAGAGTTCCTTTTCCTATGCGGTTGATCTTACCAATGCTTTGGTAGTGTGTTGGCTGATGCATTGGTCAATCTTACCAACCCTTAAAAAAGAAATAATTGGGAGAAGACCTAGGTATTAGTGTTTTGTTCTCAAAATGGTGGTAATTTAGATATTACCAATAAGTTGGTAGTGTGTTGGCCAATGTGTTGGCAGTGTGTTGGCCGATGTGTTGGTAGTGTGTTGTTGGTGTGTCAGTAGAGTGTCAGCCGACGCAGTGGCTGATGCATTGGTAGGTTTGGATTCTTTACCTTTATCGTTAAAATTATTTATGATTATTACACTTTATCAGTTCCTTGATTAGAATTAGCCTCTTTCTCTTTTGATCATCCCAGTATGATATGCAAATGTTTAGCATTAATCTACAATTGGCAGCCAAAGAACTTTCCCTATGATGATCCCCTTTTCTAGGGCACAGACTCTCCAATTTCTATAGCCTAGTTTTAGAATGCAACCACTCCCTCAGTACTGGAATTATTCAAAGTCCTTTTACATTTTATCAGTCCTCTTTTTAAGAGCAATGATGTATATCCTTTTATCAACATCAAAATTTTCATTTCCACAGGGTAGGTGAATGTATGGCATGCTACACTGTTCATAGCTCTGAACCATTTCATCTGAACCTTTTCCCAGCTAAGCTTATTGTTATTTCTCAATGTTTAACTTTCAGTATGGGGCTATGGCTTTGTTTCTGTTACCATCATCAGTCTCACATCCTTGGCAGGAGTGGCCACCATCCCATTTTTTGGAAAGAGCATGTACAAGAAAGTCCTGGCCACCTTGGTTGCACTTGCTATTGGAACACTGGCTGGAGACAGTTTACTTCATTTGTTACCTCATGTAAGGATATAAACCCTTTACACCCTAACATCAGTATCAATATTCTCCGTACTTTATACATTTTGTTTTGTACTGACAAGGAGAATTGGTCTAACAATCAAAGCTTTTTAGGGTTGGTCCAACATTCTCATGATCTCTGTGCATGATTTAGCAGTATTGAGAGCAGAAATTAGATGCTGATCACTCTCAGGATTTAAAGTGTCAATGACATCATGTTGTTTAGAAATGTTTAGTGGCGTTATAACCAGAGTTTCAAATTATGAAATAGGACAATCTCAGTTGTTCAGTGAATTCAATTGATAGCCTGGAAGGAGTTGCTCTCTATTCTCTTGTTTCTATAAGAAGTAAAGTATTTCATGTTTAAATTCTGACAAACCTAATATTTGGGATTGTTCTTTCATATTGCCTCTCTCAGTATAGAATTTATAAACTATGTTATTTACCTGCAAAAGAAGACATAACTTACTTTACCACAATTACCCTTTTTTTCATTATGCAGGCATTCGGTCTCCATGCACATGAAGAAGAAGGTTCCGGCCATGAACATCATGAAGAAGATAATGGCTTTGTCTGGAAAGCTTTGGTTGTACTGGTCTCTATTTACGCATTCTTCTTGTTTGAGACTCTGATGCATCTGTGTTTGAAGAGTAAGGTTGGAGAACACAGCCACAGTCATGTTGATGTTGAGGTGGGCAAATTTAATACATTAGACACTGCATGTGCTAAATACTTTGCCTATTCCTCTGTCATATATTTTAATGGAAAAATGAGATCAGTCTTAGCATTGTTCTCACTCTTTTTTGTTTTAAGCCTGAAATCAATAGTTTTTTTGTTATCCTCGCATGATAATACTGCTAGAAAAATTTTTCAGCACTGAAACTAAGCGTTATTATCCTATTTTTGCAGCTTCCTGGTCCTTCCAGTCGGCATATGAGTTTCAAAAAGGAGAGAAGATGTTCCAGGTTGGAGCGCCGTGAAGGTATACCGCCCATTGCCGATAATCATGAAGAAAAACCACCCATGGGAAATGGTGACATTGTTTTGACTAATGTGGTGAGTAGAATATTAAAAGCTTTCTTTACTTTGTTGGTTGGAGAAAGACCTGGGGTACTTTGCTCCACCCTAGTTAATATATGAATGTGTAAATGGACACCTGTGAGCAGTTAATACAAAATTCAGCTTTTATTCATTGAAACACTTCACAGGGGTGCATCGTCAAATATTTGACACAAGAGGTTTACTGGGGAAATTGGGGAAGAATTTGATTATGGGGACCAATTTTTATGTTTTGTGTGTAAATACTACCCTTAGTATTTAAAGGAGATTAAGGAAGTGAAGGTAAATGTGGATCAGAATTCAGATGTATAGGGTTATAACAAGATTAAGTTGTGAGTATTAATTATAGAATGCCAGCACTGAAACACTCAGCTCAATTGAGGCTGCATGATGTCAGTAAAATTCCATGATAGATAGATCCTCTAAAAGTCACCAGATCAGAGTACAACGCAGAGGATATGGTGCTGATGCTAATGTTAAAATTGAAGAGTTACAAAAGAATCATAAAAAAAAATCCTGTAACCCTTTGACCTCTTAGAGTGACAAGCATCTAATTTCTCTTTACAAGATCATCCCAAATCACACATTAAGGTAATGAGAAAGAAAGGAAATGATCACCAACTAATTGAGCCCTTGATTGTTAAAAAAATTCTCCATGTTAGCACCTTGGGAAATGTGCAGAAAAAAGTGTGGAGAACACCAATATTTATGTTAGGGTACATTTTAAATCTGATGTGTGTAAAGTTAAGTTAATCTACTTTTGTTTAAACTCTTATTTTAATGTTTAAACTCTTAGGTTGGTTGAATTGTTTTGAATTGAAGTTTAAATGTAAACCTGTAATCTTTTATCGCTTAAGGACGGTCCCGCAGCATGTTACATCTCCAGTCCTTCGTGTACATTTTATTCACACTGTGTCTATGAGTATGTTTCTAGTTCAGACACTGAAGGGTGTGATTGCCAGGTAAAGTGACAATTGATAATGTCATGTTGTATTCATAATTAGGGGTATTCCAATGATTATGATTGTAAAAGTTGAATGATCTTACCTCCCAAACTGTTGGTTCTGATTTGGGTAAAATTTTCTATTGTAAATATGCTCTAAATGTCTTAAAAGTATAAAAGTGATGTGATCTTGTCAAATTCTTTATTGGAACTGTTTAGGGAAAGCTCGTTGGTTTTCAGCATGAGAAAGCATTGAATTGTGCCTAGTACAATAATTACTGAAACAGTGAAATTTTTAAATGAATGACTAAAGGAGAATAGATGATGAGACTGAATTCATTTTAAATTTTTATAAAATTAATGAACTTTCCACAAGCAACGTCTCTTGATGAAGGGCAACTTGATATTTTTTGTGTCTGATCAACAAACAATAAGACATAATTACCAGTTACTTCATGCAGTTGCAATTGGGTTGAGCACTGACAGAGTGGGCATTCTGGCTGATAAATTGATGTTCCTTTTAACCAGGGAAATTTTGTGGGATGCAAAAGTTTTGTAGTGGAGTTACATTCATGTGAAATTATGCAATTTGCTCCTGCTCACAAGATTTAAAAATGTAGCCTGACAGAGCTCATTGCTGAAAAGAATCATGCTGAAATGTACTTTGTTCAGGTACAAAGAATAGATTTTTCTTTTAAGCAGAATGCCAAAGGTGAGATCAATGGAGATGCACTCCCTCAAGATGCATCAGGCAAACCCAAGAAAAGTCTTAAACACAGCTTGTCACGCCGTTCAGTATTCAGTAACGAAGAAGGAATGAGGAAACCTCTGAAAAATATATCAACTGTTGCCTGGATGATCATAATAGGTGATACTCTTCATAACATCAGTGATGGTTTGGCCATTGGTGCAGCATTTGCCGAAGGAGGGAGTTCTGGTATCTCTGGTGGCATAAGTACATCAATAGCTGTGTTTTGCCATGAGTTGCCACATGAACTTGGTAAGAAAATCTTTATGGTACTGCATGCATGTAACTTGATCAGTTTGATATTACTACATATGTGAATGCCATGATTACCTGTTGCCTAATGGCCTTGAGCACAGGCCAGGTCATTGTGCTGTGTTGTTGGGTGAGACGCCTATTTCCCTCTGCTACTTCCTACCTCCTGTCTTTGTTCTAGCATACCATGCATTACCTGTATCATACCAAAGCAAAGATGAGCAGTTAATAACTGAACTTCTGCCAATGTGGAATCTACCAAACATTGTACAAAATACAGTTAAACTAACATATGTTTGAGAGATGATCAATGTTTCCATGCTCTAGAATTCCCAGCAGTCACTAAACAGTTAAAATATTTATTGCATTTAATTATCAGATTATTTTTTCAATGGAGTGAGTAGTACTGTAATTTTTCTGTTCAATTTGCAGGTGATTTTGCAGTACTGCTCTCAGCTGGCATGTCTGTGAAGATGGCATTGGTAGCAAATTTTTTGTCAGCCTTGTCTTGCTATATTGGATTGGCAATTGGTATCTCTGTTGGTCAACAGGCTGATGTGCGGTTCTGGATCTTTGCCATTGCTGCAGGAATATTTCTTTATGTATCTTTGGTGGACATGGTAAGAAATATTTTCTATAGAATTTGACATATTCTATTTGCCGTACATAAAGGGCTATTTTTATTAGATAGGATTATGAACCCTAAAGCCAAAGGTGAAGGTTTTAGGTTCTTGGGTAGGTTACCTTGTTGTTTCTCAGGCAGGAGCTTGAGTGGGTACCAGTTCACTGTCAGGGAAATCTGGCAAAATGCTGGAGGAGGGGTGTGGTAACCTGAAGCAGACTTGCAAAATATGTATGCCTTGAGAAACAATACACTGTAGTTTTCAGTTCAGAGCTAACATAACAACTTATATTTTTGCAGCTGCCAGACCTGATGCACAGTGAGTCATTGCAGACTGAACCAGTAGTAACATTTGCTTGTCAAAACTTTGGTCTACTGCTTGGAATTGCGATTATGTTGGTGATATCCTTGTATGAGGAAGATCTGATGGATCTTAATTGGTAGTGGATGTTTGCCTTTCTGAAACTGTTGTTTTACAAATAGAAAAAGATTTCTCTGGGCTCGTCAGTATTGTAGTAAATGACTTTGTTGTAGTGTGTAGATTAGTCAGGATATTTAAGTGAGTGAGTGACATGAGTGGCACAGGTACTTTCTATATATATATATATATATATATACATATATATATATATATATATATATAGATATAGATATATACATAGATGAGTCAGGATATTTTAAATGAGTGAGTGACACAAGTGGCACAAGTGCTCTTTATATATGTTGAGTTAGTAACACTGGCTTTGCCATCATATTCCAGTTAATGGACACATCAAGGTTTTTAAGTGTATACAAGTGATGTGCTGTATTGTCAAAATGCATTTGGCATGTAGAAATATTATTGTCCTATGTAAGGTTCTCTGATGGCTAAATGCTACTCAGATAAATCCGTGAATGAAAATGTGGGAAATTCATTCAGTTTCAGCTTCTTTTTATGTTTCTGTAGCCACTCAAATTCTTTTTAACAACCTTTTGGAGCAACATCTGTACCTGAAATTCCTTTACTACAAGGTTAACTGATACACAAAATTTAGGGTAATGACAAAGGTTCCTTCAGATCTTGAACAAACCTGAGAGAAAAACAAATTATCTGTTACTAATCATGGTAAATGAAAGGGTTTTCAACAAAGGACTAGAAATTCAGGCTCAATTTTTTTCTCATGCAAAATGACGTTTGGTATTTTTCATAGGGGTTCAATATTTTAAATCTGTTAACTCTAATTTAGATGGGAAATACTGTGTTATAATGTACTGAATTGTGAGATTTCAGACATTCTTGCATTTTTATGTAAAATGACGTTTAGTGTTTTTCCTAGGGGTTCAAAATTTTGAATCTGTTAACTCTAATTCAGATTGGAAATACTTTGTTGTAATGTACTGAATTGTGAGATTTCAGATATTCTTGTATTTTGAATGCCAATAATCATTTAGCATCAATTATTACACTTTTAATTGTGTTCTTCCTATGTGCCACATGATTGACAGATGTTATAAAAACAATTTTGTCTCAAATCAACATGTTTTACTACTTGTTAAAGTGTAAAATAGCATGTTCAAAATAAGCCCATTGAAAATTGCAGCTGACAAAAACTGAATTATTTTCCAAGGGTGGATATTATTCTTATTTGTTCAAAACTGTGTACAAAACATCTGACTAACAGCTGGTACACAAGATGAAAATACTTTTTAAATTTAGGCACAAAATATAGAGGAAATTAAGGTGATAATATTTACAGTACTATTGTTCTACTAGTTTCTTTTTATATTTGAGAAAACTAGATCAGGATTTTAGTTATCATTAATATGCAGCTTTTTAAGGTAAGGAATTAATGATGTAATTCATACTGTTACAGTGTTCTTAATTCTCATTATATTTGAATAAAACGAGCATCTTTTACAAGATGAGTGAGATTTCTCTTATCTGAAATATATTTATGTAGCTATTATTTTATGTCTAATGACAATCATCAATGAGGCTAAATAAATGTTAGTTTATCTTTTATACCATACTGCTGGTTCAAACTGGACACCATGCTGCCGTTTATGTCAGTTTGTTGAACCACTGGCACTATAAAATTTTCTGATACTCTTAAATCTTTTGATTCTATGCTATAAAGCCTGGTAATTCTTTGACACCCTTTATCAGTTATATACTGGATAACGCTCCCCCATGCCCTCTCTGCTGCAGCTCATTCAGGCAATCTATAATACTTGTAACTTCCAGTTTTTATTCAGTTTCCAAATTATCAATATTACATTGACTGATCTGCAAATAGCCACTGCTAGGTTAACCTTAACTCCCTGACCAAGTTTGTAATTCTCCTTATTGTCAACCATACAATTCTTATGGTGTTAGTTCAGAGAATTTAGTATTGGATAAACTAATTATCCCCAAATTAATATTTTTCTTTATTTTTATCACTTCTTTTGGTTGATACTATATTGATATTGTAAGGAGAAATTCTGTCTTGGTCACTCATGAGTAAAAGGGTTAAGGTGGGTCTGTAAGTAAGATTGAGATAACTGACTAAACTATCTGAGCTACCTACCTTAAAGAGGTTTAAAGCTGACATTTTGAGTGTTAGCTCTTTATCAGAGTGAATGACAGAGGGCTGATGCTTGAAACATCAGCTTTGAAACTCCTTATGGTGGCTAATCTACATGATTAACTCGGTTGAAAATACTAAATAACTCCATTATACTCTCCCACCAATGCAGCACCACAGTTTCTTTAGAAACTTACCCTCTTTATCTGAGCTAACTGCCTAAACTAAATTGGATTCAGCATTAGGAAATACTTACAATTAAACACAGTTTTACAACTTGTACATAGGCTGAAAAGAGAAGTTTTTTTGTAATTGTTTCAGAATTTAAGCAATTGTCTTTGCCAGGATCCCAAACAAAATTTTATTGCATTTTGTTGAAAAATATTTTCCAGGTAGGTCTCTAGACAGGTTGCAATGATCTTGACAGAGTAATCATGGCTGATTTTGATCCCTTTCTTGGTTTACTTGTCACTCTCACAGTATCCCTCTTCATCAAGGAGTTTAAATAGGTAGCATTGAATTGAATCCTTCACTGATCATAGCTTGAATTATTGGTAACCAGAAGGTGATTCTGAATTAGAGCTGACATCTAAGAAGGATGAAATGTTTGCACTAATTACCTTGTCATTTGCAAAACACCACATACACTGCCACCTTGTAAATTGGTCTTGTAATTTAATTACACAGTGACGCAATGGAAATTATTAAGAATTATGACCTGATTCTCAGGAATTGCCACTACAATAGATATTTTAAGTTCACAATGGTTTATATTTAATTGAAATTCTTCTATATGGCTTCAATTCAGCAGGCTATGTTTCTGGGAAGAGACCTGGAAACCAGTATAATCTTTCATTGGGTGCTTGGTCGTCAACCCAGGCCATCTCTTCATGAACCATGTGATCCTAAAAAATAACAACAATAACAACTGCAAAACCAAAACCCAAATTTATTTTTCTTGATACTGGCTAGTATATTTCCCTTGCCTGTAATGAGAATTAAGTGTAAAATCAGGGCATATGATAATTGCAGATAGTTCTCCATGTTCCCATATGACCAGCAGATTTAATGATCTATTGTAAGTAAGTATGGAGAAGTTACTTAAACGATTCCCTTGCTTAGGGTGGTTTGGTTGGCTTTATTTTGAGTTCTTGTTGGCTCTTTAAGGCATTTTCCTTTCTTTCCATTGGTTATTGTGATTATTTGGGTTTACTTTATCAAGACACTCAGTCAAAAAGTGCCCATTTATGTAGCTTACCAAAACTCTCTTTGTGCGATCAGCATCCCATCCTAGATCCTTCATTATGGATGATACAGATGTGCACCCTGTACCCTGGAGAAACAAATTAGTACAGAGTTGGCTACAAAGGTAACAAATTTAGGAGACTTCTTTCAGACATTTGCTGCCAGAAAATTATCATCCATGCTTCTCAAAATATCATTGGTCAATTAAGACAAGAAAACTGAAATATTACAGTCATATAATTCAAAAAATAGTAATACGTATGTGTAGGGATATGCTTGGCAAAGAGTAGGAGGGGTGAAAGATGGCAAGTAAAATAATGGCAAGAGCCAACAGAGGTCAGTAAGGTGTGGTCAGGGGTGTCTCTAGCAAGTGTTGAGAGGGGAGGGGGGGGAAAAGTCCATGACAGAGACCAACCATTTTGGTTGCCATGGCAAGTAGAAAAGCTTTTTGTTGATTGAATTTGCATTCTTCATGAGAGAATAGCAAGTTTTACCAATTTATTTCCTTGGCATGGTTTAAAATACAAACCTGTGCGAGCTGAAGAGCAGCAGTGTGATCCATGCTCAATTCTCCTGGCACTGATTGGACAAGCCGTTTGGTACCGACCGGTATGATCTGGAAGCCACTTCCCATTACATGTAGCTTTTTGATGGCACGTGCCAAATCATCCCTGGAATGAACAGGGTAGCAAAGTTAGCCTTTGAGCTTCATGAGCAACACTATGAAAGCTTGTTCTGGTTTCTACAGAATAAAGCCACTAGAACTATTGCTGCTCCCCATGGATGGCCTGGGTGGAGAAAGGTACTGTAATAGTAAAGTGTTTTCCACAAGAACACACAAAAATTAACCTGGCCAAGTCTCAGATCTGGAATTCATAATTCAAAGTTTTTCATCCTTAAATTGAAATGCCACAGCATCTCCCATTTTCAAAATGGTGACTTCTTCATAATTAAGTCAAGAATACCTAATTTCTTCCACCAAACTTAAAATAAAGTAAACCAAAAATTACTTTGAAAGTAAACTTGCAACTCTTACTCAGATACATCTTGTCTAGATTTGCTAGTCTTGAGAATTTTCTTGTGTAACTCATCCATTGTCATCAGGCCTAAGATGTTAAAAGACAGCTATAAACATTCACACCATAGATTCAAAAGGGAAGACAATATTTATTTATCTGTTGCTTATAGAGACTCAAATGCATATGCAACAAATTTCTGGATATTAATAGTGTACTGTTCAGTATTACTTGCAAATCATTCAATCTAACTTGACACTAGCTATGTGAACATGTCTTCTCATATCATGAAGGAAATTTTTAACATCCTGTAAGGATTGCACAAACCTCCATTCCGTGACCTTGTTGCCATGCAGATTTCAACAATTTGGATACCAAGCTGATTTAGAATAAGACAAGAAGAACATGAAGGCAGTTTAATAACAATGTTACTATCCTTTACTCATAGTTGTGGGAGGATTTCGACTTAAGATGACCATGCAGTAGTTTTAGTTACTGTTGAAAAGAATAAGTGTTGCACTTCACAATGGTTATTGATTGCAAAATAGATAACCAGTTTTCTTTGGAGTTATTGACACCAGTAAGTAACACCAGGTCGCATACGTCATGCAATGACATCAATGACAACTTCTATAGGTTCTAGGATTACAAGTTATTACATAATTTTTTTTAGCTTTTGCCTTTTGCTAAGCTCAGTTTTTGTGTCTTTGTAAATTTTTCACCTTTGTTAATAAGTCTTGTGTTGTGAGCCATACTCTTTTCCCATTGGATGAAGTATTGGTAATAGTGTGTTAGGAGTGCCTCGCAAAGGATCTTGCCATTAGTTTGTTTTTGATGTTTCATCTGACTACATACCTCATAGTAGAAATCTCCAACACCAAGCAGCTCTGCCCAGAAACCTTTGCTTGCTGAAATGCAAGTGGCAGCAAATGTGGTATGAGAACTTGATGTTTCTTCAGTTGAAGCGATATGCCTTGGTTTTCCCTCTGTTTGATGGTATTCCATCATATGTATGAACACAAATCCAGAGATGACTTGTGCTACTAGAAATAAGAGGTTTTTCCAACCTGTTCTCTATGTGGCTTTCTACCTTGCAGACCCCAGTTGTTCTGAGTGTTGATGATGCTAATGCCTAATACATGTAAATGCGTATTTTTTGTCCTGGTTTCTCCAATCCTCAAACAAGTATATAATAGAAATTAAGTCTTGAGGGATTACCTCAGTGTGAGGAAAAACTGATGAGACACAAAATTAAGAATAAATGCCTACAAAATGGAATAAAACTTCAGCAAATTTCACGTTTTCCACTTGTTAAGAAAATTTTTTTTTTAAACTACTGGGCCAGAGCGGCCATACATATAGCTTACATGCCAGAGGGTCGACACCTATGCGAGCACACATCTGCTGAAAGTGGCCTCTAAACTCAGGGTTCTTCTTAATCTCCTGTTTGTACTTCCCCGCGAAGTCTTCGAGTGATGTCTTGAAGGAATCTAGCTGTTTCCCCATCTAAAAGTAAAAAGGCATGGCCAAAATTTTCTGAGAAGAGATAGCTAACTTAAATATTTCGATAATGATTTCATAACGGAAACAAAACAATTCATATGGAATTGATATTCTACGGACTTAAATCGGCATACTCCTCCTAGCTAAATAAACTAAATCCTTTTTTCCAAGAGCTGATGAAGGAAGAGTACCAAAATTCTCAGAAACATAAAATGGTTATTACTTGGGACAGTTGAATGTCTGCTATTTCTGTTCCCTTTGTAGCATACTTCTCCTGAAAAAAAAAAAATGAGTGAAGATTTTAAATTAAAAAAATTAAGGGTGCTGACTTGTTTAGCAAGGAGTACATCAAAATGAGTCAGGTTTTTTTCTGATAATTTTTTCGGGGCTGGACTGAAGTTACCCTCGCCAAACGTTGTCTGTTAATTGCTCCAACTCCTCCTGGTCCTCTCCGCATCTTTATAACGATATTTTTTCTTCCAAAATAATCAAAATTTGGACATGTTTTCAGGTGCTGTTAGGGAGATTTCAGTTGTTTTTCCGCCATCTTCAGCGGTAATATGTAGAAGGACAATTTATCTGTTATAATAATGCATTTCGGCCAACGACACGTGCGCACTGATGCTCAGAAAGGCAAGATGGCGGACGGTGAAGCAGTAATAAATCTCAAGAAACTGAAGGTACTTTGATTTATTAAGGACCTAAGATAGATCGCATCACAGGCAACGGATGAAATAATTACAATACTAAGTTCTATCCAAGAAATAAGCAATTTACATGAGTGACATCAGTGTTTTAGAGTGCTAAAGCTCGATGTACGTAGCTTTCTTTCTGTTGACTTTGATTCATGAACGATGTACTCATTGACGAAGTAGCTTGCATTGATAGTAAATACTGAATCGTCTCTTCTCACTTGGAATAATCAATTACAAGTATGACTGCTGTATTAGTTCATCCGTGGCATGTTTTGATCATAATTATTATCATAGGTAGCTGAGCTAAAAAAGGAGCTTGCAGATCGCGGTCTCTCCACGAAGGGCAACAAAAGCGATTTGCAAGAACGGTTAGAAAAATGTCTGGCTGATCAAGGTTGGTTGCTGTGTGTTGTGATGAGCATTCAAATTCTAATGTCTTAGTATCTTAGCCCTTTCACTCCTTGGAGTGACCAAGAGTAATTTTCTTCTTTTTCATGTGGAAGAAAGGAAAGTTATTGGCTTAAGGATATTGTTCGATTTAGCAACAGGTTCTCAGAGCTTGATTTGTTAAAATGTGAGCAAGACAGAGCTAAGTGTCAGAGGTCAAAAGGGTCCTGGAAAACCTGGAAAGTCCTGGAATTTTATTTTGACGTTTTCGAGGACTGGAAAGTCCTGGAAAAGCTACAGGTCTTCAAAAGTCCTGGAAATCTGCTTATTTCAAGCAGTAAAGTTTTCAGAATTTACAAAATAAGAAATGTATGTTAACTTTATGGAGAATTGATTTTGAAATCTTGGAAATGAAAGGATGTTAGATTGGAGTCATGGAAAAGTCCCTAAAATTTTATATAATGGTATGAACCCTGGAGAATTGATACCTGGATCAAGTGTCTAGAATGGTTTAAATATACAACCCTTTTGTCCTTAGTAATTGTTTGTTGTTATTAATTGGGGAACCCTCGGTGCATAAGATAATTGGGAGGAGGTGGGGGAGGAACTAAACTTCTTTGGACTCTCTTTTCATGGGGTGTTCAGTATTCAACAAAGCACTCCTGTCCACCACCTCCACAATAGTACAATAGTATGATACTTTCTGTCAGGTATGGTGGTCAGCCAAGATGAAAGTGATGACATTGTTGATGAAAATGATCCTGATGATGACCTGGACAATGATGCTGATGACTTGGATGATGTAGATGTAGGAGATGTTTCAGAACACCTAGAGGCTGAAGACTTGGACACAAAAGACACAGAGGAAGATAAAGAAGTAACCCAGGTGAAAATGATTCTTTTTATTTGCCACACCTTGCAACCGATGTGGAAGATGGATGAACAGTGTAATATTCCACTTGTGTTCAGATCTGTTGTTTCCTTTTTGCTCTCAACTGAATAAATCACCATTAAGTGGGCCAAGCTTTTTGAATTGTGACTAACTGATCTATGTGTTAATACATTGGCAATGTTGAGCTGTATTTTTTTGTATCTAAATTGCAGTCCTGATAGTAGGATTCATTTGATTGACCCACTGAGTTGACATTTATGAGACCTTTTAAGGAAACTTAAAGTTTCTAATGGGATTCACTTGGGATTCTGAGGAATTTTGATAAGAGTGTCACTCTGAGTTAATGATATGGCACAGCATATAAAGAAACAACCACAGTTTTTCAATTGTAATGATAACATTGTGGGTTTACATGTATTTCTTTAACTTTTCAGGAAGTTATAGCAGATGAAAAAAAGACGCAAAAAGTTATTTCAGTGTAAGTGAGAATGTTATTGGTTGATGCATCAAGAAAGCTGAGAAATGTTTTTGTTTTTCCTCTCACAGCTGACTGACTGTCATTTTTAGGCAATTTTCATTTGAGTCAACACTTCCAGACTAACCTTTTATTTTTTACTTAACATGAAAACAAAATATCTTCTTTTTGGGAAAGATACACTTGGACCCAGTTGTTCAAAGGGCAGATAGAGATATCCAATGGATTAATTGCTATTCAGCAGATATCTGTTTACCCATTTATCCAGTGGATAGCATTATCCACACTTTGAACAACCCTGGTCTGCTACACAGGGGAAAAAAGTATATTCTGTCTGTTTATAGTGGGTATGAGTGTAGTTATCCCAGTCAGTTAGTTAATAGGAACTCATTTTAAATAGGGAAGAGCAAGACTGGAGTTGTTAACCATGTGTTTTATGGGAATCATTTGTTGTTCCACCCTAAAAAAAGCATTGGTGAAGAACTCCAGCTGCTGGGACTCGGCAATTTACAAGAATAGTTGGGAAGTTAAAATTGACATTGCTGATACATTTAATTAATATTTGCTAGTGGAAAAACGGATACAGCATAATTTTTGAAGTGATTGTATTCATTTAGTTGTTTTTAATAGTGTGAACTACATTGTGTTTAATACATGCATTCCCTCTATTTTACAGCAAAAGGGTGCCCATTACACCTCCTGGAAACGTTGCTGGTCAAGTGACATTAACTGATGCAGAGGTGCAGTATTCAAAGGATTAATTATTTGCTGAATAACTCAATTGAGAAAAGTTGTTCTTGGAAAGTGTATATAGCTAAATTATTAGTTGATTATTTGTTCTTTACTAGAAAAAGTCAAAGAGATTAGAAAGATTTGGTATGTCTCCACCAGTGACAGATGTTGAGAAGAAACAAGCCAGAGCTCAGAGGTCAGTTATGATCTGTTTTGTAATATCTCTCAGTTGACACTTGCAATATAGTCAATTTAGCATGCCATATTTCACCAAACGGCTTGGTTAAATTCCAAAGTTTGTTTGATTTGAAACCTTCTCCCTCTCTTTGAGTCCAGAGATATAATTTATATCTTAACCCTTTAACTCCCAAGATCAAATTATTAATTCTCCCCTTAAGCTGCTACACATTTCTTTGTGAAGTAGTAATGAGAGTTTGGTGTTAGATCAAGATAAAAACTTCTACTTGATAAGTATTAATATTCTCATTACCTATTTGCTGGTTCATGTTAGGATATTATGGGGAGAAGTTTCATGTTGATCACTTCTGGGAGTTTAAGGGTTAATAACCTCATCTTCTTGGTCCTCAATGTAAGTTACAGAACCTCCCTGTTTTTTTTTTTTCTTTTTTTGTTCACACGGATTTATGGCTTCATGTAAAAATCCAAGTGCAAAAAAATGTAGCCCTTGCATTCCATTACAGACCTCAAGCTTGGTTTGTGCGAGGTAAATAAACCTTTTGGTGTTCAATATGAGGAAGCTTTGATTCAGTTGCGCAAATAGTTTGACCCACGACTCATCCCCATTGTCATTTGTTTAGTTGAACTTAATGGCTTATGGTAGAGCAGAAAACCTAAGGAACTTACTTTCTATGTGAATTTAACCCCCTAATTATTTTTGCCTCCTTTGTATGTTTAGATTTGGTTTTTCTAGCCCTGCCAGTAATGGAACTGCCAAGAGTTCACCAATTGTTGGGGGAAAGGTAAATTCATTTTAATGTTAATGTTTGTTAGGGACAATTAGCAGCATAGAAGCTACCAATAATGTTTTAATCTTACATGTTAAATGGTACAAAATTTCATGTAGTCATGTTATGTTTAACAGGAAGTAGATGTTGATAAACTAAAGAAAAGAGCTGAAAGATTTGGTGCAGTCTCTCCTGCTATAACCAAGGTAAAGACATCTTGCCTACTACAATTTTGTTCTCTGTTACAAATTGACAGCCTTGTAGAACACAACTTCAGAGTTAGGTTTACATTTAATCATTTGTCTCATGATGTAGTCACTTGAGATGTATATTACAACATTTCTACTTCTCTCAGCTAAAAACAAAGATATGTTGTCCCTTTTGGTCATTAAGAGTTATAGCACTCCACTTTTGCTTGCAGAATCCTCTTAAAAACTTTCAAGAGCTAGAAACCATCAAAATGAAACACATCACTGTCTGTGTATGATAAATCTAATGGAACAGTATAAACATCATGAAATTGCTTTCATGGGCACCTTGCCACATCACACTTATACTTCAATAAGCAAAAGTTTGTGTATGCGCATAACATTTGGCATAAATGCAACAAGGTTTTCTTTCTCAATTTAATTGCCCATTTAGAGTTCCCTAGCCCAGTGGAACTGATGATCTGTAATGTGCTTGAAATTGAAAGTAATTTTACCTTATAAATAAAACAATGACAAAATTACTTTAATGCATTTTAATGGGGCAGTTTTGAGATTCTTACAGTCTTTCCTTTCTTTTGTCCCTTTTCTGTTTGTGTCTTATTTTTAGTATCAAAGAATATAATTTTCAATGATCAACTAAACTCTCACCAAACACATGTATCTTCTATTGTATCTTACCTGGTATGATTTGTTTAATATTGGCAATTTTCTCTACTTTTATTTAGCTTGAAGAAAATGATAAATTGCTGAAGAGAAAACAACGGTTTGGTGTAGCTATTACAGGATCTCCAGGAAACATCTCAGATGTAAGTTAAATTGCCAATTTTGTTTTGAGTTAAGAATTGTAATACTGTTCAGATGACTTCTGCTTTTGTAAACTACAGAGTACCAGCAGGTATGTCCTGTGTAAATGTGACTTCTCCAAATGTTATTATTTTCTATTTGCTAGGCTAAGAAGAAGAGAGCTGAAAGATTTGGGCTCTGAGGCAAACTTTTTAAGCAATTGCTTGCAGTTGAGACAAGAACTTCAACAAAGAAGGAATGACACAGTTACATTTTTGATATGATTATCCAGTGGGTTAGTTTTGAATACTACTGCTTGTATATTAAAAAGGAGGCCAGAAAAGCAGTGGACACTCATAAACAGCTCCCAGCTCTGTCAAGTTCTGTTTAATGAATGGCAGCTGCTGCAATAATTAAGCTGCAATCTTCTGTCTTGTAAATTTGGCCCATGTAGATGGTCTTGATGACATTACAAACACCTTATCTGTGAAAATGGCTCATAGAGATTTGCAACAGTAAGGCTGCATCACTGGATGATTAACTCAAATTAGAAGGTAACATATTTGGGTCAGTTATTTTAAAAACAGGGATTAATTTTGGTTCTGATAACTACTAAGGCTGTTTATTTCATCATATATACTCTTCTTCATAACCGTTACCTCTTTGGACCTGAAAATTTGTGCCTTTAACTGTTTGAATTCTGCATTTTGACTTCCTGTTTTTTTTAATTTTTAATTTTGTTTTTGCAATAAAATTGCAGCTTCTTTTCTTCAGATTGACAATGAAATGATACTGTGGTGACACGAAGTAGTTCACTTGTCCTTGAAATCTAACAATTCAAAGAACTAGTCAAAACAGAAATTTTCTTTGTGCATCATTTTTATTCTCAACCACATCTCCAGGCTCCATAGCCTGGTTATTTTGGGAACACTTGTTCCAAAACCATTCTTAGTTTGTGCACTTGAAAATATTTGTTGTAGTCAATTTTACATATACTACAAAGTTATTTTACACTCCAGAAGTCTGGTGTCCAATTATTTATCTGAATGGGGAAAAATGTGAATGTTTTGCAAAATTCTCAACTTTCACACTTTTTCTTAGTTATGGTTGGAATTTTTCTCTTTGCATTACTTGGATATCAAAAGGATGCCTCACTGATAAAAGTATTTTTGTCGACAGATCTTGGTTTGTCTCCAAATTGACCAAGAACTAAAAGTTTTCATCTCCATCACTAGAGAAACTTGCATAATCACAGCATTGTTCATCATTGTTTCTTGGTAGAAAAATGTTCGAGTTACAGCTATGCAATCTGTTTAACAATATACTGACATAAAGATAAAACTGCTGCATGTTTCTATTTCTTAATAATGTATTAAGGCACCCAGGACCGTTTAAATAACACATGATAAATTCTGAGAAAGATTAATGTGGGTTTTGTGCTCTTAGTCCTTAAACATAGCCCCTTTAACAAATTGTTACATTACTGACTGTAAAAAGAACACAAACGTGAATGTTCATTGTGCTTTTCCTTATTATATGTAGAGTAATAAAGGTTTTTTTTATACTGTATTGTTGGAATTGATAATTTTTGTTGGAACAAGATAAGAAATGAGCCCTGATTGTTGTACATTGATAAATGTTTCCTTCACAGCTCAAGTCCCTCTAAGATTTTACTTCCGGTGCCGAAGTCTTCATAGCACTGTACTCAGGTCCTTACTTCATTATGTGTGCCTTACAATCCTAATATATCTTCATTTCCTTTGAGGAAAATTGTAGTCAATGTTACTCCACGCAAAGACCATAGCAAAGTGTTTGCTACAGGTGTACACTGCTGTCAAACGGCTACCCATCTCGTTCACCCAGGGGATTAAGAACCTAGCTAAGTCGTACTCGAACGGGAAACGAATAGATTTTGTTGTGTGCGTTTCATTGTGTGAAAAATCTTCGCCTTTCTTTAAATGGAGATATTTTCTATCTTCTGCTGAATATTTTCAAGCAATCTGGCAAACGTTGTTAATCTGCCGTTTGGTAGTCCTTACAATTTTCTCCTCTTCTTCTCTAGTCAATCATTAGGCAAGCACTGTGAAAGATGTGAAAATTCCCACTTGCAAACGCTAAGTTGAGACCCACAGGCTCGGTAATAGATTCTATTCAAGTGGTAGCCAACAACCCCAACGGTCTACGGTGTGGGTCTTGTAAATGTCGCTATCTGTTTTCACTGCAAGCTTTTACGTTCCAACTTTCTTTACTTGTAAACACGTCTTGATGTTCATTCCCGCTAACTCGGCAACAAGATATCGGAAGACATAAGGAAAGGCTAACAACTGAATATGCTCGCTGCTCTCACAAACTTTACAAATCCACTTCCTCTTCCTGTGCGCAGCCGCAGCTGCCAGCTCATCCGCGGGTTTTTCCAGGAGAGGAGAGAGTATGCTACCACATTTTGTACATACATGACCCTAGAAAGAAGGAAGGGAGAAACAGAACAAACAGATTAACTGACTGGCGTTAAAAGGCGAGATTTTACAGGGAACTGGTGACTAATACGGAGACACCTCAATTACTTACAGGAATGAAAGTCGATACTTTGTAAACAGCAATATAAAGTTAAATTTGAACAGAAAACAGTTTTTGTTCATTGCCTAAACCCTTAAACTCTATAGATTTTTTATTCCATTCCACATTCCACAGGCAACGAATCACTAATCAACGTCAGTTTCACCCTGTACAATTTCCATGACCAATAATAATCCTTGTCAAAAGATCTACACTAGCAAATTCCTAGCAAGGAAACCGTGACAAACACCTGTCAGATTCGAACAGGAAGAATTTACAGGGAAACATTGATCAAATGTTTTTATCTACACTGTCAAGGAAAACTGATCCGACTGCAATTCTCACCACTGTCCTGTCTGAGCAGTTCATGAGGCGATCTTGTAATAGGTAGGAAGCACCGTGTGCAAGCAATGCGTCTCTTTCCATTTCTCCAAACCGAATACCTCCCTGTCTTTTGCGACCCTACAAGATGGAAACATACCTACTGTTAGACAAATAATACTTAGCCCAATGTTTGATAATACGATATGACCATCCATTGAGGGATGAACGAACTTAACTCGGAAAAGAACGCAGCGTTGGTAGAAGTTTACAAGGATAAACTTCGACAAGCTTGTCAGCAAGAGAGGAGAATTCGAACTTAAAGTGATGGAACGAAAACACGGCTGAACGACAGTAAAGGTCCGTGATCTTATACTCCGAATTTCAAGTAAGAGTAGGAGGGTATTTCTGATACGATTGAATATAAAGTTTGTGAAGCAAACAATTACGCTGGTTAAGCGACCTTTTTCCTTGTCTACCTCTTATTGTATTTCCTGGAAAAGCCACGTAACAGTTTGTGTTTATTGAAACCATTCAGCCTGAATACTTTTAGTTTGTCATTTGCAATGTGTTTGAAAATTCACCATTCTCTCACACATTTCTTGCAATTTTGGCTCTGACAAGACACCCACCCCTCCCCCCTCAAGTAAGATTTTCCTCTCTACGTTTAAGCTCTCTGAGACGGTTTTGAGATTAGTAGATAATACACTCTTTCCACTCACATCTGCACCAGCATCAGAGTATAAGCGTTATCACTTTGGCCTAGGAACACAGTGTCCCACAGTAACAACCAATAAAACACCAGCTGAGACCATGTAACACATTGTCCACAGCCAATCAGATGACACGCATAAGTGATGTCATCACATACTGGTAAGTACATTGTCAAGAGCCCTGTTAGCAAAATATGCTGTTACCTGAATAGGCTGGTGCGTGAGTATGTCAATAGGACCTGTTGTCCGGACCTGTATAAAGAGGAAAGAATTGAATAGCCATATAAAAATAATGACGTCACTTAATAGCGGAGCTCGCAGAGCGTAGCCCCATAATCATACAAAATAGTAGTAACCCATCAAGCCGAAAAAATTTGGATGTACGACCGTACGATCGTACAAGGTACTACTTTTAACATGCGTGGTCAACTGTACCGCGGGCACGCCATCGCCACGGCTTTGTTCAGTAGTCCAGTGGTCAGGGCAATGGGCTCCGAGTCGGACGACCCGGGTTCTAGTCCTGGCCGGGGCAAGGCGTTGTGCCCTTGAGACGTGCGGGAAAAAAAATTGCGATCTCCGCTTTTAGGCTTGGCTAAATCTATATATTACTGATGTTTTTAGACGGTGAAATTCTTATCCAAAAGCCTAAAATAAAGTTGCGAACAAGGCCCTAAGAACTCGAAAGACCCACGGTCCAATGATAAATTGCTTATTGACTGAGATGGTACGCCAGTGTCAGACTTTATTTTTTATCAAGTTGACCGCTAACTAGCCGTATTTGTGGATCTTAACCAATAAAACACTGGCTAAAATCACGTCACACCGCTGTTAGAGCCAATCAGATGACACGCATAATAGTTTGTCATCATACACTGGTTGGAAACGTTTTGATACAAAGTGAGACAAGAATCAAGTATAAGACGGATGGGTGGGTGGGAGGGGAATAAATTACCTGATACTTGTCAGCTACCATGTGCCTGAGACGCTGATAGTAAACAACTCCAAAAAAGATATCTGCTTCAAATTCTCTACCATCGACGCCACTGTACATCCGCTCCGTACCATAGTAATTGTAACCGGCTGGAAGATAGATCAAGAATTGAACGGTAGTACGATGAAAACTTGAAGATTGGTCATCATTTTTCTGTCATTATGTACATGGAACCATAATAAATTCACTTAACAAGCTGGTGTTTTTTCAAAAATTTAATACCTTGAAAAAAAATAAATATATCATAAAAGCAAACAAGAGTTTACAAACATTTTTTTAAGAGATTTCCGAAGTATGTGATGGCGGGATTATCTTCTGAGAAAGTGAATGGTGTAGCATCGTAGGCCAATCCATCGAGGCTGGCTGATTTTCCCGCCATACTCTCAATCATCATACCTAACAAAAAGAGTCAAAGCATGTTTTAACAATAAGAGCACGTTTCATTCGAATTTCGTAAAACCAACACCAAAGTAATTACAACAGCCAATCAGAAGAGAGGAAAACACCTTTGAGAGCCAATGAAAACTCAACATGAAAACAGTTAAACTGCCTGAAGCGCGGGAAAAACGGGTGACTAATTTTCGATTGGTGTTTGTTTTGCATTTGATTGGTTGAGAGGGTGGTGTGACTTTTCTGGACCAATCACACAGCAACGTAAAGCAAAACTAATGCAATCCCGGATAACTTTCAACTCTCAATTGAAAATTGCTCTATCACTTAATCGTGATAATCATGACAGTATTTCTTTGCGGACAAACCTATTTGCTGTTATAACTGCTAACCACCAAGGATGATTGGCAAAGTTTATAACCACCTGAACTAAAAAAGAGGGTCTGTAAAGTGAAGTGAGAAGGTCTACATACCAATTGTCATACGTGAAGGGAAGCCGTGAGGATTGAATATAATATCTGGCGTCATTCCAGACTCTGTGAAAGGCATGTTCTCAACAGGCCACTTTTGGCTAAAAGAGAAAAAAAGAAATGAATCATTTCAACGGTTTCTCGGTTATCGCGCTTTAAGTTATTTTTATTTTTTCTTCAATAAATACAGGAAACCTTCCTCAGGATAAAACGAGGCGAATTCACGAAGAAGATGGTATGCTGTTTGGCCACACCTTCGCAATACAGGTTGATATTCACGGCCAAACACAAATTTTGAAGTACATTATTAATAGAAGGGACAAGCCTTGTGTGGCTAATGCAGCATCTAAAGCTGCCCAAGGGGTTTCATTAACGTTTGTTTGTGAACCTACTCACAGGCTCAAGGGACAGCGGTAGGAGGTGTTATCGTTTTAGGCGGTGGTACAACGTCAGTAACCGGCTTTTGTTATGACGCCTGAGCCGCAAACAACCGGATCAATTAGTTCTTATAACCTAAGTACCTACCTACAAATCCCTTTCTGTCCATGACGACTTGAGAACTTGTCTCCAATGATTGGATTTCTCTAAAAATAGAAGTTCATGTCAACCAGTAAAGGTCCGTGATCTTATACTCAGAATTTCAAGTAAGAGTAGGAGGGTACCAGAGGATACCAGGGAGGAGAGTGCTCTCACCTCTGTCTTATCTCTGCTCCCCCAACATAAATAAATGTTATTCAGGAGTACAGATCATACCTGTATTCTCAATTTAATTGAAGCTTTTTGGAGCAAACCCGTCCCTTCATCATTTCCAAGAACTTTTACCTATATACAGAGAAAAACGAACAAAACTGTTACAACCGACCAGCTCAATTGCAATTTGCACATAGCAGGAAATTAAAAACAGCAGGGAAGTTTACAACTGTGCTTACATCTTCAACAATCGCGCTTTCTAAGCTGTTGTATTTCTGGATGACTGCTTGTCCAATGTTGTCTTCAATAAAACTATAACAAGAAAAAAAGTCAGTGGATTGGAAAACAGCCACTAACAAGGGCTGCATTTAAACTAAATCTATCCTTCAGTCTCATTTTTTTAAAATTAAAAGCCGTTTTAACTCGAAAGGTATAATTTACATACCTATGTCAATACGTTATAAGTAAAGAAAATATAACCGATATTATGCTGGGAATGAAGCTTACGTATGACCAGTATCAGACTTGCAATTTTATCAAATTGACAGAGAGCAATGACGTCACATGAGTAACAACCAATAAAACAAGGGTTGAGATCAAGTGATGTTTTACCCCAAGGCAATCAGATGACACGCATAATATGATGTCATCACTTACTAGTCATCACACAGCAAGGTGTGAAATTTAAACAATGTTACGGGATACAATATCAATAACAACATGCGTCCAGCGTTAGGAGATTCTTGGCTTGGTTCACACGTAGTCGAAGTTTAAAATGGGATTTTGTGCCAATCAAAGTCTTCATTAATCAACAAAAACTATGACTGCTCTTGTAAAGATTTGTTGCCAATTACAGAAGCAGGGAATGAACCATGCAAACTCACAGCAATGACTTTATAAGCACACGGCTAATATGAAGATTCACATAAACAATGGAGACTCAAGTCTTACATTATAGATGTTCACTAAGTCTCGTGCTATTAATACAGGACTGATACCTAGAATGCATCACGTTTTTAACAACTAATGCAGGTTTTGCACTACTATGATCAAAGTTTTCTAACTGATTATACAGATTTCTTACCAGTAATACAAGTTTCTTACCAATAATATGGGTCTCCTGTCTCCAGCTTTGCTCCAATTGGTGGAAGACCATCACTGTCGAGAAATCCTTGAACTCGTTCATCATCAGGAAGGCAGCCTTAGAAAAAACAAATCGTTTGTAAAAAATGAGAGTGGCAAAAAGAGTGAAAAAAGATATGACATGTGGCCACAGATGTACAAAGCTATTTCTTGCTTTCCAGTGGCAAAGGAAAACACTCAGAGGCCTCTTAGTCTCTAAGTTTAACTGGAAAAAGAAAAGTAAATGATGGCTTTTGAAAACCCAACCAATCACTATCAAAAAAAAAACCACAAAACAGCAAAACAACAACAAAAAGACAACAGAGACATGACATTCGATAAATTGGGCTGTTTGGTGAGTTTATTTTCACAATTATGTGAGGAAAATTCTCACCAAATCTGACGCTTGAAACTTGGAACTCATTTCCTGGAACTTTCTTAAGATCGATGATCTGTTAAAACATGAATAGATAGTCAATATGAATTCACAAGCCTCTGTAAAAATGTAAAAATATGAAAGATTGATAAAGCTCATACATGGTACAAACCTCACACTTGATAACAGAGCCATGGGCAAATCCACGCTCATAAGATGATTTATTGAGTATCATGGCATCCTCCATGTCATAACCCTTGAAAAAAAACATAATTAACTCTTCAATCCTAAGAGTGACTGGCTTCTGATTTCTCCTTAAAGGATGTGATCACCTATTTATGAAGCTCCTGATTGTCAAACAGATTCTCCTTGTCATTAACACCAGAAATGTAGAGAGATCATTGTAGAGAATATCAATACTAATTAAAGGATTAAGTGGGAAAAGATTTAAGGATAAACAGTTGATGTCTGAATAATCAAATGCTCTTTGTGCTCTGGACAATGCTGCAATTACGAGAGGGTAAATAGACAATTTGTACCTGTTTTATTCTAAAATGTTACGACCTTATTTCACAAACCGTGTAGGAGATAACAGCTACCACAGCATTTGTTCCTAGGGCATAGTTGTCAACAGATAACTCATCATGAGCAACTGGTCGTACCAAAGGACTCTGTGGAGTCTGATGTAAAGGAATATACACAATATTCTTTGAGTTTAGCTGAGCTATTTTTACAAAGAGTTTGCTTAAGGCACTTTTCATCTTAACCCACTTTTTCAGAGGGTCTTAACGGGGTTAACTGTTACCTGTAAAACGGCCAAAACATTTAGCCATTAAGTGTAAAATTGAAAAATTTTAACGGTTAGTCGTTAAAGAGGTTAACTGTAAAAAAACTTTCTGGTGACCACAGTGGAATGATTATTAACCGTTAGCTGTAAATTGGCCAAAGTTTTAACTACTAACCAAACTACCTGCACAGGAAAACCCAAGTGATGAACTTCCATGTGGTTAATTGTTAACACAATTGATAAGTTTGGAAGGTGAAGCAATTTTTCCAGACCAACCATCTCAGAGGAAATGAATACTAATTAGACACTACGTCACAATGCCCTGATAAAAACCTAACTGAGTCACAGCCTGTCTAATTAGCTCTGAAGAAACCAAGCCCTTTCAATACCTGTATTCTGTATAGTTTGTTATCACTGCGATATTTCAATGCTTGCGCTGGTGTTCCCATTGTTTGCTTCCCCATCTTGGAAACAAGAAAAAAAGGACGAAAGATAAATGAACTATGTAGGAATTCTATATGTGTTGATAGCATCTCCTATGGCGTTAAACTCATTTGCTTTGTCCAAGATATATCATTTCCTACAGAGCAAAGGAGATGAATTAGCCCAGAACACTCAAACAATGTAAAGGTATGAACAAAAGTGAGGTAACTTTGTTTTAATTAAAAGCTAATTTTAAGGTTACAAATGCAACCATTTAACCCCCAAAAAATTTTTATATTTCTGCAATTGCACAACATAAACATATTTGCATATCTAAGTAGGCTCATTCAGCCAGTTAAGGCTACCTGTGTCTAAAGCGCACACAAAACTAACAGATAGGCAAGCTAGAATGAGACTTCATGTCTTTTTTGGCCTGGCCAGGGTGCAGATCATCAGCCAAAAGTCCATCAAACCATTTCTGTTTCACTTACCTGACATTGGTACATGTTACGGGGACTTTGGTTGTGATCTGAAAATGGTGTTAAACTTGCAACAGCACTTAACATACTGGCTGGTTTCAGTTCGAGATGTGTGGTTTTCTGGGCATTGAAAAAAGTAACATGTTTCAAGAGATTCATTAAGAGAAATTTGTACAGCAGATGCAGTGATATTAAAAAGGAAAACAATAATTAAAAAAAACAAAAAATTTGAGCAAGCTACAAAGAGAGATTCAAAATTTCACTTGTCACACAGGAGAGACAAAGAAAAATTTGAGACTTCGAGAAGAATTCAACCCCAGACCCTCTGACAAGACAAGCTATATACCCCCTGTTAGTGGCACATTAAGAGGAAGGGTCACAAGAAGGGGGGTGGGGAGGGAGGAGAGACTGGAACAAGAACGAAAACTAATTTGATGTTTTTTCTGTTTTCCTCCATCAAAGTTTGACCCCTCCTATCAACAATTGCTGCATCAATAGGTTAATTTTCATCAGCTATTTCATCAAAATTTCAAGCAAAATATACTTTTTGATACAACAAACATTAGGTTAAGTATAGTAACCAACTAAAATTTACATACCGCCTCATATGCTTCTTCTTTAACAACTGCAATATCCATATATACCTAAAGTGTACAACTCATTGTTAGCTATAGCTCTACCAAAACATTCACAGCTTTCTCCTAGCTTCCATTAAAACGAATGAGACAAATATAACAAGAAAAAATAAAAGTAAAAAAAAATATCCTGTAACGTATGATTTGCTTTTTGAAATTAATACTGAGTTAGGTTAAACCTTTAACTACCAGAATTGATTGATTTGTAACTTCTCCCAATAATATCCATTAATTACCCAGCAAACAGGTAATAAGAAAACTCAAACTTATCAAGTAAAAGTTTTTATCGTGATCTAACACCAAATTCTAGTTAAGTAGTTTACAGTGAGATGTGTGGCAGCTAGAGGGGAGAATTAACAATCAGATCTTGGGAGTTGAAGGGTTAACATTTGACAGGAAACAAACCTGCTCAAAAGTTCCAATCATTTCCACTTTGTTTGCAGCCAGGTTAAATACAGGCCTCATCATTCGAGCTGGGGTGGAGAAAATATACAAGCCTGGGTATTGGCTTGCTACTTTTGTAATGGGCACAAGACATATCTCCAGCATCTGAGGAATCTAACAGGATGGAAACATTGCACTCAAAATCTTTACTCAACAGGATAGATATGGCAGATGGTGACACCCTGCAAAATATACCGCTGATGGCACATGCTAGGCATCAGTTAAAATCTGGTGTGGTTTTCCACATTTTGCGGAAACTTCTTGTTAGTCACCCTCACTTCATGATTGGAGTTGATATCTGTGGTCAAATAATACTTGCTTGTTGTATTTTCTGTCTCCAGGGTTAAACAGGTTCACAGGGTTACTAATGAAACATGGGAACCTGTTGCAAACTTTCCTCCATGCCAATACAAGCTACCACTACATTGTTTTCCAGAGTAAGAAAAGAAAAAAAAGCTTATCAGCCTTTATTTTGCCTATGTACCTCCTCTAGTCCAAGTACTTTTAACATGCGCAGTCTGTTGGCAAGTGATGGTGCAAGGTCCATATCAACTCTACCAATCACTCTGCCGTCTAAGATAACCACATAACAAGACTTCACATCAGCAGGTGCAGGGGCATCAATCAGACTCATGCCTAATGAACATAACAGCCTGAGAAGGTGGGAAGTCTGTAGCACATCATTCACAACCTGTGAGACGTAGGATACCTGTTTTAAAACTAGCAACACACTTCAACTGAACTATGCCATAGTTTTGTTGTCAAATATTTGCTGCTTAAGAATCCTAACAAAGACAATTATCCTTATTCATAAGTCTATAGGCCTCCCCCTTCCAAAAATGTGGGCTGGTCTTTAAACCTTTCACTCCAAAGATCTCCTTGGTAATTCTCCCTACTGTCTGCCATAAAATTCTAATCATGTCAGTTGGAGAATTTGGTGATACAGCTGATAATTCCCTGTAAGTGATGTTCTTCTTTTCTCTCCCCACCCATCTGCTTGATATTGTATTGATATTGTTAGGAGAAATTCTGTCTAAATCACCTCTGGGAGTTAAACGGTTAACCACTAATTTTAAGATATACGATGCATTAAAAGTCCTGGAAATTTTACTAAGAAAAAAAAAGAGGAAAGCAAACACATCTTGTTTTAACTAAATTTGAATAATTTAGGTAATCACAAAGTTTACCTGACATGATGCCGACAAATGGTTCAAAAGACCACATGGTGCCCCATCAGGAGTGTGTACTGGGCATAGAAACCCTTCAACATAAAACAAAAAAAAAAAAAACACTTACCACAAAACTGGAAAGTGACACAGATGAGAGATTTTTAATTGAGAAGAGCATACCCCAAGCTTCTGGTAATAACTTCCTCACAGATGTTGTTCTCATCTGAGAAAAAAAAGTTCCTCTGTGAACACACCGGAAGTGGGACAGAAACCTGTAGAAATTGAGTCGGTCAGCCACCACGGAAAATCCTGTGGTCTGGAGAATAAAAACAATAATTTGATTCCATTATACATCCTAATCCACTTCAGTATAAAGCAATTGTCCATTGAGGATTACTTTTATGCTTGATTTCCAGCATTTTCATGTATAGCTATGCTGGACACCAAAGAATGCAAAAGTATACAAAATCAATAAAAAAGACATTAAATTTTTTAATTTATAGACAACTAAAACAAGTATAATACAAGGTTTTTATAATAAATGTTGTTGCACAAATTAAGGTCAGGAGACATTGCCATAAATAAGCCACTTTGCTCCTTAGACTTATTGACACAAATTAAGGTACATTGACTCATGGAAACCATCACAATTCTGCAGATCAACTTTGGAACGTTTTATGGTGATCTTTAGTCTTTTGGGAGTGTTTGAAAAACTTTAAAACAATTCTCTCCTTAATGACAGTCAAACATGATGATGAAGTCTCTGCACGTGAATCTTCTAATGAATCAATCATATGAAAATGTGAAATGTATGCTGTTGCAGGATTAAATAAACCGAACTTTAATTTGCCGGGATGTTCATAAGGCACAAGGAACAAGAGAAGGAGGTCCTGAAGAGAGAGGGTAAAAACTGAATAAGGCAATCTTTGTTTTAAAAACAGCCATGTGTTCCAAAAGAACACCATCAGCCCTGTACAGAAGTACTCTATGATGAACTCCCTACCAAAGAGAGGCTGTCCTAAGAAAACTTGGAAGAAAACCATAGAAAAGGAAATGAGGGAAAGAGGCTGAAGTCGGGGGTTGCTTGACTGACATAAAAACAAGAAGAGAGTAAAAACTAAATAAAGTAAAGTATATTGGAAAAACAAGAGGTAAAGAGCTAACCTGCATAAGACCAAGGCCTGATCTTGACACTAGATTACCAGTAGCAAGGAGATATTCCATTTGGTGTGAGATGTTAGTGCTACGTGACATTGCCTGTAGTAAACTAGCTGCATAAAAATATGAAAGACAGTGTGCAAGATGAGTCTTATAGAAATATATGCTACAGAACTTTCACCTGGTCCACTGCCAGAAACCAAAATGTAAAGCAAAAGTGAAGATAACAAAACAAAAACAGTAAAACTATGACCAACGCTACACTTTTCATATCTGAGGTCAGGAAGTATCCTTTTCTACAATAGTTAATCTTATTAAAAAAAAACAACAAATAACTAATCTAACAATTTCTTCACATCTTTGGTACCTAATCATTACTTTTTTTCAAGACTTTTTTAACACACTTCATAAATTTTGAGCTGAGGAATTAATGCAGTATTGCTATATTCACTTCTCACCTGTATTTAAACTATAACTTTGTTTCTTTGTCATATCCTTTTCAATATTGGCCCGCACACTATACAGCCAGACCTCCAGCTTTTCCTGCAGATACAGACATGTTACAATTCTATCTTTATTGTCACTGAATGTTACACTGTCTTGTACATGAAACAGCTATCAACCCATTACACCCTAACATCAGTATGCATATTCTCCATACTGTTCTCTATACATTTCCTAAGGTGCTGACAAAAAGAATTTGTTTGACAATCAAGAGCTTCATTAGTTGTGATAATTTCTTTAATTCTCATGAACTTAATATGTAATTTGGGGGTGATATTGTAGGGAGAAATTAGTTGCTAGTCACTCTTAGAAGTCAAAGGGTTAATAAGCAATGTGCACCATAAATATGAACATCACTTAAGGGTAGGCTGTATACAGCATGGAACAGCAAAATGCCTTTCTACAATTAGTGGTCACTAATGAAATAAATATAAGAGTCCCTTTTCTAGATCCTGGAATTAAATTATTATGGTAAGGTAATCGGTAAGCTGAACACCATGCAATCAAATTGTAATGCAGAACAACAAAGCATGAAGAGAACCACATCCATTCAAAAAAAATTGCAAGTTTACTTAGCAGTCACTGTAATCTAACTAAAACAGTCACTAACATTGAATTCCATAACAAGGAGTCTTGTCACAGTTCCAGCTCTCTGTTGCTAGAATTTTTGAAGTATACTTCACCTTTGAAGACTGCAGCAGCAATTTATACTTAAGGGAGAAGGAACTGGAGTAACTGATGATTCAGATCTCATTTGATACATTACATCACCTGGTAGATAACAAACTGCTTTCATTGCAGACTTTTTCCAAACCAAAAAAAGGTTCTCATGCAGCATATTACCTTTAAGGTCATAAGATACAAATGTCCACCAAGAAGTACTTCTTGCATCATTGGATTATCTGCACTTTCTGTTGCACACTTTTCTAGAGCAAATGCATACAGCTTCCTTGCCATGAAACTGTAAAACAAAGAGTTATGGGAATCAAAAAGAAGAAATTGTATCACATTGCAAGTTCACAATTCAGCACAACTTGAAAATCTGGGAAACAACTTTCTTTCAAACAGAAATCCTTCATACTTACATCATTAAATTAAACTTATCTACATCTGCATTCAGGTGAACACAAACACAGTTTCTGAGGAGTAAAATGAAATTGCCTAAATTAAGTGCACACAACAGATTTGTTACATAACCCATCCAAAATTGTATTTACAAGGTGCATCAGCTTTCTCAAATGCTGATCATTATTTCTGAGTTTATCCTCAAAGGCCCTCGCTCGTGGACACTTGCCATTACTGTAGATGAACAACAAAAAGAACACCAAACCCTTGTAACTAACATTGGTAGGATAACTCTCCAAACAGGACATAATGCTAAAAATCCATTGAGCTTAATAATTATACATGCAATAATGCCACTAATCACTGGCTACTGCATCACTTGCCACGCATCAAATAGAAACTTTATTTCTAAGCTGACACATTGAAAACCTCAACTGGTAACAACATAATAATAATAAGAACAACGACATGGTTCAAGTTCTTTAAGTCATATCTTAACAAGCAATGACTTCCTGTCACCTTTTGTTTAAATATGATGATGTTTTCTACAACTTTCTAGTCTCTGTTATACCCATACAAACTCTACACAAGGCACTAACACCACAAAGACCACTTACTGGAGAACAAATTGAGCTACAGCTTCATCAGAGTACCAGTCTGGTAACCTCATCTTGACTCTGAATCTTTCACCTATTTGCACAAATGTAAATCAGACAAACAAAAAAATAAATGTGCTAGGGTGTAGAGTAGCTTTTTCAAAAGAACTTCAGTCTCCCAATTAAGATTCACCTTTGCAAAAATCTGCAGTATCTTTGTTGTTGTTGTTGTTGTTGTTTTTTTTTTTGTGTGTGTGTGTGTGTGTGAGTGTAGGTGCAAACTGAGGGAGAGGTAAGTCTACAATATAAAAATGACCAGGATGCTTACCCTCTTGCCTATGGAGTGAAAATTTGCCTTCTTCATTTTACAAATCATCAATAAGTTGCATCTAAAACTGTATTTTTGAAAAGTGAAATGAAATCCGAACCATGCTCAGATGTAAGTGCTGCAGAACTGGGAGTTCTCTATCAGAGCTGGCAAGGAGGGAATTATAATTTTATCTTTATTGATCATTTTTAATACAATCTAAAATATCTTTATGAGCACTTTCATCATTGATGGTCATAGAGATCATTATTAGATTTCCAAGTTTCATGATACACAATGTGGAAACTTACTAAGGATTTCATGGGGTTGTTTCTTACCAATAAATTTGAGCACAGCCTGTTGAGTAGTAGCTCCCTGTAATTGGGCAGATCTGAGCATTGTGGCTATACAGCTAAGTTTCAAAAGAGTAAAGAAAATGTGAGGGAGAACAAACATTTCTTTCTAAGAGATAAACACAAATTTAGATAACTTCTGGTGTAGAATTATAAAGAGACTCTACAAGTTTAGAATTTAACTCATTAAAGAAAAACTTGCAAGGCTAATATCTTGTGATGTTGACACCAAGCTTGATCAGATAGATCTCAGTACAAGAAAGATACTTACTCTTTAAGGAAGCTGTTCTCTTCTTCTCCAGCCACCAGATGACGGTAGATTTGTTGATCTGTTATTTTAACTAAGGCCTTACATGTGGAAAAAAAAGACAAAGGAAAAAAACTATTCACTAAATCAATCCCTTTGCTACAGATGCATAACCAACAACATGATACATACAGATAAGTTAAACACTCACTTTGAGAATGAAAACCAGTGGAACATAAAACAATTCTTTCTCATAGGAAATAGCTATCACAATACTTCCATCAGAAAGATAATGGAGAATCATATTCTAAAAAATACCAGCATAAAAACAATGATTAGTTCTTTGAAAACTGCATATGTTAGCAACTTAAAAAGACAATAAAAATTGGGCTTGGCCCTGTATATAAAGAAATCTTCCTTGGAAACATGCAGGTTTCCTTATTTGTTAGACCAACACTTAGTGCCACCACATTGTCTTGAATGTATTTTTCCTGGGGAGTTCACACTAATTCCACCATAACAATTACATACAAGTATTATGTATGTGACACACCACGCAAATGTACTCACAGTTTTTGCCATCAAAAAAGCGAATCCAAAGGGATTAGTAAGATTGTAAATGTAAAAGAATATTTTTCTGCAAAATCTGTAAGAAAAGTTGCCAATTTGGCAACCTGCATGGTAAGGTTACATAGCAAACTGTAAAACTTTTTTTGTGGTAGCTAAAAGTTTATTTCTGGTAGCCATAATGGAATTTTAAGTCACCAAAGGGTGATCTTGAAAGAGTTGAACTTGAAGCCCTGCACTGTCTGTGTTTTTGCAACTCACAGATTTTCCTCTTGAGAGATATTATACTTAACACTTTATTAAGTGAGGTGATGTTATTCAATTGATGAGGAAAGAGATATTGGCAAACTTTTTACCATAGCTGTTTGGTCCTTCCTGACTGATCTCATCTGAATGCCATATTCTGTGTACATGGTGCCCCTTGTCTTCCATGATGGTCTTTGAACAGCTACTGGCTAAAAAAAACAGACGTCATTGAAAATGTTATGAGTTAGGTTTTATTTGGTTTTATTCAATTTTTAATTAGCAGTCTACTAATATTGTCTCTGATATGTTGTATTGGTTTTCAAAGAAACAACAAGTAGTTAACAGACACTCAAGGAATAAACCAGGTGATGTATAAATTTTGTTGGTTAACGGGCATCAACAGCAAAACTTACAAAGTTTCTTCTAGGAAGGATGAGCATTCTTATAATTTTTTCAATTCCATTGACTATGAAATAACCTCCAGCTTCCTGCAGAAATAGAATACAAAACTCTGACTCTGTCCAACATTACTGCTTAATCCTAATACTGACAAAAACTACATCACATTACTTAAACAGAGAAGAACAGTGGCTAGCATTTTCTAAGGAAAGGTGGTGCTAAACTAGGACAGAAATCTTGAGAGACAGACAGAAATCAGATCTGATGTTATCTTCAATTTTCAATTAAATGAAGAAAGCAATTATAGCTTGCTTCAGTTGTTCTTTTCTTTGCTCTGATATCAGTCTAGAAACCTTCCACCTTCCACTCAACAAATAAAGTGTCTTTGTCAGTGCTTTGAGCAGTTTGCGTTTTTACTTGGAGTTCTTGACGGCTTATTGAAGTAATAACTTGTGTTGTGATTGTTTGCATAACACTAAGAACTGTTAAAATATATTCTGATTTGTCCTCTTGTATAGTTCTAACATGATTCTACCTCTGCCTCCTCGTGTTTCTGAACCAGTTCCTGAGGTGAAAGCTTTGCTAGGGAGCAGTGGTTAGACTGAAAAGAATGACCACAAAATCAGCATTCAGGAAGATTATGTTAAGGTTATAAAATCATAATGACTCTGAAATAACATTTTTGAGAGTAAACTTTCTAGGGAAGCTACTGTCCCAACTCATTCAGCAGATCATAGCAAAGTCATTTAAGGGCTAACTCTGAGAGAACCAGATTCTCTTAATCCACAATAACAATGAAATGAAAAATACCATCATTGAATTTAACTTGATTATCAACTTTACTTTGATTGTCCACTGACTTAATCCATTCTACAACCAGATATTTGTTAGTCTGGAGTAAGACAACTTTTTCATTACAATCACAATGAAGATAGGAACTTATAATAATAGCAATAAAAGGCAACAAATACTGGTGTCAAGTAAATTTAGAGGAGAGTATACACAGCAACAGCTGTTTCTGCAATAAAGGAGAAAAGATCACACCTTACCTTGACCATCATTGGTATACTAGCAATGACCTTTGAAACACTTCCTTGCAGCTGGTTGTTAATTTTCCATTGCAGAGTAACCTGGAGTTTTGCTTTGTATGTAACCCCCCGCTCTCTACACTAAGATCAAACAAAATCATTGTCAAAAATTAAAGTAAAACTGTCTATGACATGAATGCAAAATAAACTCAGTTACTTAAGAATAATAATAAAAAACATGTGGTTGATTCCAACCTAAAATAACAGTGCCTTAAATAGAGGCAATCTCTGATGTGATTCAGTGGTAAGAGAAGCTAAAAACCTTTGCCCTACTGACATTGCATGTTGTTATTTGTTGACTGAGTTTGTTGTAAGTTCTCCTCTTAATTTTGAGTTTTGTTTCATCATCTACATTCTCTAAAATCAAATCCAACCCTCTTCAATCACATTTGTCTGAGAAACAGTGGATGCAGAGACACCATAGGAATGATTATTAGGGAAATTTAAAGTATCTATTTATCTTTTTGTAATTCTTGCCAAGAGGCTCACCTCAGAAGGGAACAACTTCATCTGTGAGGCATGTAAGTTGGCATCCAATTAAGCATTGTTTTCTTTTGGATCAATATCAGTATCACTGTAGGAACCAATTGAACCTTAACTTGTTGTCATCCTGAAATCATAAGTTCTTTTTTGCCACTGACACAAAGCAACACTGGTTGTATGGTCGTGCAACAGGGACACAGCAATTTTAAATGTTAGATCTTGACCTACACTTGCAAAAAGTTCAGGCAAAAGTACTTTCTCATGTTGTAAGTGAAAAATACATGGCTAAAAATGAAAGGAACAATTTATTCATCAGAGCAAAGTGCTGTCTTTTCATCAAGCTTCCTGAAACATCAAATTTGATACCTTGGCAGAGGGGATTACTAAGATGGGTCAAGTCAGTCAGTCACTTAGTCAGCCAATCAGTTGGTAAAAAATTACTTCATCAATTGGTTTATAGGCTGCAATAAGCCGTTCATTAAATGAGTTGACTATTGTAAGCCAGCGTATCAGTCAGGGGGTTTAAGCCCATCAGTTAGCCGGGCATGCACTCATGCAATCCGTTCCTCAGTAAGTAGAACAACCTGTTGTCCAATTCATCGATCACTTGATAATGAGGCCATTGGAACAAAAAGCTTAAAACTTGAGAAAACTTACGGTGAAGTATATCGTGGTTCTCTGTCCATCTGCAAGCAAGAACTCTTGTGGATGTATGGCCTAGAAAAAGAACGAGAAGCGTTAAATATTGCGATTTAAAGATGTACATCTATTTTAAAAATACCCGTAAAAGACACCCAAGAAAGAGAGTTTCGCACCTGAACGGCAAGAGAAAGCCCTTCTTCCAGCATGAAGTTGAACGACCTTATGTGCGGGCTGACAAGATCTTGTAGTATCTAGAGAGTGAAATAATTCGCAGAATAAAAATTTTTATAGCCAAGGTCAAAAATAAATTGATAAAAATAAATTTATCAGTACCTTATTTTGTTGTTGTGACAATTTACCGAAGTTGCAAGAGGTTAAATTCTTCAAGTCTGGAAGAGCGCTGTTTTGGTCTTGCACAGCCGCCATTTTGAAGTACGCACGTGGTTCTTACCCCTCTCCCCCAGGTATTCAGTGCTAAGCTTTCCCTTTAAAGCGCAAATTCGCTTTATTTATTAAAGAAAACGAGCCAGATGCGAATGAAATCTTATGAGTTTCTTAAGAAAAACGTAAATTTCATGTCTATGATCATTTTATTTCTGAAAGAAATAGCAGATCTCCAATCTCCTTCAGACGGTAGTAACCGCCTCAGACTACCCCAGAGACATTGGAGATCAACATGAGATTACGCAAAACATTATATTACTTTTACATGACATACTGATTGCCACAGTTTTCAACAAAATGGCGGACAAAACAGAACGAAATGAGTTTGAACAGAGATTGAAATCCGGCATAAACGACCCGGTATTATTAAATTAATGTGTTATTGGAATTTTTTAATAGTTAATTGTCTTAAATTAGAGGCTTCATTGTTTTGGGAATGACCGGGGAATGAATTTCAGGAAGCCGAAGAAGATGATGACGACGAAGAAGATGAAGATGATGATGATGAAGAAGAGGGGTCTGAAGAAGATGAGGACGAGGTGGAACCCAAGTTGAAATACGAAAGAATTGGAAATGCCATGAATACTATTCTGAATGGAGAAGAGTGCGCAAGTTGTATGGCAGTCCATACGAAGGTGCGATCGCAGAGCTCAACCAGGCCCTGTTAGCTTTCCTTTTATTTTAATTTCGATAACTACTCTCTCTCCAACACTCTCCCCTTCCTTTCCCCACCCCCGGTTAATCGTCAGTGTGGGCCATATGGGTTCCATATTATCGTGCAAAGCATAGGTTCACCCCTGATCAACGATAACGAACCTCAGCGCACAAACTATAGTACATGTTAATAACATGGAAGCTTTCAAAGACTTTGGCTGTATGCAATGATGTTTCTCTTTTTCAACATGAAGAGGGACGAAAGGTTTACTTGCTTTGCAGGGCAGTGCTCATACACCATAACTATAACAATCCAAGGGTGTACAGAAGCGATGTGAAACAGTTTTATATCATTAGCTGAATTATGTGCGCAGTTTGATTAGTCCTTTCTAATGATCTATTTCATAGGATAGACATATAGATTACCTCACCATTAACAATTTTTGGCTTCTTTAGCATACAAATCAAATGGATTCCATGTTCCTGTGGTAGAGTAATAGATCATAGAAGATGATAAAATGTTGTAAGAACATCAGAGACTCACTCTGCTTTACCTGGTGGGCCACTTTTCTGTTCTTACCACATTCTGAACAAATACACGGCAACCTGGAATCTATTTGTTAAATTTTATTTGCAAGTTATAAGATTTTTTTCAAATTCTTATTGTAGTTTCTTGCCCTTGGAACTCACTATGGAGTTGTTCATATACTGGACCATCAAGGAAACCCAAGCAGTAGTAAAAAATATCCATCAGTAAGTACAAGAATGATGGTCAAAATAACACTATTTCAGAAAGATATTATAATTATGGGAGAAACGAAACAACACAGCATCCACAATAACTTGACTGCTAACAATTTCTTCTTTAGCGTCAACTTTCAAACATATCCCAGTACTGTTGGAGACCATCTCTGTTCACTTTGATTATTGCATTGTTTTATTGAACAGAGGGTCAGGAGAGATCAATTTCCATAATTTAGGACGTGGTAAACCATTCTGGGAATAATTAGCAAAAAAAAAATGTGCTATTTTAAGGCATAACCATCATAAACTATATATTAATGGAAAGGTTATGAAATGCATTATTCTGTGTTATTTGCTGACAAAGTTTCTCCAAATTCAGCTTTAGAAACTCTTTAGAGTGGTCAATTTACATTAAAAACTTAGTTGATTAAACCAAATTGCCTCCTAACATCTGCTACTATTGCAGCACCACAGTGTCCTTGGAAACTTACCCTCTTTATTTAAAGTGAACACAGGCAAACTGCCTAAAGCATGGGAAAGTGTGGATGAACAAGTTACAATTGGTTTAAGTATCTGGCCAGGTTAGATGCTGATGAGAGTTTTCTGGAGCAATCAGCAAATGATATGAAGCAAACCCAAATGAATGCAATCCCAGATTACCATCAATACTTGACTGAAAATTGCTCCATTGTAGTTCTTGATAAGAATCAACAATAGTTGTGCTAGCATTTTCACAGTTCTTCAAACATATCCTTTTAGCACACTACAGCTATCAATCAAATCAGCATTGATCAGAGTGGAGACTATGTTGCCAGCTGTTCTGATGATGGACGAGTGAGTACTGTTAAACCAATTTAAAATTAGATTATTTTATTCTTTAAGTACAAATATTTCTTTGTGAGCAATCCTCACATTCTCTCATTTTAAACTCTTAATTAAATTGACTTGTCTATTTTTTCACATCTTCTGATTTGCATATTCAGGCTTTCATTATGGGAGATGAGGTCTTTCCTCAATTTTATAAACTTCTCTTGTACAGTAATGATATTGAATTGTGTTTAAAATAATGGTGTGTGAAGTAGCTGAACTGATTTGTGCTTTTAGGTTGTAATAAATGGCCTTTATAGCTCTGAAAACAATGTCCAGGCCAGCTTTGACACTCCTGTTAAGGTAAGGGGATATTTTTGCCATTTTAGTGCATGTAATGATGAAGTTAAACTCATAGTCTGCATGTCACTATTTCCGTGTCTTTTTCAGTCAGTAGCTTTGGATCCTGAGTTCTCCAAGAAAAGAACCAAAATGTATGTTACAGGAGGAACAAAGGTGTGCTGTTTTCCTTTTTCCTATTAGATATAGGTAAATTAAATGAGTTGCATCTAGATCTGCCACCCTGATTTTATTATATCATCATAAATTAGCCAATATTAGGTGATCATGAGAATTTCCCCCTTGGAAAGGTTTCAAAACCCTTTTGCTTCACTGTACTGGTTAGAATTTTAAGCATCTGTAACCCCCTTTACAGCAAAACTTTACAACCTTTGATTGATATGATATTTGTTGAATCTGTTTAATTTCACTTTGTATGACTGTTTTCTCTACAGTTGATTTTGACAGAGAGAGGCTGGTTCAGAAACAAGTCAAGTATCTTACATGAAGGAGAAGGAAACATTAGAACAATAAAATGGAGAGCATCCCTTATAGCATGGGCTGATGACACAGTACGACTTTTTGCCTATGCTTTGTAGATCAGTTGATGTTATTTATTTCTATGTGATTCACCTTGAATTGATTTACATTGAGTAACTCTCTGTGACTGTGTTTCTTTCAGGAGGTCAAGGTGTTTGACATGAATTCTCACAGAGTAATAACTCATATAAAGAGAGAAACCAGAAAGTAAGTGTAATTAATAGTGCTTGAAAGCATAGTATCCAAGTTTAGAATGTTTACATCTTCACAAGAAACCTCCTTCTCTAACAGTTACTAGCCTAAGGTTCAAAGCTGTATCATATAGGGTTTGATTTGTAAACTAACGTTGTGCATTATTTTCCAGTTATAGACCTGAGTTATATCGCTGCTGTCTGTGTTGGAGGGATGATGTCACTCTTTTAATTGGCTGGGCAGACATGGTTCAGGTATCAAATGTTTCCTCCTTCATTAGATTGGTACTGAGTACCATAACAGTGATCAACTTTTAGAGACTCTGTGCTCATATTTAAATGAAAAGCTTTGTAGAGCAATAACTGAGAGTACTCATTGGAATGGCAGAGAGGACTCTGTAGTATCTCTATCTCTTTACAGATTTGTGTGGTTAAAGAAAGGCTGGTTCCAAGGTCAGATCTCCCTCCTTTGGTTGTGGAAATAGGTGAATATGAACTGGAGTGCACTCATTTAAAGAAAACTTTTGCCTTTTTAGAATCATCTACAAGTATTGAGTATATCAGTTCATACATAGTGTTACTTTGTTTTACTGATTTCAAATCTATTCTTTTCTTGTAGTTGCAAGGTTCAAAACTGACTATTACATTTCTGGAATTGCATATCTTAAAGATGACTTGGTAAGTGTTTTAGTGTATTTTTTCATATGCACACTTAAAAGCCAAAATATTTCTTGTGCAACAATTTTATTTACATGTAATGAGGATAATTATTATATGAGAAGGTAGTCATGAGGCAAATCAAAGCCTTTTTGTAGGTTCTTACTTGGTCGGGATTTTGCTGTACAGACCATTTACATGAAAATAATCATGAGCCTTGTGTTTTTGTTCTCAGAGGGTGGCAAATTTAAAATAAAAAAGTTTGGTCTAAGTGCCATATAATAAACTTCTTGCTTACCTCACTTACTTGAGCCGCTCTGAGGAATAGTGGCCTCAGTCTGTACTGCCATGACCTCAAGCCAATATTCCCCAGTGTGGCCATTTTTCTTGGTTTATAAAAGGGTTAGAATTATATCAGTTATGTGAATCACCAATGAAAAGAAAACTTACAGTGCATGTTTTGTAACTTATTCTAATTGTGTAGGTCACAATCTGCACAATCTTATCGATAGGGATGATTCAAATTGGTACCACCTATCAAGGAATAATGATGGGTAGAAGTGTTTCTAAGAATTATTTGATGCTGGGAGTACTATCTTGCAGTTTTCAAAAGGTGTAATTATTTTTTTCAGGTTATTCTGTCATACATGACAAACATTGAGGAAGGCACCCAAAAGGTCAGTTAATAGCCACCAGCCATTTAGCTCATGAGAACTAAACACGCATATAGATAAATCATTTAATAAACCAGATGATTAAAAGTATTATTTTTTATTATTATTCATGACCAACAGAAAGGTGAACAGTTAGTTGCACACAGACCACAGTTAAGGATTTTAACACCACAGGGCTGCAATGAACCTGAGGAGCTTTCTGCAGATGCTTTGTCAGTCAGAGGATTTGAACATTATCGATGTGATGATTATCATTTAGGTATGACTTTGTGGTTGTCACTGCTGACTTTTTCCTTATTGTTGTTGTTGTTGTTGTTGTTTTTTTTTTCTTTACATTAAGTTTAACCCTTTAACTCCCACAATCTTATTAGTAATTCTCCTTACTGTCTGTCATACAGTTCTTGTGATCCTAGTTTGGAGAATTATGTATTGGATCGACTCATAATCCGCTAAATGATATCTTCCTTTATTCTCCTCACTTTGCTTGATATTGTATTGATATTGTAAGGAGAAATTCTGTCTTGGTCATGCATGGGAGTTAAAGGGTTAAAGAGATGAAAACAATTGGAAAATGGGTGATCTTGACTTTTCATTGCATTTGAATATTAACTTATTTTGACTGATACTGTGTTGTATTACCTTCTTAATAAGATACATGAAAAAATTACTCAGTTCTGAGTGGTTAAGATAAATGCAGTTTTCAGGTAATTCAATGCGGAAGAGAGTTAATTCAGTGCAAAGAAGTAACAAACCAGACTGAACAATTCCTTGAACTGTTTAGCTGGACTTTGAAATTTTTTGCACCTTAAAGATGTGAAAATATCATTGTACATTATTGTTTTGATTGTACACAGTTATTTTAACTGAACACACAAGTTTGAATAAGTTATTTTTGCACTTGATGCATGCACTTGATGCATGCACTTGATGCATGCACTTTGCTTCTGCATAATTATGATAAGCTATCTCATATTTTTTCTTGTATATTATTAATACATAATCACATGATTTTTCTTGTGCAATTTGGAATAAAAAAGGACTTGTAAATTTTTTCAAAGACCAAAATTTTGTTAGTCTTTGAAAAAATTTACTCGTGCTAATTTATTCCAAATTACACTCAAAATAATGTGATTTCCTCTACAAAAAAGCGATAAAAGTGTGCAATGATAACAATTTCATCAATTTAAATGCAGGTGGTCAGTTATTAATTGCATTTAGATCATTATGTGTGAAAATTAACTGTAACAAGGACTCCTGGCATGAACATCACTGACTTGTTTAGACTGATGCTAGGTCTTCTCAAAAGACAATAAACCAAAGTTACTATTAATATTAATAAGATTTTTTAAGACTTAATTTAAATTGTGAAATAGAGCCTGAGTTAATGTTTTTGTTAATGAAATTCCAGCCGGGCATCATTTATTTTTAATATTTACCAATTATTGGTTAACAATTATTGTTAATTCAGAATTCCTTGCCTTTACTATTTTTACAAGTAGTTATCCTTTTGTTTGCCTTCTGAGAAAATTATTGTTTTGTAATGATGTAATGTATACAGCCAATCCAATCAGTGTTTAGCCTCATTGGAAGTCTGTTGATGTTTATGCCCTGTTGTTGCTGGTGTTTCATATTCCTTTTTTACTTTTAAGATCTATAGTTTATTATTATTATTATTATTATTATTATTATTATTATTATTATCATCATCAGTATTCACTCCATGCATCATGGCAAATGAGAGAATTGCATAATATTTATAATATTAACTGTATAAATCATAATTTTGATGCATGTCTTATCAACTCTTGATACTTGACTTATTGCACACCTATTAGCATTTCTGCATGATGATTTGGACAGTCCTTCTTCTTTCCTTTATGGTGGTAGGTAACATGCGTGTACCAAAAAATAGACAGCTTATTAGTATTTATAAAAATGACAACTTTGTAATACTTGAAGTTATTGCTCTTCCCTGAACGTCACTACATTACATCAGCCTTTATCCATTGCTTACTATCAACCTTTTCCTTTGGGGTGGAATTGAAATGTGACAAGTAAGCAAGAGAAGTGAATACAGAACCACAATGAGTTTGGCTAAAAATTCTCTATAGGAAGGGTCCCACACAGAAAAACACTGAACTAAGAAATTTATTTAAATTATTCATGGAATGAATTGCATGTTAAAAGATAAACAAAGTTAACAATGAAATATCCTAAAAAATAAGATGTAAAATGTTTTTATTAAAGTTGATGCAAATAAGTCATAAACATTCTAAACAACCTACTGTATCTCAAGGCAAGTTTTCTGGTGCAGAGGCAATGCTTTGGACTGGTAATCAGAAGATCTGGGTCTCAGATCTCCACCTGGGACATACATCTCTTGACTTTTTCATTCTTATAAACAAAAGGTCGGAGGAGTTGTGCTCAACATCAGGCCATGTTGGCCTGACCTGACAACCACCTTCTCAGAATTCTTTGTAACATTATTTAAAGCAGTGTATGTGAAATATCATAAAGGAAACACCTTAATTTACTTCTTGAAGAACTTTATAGGTTTGTTTGGTGTGTAAATATTTCTTGGTGAGACCTTTGACTCACATTGCACTTCACAGAGGACAGCATTGGATTTAGATTGTATAATGCTGCCTCTTGGTGCAAGTTTGTCTCCACTGACTTCTAAGTGTTGGTTGTGATCAAATGTTAATGCAATTGTTGTAATTTTGGTTTTTTCTTTACAGAAAATGTTGTGGAAGAGAATCTGTTTTACATTGTTAGCCCTAAAGATCTTGTCCTGGCTAAGGTACATAGTATTATGTTGTTTTGATCCTAAGAGTTAAATGATGGTTGTTATATTAACACCAGCTGCTTGTACTTTTACTCAGCCCAGAAATATTGATGATCACATTAAATGGCTCATGGATCATGGAAAGTATGAGGTATATAAGAAATATCTTAGTTGTCTTTGGTCAAAATGATCTGTCTGTTTACCAGCTGTATGTATTGCTGGCTGCTGAAAGCTCAGAGGCTGGTCTTGTGTATTTTTGGTAATAATCACAACAAAGTCAAAATACCCTAGTGCTTCCATTTTCTTGATATGTGTAGGTGTATGTGTGGTCGATTGTTTATGCAACTACTAAGGAGATTTTAACAGCCAAGCATATTGATCAACCTTTTTTTAAGGTTTATTCCCTGTGTTCAGCAACACAAACATGTGTAACAGTTTAACTGAATACTTTATTTTTAGGAAGCTCTGAGTGTATCTGAAACAAACAGTAAAGAAGTCAAGAAACATAATCATCAAGTAACACAAAGATTTCCTCATAGCCAATGTTTTTTTATTGTGCTAGACTCTGGTCTAGGAGTGTAAGATGCAGGGTCATGAAATTAGGAGATCCTCGCAGCTAAGAACACTACTGAAACGAGTAGTTGTAAATAGGACCTGAAAAAAAATTTCAGGCCCGTACGGGATATGAACCCATGACCTCTGCGATACCGGTGCAGCGCTCTACCAATTGAGCTAACAAGCCAACTGGGAGCTGGTCAATGAATTGAAAAAAGAATTTTTTTCAGGTCCTATTTACAACTACTCGTTTCAGTTGTGTTCTTAGCTGCGAGGATCTCCTAATTTCATCTTTCCACCGCAGTGCAAATATGTGAATTTTCATATATCTAAAATCTTCATGCAGGGTCATGTTGTGACTGATTTCATGTGGGGTGTGTGTTTTGTGGCAAGCAGTGTAAGATAGGCTTTGTAGGAGATAAAATTGATAGGAAAACCTGTTGAAATGGAGAGGGCTAATCTGTAAATGAATAAGTCTGCCAACAAGTAGGAGTGGCAACACTCCTAGTCACATTATAACACAATATACTTGGATGAGGTTCACCTTTTTAGGCCTCTTTCCTCTAATGTAGACTCTAAGATTTTTACTCCCTTGAATGATCAAGACAGAAAATCTCCTTTCAATGTCGATAAAATATCAAGCAGACGTGATGAAAATAAAGAAAAATGTTCATAAGAATTATATGGTAGACAGTAAGTACTATGAAATATGAGGAGGAAAAGAGTGAAGATTTTTTTACCCTCTACTTCTGTCAGTAGTGTCATTTAACCTTTAGTGCAATGAAATTTTTACATGTGGTATTTCATTTTATACATTTAAGGATATTGGAAGAGCTTTTTTGAAATCTTTGATGGAGGAAGGAAAATATGAGACAGCTGCCAGGTTTGCAAAGATTTTTTTTGCGATTACATGTCCTTGTTTTGATGAAGCCCTGTTGCCAGCTGATAATTGTGAAACCTTTCTTCTTGAAATTTTGTCTGTGCAGATTGTGCATCAAAGTATTGAGTGATGACAAGAAACTCTGGGAAGATGAAGTGTACAAATTTGCCAGAAAACATCAGCTGGAGGTGAATATTCTTTCCTTTTCCATTTTTACTGGGAGGTTCAAAATTAGTTTGAGTTATCCATGATTTTATTTATTTTCTCTATCAGGCTATCGCCCCTTATATTCCTACCAAAGCAGTGAAGCTGAGCTCAGCAATTTATGAAATGGTTCTGTATGACTTCCTCAAGAAAGACGTCAAGGTATTCATCCAACTACATTAAGTTCTTACTGTTCTTGTTGATCTTGTGATTTTGATTATCCAATCAGGGACCAACAGGAACACCTGCAGAGCTGTGAATTAATGAGCATATGAGATTAGTGTGGTAAAGATGAGGATGATGGTGACCACAATGATGATAATGATGATCAGTACAATATTTCTTGAGGGAGCCCCCTTTTCAAAGTAAATTCAGAATTACAGCACATGTTTGGCTATTTCTTCTCTATAGAAGCTTTTTTTGAGCGGGGGAGAACATCTTATGTCACTTGATGTTAACTCTACGTGCTACATATGAGAATCAGAAGACTAAACTTTGCAGTCTAGGAAAGAATGAGTACTGTGTTTGGCATGCTGTACTGTGAAACTCAAAAAAGCAGGAACACTGGAAATATTTCTGAAATCAGATTCCGTCAAGGAAAAACAAGCTAATCCAGCATGAAAAATTTTAAATGTATACAATAATACTTATTAGTGAGTGATCATGTTTTTTTCGTGTCCTGATCTCCCATATGATTGGTCACAATACAGTGCATATTCTGCAAATATTTCAGGTGTTTGGGGTACTAATATTTGTTCACTTGCTTGGTGTTGACATTCATTAAAGCCTCTTCGAATGTGGATTTGACTATTTTGGAAATTCCTGTTTGTATTTCAGAAATTCCAGGCACTGATCAAGGAATGGCCAGCAGATTTATACGGTGTGCAGCCCATCATTAGTGCTGTACAGGTGAGTGGGAAGGACATTAAAACAAATGAATCTGATTAACTGGCTCACTGTAGGGTGACTGTACCTGACTGACTGACTGACTGACTGACTGACTGACTGACTGACTGAATGACTGATCAACCAACTGACTGACTGGCTGAAGGACTTTCTGACCCGCTGATGGACCAACTGTCTCTCGCTGCCTGACTGGTAGACTGACTAACTGACCTATGGATTGAAACCTTCTGACAAACTGACTTGGTGCCTACAGGGGATAAGTTTATAAATAAACTGGTGCTGCATCTGGGGGGGGGGGGTATTACAAGATAATTTGGTTTTATCAGCTGAGTTTATAATGTGAATTAGCCACCGTAAAGAGTTTCTAAAGTTGACGTTTCGAGCTTTAGTCCATCATCAGAGTGAATGATTTACTGACTAACAGACAGACTGATTTACAACCTCACCCAAAATGACTGGCTGTCTGAGTGTAACATAATTTCTGACTGACTAAGAAAGCAACTGACCTCGTTATTTGTTATTGACATTTTTTAGGATAAGCTGGATAAGGATCCTAAGAACCGTGTTCTTTTGGAAACTCTTGGAGAACTGTGAGTCAAGAGTATTTTGTTCTGTTTTATTTCACTTTTCAAGCTTACGTTCGAATACTAACAGCTTTTTTGGCAATCTTTTTCTGTTACAGTTACACGCGGCTGAAGAGATATGATAAAGGGCTCGCCATATACCTTAAGTATGACTTTCTTTCAATCCCTTGATACATCTGTTCGTAGAATACATGGAATTTAAAGAGTAAAAACTTTGGTAACATTTACTGAGCGTGGAAAAAGAAATATCAAAGTCAGCTTGCTTTCAAGTTGAACCTTTTTACATTCGAACATCAGTCTGCATGTTCTCCATACTGGTCTCTGAATATTACCTACGGTGCAGACAAGGAGAATTTGTTTAACAATCAAGAGCTTCTCTAGTTGGTGATCAGTTCCTTTATTCTCATAACCTTAATGTTTGATTCATGGGTGATATTATAAGGAGAAATTAGATCCTAAGAATTCTTTGGGGTTGAAGGATTAACAAGCCAACCAAAACTTGCAGGAAAGTGGAAGACAGAGAAGTTTTCCAGCTTCATCTCTTCGCATGAAACAACCTTCATTTTCTTGAAAAATAGAAGATTTTACGCTAGTAATTAATGCACATGTGCAAACTGTCTTTATTTTACAGACTTGGACATAGCGATGTGTTTAACTTGATCCATCAACACAACTTGTTTAACTCTATTCAGGACAAGATTATTATGCTCATGGAATTTGACAAAGAGGTACATATATAAACATTTTTTTTCTGTCTCTGTAAACACAAAAGCATGAAAGGAAGCTACTCGATTTGAGCGTCAAGGGTCGACGTTCAGTGCAAGATTTAGTGGAAGAGTTTTTAGGGAAAATATAACATCTAAATAAGAGAGCAATGTATCAAGCAGGCGTTAGTTTCTAAACTTTCTCAGTACTTGTTGTTTTATTTGTTTTCTAGAAAGCCGTGAAGATGTTGATTGATAATACAGATAAAGTTCCCGTAAGTGAAGCTCTGAAACATAAAAAAATGTTTTGGTTAGAGCTGACTGTGACAGTAACTGTCATCAATGTTGAAACTGAGATGCGTTGATTTGCATGGTATACAATCTTTATGTGCACGCTTACATTCTCTACGTCTAAATAATTTACGTTAGACATTTGTGATACAATTAGTTCTTGGTAACTCGTTCATTTGGCGGCATCAAGTCAGCGAGAATAAGCCGTCCTTGATCGTTGGAGTTCGCTGTTTACTTTTCCCTCTCTTGTTCTTAAGAAGTGAACAACCGTCTTCCGGAATAAGTGAACAATCGCTTTCGTTTCACAGGGTAACAGAGACAAGCGCGAGGCGAACGCGAAGGATAAATGTCGCGCGTACCTCACTCTTCGCGCGTGGATCCTACCTTCGCGCATGCCTCACCCTTCGCGTTCGCCACGCACCTCTCCGCTTACTTAAAAAACGCACAGAAAATTACACCTTCTACGACGGTTATATCGAAAGCTTTTTTGTGCGCAGGATTCTAAGATCAGGTTAGATATAGACATTAATTTTTTGAATTAGGGCTTCAGTTTATTCTTTGTATCAGGCTTCACCATGTCACCCTCTTAACTCAATAAACAAGTTCCCATGATTATTTTTCTGTGTGGGACGGTCTGAACCTTAATCATTCAATTTCAGGTTGAAGAGGTTGTGCGCCAACTGAACAGGCGATCAGAACTTCTTCATGTGGTTAGTATCATAACTGTTGCGTGGGTTGATTCAAAATGAAATTCTCCGCACAAAGGAAATGCTGTCCCAATGTCCTCCAATCCATACGGTTCGATCAGAATGAACTAACAGGAATGTTTCAATCATAGCGGAGTTCAGGTGTAATATTTTGAATAATTTCCACCGTTGTGGAAAACTGCCTTCGAGTAAGTTAACTGTGAAGGAGAACTTTAACGCTGATTTCTTATGATATAATTTTAGCTGATGTAAGGAGTATTTAAGGTTATTGCTACACTGAAAGACACTTTCAGAAATGGCTTTTCTTTGTTTAGTATCTTGACTCGCTCTTCGTGAAGGATCCACAAGCCGGGATGGATTATCACGAACTACAGGTATAAGCATTTTAATATACCTTTTTGCTACTGCTTTCGTTTCTTTGTTGTTGGTAAATCCAACATAAATCATAGGCTAATACCATGAACTGCGATCAACTGATAGAGCTATGTTTAGTGGGGTGTCGAAAGTTATCCTTTTTGTTCTGTAATTGGTCCAGAAAACTTGCGCCATCCTCTCAATCAATGAGATGGTTCACTCTTTTATATACTTATAAAAAAAATAATTTGTATAAAACGGTTAAAACGTGGGGAACACCTGACTCTCTCTAACGCTAAGGGCGAGAAATTTGTGCGTGATAAAACGCGCTGGAAAGTTATATCAGAGATTCTTTTTGGTATTTGCGCGAACCGCTCACCCTCAAAGAGTCAAATGGTTCAGGTGAGAAGCTTTCGTTTAGTTACCTTTAACGATTTTAGAGAAGATAAGAAACCTTATCATAGCATCGAGATAATAATCTGGTGCCATATTGTTTTTTCAGATTCCTCTTTATGCAGAATTTGAGCGATCAAAATTGCTTACTTTTCTGAGAAACAGCAATTATTATCCTCTGCAAAAGGTAATTCTTTACCAACAAGAACTACTTTTACTATTTGTTCGTTGTAATTCACTTCGATCATTCAACTATAACTTATCTCCATTTCACACCCGAATCTGTCTTAGGCTCTAAACGAATGTGAACAGAGGCGCTTGGTTCCGGAGATGGTTTTTTTGCTCAGTGAGTATAGAGTTAGATTAAAACTTGTAATTATTTAGAATTGCAATGCTGCTGTTATTTATTATTATTAGACCCACTTCTTCGCAAACGAGTTTAAAATGGAGTCTTAAACAGTTTAATTTTTTAGTTCGGTCTTTGCAAATAATACTAGAAAAGGCTGTTCAATTGTCCTAGGACTGAGACAAAGGAAACAATCTCTTTTTCGCACGAAGAATCGAACCTTAGACCCTGGGACCTTTTGGTGTTTGGTTGTTTTGGCCCATACCAGGTTCATATCTGACAGGGATCTTGCATACTGCAAGGATCAGCAATGTGGAAAGTGTTATTTGTGTGCATGGATCCGGCAAAGAAAACTTCATGGAGTAGAATTTCTCCCAAAGCCTTTTACAATTTCACTCACAAATTTCCATTTTTAAGAACGTGCATGTCTGATTTTGAAGGAGACTTATTCAGGAAAAACGATTCCCAGTTTCCCTCGCATAATGCCAAAGAAACTTGTCAATACAATCCTGCTTGTTGGAACGTATCTTAATTTTTAGAACTTGCAGCCATGTCGTTTATTACTTTTCATTTTTTTTTTACTCAGGTCGCATGGGAAACAACAAGCAAGCTTTGCAGTTGATAATTCAGGAAGAAAATGATGTAGAGAAGGTACGTCTCATGGAAACATGTGTGACTAGCAGTTAATAATTATTCACCGAGGTGGAGGCGAATAGAGGTGGATATTTACCTCGGCGCTTCGCAGCTTGGTAAATATCCACCTCTTTCACCGACCGTGAGGTGAACAATAGTTTAAGTATATACCACACACCAACAAAATAGAAATAGTTTATTTCTGACAATATAACAAAAAATAGTCGGAGATTGGGTTGTTGACGCGCGATTTTGTCTCTTTGGCTTCTTGGAGGTGAATAGCACTTGCTAATTACCTCTGAACCAGCCAATCAACGCGCGCGAAAAGCATTATTCACCTGTGTGGTATATACTAAAAGTCCTCACTAGTGTGAGGTGATTTGCAGTTTGTAGTGTATGAATAACATGATATTTATTGATTGACAGGCAATTGAATTCGCCAAAGAACAAGACGACGAAGATTTATGGGATGATCTGATCAATTATTCTCTTGACAAACCAGGTATGTCACTGTTTTTGTATGGGAGCCTGAGTTGAGCCTCCGCACTCCGTTCTTCTGTACGCACCTACTCTCATCTCCTTATTTCATCACGTGCACAAGACGCAAAAAATTATTTATATTTTTACGTCCTTTCTCAGTCGGGATAATCATTTTGGAATCTGAGGTAAAAAGCAAATATTTTAAAGAATATAATTTTTTTTCTTTACAGAGTTTATCACGGGGCTCTTGCATAATATCGGGACTCATGTTGATCCGATCAAACTCATAAAGGTATGAATGTTTCAAAATCAGTTTGTCTCAGTATCAATAACATAGTGTCAGTTCGGTGAACATTCCTATACTGCGTCGTGTAGACAACCAGTGTTGTGTCAATTTAACGCAGTCCTCCTCCAATGAAAGCTGACACGATTCATGGCTTATCTGTATTTAGAGCAGACCTTTCTTTAACCAAGACTACCGCTTAGCTGAAAGAAAACGAAAACAACTGGTAATCAGGCTATACTTGACTCGGCTACATGCTTTCTTTCATGTTCTCAGAGGATTCCTGAGGGAATGAAGATTCCTGGTTTGAGAGATTCATTGGTGAAAATTCTTCAAGACTTCAATTTGCAGGTAACTGGCCTGACTGAAGCAGTACTAACAAGTTTTGGTTGCGTTAGCCCATCTAACATGCACAACTTCGGGTTGCGTTGAAGTAAAATTTCATACGTCTTTCAGTGTTATCCGTTTTAGTTTAGGCTGCTCTGGTTTCCCTTTTGTGTTCGGCTTGTGAGTAAACTACTATATAGAGGGGTTTTCAAGTGTGTGTCGAAATTAATCAGGAATTGCGTTGGTCTCGGTGTGACCCAAGAAATTCGCGCCCTTCTCTCGACCAATCAAATGCAAAACTCAAAACAATCGGGACTTGGTCATTCGCGTTTTCCCGCGCTGCAAGCGATTTCCTTGTGTTCACTTTGGATTCTCATTGGCTACTGATATTATAAACCTTTGTTCTAATTGGTCGCAGTGATTACTTTGGTTTTGCTACGCTCCATTGAAAACTGGTTTAACTTGATTTATCACCAGAGTTACTTTCATGTACAAGTAATAATTGCTTAGTTTCATTATACGTGTTATTCAAACTGAAGCGGTGTTTTATTTCTAGATCTCTCTTCGTGAAGGCTGCAAAAAGATTCTCGTCAAAGACAGGTGAGATAAGAGGCTTTATCATCCATTATATAAAAAAAATTTGGTGTTATATTCATTAAACCAATTAGTTCATTCGTATTTGAAATTGAAAAGATGTGAAACTTACGATCAGTTGGTCACCTACAATATTCAATGTTATAAATTTCTTGCATGGGTTTTACACGAGGAACACGTTACACGCTGCTGTATGCAGGACATGGAGGTGATGTCGTTCAAGTAGCTAAGATCATGCTTGAAACATTTCGTAGTACTCAGCACCGCGTTGATTTCACTGAGGGAAATGCTGAAATCCAGTAATGTGAGCTTTTCTCCTCTCTGCAGCGTGTCTTTGCTACAAAGGTTGAGCAAGGTTCAGCAAAGGGGAGTGTCAGTTGACGGTATGTATCCTGCAGAATAATCCTCAGACTCAGCCTGGATTGTTTTTTTTTTATTTTTTATCCAGAACGCTTTGCCAGATCGGGCTCAAACCCTAGTTTGAGTCATTCTGTTGTGTTATTGTAGTAAGACCCTTCACTCACAGTGACTGTCTCCACCCAGGAGAAGTGGGTGCCTGAAGACTCTAACAGAATCGCGAGGCAGGGATAAGCTCCGGCTTGTGGGGGGGGGGGAGGGGGGGCACTTAGCTTGAGAGAAGCCTGACTGTACCTTTAATTTTTCACCTGTGTATTAAGTTGCTTCGTGTTTATAGAAACTGGGAAAAGCCTCGTCAGTTTTTGAATCATTTTCGTATACAGGCCCCACATGAACCTATAAGCTGGCACGATTACTGTTAATCTTATTCCTATGTGTGGTTTTGTCGTTGTAGATGAAACAAAGTGTCCCGTTTGTCAAGGAGCAGTTATTGCTGAAGGTTAGTGCCACAACCCCCCTCCTGAAAAGAATAATATAAAAAGAGGAAGAAATGAATGTCCCCTTTTTGGTATGACTGCTTATCTTTTCTTCATTTGTTAGGTAACATTTGTGACTGTGCATTCAGCTTCTGGTGTCTCTTAATCTTTCGTTGAGAATTCCCATCTGCTCTACCTCTCTTTCCATTGTGGTTTCTTAAACGAGAACACTACAAATGTTAGAACAAAACGTGATCAAGCTAAGATACTGAATTCCGTGCATATGCCTTACATTGGAGGCAATTCCTCACTTGTTATCTGTCTCCGTGAATTAGTGTTTTGTGAATCTTTTCATGTTTTGTGGAGAATGAGTTTACGCGGCATAGAATTTCTGAGAAAGCTTCCTTGGCGACACAGGGTTTTTTTTCCTTAGTTTCTCCTCTGATCTCCGGAAACAAATATGATAAAAAATATTGAAATAGGTCTGTAAACGCTCTAAAGAACCCAACTTTATCTTGTCTAGTCTTGGGGGTTGACTTGTTCCTTATCTTTACTTTCATCCGCTGTGAAAGTCTCTTGGTTTGTAACACTGGTGTACTAGTGATATCTCTTTTGACAGGAGAATGATTTTGTTTTTCAGATACAAAACGAACCTCACATGTTGTGGTTTTTTTCTGTAAACATGTTTATCATGAAGATTGTTTACCAGCTCGTGACGTGGTGAGTAATGATCAAGTAAAGATATCAAAGGTAGTGTTTGGCACTACATTCGTGACAAATCATCGGCCGTCAGATATGCGCAGACGGCCGCACCATAGCGAATGAAGTGTACAAGCAGGACTCTCCCATCCGTCCCTATGCAGGTTTGGGTGGTACCACGTATAAACCTAATTCTGCAGCTGGGTTTTTTTGCGCAATGTTGGGCTTCCTAAGGCTTGATTATTCAAGTTTCCTTTTCCAGCTTGTCACATGGGAAATCGAGGTGCTTGTACGAATGAAAGATAAATTGCATCTGCTCAAGCAAATGAATATTGCTTTCATTGAGAACAAAGTTACTGGGTTTGCAAATTGTCAAGAGGTTGAGGTTTAGCTGGTATAAGTTGCGCTAACAATAAATGACACTGAGAGAAACAGGCGTGTACAAGTAACCCTCAATCTACTTGTTGACAGTATTATTGTATTTCCCATAATGTTCTTTGCATGGCTATGAAAAAAAGCCACAGATGGTAAAGGGAGAAGACACAAGTGCACGCTAATATAGGTTGCTATTTGCTTTGTAGGGTCCGTTTTGCCAGATTTGCACAGCGCATAGCCAAGTGAAGAGACTGCGTTCCCGTCACGTGCAGAGAAACGAAGCAAGGCCTTGATTGGCCAACCATCCCAAGAGATTGAGATTCTAGGACTCACAACTTCAGAAATTAAATTTAGAATGATGCTATAACTGACAACCCCTACCCACTCGTTAATTATGAAAATCCCTTCATTTAGAGACGACAGAAGCTGCTGTCCCAATCGTGTGTTCGTGCACCTCTCGAGGAAAGGCCGAACAGAACAGTAGATGAACCTAATTATATAGATTTAATTCCCATAATTTAAGACCCGCAGCAGAATCTTTAAAGATACCTTGCGCAGGAAACAACTAAGGAGAAGTTCACGTGAGAAAAAAAGGGTGTTAGGTGTTTTTGTTTTCACACCAGAGTGCATTTTTATTGAGTGTCATGAAATCAAAACCAAATTGATTATAACAGCCAATCGGGACCAATACAAAGTAAACTGGAAGAAAAACCAAGTAAATCCGCGAAGCAAGAATAAACTCTCCCATAACAAAACTGAGTAGAGCAAGGCTAATTGGGTCCTAGTTTACTTTTGACACCACGAGTCGAACATTCAATTTAAGAGTGCGTTCTTGGTTATTTTGGGAAAAAAAACTAATGTGCGCATGCAGGTGTATTGCCAGCCATTTGCAGGGAGCAGTGAATGATGCACCTCTGGCAGCAGTTTGATTTCTCTGCGTCCCAGGCAAGCAGTGAGACAAGCTAACATTTAATCCTGGCTTGCAAGAACTTAGACCCCGCTGATAAACACTTCGTCATTTGTTTGGTCATCAGCAATTTTTATTGTACACAAATACATTAGAAGGAAATAAGAAAGGGGCACTTGTACAAAGAGTGTGTTGGTTTGGACATGGCGGATTGCTTTATAAAATATACGACTTTGTTTCATCTAAGGAGAACAATTGAATTCAAACTCTGCTTGTCTGCCGAGTACGCAGAACAGAGTGGTAGCTGTCAAGATCCAATTACGCTAAACAGCTCATCAACGCGCACAATACATGTTAATTCTCGTAACCTAGTCAACACAGTCAAGTGTATTGATGATACGCAAATAATCTTCCTATAATTTGTAATAAATAATGTTTTAAAAAATACAGGAACATCGATCGGGTTTTATTAACTTTGTACACTGATCGGTTCCGTACATAGTAACACAGTTATCGCCCACTTTTCGCTTGAAGTTTCATATTTTTTTAGCCGCCGATGTTTCAAATTGAGGAGGTTTTAAAGAAACGAGGCATCACTACGTGCAACACGAGCAGGATGTGGTTGTTCTTCACTAAATTCATACCTCCCTGAGTTTGTCGACGTTTTCGAACTTTGAAGTTTAATGTCTGTTTTTTTTCCTTGGATGTGACTGAACGTTCTCCTTAACTACAGCTCGGAAAGTAAATGCAGTTCTTTCAAAAGCAAACTACGAAACAACGTGATAATATACAAAACTATACGAAAAAAGCGTTCTGAAAGTGAACTTCAAATAATATACAAATTTTGAGCAAGATGCAAAAAGTCTCAAACTCATTTTTGCACACACAAAAACACAGCAACAACTTCCAATAGAGTTACCTTGTGCAAAACAATTTCATCATTTAGGAGACCCAGTTGTGACACAAAACAAATGCTTGGCGTAGTTATGGCAAATATGCCAAATGAGTCACTTGCTGCACCGAGCGAAACTTAGCTGAAGTTAGAGAGAACGAACAGTGAAGTAGGTCAACTTTATGCTGAGTTTGTTTCCCAAAAGTAAATACCATGAGTACATAAACGACTGCAATGATCAAGTGACTGAATTAGGTTTGCTGTCCTGACAATAATCAGGTCTTTAACACATTTATCCGCTTCCGCTTTTCCTTCGAAAATTCCAATGTACTAGACATTTCACGGAGTTCCAACGCTTCTACGGCCCTTACATGAGTATTTTGAAACACTCACTACACGACCAGTAATCTAGGCCTTTAACTTGGCCTCAAACCTGGTTAATAACTACACTAAAGTACGCTGCGTTGTTCCATTTAGATTATTCCACGAATATTACGTTGCGTTTGGTAATGTGTTGACTGAGGTTCCTAATCCATCCAGCAGGGCATCTGCTCGATTTGCATCTAATTCCCTGAAAAACAGCAACAAAAAAAACTGTCTTGAGATGGATGTACATTCTTCTATGTTGAATAAAATGACTTGAGAGGAGCGAAGAAAGTCTCAGTGTTAATTAAAACTGTTGCAAAGACCGACTTAGCCTGTTCCACGCTCTCGTTCAGGAATGACAGGCTAGTGAAAATGTGAGTTACTTTTGCCACCGAAGCTTGCGTGGTAGTCTTTTCCGTTTGCCTTCTGAAAAGACAGTTTAACAGGTAACTAGCACTAAGCCTCCCAGCCCCCCCCCCTCCTCCCCGCGCCCACGCCCACGCCCACGCCCAATTATCTGCCACGGTGAGATACCCTAATATGACCTCATTTATTAGTTTTATATATCAGAAACTTTAAAATTGCTTACATTTGTTCAACGCCAGAGCTTTCAGCAGCGTTCGCTCTCGACACAGTACCGGTTGACGGCGAAGAGTTGTGAGAGGTGGGTGAAAATGGCGCGCTTCCCCGCACCAAATTGTTCGACAGTACATGGCTAGAATTGACCGGAAAGTTCAAAGCATAAACCGTCTTCATGGGCGCTGTTGAGTATGCGGCGTTTTTACTAAGCAACGTCCCCGTGGCGTAGCCACCTTGATTTGATAAAGGTCCATTTGGTAGCGAGCTACGATTCAGAGTTGAATGCGTAAAGTTTGGTCCTACCACCCCGTTTGTCGGGGTGGGATTGAGCGAAAATTTCGACCGTTGTTGCGTAGAAAAGCTTCTGTGAAGGCGAGGTCTTGGTTCTCCACTTTGCTTATTGGAAGGCGGAGATTCCGACGACGATGAAGACGAAAATGACGAGAGTGATACTTGTGCAGGCGGTGATTTGGGTCTGAAGTGCAGTCTGAAGATAAGAAACATATACGAGTAAGACAAAAGGCACGTTCTAGCAAATACTGAAATCATTTTTTATTACGACAATTAGTTGGGATATGAATATCCAACCACCTAAGGCTATGCTCTCGAAAGGGTTAATAGCTTTTTTGGTATTAATCATTCAAGAAATTCTTCAACACCTTCGAAGTCAAACTTTCCGGGGCCAAGGTTTTTCTCTCGGTTTCATATAGGAATGTAAATAGAAAACTTAACTCATTTCCCGTGAGCAATACAGTGGCAAAGTTAAGAACACTTGTAAAAAGCATACATGCAACATCACCGACAGTATAACTTAAAAGCACGAAACTTAGGTAAAAGTTAATGTAAAAGTTAATGTAAAAGAGACTAAAAACTTACAACGATGGCTTCTTCCAGCCTGTTAGGTGGTCATATGGAAATAAACCATTGGGTAACGAGAAGGACGATGACGGTAAAGCGTTTAGACGCATGTCTAACTCGTCTAAGTCTTCCGATAAAGGACTGTAGCCCCGATCCATATATATCCTACACAAAAAAGAAGATACACATACAATGTGTTATACACATCACTTTGCGCATGTGGACCAACAGTATTAAGAACATCAGCACACAGAGAGTGAGAGAGCTGCCTCACCTTCCACCTCGACCCACTCTCCTCCGCGCAAATCCAATGACTCTCTGCGGCGATGATATTGATGTACAACTGAAACGAAATCTCCTATCACCCAAACCACCTTCGGAGGGATCTACCCATGGCAGCGGCTCTGGCATATCGAATCGAGGCTGAGGAACAACAAAGGAAATAACTTTACTCTTTGGATTAAAAACATCAATTAGGGTAGTTCTGTACCATTAAAACATTTAATTATTCATGCAAAAAGAATGTTCTTGCATTTATTAGGAATACTCGAATCAACCAACCGCGATGTATCTGACGCCAAGCTTTCTTTTAAATGCGAATCTACCATCAGGGTCTTCTTCATCATCTTCAGGTTCTGATGGAATATCCACCTGGTTGATTGGAAGAAAAGTAACCCAGTGATGATTAGCAAGAAAATACCTCAGTTCCAAAGAGAAAACACCTAAGAACTCGATAACTAGATTGAACACACAAAAATAATCAAACACAAAACAGTTAAAGGTATATTACACTTGTCACGCATGTGGGACTAAGAAAAATCGACGTCAACCATACAGATTTGAACTACAGCTTGTCCTGATTTTGTCTAAGACAGATATTCTTCACCCCTTCCTGTATAGCTCAAGAACTGAATAATTGCTTCCAAGCTGATTCTAAAATCAACTATACTAGACAGTCTAGTACGTTTCCTTACTGGAGGCGGAGAGACGTGAATTGGCTCCTCATCATCACTGAACAATATCTGATCTCCAGATGGTTGAATGTGAGGTGCCTTGGCAGGGTGACTGAGCTTAGGCCTCTTAATACTGCAGAGGAGTTTGACACATTTCAACTATATTAGAAATTAAATAATGAAAACAACAACAACAAAAGATTTTTATCTATACTCTCAAAAGTTACATATAGTTAGTTATCAAATCTGACATACTTACCCTAATTCACCGAAGTAATCAATCTTGCCTGGTCGTACCCTTTCCTAGGAAAAAACAGAAGAATGACACATGTATATTAGGTTATTAACATAGTTTTTATAGATGACACATGTAGATGAGTTTTGGAAGAAATCTTTTTACCTGTGCTCCTCTTCTCAATAATTCGTGATCCCTCTCCCCTCCTGTACCCGAGCCAGGTGTTACATTCTCACCATAACCTGCTGATGTTGGCACAGTAAGATTGGTGGCTGGAGGTTGATATCTGATCATATCCATACACTGTTGAAGGATCTGACCTGCAAAATCTCCAGCAGCATATCTAGAATATATAAAATGGAATTAACATTAGTGCCAATTGAAAAGAATAGTCAGATATTCTGTTATTAAAAACAATTTCTCTCTAGGTTTATTATAACTAATTCCAATACAAGTGTTGCTGAGAAATTTGATTAACACAGACTTATAATCAGATTGGGTATGGAATATCCCATAGATTCTATTAATGAATAAAATATCTGGAATTTGAATCTGTTGGGGGTCTACATAATCAAATTCATATCTGTTTCTCACAGCCTTAAAGACAGCCTTAGGACTTAGTAACCCATCTGATCAAATCTTATTATGGTTTCCATAGCAAAGAGTAACTTTGAGTAATATTACTCTATGGATGGGACGACAATCAATCATGCACTACCCCAACATTTTGTCAGATCACATCTTCCTTACAGTTTGCAAATACCCATGAACATTCTTGGTGGAGAGATGCACCATCAAACTCACACCTTTCCCAACAGCACTACACAGTGACCCCAACAGAGCTAAAACCTGGATCTCTTGATCTACAGTCCTACAGAACAACCAATAGGGCTACCATGACTGCCACTTGGTAAGTAGAAACCTTTAGAGTCTATATCCTCTCCCATTTTAAAATTAAGATCTTTTTATTTCCTCTTGAAAGTGTGCTTGGCCTGGTTTGCCACAAAAAGTGATGTTGTACCTTTTCTCAAACACTTGAATAGTAAGCTGCAGATGTTCCTTTTTTGACTGCTCTCTCCTCTTCACCATATCCAATATTGTGCAAGCTCTATTTAAATCTCTGCGAAGCTTCAGCATTTTTTCATACGAGGCTTCATCATTCTTGCGATTCTGCAAAAAGAGGGTGGAAAAGTTATATCAAAGGTTTAAATAATACCACACAGCACAAAGTATCTTTAAATGAAACACTTTCAGTTAAACTAACAATTATCTACCTTTCTTGTTTGCATCTTTTCAGTTCTTCTTCTAAATGCAACATATGGATCACTAGCAGATGAGCCATCCCTCTTTTCTCCTTTCAGCTGTGGGGTCAGTGATATCACCAGATCCTTCTGAAACAAAACAGTATGCAAACATGAGGATACAATGAAACATTTGCACAATCATCACCTGTCAGGCAATGACAATCTAGCCTCAGCATCTGTTCCTTCCATTAAAAATCTCCATGCTTTTCAACTGAAACTCTAAATTTTAACCTTTTGACAAAATATTTTGCCTCAAATCCCTCAATATTTGTTGAGCTCTCACTTTCTTAAATCTTAGAATACACTTGAAACTCAGTTTGACATTTATATTTCACTTTCTGTGGTTTCTTTTTTTTCTTTTTTTTTTTTGGTAACCATTTTATGATTCAAGTTGCCACCCAACTACTTTAAAAAAAGTTGAACTTGGAGGACTGAAAAAGATAATGTCAGCCCCATACCAGCTTTTTCCGTTTATTCATCCAGTACTCATAGAGTGGCTTTATTATATCACCCCCTTCTTTCAACAATGACTTGGCTTCATTCAAAGACACCACCTGAGAAAAGAAAAGAAGAATTATACAAACTGTTCTTCATAATAACTTTTCGCATCATCTCTGTAGCTTTGGATGGACAAAATAATCAAAAAGAGAGTTAACTATTTAGACTTGCTTATTAGTGAGCTTTCTTCTCCTCACACCTTAACTTCCCATTTTGCAATTTTGCCAAATTATTTTTGACTCAGTTTGATCTGATGTTACATTTTTAAAATTTTCATCTTCTTGTTCAAAATCAACAGTATACTACACCTCTAGGAACAAACACAAAACACAAAATATGAAGTTCAAGACTGCATGTGGCTACTGATTTACATGTAGAACAATTTTCATAGCATTGGAAAGAGCTAAAGGTTGTATAATGATGGTAGAAGGAAGTGTTGTAGGAGGTTTGTCTCACAAGCAAACCAGAAAACCTGCCACATCCCACAGATTAACAAGTACCTTGTTATGCTAAAAAAGATGATTTAAGAATGTAATGACTAATTGACACTCAACCAATAATTTAATGGTAACAAATAATCAAATTAACAATAATGATAGCAATGACTGCTATAGTAATAGTAACAGTAATTTATAGGGGCTAGCTCAAGAACGTCCCTGTTTCTCTGTCAGTCTGTCCTTAAGGCTCCAATAATGATTAAACTATGCTTCTTTTAATTTTGCTTATTAATTGTAAATCAATTTCTTCTTTCATTAAAATTCCATTCTTGTTACACTTTTTTTTCATACAACAAGGCATTCTGCATTAAAGGATATTCCCCCATTCCACTGTTCCATCATTCCATCAAATAAGGTCACCTTGTTAAACTCAAGGTATTGTCTTTGAGACTTTGCTGGTTTTACAAATTTAACTGCTATTTGGGGCATTAGTCGCCAATTGAAATGGTAAAATTCTCTCTCTTCAACAAATAAAATTTTTCTTCAAAGTTTCCTTGATGTGTGAATCAAACCTATTTTGTTATTTCTGCAAGGAGAAATTTCTTTTTTTTCACACGCCATCCTGAATTTATAGTGAGATTTTTATTGTCTTCAGTAGTACTCCAAAACAAACAATAAGTAACACCAGGAAACATTGGATCAAAATTGGGTCAAGATTAGAATTCTATTGTGACCATCACTCATTTACCTTGATGCCATATATGGCTTCGCCTCTGTTAGGAGTCAATAGCCACAAAACACCCTATGTGCTAGTTATTTTCCAAGTACTGTATGTCACTATCCAGAACACAACACAGCATTACAAAAATGTCATTTAAATCACCTGGTTTCCTGAATTTCTCTCCAGCTGGTCAAGAAATTGTTCAAATCTAAATGGAGTCAGCAGCTCCTATGACAAGAGAAAAAAATTCAGTTTTTCCTTTCCAAACAAAGAAAAAACGAACTCCATCACTGTGCTCTGTGTAATCAAACTCCACTACCCAAAGGATTGAAGAACTTGTTGATAAACAAAAAGCAAATATTTACAAAGCAAAGGAGTAAAATCATTAAAATGAGAAAAGAAAGATCTCCCCCTCCAGCAAGAAAGGCATGAGACAAAAGATGGAAAAGTTACCTTGTAAATGTATAGTTACTACTAAGGCTGGATCAAAAAGTCCACAAATGTCATAAATAGATTTTGACCTCAAAAGAACAAAATTTAGGGAATGAAAGATATCATGTGTCAAACACATCAACGTCATGCATTCAATGCATAACCTGCTTGAGTAGTTCAGTGTGATTACATAATGTTACCTTCTTTTTATTGAAGTTCTTCAACCACTCCTCATCTTCAGAATCCATATCATACTCAGGCAGTTCCTCTTCAAAATTGAAAGCTTGAAAGAGAAAGAGTCCTTCAATTGCAAATAATGTCAAGGAGATCATCGCTAAGTGATGTTTTCATAGTAATCAATCTAACTCCTTTACCGCCTGTGTGACGTACTGAGTATATCACACATGTACCTATATGACACACTCAGTACATCAAAAGTTAAAGGGTAACAATCAAATTTCTGATACTAAATATATAAAATAACTTAGCCTCTAATGCTCAAAACTAGTAAATATTTGGAAAAATAATAAGTCAATTTGCATTGGCAGAGGACTTCTCAGTGGGGTTGGCAGTTAGTAAAGGTAAAAGAAAAAACTTGAAAATAATACCACAGTTTAACTGGAGACCTTTGCAAGTAAGTAGATAGTGCAAGATTTAGAATTAACATCATATTCATATCAGGACAGCCAATTTTACCCCAAACCTCTTTTTCAAGGTGGAAGAGAACACCCTTGTGAGGACATGACTTGGAGCGAGTTCTAAGCAAATGACAGAGTCATGAATAATTCCAACCAATAATTATTCCCTTGCACAGTTCATGCAAACAAACCTTGGACATGGATGTATTGTTTTGGCTGTTTGAAGGGATCATGGTAAAGAAATTCAACAACTTTATCTTTGATTTCCTCAGTGTCTGGAGTTGGTATCACCAGCTGCTGAGTATCACCATAAACCTGCTGTGCTGAGATTGCTCTCTGAAGATGGTGTTCCTAGACAGAAAGAACAAATCTGGCTGCTTCACTTCCTGTTTCTTTGTCCAAAAAAATCAATGTACACTATACTTTCTTAAAAAAGGAAACCTCCATAATGTGGACCTTTTCTAATAAAGAGGAGTACCTCTAAATTGCAGCTCCAAAGAGCATATAAGGTAGAAAATGCGAACACTTTTGCAATCAAGTAATGATGGCTGGTGTATTATACAATTTCCTGTTTGGAGTTTCATTAAAGATAAAACTTCATAACATATGTTTCCTTAAAGAAAAAGACTCAAAAGCTTCTTACAGGAATTTGAAAACTTTTAAGGCTTAAATAAGCACAATATAACCATTCTTAAATATTCTCCTTGTTACCATTTGCTTCTCTTGACACTATCAAAAGGAGATTTTCAAAATTTAAGCATAGTTTGACTTTTTCCCGCCAAACATTGCATTGTAGTCTGTTTTTTTTTTCATAAGACAGTGTCCCAATACTGCATATTAAAAAAATTAAATACATGTGTATGCATGTAATGTCAAACTTAATCCATGAATATTCAAGACCATGTATTAATTCAGGTCCTATTATCACTTCTGATAAATTTTTAAACAAAAAATTTTAATTCACTGCTGAGAGATTCTACACAGATAAATTTTAAAATTCAAAGAAAAATTATCACGATAAAGGGATAAATTACTGGATCTTTGACACAAAATAATCACAATCAATTTAGAGGTAGATTTAGAAGTACTCTTCAAAACAATCCATTTAAAATCCGGATTTTCAAAAATTAAATTCAAATAGTTTCATCAACTGTTCCCTTAAAAAAATGTCCCCATGGCAGCAAATATTTTTTCAATTCCATCAAACTTAAGTTTTAGAAGCCAGTCTCTACAACACGTACTTGTAGGGCAAGAAAAAGGCCAACGCATAAATTTCCAAAACGCAATAAAACTTCCCATCGCACCAAGGTAAAAGGTTTTAAGACACAAGCAAACGGAACTTCAGACCTTAATTCGAAAATATTTTTCGATCGCGCCATTTGGAAGCTACTTCCGCATTTTGCAGACATTAATATGATCGTCCTCGATCACGTTCAAAAATGGCGGGTTTACGCACACATATCACGTGAACAAACTTTAAGTACATTTCACGAAGCTTGTAAACTCGAGAAATCGTTCAAAAATAACGATTCAAAACATCATCAGTTTTCCTAATCCGATGTTTCGATTAGGAAGTGAAAATAATTTTTTGAATGTTACTTGTACATCATCTCCTCTAAAAGAAATGAGCATAATACTGCGAGTTGACAACTTATTTTACTCACAGTTTCTTCTTCTTTCTCCATTCCAGTAGGCATTTGAGGTACGGCACGATTTATTGCGCTGAGTTCCGTCAAATCAGGTAGTTCCTCCGCCCGATACACTGGAAGAGGCTTGTTGGAATCGAGCTGCCGAGCTCTGAACGACTTACTCATCTTGACGCGCTCTTAAGTTCCCAAAGCGGCGCTCAAATTTAAAAATTTGAAACACTGCACAAAGCGTGCAGGTTCAAGAAAATTTTGAAACTTACTCTAGGGAAATCGATTTAAAGCATTTTGAACATTATGTCCTGTCAGGTCGTCTTTTAAGACTGACTTTGACAAATTTTCTTCTTGGGATCCCATTTTCTAGGATCCATCATGGCGGTAAAAACGCTCATAGGGGAAATATGTCCCAAAATGCAACACGGTCGTCCCTGCGCGCGCATTGTATTGAAGGGCGCTAGGGCGTAACCGGCTACTTTTGTTCCTCTTTTTCACCTCGTGTCATAGATGCGACCCGGTTATGTATGAATGTAATCCAATTTTATCCTCAAAACTTTTTTTCCACCAATATTTTGAATATGGCTGGATTTTTTTATCGCTCATTCTAGAATTGTGTTCAAAATAAAGCCAGATGGAGGACAGCTCGCCTTGCCTAAGCAATTGTACTCTCAAAAAAAAACCTTGTGTTGAATATAATAATCTATAACCGTAAGTGGACCTCAGACTCCTAAAAGCAGAGACAGTAATCTTTTCAAACGTAAGAAAGAATTGAAGAGGATAATGAAAGCCATTTCTCCTTGTTCTCCTTTGACATATTGAGTATACAATCCTTTTTCAGGATAATTGCAAGGGTGTGAAATTTAGACAAATATTTAGTACTGGCTGCATTTGACTTTTTGGAAAACAAATTAAAAATAATCGGGTCACAGTTGACTCCGACACAGGGAAAGAGGCAATTAAATATTTCTTTCACTCAAAGCTGATATCACACGAATATCTGACAAATTTGACTTATTCTACGATCATTTGCACGCATGTTACGGTGGCTCTCTCTTATTCCTCTCATTCAAATATCTGGAAAGCTGAATCTTCTGGGCCCAATAAATCTTTATGTAAGAAGCTGAAGGAGGTCTTTAACGACAATAACAACAACAATAGTAACGTATTGAAAATAACAATGATAAAAGTGATAACTGTACTTAAACAGCCTGGAGTTTTTCTCTTTGTAATATTCATAGGGAGACCATAATAAGCCAAACTTTTTTTGGCATGGACCATGAGAAAAGTTATGAGAAGGAGTGGGCCGGGAGGGGAGGGCAGGAGAAGGGGGGGGAGGGGAGTGAATCTCACTGAGTTATCTCAAAGATCTCCGTTTTTGATGGTCGCTTAAATTTTGTTTGTGTAGAAATGTCGAACTTGAACTTAATTTTTCTCAAGAAAAATTTAGAGGGTCAATGTGCATTTGTCTCTCTAGGGAACTCGCCAAATATGATTATTTTGAGTTCAATCTTCCTTTATATTATTTTTTCCCCTCGCCATACCCCACCCTTTTTCTTCTGAAACAATACTGCGTTTAAGCAAGGGGAAGGGGGTTAAAAGGTTTGAGCTTCGGCGGATTTGGCCTCAAAAAAAAAAAAAAAACTCACCGATGGAGGCCAAGATTAAGCGAATTTACGGATTAAAGAAATGTATGTCAAGGATTACCGATTAGCTCATGTCGTGACTCGGATTCCAGGCTCTCTAGAAGATAGGTATACCTCGGTGAGACTTACCGGCTTGCTTGGATTTGCATACACCTAATTACCCCCCCCCCCCCGTCTCTCACCATCACCTGTTAGTTAGGAGCCCAGATCAGCCTACTTGGGACTGAGTTTAGTCACGGACCCATTCGGCTCCTGGTTTAGTAGGTGACTTTATTGTCAGGATGGGCAATTACTCTTTGCAAAGTCAAGAGACCAGGGCCCAGTTCTTCGAAGGCCGATTAGCGCTAACCCACTGTTAAATTTTAATCTAGGTTTCTATACTTCTCTGTTCAAAAGCTGTTTGAGGACAATTTTCTTCATTTATTTTTAGAGCATTCAATCAACAAATTGAGGACAAAAAGATTTAAGCTGAATTTTTTTTTTCAAGCTTTCAGATCTTAAATAAAATTTTACACTAACCCTGGGTTATCTTAACCCAACTTTGAACAACCCGGCCCAGTGTGTTTGTAAGCGCGAATCAGGTTTGAATTTGATTGGCTTCTAGACGAACCCATTTCGAAGGGGATTATGGTACAGAAAAAGCAAAACAACATTGAATCGAACCACTGAAATTGTATTAATGACCCTCTCATAACTTGAAGTCTTCTAGTTTTTCGAAAAGTTTTGGAAGAAAAAGTTTTCAAATGATGTAAGGTATAGTTCAAAATATTTACTTTGAGATCTCTACGACACCGAGGAGCTCCTTCGCAAAAAGAGGAACGTCACGCCATGTGAGTTAAGTTTGGATTAATATCTGCGAAAGAAACGCATTTCATTTCCTTCCCAGATTACTCGAACAATCTCATCCTAGAAATACATGACAAGAGCTTGCGTCACTTTTTCATCTTTTTTCTTCATTATTCAACATACAAGATTGCGATTAGTTCACACGAATAATTTTCCTTATGATAAATGCTATGCATAGTTTAAAATTTAATTAGCCTACATGATCAAGTAAAATCGAGGAGAATTCTAATGTTTTTAGTTTTGGATCATTATTGATTTCTTCTTACAGTACCCTGGCTGTGGCACATATTTTTGTAGCTTGAGTAGTACTGGATTTCACACAAGATGTCAGAAAACGTGGAGGAATTTCCACTTGGACCTCCTCCTTCCTATGAAATTACACAGAAAGTGAACAATAACACCGACTTGGAAAAGAAAGATATCGTCAATCATTTTATTGAAATTTCCGACTATTTTGAATTTGAGGATCCTCCACCATACAAGGAAAAAGAATCCTCGAGAGTTTGTGAAGACACCAGTGGATTCCAGTTTGTCTTTCCACTTATAACACGTCCTTGGAAAAGATTCTTCACTGTATGTCTGAGAGGCCAGTGCAATCTTGCTCCTGAAAATTTTGGCCAGAACATGACATACTATCAGCTGAATTATTCGTGGATTTTGTTGATTGTTGTTATTGTTGCTGTCGTAGTGTAAGTATAATATAAGCTGGACACCTTTACCCAGCCTCTGTATGTAAATTTATGTTTAAGTTTGTGACCTCAGTTTTCTTCGTTTTCAGGAGGAAAAGTGACTAAAACTGTGAGAGCCTTAATACAAAAGTTTGAAAAGGCAATAAATCACATTTTGCAATGGTTTACCAGGATGATAACCCATGCATGATGTGGGGAGTATTTAGAAAAATTTTGTAAATCATGGGCCAAAAATTGATTTCATGAAATCAGTATGGGCTTACCAGTATGAGAAAGGTTGCTTTTTTGACCAATCAGAGTGCATGAAGATTGAATCTTGGCGAGGTCTGGAGTCTGGCATGAGTGTATAATGATATGTGAAACAAGAATGGTGATTTATTTTTTTGATGTCTTGTCAACTGTTTAACTATCATGTTCTCAGGACTGATTCAGAGGATTTGAACTTTTGCGTTCTTTGGACAAGTTTTTCAGTCCTTCTGATCTACGTGCTAAACATGGTTGGGTTCTGCCCCATCACTTTGTTAGGTAAGCACAACTGCTGTCCCAAAACTCCGAAAGTGATAACCAAACTGCAATCATCATTGTTGTTGTCATTGATATTGTCATTATCATCTATTGTTATTATAATAAACAAGTAGGCACATAGGTCCTTACATATTGATACTAATGATAATACCCAGTTCAGCTGCTCCAATCTGTTCCTTAAAACAAGTCAGAATTGAAGAAATTATTTGTGAACTTTATTTCAATAAATTTTCTTCAAAGTTGGAGAATTCTTTCGGGGAAGGGGGGGGGGCTTTTTTAGCTATGTCCACAGATGCATATAACTTGGCTAAATTTATACAAATTCTTTTGTTGGCACCTAATTAATGATACATGTTATTGTTGTGCATTTACACATATCCATCCTAGTGGGCTTTTCAAAAAAAAAAATTTTACTCTTTTCATTTATGTTGTTCATGTGTAGATTAAAGGCCTGAACTTACAGGAGAATATGTTTGTGAAGATATGAATAAAGTTGTGTTGAATGATTTACATGGATGTGAAGTCGAAGTATCATTCTTTTCATTTTTAGTAATTTTTGTTCAACTGTATTTCAGGTCAGAAGCTGTCCCTTTCAGAACAGTTAACAGCTCTGGTCATGTTTCAACTTCCTTTCTATGGTTTGCTTTCAGGAGCTGTACCTTTAATATTTTATATTGGTAAGATCCACTGTCATTTTATTTTTTAAACTTCTTTTTTTTGTGGTTTATTTATTTTTCACCCCCTATTACTTAACCCTTTAACTCCCAAGATCTGATTCTCAATTCTCCCCTCTAGCTGCTACATATTTCCTTGTTAATAAGTTATGAGAATTTGGTGTTGGGTCAAGATAACAACTCCTACCTGATACATTTGAGTATTCTCATTACCTGTTTGCTGGATAGGGCATAGATATTGTAGGGAGAAGTTACTTGTTAATCACTTCCGGGAGTTAAAGGGTTAAATGGTGTACACAGTGCAGTGGTAAATTAATTATAGTGTTCCTGGTCCTAGCCTTCGCCTGCAGCTTATGTGTCATGGATTAGGACACTAAGCTAGTAGGCACAAAAGAGAGAGGGAGAAAGTAGGTTGAGTTCTTGAAATCACTTGTGGTAACACAGGCTTTTCTAGGGTCAAGGGAGTAAGTTTTTTAAAGAGGCTGTGCTTCTGGGTCATGGGGGGGGGGGTGGGTAGCACAAGGTAATTTGGTTTTATCAAATAAGTTGATAAATAATGTAAATTGGCCACTGGAAGGAGTTTACAAAGTTGACATTTCAAGTTCAAGTATCAGAGCAAGTAGAGGATTTGTGAGTTGTTGTAGCTATTTACTCTGACAGAAGGCTAATGCTTGAAACTTCAGCTTTACAAACTCTTTACAGTAGCCAATTTACCTTATTTTATTTATCAACTCAGTTTATAAATTAAAACAAATTGTCTTGTAGAGTCAGCCTGCTAAATCCTCTCAGACTTGACTTCCCTTAAATGTATTGTTTTAACCCTGACCTTATGCAGGTTTAAAGGCAGAATTTTTATACTCCATACACCAGCCATATTTTTGTCTCTTTGTTTAAATTTTTATATTTGTCTTTGTTAGTGTAGGTGTAGATTTCTATGTCACTCTTAACAGTCAGTATTTTTTTTTTCAGCTCCATTTGCCTTTGTGTGGTTATCTCATATTTTTCTTTGTGTGGGTGTAGATTTCTATATCACTCTTAACCATCAGTATTTTTTTTTCCAGCTCCATTTGCCTTTTTTGTGATGATCCATGCATGTTTGACACCAGTGAACAAGGCTGTTACATGGATTAGCAAAATTCACCACATCTGAATGGAGAGTTGTGGAAAATTCAGCTTTCTTTTGACTTAAGCAATAAATGAGGGAATTCTTTTTTTTGCACCCAGGTAGAAAATTAAACATGGTGCAAGTATGGGAAGGGATATTTGCAGTAGTGAGGGTGTTCAAGGTGTTTTAATCAAACCTATACCTTTAATATTATTTATCATAATTTTTTTAATAGATGTAGGATAATTTATTTTAATTTTTAAGGTGTTGCTAAGTTATAGATATATATAAGAGCACTGATCTGTATTATGGTAAGTTAGCTGTAAGTTTGGACATCTCTTTCCCTGCTTATTCCTTTGTGTGTTTGAGTATCAAGAAATCTGAAAATTTTTTGGGAATTTGTTGTTGTTGTTGTTGTGATGGACTAACCTTGGAAAGAAGAAGTGTTAGTAGTATAAAAATTTAGAAGAGAGGGAGATTTGAGCTCAAAATTACTTGCAATTAAAAGTACAATACACTTGATAATTCTGCACAAAAAATTTTTGACTACTAATATGATTTAATTTGAAAACAGTAATTGTTGTTATTTTAAATTCCTCTGTAATTATTCAAAGATAACTGCATAGATATTTCATAGGACAAAATTTTCAATATCTCTGTGGAGCACTCACTAGAGACACTATGTCCAAAGTTGGATACTAAGTAATTGATCAGACTGATATACTTATTTCTGACAAACTTAGAAATAATGTAAGCAAGGTTGATCTTTGTTGGAAGAAATCACTTAAAACAAACTCAGGGTGTTTTGGTAGTCATAAAGTGAAGTATTTTAAGTACTATGCGCCCGTTGCATACAGTTATACATACTGGTAGCCTTGACAAGAGAATTATCTTGTTGATAATGATTGACATTCAGTTTGTGATTCATTTTCACTTAACCCTTTAACTCCCAGAAGTGATTAACATGTAATTTCTCCCTAAAATATCCATATATTATTTAGCAAACAGGTAATGAAAATACTCAAACATATTGGGTACAAGTTGTTATCTTGATCTAACATTAAATTCTCATAACTAATTTACAAGGAAATGTTTAGCAGCTGGATGGGAGAATTAATTATATCATATTATCTCATATCATGTTGGCTGAAACTGAGCCAAACTCAATTGAGTTAATGAATTGTGAAATATGCAATAATTTGGTAAAATGCTCTCTTCTAAATGGGAAGGTGCATGTGATCAACATCTTAATAAAGATGTGAAATCCAGACTCAGGTCCTACTACTTTTTCTCCTCTGAGCTTCTAAACCACTGAGAAATCTTGCATTATAAGGGTGTTAAGGATATATAGGTTACATAAGATCTTCAATAAGCTGTTTCTTTTGAACTGGGATTTCCAGCAGGTACTCAATGAAGGATAGAGTTGTGATGTACCTTACAAAGTCAGATGAGTGCAGGGTGTCTCTCAATCATGCTCAAGGTTATTTGAGTATTCTGTGCAGATTAATTTTTACTGGGTTTTCATTTGAGCTGTGGTTCTCCCAGTTAACCTTCTCAAACCCTTGCAAACTTTTAACAAAAAGAATTTTGATCTGTGTGATTTTAATTTTGTTGACTAATAACAAGTTGTTAAGCAGGATACAAACAGCTGAGTAAGATGATAATGTATTCCTTCACGCCTTCAGTTAGCAATACTGACCCACATAGTTTGACTATTTCACCACCCCCCCCCATCCCCCCACTCCCCACCCCGGTGAATAGAGGTCATTACCTGAGCTTCCCGTGGTGTTTTAAAAGGGTTTTTCGAGGAGAAAGGCATTTTCCTGAATAAAAGGAGACGAAGGTAGAGGTAATGACAATCCTGCTATTTGAAAAAACGAAAAATAGTGAAAGGCTTCAGGATACGAGCCAGCGTATCAAATATTTCTTTCAGCGGAGGCCCCCGTGAATATAGAACGCGACACGCATATCCAATATGGCGGTCTTTTTCTAGTGGAGAATTGTTTTATCTCACATGTGAGTATAGGTAATTTGGCGTCATATTTTGGACACTGACCGGTATAACGACCTAAAAGAGTTAAAGCCATCTCTGTTTAGAGGGGTAATGCATTGTGGATGGTCACACTGAGCGTGCGGATTCGCTTTGGGCACCACAGAAACTTGTGTTTGAATACAGTTACCGCCAGCGAGTTCCCGCTATCGAAGCATCTATTGTTCGCTAAATGTCACGTTGTGGGATTCTTGGAGGGTTGGCTTGTACACTCGATTAAGAGGATAAGATATTTTCATGGATTATCATGAGTGATCAAGGAACCAGTGAACAAGCCATCAATGGACCTAAATGCATTGAAATTCCACGAGGCTGGAGCCGGATTCTTGAAAATGGTTCCATTTTGTACATCAGGTATGTCGTATTTGTGGCTTTTTCATCCACTGTCTTTTTTCTGCGTGTGAATCGATGAAAGATTAACTTCATCTGAGCAGTAGCCTAAACTTGGTTAATTTCACTCATCCTGTGAACTGTCAATGGAATCTCTTTATTATTATTATTATTTGACGGCGCTCTGTCGGAGCATAATAAACAAATTGAATTTCAGCAAATACAGTCTGAAAGTCTTACAGTAAACCAAAATCTGATTCCACAAAACTTTTTTCTTCGGCGTTTCTACGTTGAATTTACTTCTGCCGGCCCTCAAGTATCTGTTGCGATCGATATATTTTTGTTCGCAAATTTTCACACACCGAATGTTCCTTTTTTGCATTGTAGGGTTTCTATGATATTTTTTTTATTGCCGTGGCTTTATTCAAACATTCCTCTCGAACGCGGTGCTTGATATTTCTAACTAATCGATCTGATTTGAGAATGAAGTTTGAATGAAAGATAATTTTTTTTCTGTAAATAGGATCACGTATAAGAGAAAAACTTAGTTATTTGAGTTTTGATAAAAAGTTGAAAAGCAGGCAATTTATTTTAACATGTGGAAATGGTATATGTTGAGAAGAAAAGGAATATTTGTTTTCTTAATCATGCCAATTGTAGTATTGGAAGGCCTTACAAACCCTTATTTTACATATTAAAGCATAGCCTCTCCTACTAGAATAGTCCTTGGCACATAGGAATATTACCTTTTACTTGACCATCCTAGTATTTACTAATAGAAAATAACAATATAACATTTATTGCACACCATCACAAAAATATGAAACACACAAGGAAACACTTTTCCTGATTTTTGCCTGACTAAATATACATGTTCAGTATTGTCAAACTAGGGAAATGGGACTGGGGGTTAACCAGATTCTGAGACAAATATATGAAAATGGGACAAAGATTGTGCTGATCTGAGTTGTAATTCACCTCTCTGACAAACAATTTATATGTAAAACAGCACTGGATTATAAATATATCGTATTAGATGTTTTGGTGCATAGTATCACTGAGTATTGTTACAAGTTGTGCTGTATTTTGACTTGCCCAACAGGCTTGTGAAAATACAAATAACAAGTGAAAATACTCAGCAATACAACACACCAAAATGTCCAGTAAGTTATTTATCATCCAACTGCTTTTTTTCTGCTAAGCCTTTCTACTCATTTCTCACAAGGCTGGAAAAGCAAAGTGGATAGAAAAGTGTAGCGTACAAAGTGGACTGGTTAAACATAGTTTTTACAGTAAAAAATAACCAACTGCACAATGTTGCAGGATATTTGTACTCTATTTGCAAATTATTTGTACTCTACTTTGCACAGTTGGATAATAATCTGTTTAATTAGCAGGATTGGGAAAAATGGTTAAAAATTTGTCACTGAACTCTTGCCGTGATGTGTTTGTTTTATGATTGCTATTTCCATTTCAAGGCCAGAACTATGTGGTCATTAAGGCAGACATGGAAACTACAATTATTGCTTTTATTGAAAAGTGAAAAAACTGCATTAAGAACATCTGTCAAAAAAAGTCATTTTCATAGGTGCTTGACCTTCAAATTATAATATCTAATTAAAGTAATTTTCACTTTTGGTGAATCTTTGTATTTATGTATCTGTAAATTGATAGAGTATTCATTTAATTTTTTTTTCTTAAATGAGTTTCCATCAATCATTTCTGAAATATCAAGCCCAGTTTGTCAGTCACAATTAATGTCAATTTCCAATAATGGACTTTCCTCTGCTAATGTTATTACAGCTTGCTTTAATCACTGGAAATCCATTTAAAATGATATTTGACTTTTAAGGTTGTGTAGCGGTAAAATTGAAAGGTATATTCATGGTCTGTTTGTGTTAAAAAATAAGCACTATTATTGTAATGATTACATTTTACTGTTTTCTGAGAAAAGTATTTTGTTCCTGTTAGGCCAGTGAAAAATGTAGTGAAAGGTGACAGAGTGCAATAGAAGTTATGAAGTCCATTCTTTAAGTGTCTATGAAAAACACTAGGAAAGGTGTTATCTTATTGTCCTATTTCCTCTAGAAATCGTTAGAGGAGAATTTCTGCATTTTCTTGTGCAGTAATTTTTGTGGGAATAGAAAAAGTGTAAAATATTTGTTTAAACTGGCTCTGCATTTGAATTTCTCAGATTGCATTTAGATTTTCAAAAAATCATAGCATATTAAATACACAAATGTTAAAAAAATTTCCACCTGATCATCACTGAATTTTTTATAAAGAAGCTTATTTTCCTTTAGACTGATTTTAATATGTTTAACTGAATTAACTTTAAGTTTTTATTATCTTGCCATTTTTTTTTTAAACAATACATACACATGAACATCTTTTCTATTTATTTCCTCACATTGTTTAAGTAAATTTACTCACTTCACTAAAACTTCAAGACCTTTTGGGTACTCAGCTAACAGTAACTATTAGCACCCTAACATCTGTGTGTAAGTTCAATATGCGTTCTCTATATATTTCCGATATTACTTAACAGGAGAATTTGACTCAAAGTCAAGAGCTTCTTGAGTTCACAATCCCTTCCTTCCTTTATTCTCATGACCTTAATGTTTGATTCAGGGGTGAAACTGTTATTTTGCTGATATTTCTGAAGTTCAAGGAAATATTTTGCAAAGAGCCAACAGAAATATACTTCCAGAAAAATTGGCAAAGAATATTTTTACTAATAATTTCATTGCTCTTCAGTCCAAACAACAGCCGATTGAGGTCCTTAGAAAATGTGATTGAGTATCTCAAGACAGATGGAACCTGTAAATGTGGACTGGAGTGTCCCTTTTTCATTCACAAAGTGTTCAACTTTGATGCAAGAATTCCAAGCAAGCCTATTCTAGTGAACAGCAGAGCAGAACCTTTGCAATCAGGGTGCAAACACTGTGTTATTGACTATTTGGATGTTTCAAACAACCTTCAGCAGTCATCAGAAGCCACAGGAAATGAAGCTAGTGATGCCAAACTGTCAGGATTTTCAGCAGTGGCCCCTAAAAGAGGTATTGTATGTGAACATTGATAGGCAAAAATGCTGTAGAAAAACTATGATAGTTTACAGGTAATTTAGAGTTAACAACTGAGTTGAAAATGCAAATTGGCCATCGTAACGCTCTGACAAAGGGCTAACACTCAAAACATCAGCTTTTTTACTCTTTATGGTGGCCAATTTACATTTTCAACTTAGTTGTTAACACTAAATTACCTGCTATACTCTCCCACCGATGCAGTACCACAGTTTCTTTGGAAACTTACCCCCTTTATATGATAGTTTACAGTTTATTTCAAGTGTACTGTGTATTTTGACTGAGTGTCATTAAATTTGAGGAAAAGTGATAATCTTTTTGTTACTTGCCATGATGGCCCTTTTGGTTGCCTCTTTAAGTATTGCTTTAAATAAATACGCTGTCAATCCTGTTATCAATTTATTAGCCATTTTGCTGTGTCATGTGTTTCAAGCTTTTCTTTTCTTTCCTCTTTCTCTCCTCCTTGTTTCTTAGTCACCAGTATGTGGGTGATTAACCCTTTAACTCCCACAAGTGATTAACATCTAACTTCTCCCAGCAATATCCATACATTATCCAGCCAACAGGTAATGAGAATATTCAAACATATCAATTAGAAGTTGTTGTCTTGATCTAACACCAAATTCTTGTAACTAATTTAAAAGGAAATATGTAATAGCTGGAGGGGGGAATTGACTATCAGATCTTGGGAGTTAAAGGGTTAACACACAGATTTTAAACCTTTTACTTTGTAACTAATCTTGACTTTGTTGTGATGGTATTGTTTTCAGGTCCAGGAAGACCTCGCAATCCCTTATCCAAGTCACGGAGAGTTGCTGTACTAAAGCATGACCTTGACAGATCAACCTCACCACTCCACAACATTCCTCTTCCTGTTCCAAGCTCCATTGCCAATAGTCCTGTCCAGAGTGTTCCAGCCAACATTGCAGTTGAACAGGGCCCCTTGCCAAGCTTTGCGACTATTGTGAGCAGTTCAAAACTCTTTAACCCAGGAGCAGGCCTGGGGAATACTAAGTTGGTGAGTAGTACTGTAACAAGTGTGGTAAACGGCTCTCCTATAGCAGCAGTGACAGCACATCCATCAAAGACAGCCACTACAACAGCTAGTGTTAACTCAGCTCCAAGCCACAGTGTCTCAGCAACTACATCAGCTGTTACTACTTTGGCTACAATGGGACAGACTGTAATGGAAGTTACTAAAACTACAGCCTCTGTTGCAACCACAGTAGTTGTCAGTCATCAGCACACAGCAGTTGCTGCAGCATCACAACCGATTAGAGACCAAACAGAAAATACTCTGCCAAAGAGTACTAGTTCTTTGATCTTTGGTGCAGCAAATACTCCCTCAACCAATTTGCCATCCAATAGTAAGGAACCTAGCAGGTTAACAATATCAAGTTCAGTGGCATCAGTGGTGTCCACAAGCACAACAACAATTTCAACTGGCACACAGGGTGTAAAGTCAGTTGCCAATATTAATAAACTTCCTGATGTCAAAGCTACACCCAAAGTGTCTGCTCCACGTACCAGCAAAGCAACGAAATCTTATGGACCAAGAAAAACAGTTGCAGCGACTCTCAAAGCTGCTGCTGCTGCGAAGGCATCCAATCCCTCAGCTGATGCCGCAAAACCTGGTGTTAGTGACCTTATTCAACGAACATATCAAACGACTTCTACTGCCGCTGCTTCTGGTCCCTCTTCTGAGAAGAAGCTAGCAGCCAGTAATGCATCGAAATCTCCCGCACTGTCTACACCAAGTGTCGCAACTACTGTTCAAGCACCAGCGTTATTCCATAGTGTGCTTAAAGATGCAATAATGAATGAACAAGGTAGCGCTGTTACTTCAACTTCACCAAGTACAACTACTACTGTAAAAAATATTACCAGCACAACAAATGCTGCACTCAATCACAGCTCAAGAGGATCTCAGTCTACGAGTAGTGCTTCCTCTCGTAGTAAGTCTGCAGCAAACAAGGAAACAACCCAAGTGACAACGGCTTTGCTTCATGGCGTCCAAGTGAGTCATTTACCACCAAGTGTGTCCCAGAAGGTACCAGCTCACAGGCCTTCGCCACAACTGCCAGGATACCCCATTTCGTCAGGTGCCTTTGGCAACCAAGCGCCACTTGCAACAACAAGTCAACAGCAGAATGTTACAGCTGCCACCATGGCTCAAAGTTCGGCTCAAACATCAGCTCCTGTGAGCATCTATGGACAGGCGCAGCATACAGCTGGCTCGTCTCAAATACCATCCTTGCAGATCACAGCATCGCAAGCTCAGGGAGGTGTTTTCTTTCAAGGCAACGGAAATCAAGTATTCCAAATGAATGTGGATTCAAGCCAGCTGAAGGGCGCTTATCAACTTCATGGAGCACTTTACCAAGGAGCTATTCCAGCGACATTTCTTGCTACAACTAATGTGAACAAGGCTGCATCATCTAATACACCAGGAGGGATCCCTCATACGATGTACCCCACGAACCCCTATATGCTTGGCATTGTGATGCCCGCTGCCTTAACGCAATCTATGCCAAACCAGCCTGGTCAATCCGCACCAACAACAGCAACGTCTCCATCAGCAACAGCTGCTGCGGCTGCGGCTGTTGCTGCGGCAACCCCAGTAGCGTCGTACTCTTACAATAATCAAAATGCAGCAATCGCTGCAGCATTTGAGTCATTTGTTCCCATTGCACCAGCTGCGTCTCCAAGGTTTTCCCAAACTCTGGCTCATTTAGCAAGTGCGTACACCCCATTTTTGCCTAGGGGTGCTGTGCAAGGCAACGCCCCAGTGCAATTTGCTGCACAAAGGATGTTATCGATGGGAACGATGCATCCTCAATCAGGTGGAAACGGTCAAATGGGGCAGACAGTTCTTAATCTTGGAGATTACACCGTTAAATATCCACTAAATACAGCGAAACCTGGATCATACGGTACACAATCACCCTCTGTTAGTAGCGTAAGTCAAGCTAACACTCATCAACAACAGACAGCTGTCGTTGCTGCAATGCCATATGTCGCGTTCGGCCAAGTCAACCATCCTCGCTTTCCGTTTTCTGTGAATTTTGCGGCGCCAAGTGCCAGTACAACTCCGTCCGTGACATCATCTTCGCCGTCACCAGCTTGTAGTTTCGTCACATCTGCCACTACACCTCATCAATATGGGGCCTGTAGTAGCTCAGATTCCCACGCTGTGCCCGGGTATGTGGCGATGCCGTTTAGCACCAGCTCAGGAAGTACAACTCACTCTTCTTCAGCTCCCACCCCACATCCTGGCAGTGCATTCTCTCCTCCCTCCAGTCATACGGCTACAAGCCACAGTAGTCAAAGGATGGATGTATCAGGACCTGCTCCACACCTATCTTCATGGTGTGGAACTAAAAGTTTAACTGGAGCAACAAATCAACGAAGATGCAGTACTCCTGAGAGTACAAGCACAGGGGCTTGCAGTGTGGCTAATTCAAGTGCTTTTTCTGTTCCATCAAGCAGAAGTAGCTGTATGGAAGTCAGTACTTCGTCTGTGACTGCGCCCAAAACACCAAGTTTCAGCCCGTCGCCCAGGCTTCCTGGAGTTACGTCTCCCTTGAACTCACCACTGACTATGCTTCCTCCTAATCAGGGGGTATCTGCTTGCCGCGCGTCACCAAAGAGTGATTCATCCCTCTCAAGCGGTAGAAGCAATGTAGAAAGCGTTCCGTCTCGTTGTCAATCGTTAAGTGTGAATGAAAGTCACCCGACGAAAACGTCTTCATCTGATACTTCTTGCGCTCCTAAGAGAGCTTCTTATAGTGACTCTAGTGATCAATCCAAAAAGGCGAAATATGATGAGTCAGCGTATTATGAAGCATATCCGCTACTGGGTCTGAAGAGATCTTGTGAGGCTATAGAAGCGTATTGCAGCCCAGAGAGAGACGATGAGGAGGAGGAGGACAATGAAATAGGTGATCGTACGGTGTCAAAAAACGATTCACCTTCCCCTGTAAACCACCAATCAGGGGAAGAAAATGTAACCAGCAAAAAATGTAGCAACTTAAACAACGAAAACGGCAGCAGAGGTAAGTTATACTCCTGCCACCATTTACCAGAGATGGTTTCTAAGAGAACTCTGAGTATCGGTCGTACCCTTAAACCTCAGAAGTTAGGGCGAGATTTTTTTCTATTTTTCCTTTTTATTTTTTACGAAATTAATACTTTATTCAGCAAGCAAGCGATATGGTGATTTAATGCTAAATTCTCTCAACTAAACTAGTTGGAAAGTGTTAGAAGCTTGGGTGGAGAATTGCAGACCAGATCCTGTGGTCAGAGGGCCTAAATCCGGGTTTTCCCACATTGGGAGATATGAGACGAAATACAATTTGGTCATTGTTCAGCCTCTATATTAAGTAAACTGCTGTTCATTTGATATAATTTGATAAAGTTCACTTCATAGCACACTTTTTTGCAGGATTAGCAAACAGCGACAATGAACCAGTCAGCGACAAGCGCCAGTCTCACTCGGTGTATAACGGAGACGTTTCAGCCAATCAAAAAGAGAGATCACGAGACCAAAGTGGTGAGAATAAGCAAATAGTAGACGACGTAGAAAACTACGTTTGAATAGGAGGAAACCTGGAAATAAAATCTAGGAAGTGAAGATATTGTAGTGAGGGAGAAAGTAACTTAAAAAGGAACAAGGAAGGTTGTGATGGATAAGATAAGCTTGAATTTTTAAGTGTCAAGTTGGAGAATTTCAGAGAGTATCCGAGGTGCTTATCTGCTTGTTACATGTGCAGGTGCTCTACGGAATTGCCAGTAACGCGCACGCGCGCAAGAGAGAGAGAGAGAGAGAATGTGTGTGTGTCTTAATTGCTTGCTTCCAATGCAGGATATGTGATGGGGCAACCGTAGTACCAAACAAAAGTTCATGGGTTCGTCTGTGGTCATGAGCATCACGAATTTTGATTTCCCGAGTAACTAACTCAAAAACATCATCTTTCTTTCCTTTTAACTTTCCAGTACAAATGGTCACTGACAACGCGTTTCCTAATGTCAAGACGAATCCCTTGTCATCTAACACGCCCAATAACCAAGAATGTCTGCGCGGGCCTTCCGTACCCATTACAAGACCCCAGTTTGATATCGGTGATATTGTATGGGCACAGGCGAGGGGACTGCCATCTTGGCCGGGCAAGGTCGTGGATGCAAGCGAGGTTGGGAAAGGAAGACCTGATGATGGAAAGGTATCTGGAAAGTATTTCTTTTCGTAAGTTGACGTGAAGTGTCAAGTTGATCATTGAGTTGATGCCGAAATGACTACATTTTCTATATCATTCACTGTAAATTTACGCTCGCATTCTTGAGAGAATGCGGCAGAATGCAAATTACGAGTTAGTCCAAGATTCCAAACTCTCGCTTACCTTTTCATGAAAATTTTGATTTTTCTATGAAAGTTGTTTCAGCTTGAGGTGATAACACTCGTTGGGTCCCTTAACAGAGAAATGTTTTTGTCTCTTATCTTAGCATTTTACGATAATTCAATCTCATATGGCCTTTATACCAACTGTGTTTTAAGTGGACTGAAATTTGATGAAACTGGATGAACAACGAGTCTTTTAGATAGTTCCAACGACGGACAGCATGCCTCGTCTTTCCCGGTTTTTGCAATATGAGGTGACCAATAAATTTGCTACTCGCTCTAGAGTCCAGTCCACCACAGGTTTCGCTCGATCACTTGTTGGTTTCTCAAACAATTCACACTCCTGATCAGAATGGAGAGAGGCACTGGTTCATACTTCTGGCCAGGGTGGTGAGAGGTATTTCCCAAGAACAAATTATAGTCACCTCGGCCAGTTATAACGGTCGGACAGCTTGTTCTAGTTTTCAGGCCACCGCATCTCGCAAAATTTACGATGTGATATAATGTATTTGTACCTGTCATATTTCAGCGGTGGGTGATGTGGTTTGGTGACCATACATTCAGTCAAGTTGAAGTGGATAGACTCAAGACTCTCTCTGAAGGACTTAGAACACTCGACGACAAAGCTCGCAAGAAAAAGTACAAGTAAGTGACGTTCGTAGATAAGTTACCCAAGAACAACCCGAGTGTGCGCCAATTGATGAGCGAACGTTTCCGAACTTGCGCGTGAATTGAATAACCTCTCAGGACCTTTCTAGCGCTGTATTATTTTAGTTGTCTGATGTAAAGTTCTATACATTTTAGGGCTAAGAAGGCAAGAATTGGGTTGGAACAAGCAATTAGTGAGGCTTTAGAGGCTCTCGATGTGGTGAGTGGAATACAACCTGAGACAAGCTGTATATGTTTGAATTTTTTTTTTTTCTTTTCTTTTAGAAATGGCTGGTGATAATTTTCTGTGGTTTGAATTTAAGCGTTTCTTTTAATTATATGCTTTCTGTGTTTTTTGAATTTAGAGGGAACGTCTTCGAGGTAGGCAAGGTGAGTTAACCTCGTCTCAATAACTCTTTTTTCGATGAAACTTAGGAATTCTAATTCGTACTCGACAGCAGCCGGTGAACTGCCGAGTAAACACACGGAGATCAACTTTTTGTTGTAAGTGTTTGCTCGAATTCTTGACACATAGCGGCGCGTCCAATACGGGGTCATGTCATGTGTCATGAATAAAGGAAAAAACTGAAATTACAAATAAAATTTTAACCTGGCCAGTTCTGAATTTGTATAAATATGTTAACTTATCTATCTCGCGAGTAAGCTACAATATACCAAACTTTTATATGACAGGCATCGTGTGTGTACTGCGAGATTCAGCGATGTCGATAACTTCCCGTGGTCGCTTGGTCGTTGAAGCAATTTTTACGTAACGTTAGATCTTATTTGTTAAGTCTTGTTGTTTTCTAATGGTCTTTTGTTTTTTTTTGTTTTTTTTTAGCTTCCAGATCGAAAGCCAAAAAGAAACGCCTTAGATGACGACGCAAGCAGCAATTGAATCGTATTTGAATTCTTTTTAAGTGGGTCTCGTAGAATTTGTGCTTATATTATAGACAAGTAGTAATATATTACTGGTACTAAACCAAACACGCAAGCTAAGTACACAGGAAGTTAGTGGTTATGAAGTACTCATTTACTACAAATAACTTTTTATCTTTAGAGCCAATTTTTTGAGCAGGAAGAGAAACAGAACCTTTTCTCCTTAATGAGTTTCTTAGCAATTAATCCTAATTCTGCAATCTTTTATAGACTTAAAAAACGCAGGAAAACTTAATTGACATGTAATAATTTCAATCAGGGCCATGTGTATAAGTATCTTTAAAAAAATTGAAGCAAAAACGTGCAGCCGACCCTATGTCATTTAATTGGCTAAGGGGACGATGGTCACAGTATGATATGCGTATTCTGCTAACCAGTAACTCACGGTTAGAAAACTGGGTCGAGTACTCGAAGTCGAGGCTTTAATCTATAAGGCAAACAAACTCTTCTTTTGTGGTTTGACATGTGTCTTCTGTTTTTTTTTTTGTCGTGTTGCGAGAACTTTTTATAATTATTGTTATTATTATTATTATTATTATTATTATTTTACTATTATTATTATTGTCAATATTAGCTCGATGTTCGCCGTCCTCTCGAATGCGGACTTCGATCCTCCAAGACTAAAAAAGGAATGAGTGTGGGCTCATTTCCCGTACAGCGGCAAGCCACTAAACTAAGCGATTTGTTTCTTGTTTTATTTTTGGCGCCAAGTAAGCTTCGACTTTGTGTGCACGACCTACTTTTCATGGTTCATTTACAATGATATGGAACGCGACCCACCGGGAATTTTAGATTGACCATCCTGGAGGAATATTTATTTAATTTTGATGAAACTTTTTTTCGCAGGAATTGACGTATTTTCTAGTAATCGTTTGTTTATCGTTTTCTTTACACCTCCTAGTCCACGCCTGTTTCTCGCAATCCTCCTCTTCGAATTGGCACATCTTTATGTTTTATTTGTCCGTGTATTTGTGGTATTTCCTGTACCTTGGTCCTGACGCAGTGAAACTGATAAAAATGGAACAAAAATGTACTTATATTTCTTCTGATTGACTTGACGTTGCTTGTTCAAGTTTTCCTTGTTATCACTTACCTACGTTTAAGTATTTTGAACAGTTTTTCACGGACACAAAAAACTGACCGTAGGTGTCTATACTGACGTACTAACATAACTCACTACAGAAAGTAAGCATTGGAGAGGAGAGCCCAAATTAAAAGGTGATACTGAGGAATAGCGGGCTTAAACTCCAATTGTTAAAGGCGATTTTGAAAAACTGAGGCTTAATTTTTTAGATATACGAACTATGAAGTAGTTCCTTCAAACCACACATGAGAGTCCCAATGTATTTCTTGGGGGGGGGGGGGGGGGGGGCAGGGCAGGTGGTTCGTACCTTTTTTTGAGGGAAGGGGATAGTATTCACATGAAATTAAATAGTGTTGAGTAGTCTTCCTGTAGGCGTTTCATCAAATCAACGGATGATTTTATGGCAAGAAATTGCCACCTGTAAATAATAGTTTGTTGCCCGAGTCTTTCCGCATGAATTTGGTACAGCATGTAAATTTCTTTTGTACAGTCTCAGAGTCCCACCCTTCTTTGTTGTTAAATGGGACAGCAGCTCAAAGATTTTCTCCGCAATACCAAGCGTTGCGTGACCACTTAATTGACAGCCGTAGTAATAGCTCATGTCACGCAATTCGCCGACCAACATGGTACATTGCGTATTATTCCGAGTGCTTTTCTCGAAGTTACGCTATAACGATGTCTGTAGATCCATGAAAACCTGGCCTGTTATATGATACCCGGGCACAAACGGGTGTATAAATTAGTCGGGTTTATTTTTGTAAGGGAACTTGGTATTGTACATAGCTGTAATTAAATTTTTTCAGTGGTTACTAATTTATCGTCGATTTGGGTGTAGATCCAATTCGAATTCTTGGATCTAATTGCTCAGCTTTCTCCAAAGTATTTACGGACTAAAGTTGAACAGATGCTAACTTCAATCATTAAAATTAATGTGTTAAAATTTAGTAGTTCTTTGTTGTAAGTGTCAATGGTTTTCCTTGAATTGAACCAAAGGGAGAAAGAAATCTGATCTGGAAAAGTGAACGCGAACTGTAGACCCACGAAACGTAAACTCCTAGGGACCTTGACCCTACGCCGCATCGTGTTCAATTTTCACTAGACGTGATCGCTAATCGACCACCCTTTAGTATTTTCAGATTCCCTCCCTCTCCCCCTTTCCCCTCCTCCCCCCTTCCCGGCGCGACAATAGTGGAGGAGTAAAAAGCCGAGGAAGGTTGGGTCGCGAAAATCGCGCCGTTTGCTATTTCACGGATTTTGCACCGTTTTACTCGATGAACGCCTGGAACAGACTACGCCAGGTAAAAGTTCCAAGAGGGTCTCGATGGGGTTCAATCGATAGCCGTAAAAAAGCTAAGAAAATTAGCCGTTAGGCGTAAAAATTGACAAATTTCAACCGATAGTCGTTAAAAAAGCTTATCGTAGAAAAAATTTCTGGTCACAACAACGGAATAATAAAAACCGTTAGCTGTAAAATTGCCCAAAGTATTGACCGTTCACCGTCAAAGCCATCACCACATTGAGACTCTCCTCCAAGAAGGCCCGAAATTTCGTGACTTTGCTATTAAAATTGGGAGTACTTAAAAGCGGCTCTATTAATTTCCCAGTAAGGATCAAGATTAGGCCATAACCTTAATTCTTACAGGAGAATTAATGGAGCCATTTTAAGTATTCCCAATTTTGGCAATACTTAAAGCGGCTCAATCTTCAGTCACTGATTTGAAGTCAGTCTTTACCGTTCCCTATATTCACTCTTCGGAGATTTTGATTGACCTTCTCAATGGCAGCATTTTTCAAACAGACAAGGAATTTGAGAGAGAATTACCACTGGTTTTTCGATAAGAATGACTTCGAAGTTTTTAGTAGTACTGCATACAACTTTCTACGCTTATTTTCAAAATGCTTAAAACGAAAATGCCGCCAAGCGTATAAACGATCGTGACTTTTTCTTAACCTTAACTTGCCCTAATAAGACGGCTGCACTGCAGGCACCAATCAAGGCGAAGATATGATTTTTAAAATCTGAGTAAACAGGGACGTGATTAACATACCTATTATGATGAAATTATGCAAATTTCAACCTAACATCTCCGTTCCTGAAAAAAAAAACATATATTTGATACATTTGACCACTGATATCAAGTCGTGTCAGGAGGGAACATCGATCTTCCTTGATACGTAAGGTTCTATGGGAGGAATTCTTGGCCTCAGTAGCACACAGATATGAGTAACGCAATCGGCATTCCTTGCTCACCACGAATCAGCGACTTCAATCCAGTTTAGTATTTTATGAGAATGGAAGAAACTTCAAACGAGTTGAGGTAAGTTTTCTGTCTTACTCACTGAAAACAATCTACAATCGAGCAAATTATCAGCGATCAGTTGTAATGAATGGATTGAGTTTTCGCCTATTAAATATCCTGCAGGCATGCCGGCGGTACACACAGTGTTTGAAAACTAATAATCTTTTGACTCTAAATCAAAGAAATGATCTAGGCATTCCGAAGCATTTATTGATAGACTAAATCGACGCGCTCTTGTGAAGGGTTCAGTCGACGACTGTGGTCTTTAGGACTTAGACAAGACGCTTCAAACATATTTAGCGGTCAAACTTTTGCGCATGTATGAACGTTATAGTGGCTACGTGGCGTGCTTTCAGGCTTTAAGAAGCAAATTGTCTGCAACCACGCAAGTCATTCTTAAGTTACATAAAATATCACGGTTGCAACGATATCTCCGAAGTTATTTTATTGCTTTTTGACTGTTTTAGGAAAGTTAACTTGAACGAATTGGTATTGGTCAGACAACATAAAATTCTTCGAAGTTCCTGGACATGCCACCGAGAGCTTTTACTTTTTTTGGCCCTGGTTTTAATAGCATTGGGAATACTTGCTTACTATTTCGGAACAACGCAGTATTTTACAGTACAAGGTAAGGCCCACTACCTTATAGTTTCTGAGGAGCAGTTACTGCTGCTTAAAAAGCTGTTAAACCGATAAGATGATCTTAGAGACCTACTCGTGGAAAACTATGCCTTCATCTTTACATATTAGGTTCTTATTGACCTTGTGGGAGGGCTGGACGGGAAGGTCCGTGCGTCATGACCGCGAGCTTAATATTTTGCCGTTCGGCCCGACCAAACTCAGTCTAAAGGCATTTTATCATATGAACGCAATGAACGGGCGCGCTCGTTTGTGTTTCCCTTCAAGGTTTCGCCGTGTTCTATATTGCCAGACGGCTTTTTCCGGACCGGCTCACGTCAACACGTCTGGCCAAACACTTTGGTTTACTATGGGATTGCGCGCGCGGTGTCAGACGGGCTATATGTTAGTATTGAGTATTAAGTATTTTCTCCTTCCCTTCACAGGGCAGTTTGTGAACTTAAATGCTGATACTGTCATCCAGTATTTCAGTAGCTCCGAAAATAGAGAGGAAGATGGGAGGAGTTCAAAGCCAGTCGTCGTTGAAACGAAAATTAACCTTAAGACTACCCTTCCCTCACAGATGAAAAATATTAACAATACAATAATTTCTTCTGACATGGCAAATAGTTTTAGCACAGAAAGTTCCAAACAAACAAAAGTTCATATCAATTCGAAAGCAAGTGTAAAACTTTCCCCGCCTACCGGAAAGAGAAAATCCTCGAAAAGCGAACAAACTGCTCCAGAATTGAAGAATGAATCGTTCTTTTCCTCGATGAAAGACTTATTTATTCCGACAAAAAGAAGTAAAGCGAAACTTTCAAAAATAGAAAGTTTCCAAAGAAAAGGTCACGTCATTCCGAGAAGTTCAAATCTTCCAACCAAAAGTATGAAATCCACGGTCAGAAAAGTTCAAGGAACTTTAAGAGAAATGAAGAATATCAAGTATTCAGATTTACAACGAAAATCTTCAACTGCACCAAGTCCTCTACCGAGGACGAAATTCAACTTTGATTCGTGGTATCGTAAACAGACAATTGAGATATGTGGAAGTGGATGGCAGGACAAATACCGTGAATTACATGACGATATTCTAAGCAGGCGTCGCCAAGAGAATTATCTCGTTTATCTATGTCCTGGCACTCGACAAGGTTGTTGTGGTTATGGAAACAGACTCAGAGCTGTAGCGTCGCTATTTTACCTCTCAGTTCTTACTGACAGGGCTTTTCTGATTGATTGGCGTGCGCCTGAACCAATAGAAAATCATCTGACACCACGAAACATCCAATGGAATTACAGCGAACCCATTGATATTTGCACGGGATTACAAATACGAAAACACTATTGGGGATCTACGAAAACGGACGTTCGCGAAGCTGAAGGGTACATTATTCAAGAACCAAAACACTTCAAAAAATGGTTCACTTCTACAGATTTAAAGCAATTTTTTGACTGGCCGGTGGAAGAAATAACCACGATATGGTACTTCGCCGAGGGTGGGATAAAAAACAATCCATTTCTTATGAAGCGCGCCAAAGACTTAGGAATAACACCCTTGATTTCTAACACACCAAAATTTAATCTCATAGGATGTGCGTTTGACTTTTTGTTCTCAAAGTCGGAAGCTTTGGAAAGGAAACTGAACGAAATGAGAGCGCAGTTACAGTTGGATAAAGGGCCAGTTATTGGGGTACACATACGAACAGGGGACGACCAATTTGATTATTTTTCCTCCGAAAACGTCCGCACATGGAATGCCAGAAACGTTTCAAAATTCTTCGAGTGCGCAACTAAAGTAGAAAACGAACTATTTTTAAACGAGACAGACGGACGAGAAAAAGTCCGTTGGTTTCTCTCCACTGATAACGAGCAAGTGAGAACTTTAGTTCAAGAAATCTATCCACACAAGGTAGTCGCGACCAATTTAACAATCTTACACCTGGATATTCTCTTCAACACCACAATCTTCAACTTTACGGCACAGTGTAACTACACGGATGAAACTAACACAACTCTAGTGTGCTACAATGTCGAAATATTAAATGTAACTGCATATTGCCTAAACCGCACAAAATATAATTTTACTCAAGAAATAGAAAATAACTCTACAATTTATGGAACAGGGATGGCCACAGAAGGCATTATTGCTATGTTAGTGGATCATTTCTTGTTAGCTGAAAGCGATTTTCTTGTCTTGTGCGACAGCAGTTTTGGTTCAACAGCGGTGGGATTGGGTATGCGTAACACAGATAGCTATATCTTGGCCGATCGAGGTTGTGTTGACTTTGCGACGGCGCAGAAAGATACAAGATTGAGGTTTTTCGGAAGACGAAGACGGTGACCCATGTTCTTCAACTCTGTTTATTTTGACTGAATTGCCCATCTTCTCGTAATTGAGAGTACATCTTCGTTAATATACCACTGTGCTTTTACCTTCAAAACAGATCATTTTGAGCGAGTACCACGAACTAAACCAAAGTTGAGTAAAAGAACTCAGAATCAGTTAACGTGAACGTTATCAATCGCTAAAAACGCTGGCGACTTATTGGCAACTGTTGCAATCGTTTCTAAATTGCATTGAAATTGCCCTTCTCAAGAACTTGGTACCTCAAATCTTACACGACCACACTATACACCTATCATTAAACTTACACGTGAATAAAGGGGGTAAGTTTCTAAAGAAACTGTGGTGCTTCGTCGGTGGGAGAGTATAGCAGGTAATTTAGTGTTAACAACTTAGTTGACATAAATTGGCCACCGTAAAGAGTACTCTTTACGGTGGCCAATTTACGTTTTCAACTCAGTTGTTAACACTAAATTACCTATTAAACTTACATGGACCTGGTTACAAAGAAATACTAACACCATGACTATTTTCAGGACATTTTCATGAAATATTTTTATTTAAGCCATTTGAAATACACCGTTTTCAATACAGTTATACAGTAAACTTCCGAAAAATTAGCACGTAGGTTACCAGACTAAAGCAGAGATGAGTGTAGCTCTTACCGTCACATGCATCATAAAGTCTGGTCACACTTGACGTTTAATTCTGTTTCCCTTATTATGAATAATTTTTATTTAGCCCAGCTGGAATGGTACCATACTGCTACATACATCACCAGATTAAAAATGACACCGTTCAGAAGAACATTTGTTTTGATATAATGGATGTGTAAATAAACTTCCCTTTGCACATGAAAAGGTTTCCCAGTTGACTTTTAGCAAAATCATTAAGGAAAGAAATAGGGGCATATTTTCCCTTCCTGTTGGATCTTATTTTGTAGACAAGTTTAAGGAATGGCACAACAAGATATAATTATCCCAGGATCTACTGCTAATGGATGAAAGAAAGGCAGAGGATTTGCAATTTCAGTTGCACTCTAATTTATCTTATTTCAGTCATTGAATCTCTTTGCTCAAGCCAACCAAAAAATTTATTTCTTCTACTCCTCTTTCTTCTTTATTCTCCCAAGCCAGTGTTCCAACATAAAATTCACCAAGGTTTTTTCCTTTAAGAAAACAAACACTGCCACAGTCAACAAACAAACACCACCAATTCCAATGTGAAGAATGCGGTAATACCATCCATGTTCACAACATAGCTTTGCTTCTGAAGTTGCAGTTATGCCCCAGGACAAGGCAAATGCAATCAAAACTAGAGGTGATGGGAAAAGTCCTTGTAAAGGTTTGAGATGAGGGGATGACTTGTAATAGTTGTAGATAAATATAAGACTGAAAAACAAAAGATAGAGAAAGAAGTAAGACGTTCTCAAGACTTGGTTAAAGGAGCTACATAGTTTTTTTTCTTTTTTTTCTGTTAACAGATTTGATGTGGGAGTGTTAGTCTATCATGTAAAGTGGTCATCTGGACATAGGTTGTCTACTGAATCATCACAGACTCTAGATATGACTTGTGCTGAGGTTTTCGAAAGTTTGTCACTTTTACCAACCACAGTTCTTTTTCAGGAATACTCTCACATGGACAATAAGATTACACAGTCAAAGGAGTGTCCTTGTGGGGTGTAAAGGACAGTTCAGCAGCTTCAGTGAATGATTAAATCAGGATTGCATAATTTACTTGATTCTGACAATGAATTTAGCTCAGGTTTCCAAAATTCAAATATCTCTACTTACAAAACACCTTTGAAGGGATACAATAAATCAGGGGAGCATAGTATAATCAACAACTTACTAACCTGTGATAAATGCGCAGGAGCATGTTAAGGCAGTTAGCTATGACAAATCCAACACTCCCAAAAATAGTGAGATACCAAGATGCTGCTAAGAACACTGCTGAGAATGCCATCATTTTGTAATTGTAGGAGTCAACATCATCTTTGCTCATGGTTGCAAACATGAAGCACTCTGTCATGCCATTGACAGCAATAATCAATACATAAACACAATACCATCGCAGCAGAGAGGGACCTAAAATGAACATAAAAATTGATTAATTACTGGTAGATAGGGTAGCTAAGAAACTATCCTACTGCACTTTCCACGGCTGATTCTCACAAAATATTTCACTCAAAAAAGCACTGCTACCACTATTAACCCTTTACATCCTAACATCAAAATGCATTTTCTATATACTATTTTCTATACATTCCTAAGGTGCTGATGAGGAGAATTTGAGTAACAATCAAGAGCTCTCTTAGTTGGTCATCATTTTCTTTATTCTTGTGACCTTAATGAGTGATTTGGGGATGACATTGTCAGGAGAAATTACATGTAGATGCTAGTCTCTCTTAGAGGTCAAAGAGTTATGATCTGTAACATGCACCCTGACCCAAATTTTGATTTCAGTAGCATTTTCCATTTCCTTTCCTTGCTCCAGTTTCTATCCCCTCCAAAACCCCCCAATGCTGTTGCATCAGCCAGGATATATTATGTGATACTTCAATGTCTAAATCACCTTCTCCACTGCTCAGAGTTTTCCCTCCATAGATGTCAAGCAGAAGGAATGAGTAGCTGTAGCCAAATACCAAAAATGTCAACCCAACTAGAACAACAAACTTCAGAACAACTTCCAATGTATCTGAAGCTATTTTTGCTGACTGAGGTGTTTGCTTCTCAGCAGAGCTACCTCTTTCCAAAGTATATGCAAAGAAAGTGTAATAACTCTCTTCTATTGGCATAAAGACACATCTAGCAACCAGAGAACCAAGATTGTTAATCACATCATAAATTCCTTGTTGAGAAAATGTCAAAACCTTGAAAAGTGTCATAATGTAGCGTTCACCTTCAGTCAAAATCTTTTTCAAGAAGGATTGCTTAAAAAAGCTCCATGTAAGATGTGCCAGTGCCCCACTAAAAAAACTCTTCCTTGATAGAGTTCTTGGGAAAAAGTCTCGCAAAGATCTAAGAGGAAAGTCGCTTTCTTCTTTATTTTGATATCTGGGGGTGGTTTTGATATAGTATATGAAATATACGTAGTATAAAACCATTACCAAAACTGAAAATGCCGTTTGTGCAATACAAAATGTAATGATCCCAAGATCTGGTACAAAAACTACCAGTCCCAAAGTGATGACACATCGTGCAAAGTTTGCGATGCCTTCTATGACAACTTTAAGGCGCAAAAATACAAACGCTTGAGCAACGACCCACAGTTGCTCAGACAAAAGTTCGATTGACCCACTGGCTGCAAAAACCAACACTGCTAACGGGTAGTTTGCAATTTTAACTGGATCAGGAATCTCTAGATAGTACAACCACACATAACTGAGAATGACGGACAATACAACACCAAGAGGAAACACACACCAGAGAAGGTTAATGACCTGAGTCCATTTTTTATCCGCTGACTTGCTGAGACACGCTTTTCGGAATGCCTCGCGAGCAACGAAGACGATAGTTTGATTGAGAAGCATCAGTCGCACGTTCACAACTCCGATCATATCTTTCGTGGTATAGCGTAAGAGGATGCCGTTCATTACAAAGGTGAGTATCCTAAATGTAACCTGCACAATGACATTGTATGAAGCAGAACGAACAGTGCTCCCAACAAGGGTTTCTTTCTCGTCTGCCATTTTGTTACGATCGCTTGAGTGCAACAAAGACAAATCTGATTGGACAGCTCTGGAATATATTATCCAATAAACTATCTTGTTTTATTGATATTTTTCATAAAACTGCTGGTCATATACACTGACGTTGTGAGCCTTCCTTTGAATAAAAGAATTATTTCTATTGGTTTATAATAGCTTTCTTCTGTTTCAAGTAGCCAATTAAAATGGATATGTTTATTATACCCTCCCCGGTCCTGTGCGTAGAGTCTACCGAACCCAGTCTCCAGTCACACGTGGCAAAACATCGTACTACACATTATTACGAATTTGCAAGTTTTCTGGAGCTTGTATCGGATAAGTAATTTTAATTTTCGCCAGTAAGATGGCGAAGAAAAATTTTTGGTTCAATAGCTTTATATGGCTTGTGTTTGTAAGTATCCTTTATGGTTCTTCTTTGAAAAAGATTATGTTGGTTGCCATTTTTTCTCTTAAAGTGCTAGTTACAGTAAATCGCTAATAGCTAATCATTTTCAATTATCTATGAATCTAACCTTGCAACATTGTATTAATTTAACTGGATAGGTCGTGGGTCTCTCCAAGCAAGCCAAGAAGAAAATTGACAAAAGCTCCATCATAGAAATAAATGATATTAAGCCATTCAAGAAATTACAAAGGACCCATACCAATTTGCTTGTTTTATTTGCTCAAAGCGGTAGGTACTTTACCGAGGATTCTGTGCGATGCACTGATTGTAGGAATGCACAGGAAAAAAATCAGCTAGTGTTGATTTATTGCTTTTTTACTCGTGCTAAGGAAATAATGTGCTTGAAAATTTCACTATGGGAACTATATCCTACAATTACAAAATTTCGTCACTCAGTTACCACGATTCAGTGTGAACAGCTGATAGTAATGTTTTCTTTTGAAATGTTGCTATTATTTCTGTTTTCGAATTCAACTGCTTGGAAAGCGAGATGCATCAACCTGATACTCTTAACTAAATATTGATAAGACCTGATTGCGTGTGCTCTCGCTCCCATACTATTATGTGTTTACAATTCCTTCCCTTTTTCAATATTTGGTGCATTTTCAGCTCCGAATATTATAACCCTGGAAACCAAAAAATCTCACAGAACAGGTTATTGAAAAATTATGCTTTGCTGTGACAAAAGATAAAATATTTTGCAGAACGTGATGCGTCAAGTAGATTTGAAGTCTTGGCACGAGTTGCAGAAGAAATTAAAGGCAGGGGGACTGTTGCATACATAAATTGTGGGTGAGTATTAATTGGTCAGCAGGAGGCTGTATTATTTAAATATTTTAATCAACGTGAATTGATTTAAATTAGGAGGACTTAACTGTATTTTTTTTGAGTTACTCTTTATTCTTGCTTTTTATTTGCATTCTTATAAAACGTTGGGGCTAAGGTTTGTTCTTAGAAATCTGTTCTCAATTTATTTTCACAGTTTCACCAGCTTTGATAGACTTCCCCTGATCATGGAGAGAATAAGATTAAATGAACAATGATAAAAAGCCCTATTACCCAGATGGCAATCAACCTCTTAACTCCCAAAAGTGATTAATATGTAATCTCTCCCAGTAATATCTGTATACTATCCAGCAACAGGTTATGGGAATACTCAAAATTTTCAGTTAGAAGCTGTTATCTTGATCTAATACCAAATTCACATACCAGTAACTAATTACAAGGAAATGTGTAGCAGCTACAGGGGAGAATGAATGCTAAGATCTTGGGAGTTTTTAAGGGGTTGATTGAAATTGGTAGAGGGTGTACTTAATTTTATATTTATTCTGCCCAAGATTATCGTCATGAGCTGCTCCTCTATACCTTTCCTATCGCCCTTTCATATTATTTCAGAATGAAAAGCAATAGTTTTAAGAAGGATACCGTTAGACTGAGATAATTTTCTCTCCACAGGGGGAGCTAATCAATTATCATAATTGTATTTTTACAGAGAAAGCAAAGATACAAAAAAAATGTGCAAGAAGCTCAGAGTTTCTCCTCAACCTGTGATGTTAAAACATTACAAGTGAGTTCAACCACCTTATTGTTTCGTTACTCATCCTGCTGCTTGCTTTGCACTCAAATTACATCTTTCCTTTACTTCCTGTTAGAATTTTGCAATTATCCACCCTTCCCTTTCACTGACTCCTGTCTCCTTTTATACTCTGCTTTCCTCCAAGGCTTGCCACTTTTCCACTATTTTACAAACCATACCCCTCTTCTTTTCCACTTTATTTGATGTTACACTCCCCTCCCCCCACTCTCTTCATCTCTTATTCACCCTACCTCCCTACTGACATCATCTTCCCACATACTCACCTCCCCCCACTCTCTTCATCTCTTATTCACCCTACCTCCCTACTGACATCATCTTCCCACATACTCACCTCCTAAACCTTTTTCTCGTGCTTCTTTGTTCATGTACTTACCCACCCCCCCTTCCCATGTCTTATTGACTAACTCCTTCTCCCCCTGGATCCAAAGCATTCTACTGATCTTCCACACCCTCAACTGGTGTTATATATAACTCAGTCCATTTAGCCATAATAAATTTTTTGAAGTAATCCCATTCTCACTTTGTCAGGATGTCTTTGATAACTTTGCTTTTACATCAGGTACCCAATGATTATTCTAAGCTAAAGCACAATTTGTGTTCACTTCTCCATCTGGAATTCATCCTATCCTCTCATCACCTTCTCACCCTGTCCAACTTTGTTACCTCAAATCCATACCACCCCAACCAGCCTATTTTAGTGGAGCTTGCAGAGCTTAGCCCCATAATTATACAAAATAGTAGTAACCCATCAAGCCGAAAATATTTGGATGTATGACCGTATCACCATACGATTGTACAAGGTACTACTTTTAACATGTGTGGTCAAATGTACCACAGGCATGCCAATGCTACGGCTTTGTTTAGTAGTCCAGTGGTCAGTGCACTGGGCTCTGAGTCAGATGATCCAGGTTCTAGTCCTAGCCAGGGCAAGGCATTGTGCCCTTGAGACATGCGGGAAAAAAAATGCAAGGTCCACTTTTAGGCTTGGCTAAATCTATATTTTATATTACTTGGAACACATTCCTTCTGTTCTTCCTTTATCTTCATTTCTTCTATCATTATGTTTCCAACACTCTTGGTGTTGCATGGACAGGTGTACTATTTAATTTTTTTTTAATATTAATATAAGTTAAATGTTTCTCTTTTCACAGAGATGGGGATTTTAACAAAGATTATGATAGGAAGAACACAGTTAAGGTGAGTGAAATCATTGATTTGATCATGGTATTGTTTTATGTTGTTTTTGTACTTTTAGTAGAAAAGTTAATAAGAAGCAACTCTCATTTTTAATCTTATAATTATTGCAACATTTACCCAATTTTTTAAATTTTCTGCAGTCAATGTTAAACTTTATGAATGATCCTACGGGAGAAATGCCTTGGGAAGAAGAAGAAGGCACAGAGGATGTACGACATGTCCACACAAGTAGCGTAAGTTGTGTAGTATAAAAACTTTTGAAAATCCTTGGAGTTACAGATACTTGATGTTAAGTGATCAGGGCAGGAAAATTGATTTCCATGAAAAAATCTTTTTTTCTGTTTTTCAGGAATTTGTCAAACTGACAACAAAAGAGAAGAAACCAATCATGGTCATGTTCTATGCTCCATGTGAGTCAAATTTTTGTAAATTTTTGCCAAAATCTGTAATGATCTGTGGTTGCTCACCCTTTCTGTTCCTTGCTGATCCCTGCTGACCCTTGTTTTCCCTTGCTAACCCCATCTCACACCTACTGACCCATGCTGGCCCCTGCTTACCCTTGTTTACCCCTGCTTGCTCTTGCTCAGCCCTGTTCGCCCCAGCTCACCCCTGCTGACTTCTGTTCACCCCTGCTTGCTTCTGCTTACCCCTGCTCACCTCTGCTCACCCCTGCTCACCCCTGCTCACCCCTGCTCACCCCTGCTCACCCTTGCTCACCCTGCTCACCCCTGCTCACCCCTGCTCACCCCTGCTCACCCCTGCTCACCCCTGCTTACTCTTGCTTACCCTTGTTCATCCCTGCTCATTCCTGTGTGCCCTTCCTCAACACTGCTTGCTCTTGCTGGCCCATGCTTGTTTGCGTTATTGTGACTTCATTGTATCTCATTATTTGAATTTCAGGGTGTGGTTATTGTAAAAAGTTAAAACCTGACTATGCTGTAGCAGCCACTGAACTTAAAGGAGAAGCTGTGAGTTTTTTTTCAAACAAATTCATGACATATTGGGTGGTGAACATGTTAATGGGATTGGTTGTTGAAACACCAATTACCACTGAGAAAACTCCTTCTCAGGATGACTCTCACTTGGATGATCAGGCCACACAGTCAATCAATCATTGTCATCAACAATAACCTTTTTTAGGACTACACTTTCGTAGACATTCAGACTTCATAGATAGATAGATACATTCTTTATCAGGTACAGAATTCTTAAATTTAACACGTAGTTATAATGAAGCAGTGCATCAATAATTAAATTTGTAAAAAATTAGAATGGGACAAAGTAAAATATTGATATTGATTGTAAGCAGTTCAGTATATAAATTATAACATTGACAGAAATTATGCAAATAAAGTTATTTAGGCCTAGACTTAAGAAATTTTCTCCTATCAAATATTCACCAGTAGAAAATTACTTATATAAGTGACCTAAATCCTTTTATTGTAATACTGAGACTGTTGCGTAGTTAAGACACCATATAGGAAAAGGACCTGTGGCCAGATTTTGAATTCATTTTGACCATGTGCAGATTACATGACCAACTGTTACTCCTTGGTTCATGAAAGTTCCATGTCCATGTCCATGTAATTCGGTAGTCATACCAATTTTTTATTCCAACAGATAATGGCTGGAATGGATGTAGATACATATGACGCATATCAAATCAGAGAAAAATTCAATATCACAGGATTTCCAACTTTGATATATTTTGAGTAAGGCCCAATTATATGTTGATTTCACATTTTTTTGCAACTGACATCTATAGACCAGCATCTAATTTCTCCTCATAATGTCCCCCTTGAATCACTCATTAAAGGTTACAAGAATGAAGGGAATGATAACCAACTAAAGAAGCTCTAAAATTTTTATACAAATTCTCCTTGTCAGCAACTCAGGAAATATAGAGAGAACAGTATAGAGAATATGGATTCTGATGTTGAGGTGTAAAGGGTTAATTGATGGTTGAACTGAAGAGTTCGATTGAAGATGCAGCTTTCTTAAACTCTCTAAGAATGCCTTGAACTGTTTTTGAGTTCGTTGGGTTCTGCTGTCAGTATGTGTGTATTTATGAAAATCTTATTATTTATTTGTAACCATTCTTATGAGTATTTCAAGAGGAATCAATAGTTGTCTATTTCTTTATGTATTTACACAGTTTAATATTTTGATTAATCTGTCTGAATATTAACCTTAAAAAGATTTGGCGAAGATTTTAATTTCAGTTGTCATTGAATCAATGTCTGTCATAAACTTGATCTTCTCAGAAATGGTGAGGAAAAATATCGTTATCAAGGAAAACATGATAAAGATTCTCTTGTAGAGTGGATGAGAAAGTAAGTCTTATTTTTTACATCTGGAGTTACTAATGAATTAATGCAACCATTCCTGTCCTGATCCTATATTAGACAGTAGTGTAATGATTTTAGACTTGTGTCCAAGTTAAGACACTAGTTTTGGATTTTAGATCTTGTGTTGGATTTTAGGCACCAGTGTCTGATTTTGGGCTCTGGCTAAACACTAGATGCTTGTGTCCAATTTTAGATGCTAGTGCCTGATTTTAACACTTATGTCTAGTTTTAGACAATAGTGTCTGGGGTTAGACTCTAACGTATGGTTTTAGCCACTAACTAGTGTCTGCTTTCTCAATATCTTTGTCCAATTTTAGACACCTTTGTCTGACTTAGGACATAGTGTCCATTTTAGATACTGGTGTCTGATTTTAGTCGTTAGTGTTGAATTTTAGACAAATTTTCCTGGTACTGTGTGTATACAGTGGACTGTAAACATTTTTTGAGAAGACTTTTGAAGTTGTCTTTTAACTCGACTTTGACTTTATGTATGACAGACCAACACTAAATGTATTCTTGTTGATCCAATATCATATTATCCAAACTAAAATCATAAGAAATGTCTAGCAGACAGTAAGGAGAATCACTAATGAGAACATGGGAGTGAAATGGTTGAAAAGATATACAATATTAATCACTACATGACTCTCCTTACTATGCATGTAATATTCAAGAGTGATTGTGACTTGTTAATGTTAGACCTATCTACAATGTTGTTTTATTTTAGCCCTGCTCCTTCAACACCACCTGCTAAGGAAGAGGAGTGGAGTGACATTCCTAGTGATGTTGTCCATCTCAAAGATGACACATTTGATGATTTTATTGCAAACAATCCATCTGTTCTTGTCATGTTTTATGCTCCTTGTAAGTATAATTTTTTTTTTTATTTGTACTTGCCTGGCCTTGTAGGAACTCAAAAGTCAAAATCTCTTACTTGTCTTTTTAGTGTTTCTTGCTATCACTTTGTGATAAATTGATTTTTCTTAAAAAAAAAAAAAAGCAATTCAGAGTGAATGGGTAACATACATAAATGTTGTGTCAGGCCCACAAAGGTCTTCTCTAGGAAGACAAGATCATGGAACAACGGTTATGGACAGTTTCATGAGCATCCTTTTATGTATTGATTCTTGGCCTTTCAGGGTGTGGTCACTGCAAAGCTATGAAGCCTGAATACACAGATGCAGCCAAAACAATGAAGGAGGAGGAGGTACTTTTAGTGAAAATATTTGACGGTGTGCAATAAATTTGATTTTGAGTGAGTGGTGTAAAACCAACTATTCTTACTGTATATCCCTAATGATAATTCTAAATTTCTTACTTGTGTGCTGAAGGCTGACTGGTAACAATGATTTTAGGTTCCTGGTGTGATAGCAGCAGTAGATGCAACAATGGAAACAGCAGTTGGCAAAAGATTCAAAATTGAGGGCTATCCAACAGGTAACTGAGTTGATCAACAACCTCTTAGTGACTTTCTGAGCCAAGACTTGTTCACCCCTCTTGTTTGCAAGTGTTGATTCTGCCTCTGTGTTTCAGTGTGCTCATGCTGTCTTACCAAGATAAAAAAACCTGTTCTTATTGGAAAGTTTTGCAAATGGATCTGATACTGGCTTGGCCCGTGTCTTGCACTGGTGTTTTCCCATCTAGAGTTGGAGGTTTTGAAGAAACAATGATCATTTGCAAAGGCTTTCTTTTCCTTGAATTGGCTTCCACATATTTTTGCTTATGTAAAGTTAAAATGTGATATTCAAACTTTCAATCCACAGGTATGAGAGTTGACCTGTCCATCCACAAATAATGTTTTTCCTAGCAAATAGTTTCTGCCCAGGCCACCTCTTTGCTACTGTGGCAGAGGGATCCTGTTGAAATGGAAGTTTCAGTTGTGCTCCCCTGACATTGAATGCAACCATGATTTTCCTTTGACTGAATGAAACTGTCAAGTGACCACCTGATTTCATCTCAAGGACTTTTTGATCAAATGTATTAGTGCCTATGTAGACCCTGTGCTGATTGGTTTGTGTTACTTGCTTATCACTTACCTGCTTTCTTTTTCTCATCTGTTTTCAGTGAAATATTTCAAGTAAGTGAAAGGTTTTACATTTGTGTTTGGGTTGAGACTTGTAGAGTTAACTGCCTTGTTTGGTTTGGGAAAAATTGACATAAAATGTGTGAATTTTTTTATTATCAGAGATGGTGAATTTGCTTTTGATGTGAACGAGAGAACGGCTGACAAGATTGTGGCATTTATGAAAGAGTAAGTGCATATTGTGTGTTTAATCTTTGTATACAAAGTAAATTGATACTGACAGAGGTTTTTTTGTTTTATCCAGTCCAAAAGAACCACCCCCACCCCCTCCCCCAGAGAAAGATTGGAGTGAAGTGGAGAGTGAGGTTGAACACCTGACAGATGACACTTTCAAAGGATTCCTGAAGAAAAAGAAACATGTCTTGGTCATGTTTTATGCACCATGTAAGTTGAATATCAGAGAGAGTAACAACGATCTCCTTTCATGGGATCTTGATCCAGAGAGTTCAGTGCTGAGATGTAAGGAGAGTGGTGACAAAAGGGAGAAACCCATCCAAAACAGGGAACTAAATTAAACATGAGGTGGAAATAGAAATTTAAACATCTGACCCTTTGGATCATCACTTGGTTTCTCTAACACTGAGCTACAGTCTGAGCTACATCTTATATTTGATATATGATAGCTGTTTTTCTCTTAATTTTATTTTTTGCATTTGTTGATGTGACATATTGGAAAAAGTTTTCTTGTATCCATTTTAGGGTGTGGTCACTGCAAGAAAGCTAAACCAGAATTTATGGAAGCTGCTAAACATGATGTGGAAAACTCTAAGGTTAGACAACTTTATCCAGTGGTTGTTTCGTAAATACGAAGTCGTGTCTCATGTGCTAGTTAATCAACTGTCACAGAAATGCTTTTTACATTTTTGATGCTTTTCTTATAGATAGGCTCATTCTTTCTCATGATAGACTCTTTGATGGTTGAAGAATAAGTTTTAACTTTGCAAAATTCTTAAGACACTTAAGTCTCATTATTTAAACAAAGTTTAGCCGTTGTTTAACAAAACCGCGTCCTAAATAGTTCCCTACTTAGCTGAACGTGTTATCTGAACATTTATTTTTGTGAAGAGCGCCGAGAGGGCCGAAAGCTAACAATTGAAGCGCATTTATTTCATGAAATCAACATTCTTATAGAGAAAGCCTAAGGCCCACTGATTGCGTAAAAACCGTGGCTTGGGCTATACCTCGTGTAAATAAACCGGCCCTTAAGTTTTAGTTCAGTCAAGAGTTATCTGAGATCAGATCCATCAATTACCGGTATCTCTGCTATTCAGAAATGATTTGACACTCGAGAGGGCAGCTGAAATGGACCTTTGAGGAGGATTGGAAAGTGTAGTAAACGAAGATAAATACCTTTAGTAATAAGTGTGTCTTAAAAGTTGCTTGAATCACCAAAACTTCTTGACTCTTTTGTTAGGTTGCATACGCTGCAGTTGATTGTACAGTCCACAGATCTGTGTGTAACCAGTTTGACGTGCAGGGGTGTGTACTTCTTCGTTGTTCCCTGACTATGTATGAGAGCAAGGCTATAAAAGTTTTGAAATTCCAACGCTGAAAATATCAGGAAACGAAACAGAATGCGCCCAGATTCGCACTTCTATTCCTTAGATATAGATAGGGCTTCAGTGGCTCGTACCTTTATCAGGAATTTCGAGAAACGGGCCCCGGAAATGTATTGATAATTGTAAAAGTTAAGATAGGTTATCAAAAAACTGCGGCAAACGTATCCGCATGCGTCAACTTCTGGCAAAATGACGTAATGACCGGAAGCTCAATTTTTTACTCATGCGCAGTGCGTTTTACCGCGGTGTTGGTTATCAAATATTTTTCAGATACCCTACCTTCCGCTACTTCAACTACGGCAAGAAGGACTTCAAGTACATCGGAGGACGGGTGGCCAAGGACTTTATCCAGTTCATGGAGAATCCTCGTGAAGGTCCCCCACCGCCACCCTCTGAACCAGAGTGGAAGGATATGCCAAGTCACGTCACCCACTTAACTGACAATACTTTTGAGGAATTTGTGACGACACACCATTCGGTTCTTGTCATGTTCTATGCACCTTGTAAGTATGTTTGTGTCTTGCTCGATTTCTTGGACATGAAAATCATGTAACTGGGAACTTTTTCCTTTAGTTTTTTGCTTTACCTTAGTAAAGGGGATGTTTCAGCTTTATATTATGAATCAACCCATTGGCACAAACCTGTCCTAACTTATACTATTTGTGATGTAAGTCCTGTGACAGAAGGCGATTCAAGATTTTTTTACTTTAGTTGAGAATTTTTTTTTTCTTTGTTCAGTTGAGATTCTTCTTTGAGACTAGAATTGTTCTGTAATTGAGAGTCAGACATTTTCGACCGTGAAAAAGAGTTGACTCGAATTGGACATCTTATGAAGAAGAATCACTGGGAGCCGCTCTTGATTACTCTGGCTCTCGATGTGTTTTTGTTGATTTAGTTTAATCGGCATCTCGTTACACACTGTCCAACCTTTAATGACGACCATCTCTCCAAACAACTCCGTAACACCCGGGTTACTTCATCAGATAGTTTTTTTCTCAGGGCGGCCGATGGCTAAACAGGTAGGCCAGGTTAAGGTAGGCCAGGCTATTGAAGTTTCTTTCCTCTCGTTCGATAATTTCAGGGTGTGGTCACTGCAAAGCAATGAAGCCTGCTTACATGGAAGCCGCTGAAGAGTTGCACAGTAAAAATGTGAGTCGCAAAATTACAGAGAAAGCTAACTGATGATTCATTGTGGCTCATCAACACTTCTCTTCGTTGTTCAACGTTTCTTAATACAACTAGGAATATTGTAGAGAGAGAACATGCTTTGCATCATCGGTGGGTGAGTGAAACGGCAAATTGTAGTTGACTGTCAGCGTGAAAATCAAGGAGATGTTAACCATTTTCAATGAGAATAAGACTCCCAAGAGATATCGGAACACAGTCGATAGCACTTTTGCGATTGGAAGCTCTCCCAAAAGACCTTCAAGAACTTGTATACGAACATGGTTAGACATTCTGGATTTATATATCACAATGCTGATATATAGACAAGTATTTCATTTATCTTTGGATGCAATGTCCAGCCTCCTTCGCCCTCCCTACAATGTCACAAGCTGTAATATAATTTCATTTCATGCCTCCGGGTAGAGAGGCGCTGGAGTTGTTAAAGATATTTTCAAAAATTAAAATACGGTTTCGATGTGGGACGGTTGCACTTGTGAATTGTGAAATCTTTGTTTTTGGGAGGTAGCACAGGGAGCAGTATACAACTATATTTATGTTACTAGGTCGTTCTTGATGACCAGTTACTACTTACATTTATTCAGAATATTTGTCGTTCTTCTGGTAATCTTAACAGGCTCGCAGTGTTTTGGCCGCTGTAGATTGTACCAAAGAGAAATCGTTGGCACAAAAGTATGACATTGATGGATTTCCTACAGGTGAGCTCAAACAAATATCAATTTATGTAAAAAAAAAAATAATAATTCCTTAATTGCTCCTACACAGGATTGAAATGTACGAAAAAGCTTTTTGAATGACTTACCTAATCATTTCGCTTAGCTGACGTAGGCTAAGATAAGGAAACACACATTGTAACAATATTTAATAGATGTATTGAAATAATTGAAAGTTATTTAATAATTTTATTGATTCTCTTCTAACCTTTTAATTATTTTTTTTTTTTTTTTTGCATGTGACTGGAAAACTCAAAACAACAGTCAAGTACTTCAGGTGAGTCTAACTGTTTCCCGAAATATCATGATCTGGATCTTTTTTACTGTGGATGTAAAGAGAGTGCCTGCTGTCTGATTTTCCTTTGATACAAGGCAAGGGGCAAAGGTTAGCGACGAGCCCAGGACGAGGAGAGTTTGGGACGAGCAAGAATTGGCACGACCTAATCTCTCCTCTTCCGTACCACCTGTTGAGTTATCGTTTGGAGAAAATCTTTGATCAATGGGTCGTGTTAAAGAAGTTTGATCTCACTTACTGAGTCCACGTAGTTTCATGAATTATTTTGACGAGCTTGCAGTGATAAGTGCATTATTTTGCTTGCATTGCTACAGGAAGGGTGAGTTTGCTTCTGAATACAGGAAGGCAAGGACAAAGGAAGACTTGGTGGACTTCATGTTGATGTAAGTTGAAAATTCCGTATAAATTCGTTTGGTCCTGTCACGCCAACGCTTCTGGGGGAAAGAACACGTTGTGTGACACGCTAGGTCTCTTCTGAGGAGAGGGGGGGGGGGAATAACGCGATGCGTGACAAGCTCTCATCCCAGGGATAAAACATAAAAAATGTTGCGTTATCGGATCAAACAACGGCTAGCCTGAAATCTAGATAATTGTATTCTAGATGAAAATATTTTTTGTACTATATCATGCAATGGGTAATATTTTCTCTACACGAACACTCAAGCTTTCTTTTATTTTTCGTGTTGTAGGTCCGAGGCCTCAGCACCTGCAGACGCCAAAACAGCCAAACCTGAAAAACCAGTTGAACCAGCTTGGAGTGACGAGGATACAGACGTGGTCCATTTAACAGCCAGCACATTTCAGGAGTTTATTAAGTCACACAGTTCAGCCCTTGTCATGTTTTATGCTCCCTGTAAGTTCTAATAAAAAGCACTTTTTGTTGTCTATTTGTTTCGTTTGCGATATGTCCTTTCTTTTTTATGTCGCAATTCTTAAATCTGTCTCATTCGCTTTAATTTATTGGTTTGTAATACCTTATTATGTGGTTTTGGCTGTTCTGTCTTTCATTTGATGTTATTGTAAGATTTCTTTTCTGATTTTGTTGTTTTCTACTTATTTAGGGTGTCCACATTGCAAAAAGATAAAACCCGAGTTTTCTGAGGTGGCCAAAGAAGTCAACACCGAGAACAAGGTAATCAAGTATTCTTTCATGTCAACGAGAGTTGCGCAACTTCCTCAGAACCTAGCTCCAATGAAACGAATGAAGACTTCTTCTACTTGTGCTTCCCAAAAAAGTTTTTGCTTTACTCGGTCCCTTTTGTCAGTTGGAAACAAACACAAATTTTGCAGTATCTTTCCATGCTTTAAATCAGAATCACATTTTTATCCTTGAAAGCAAAGCCAGATTTTGGGAAAAATCAAGAACAAAAAGAAATACGCTTGATCTCTTTATCTCTATAATTGAGTGAATCTTGGCTGGTTTTTTTTTGTTTATTTTTTATTTTATTTTATTTTTTTTTTTTTGGGGGGGGGGGTGTTTCGACGCAAATTCTCATTTTCCACGATTTTGCTTTTCAGGTCCCTGGTGCCCTGGGTGCGGTGGATTGTACTGTGGATGGTGATCTTTGTACTGAACAGGAAGTCAAGCGTTATCCCACACGTGAGTCTTTTACTTCCCGTCATATTCCAGTAACACGTGTCTTTGAAACGGTGCCAAATGTTATCTCCTTTTCACACGCACTCACCAACTCACGTTTATACGTTCACAGGCCTAATACTCTTTTTTAGAACGACCTTCACCCAGACAATGACGCTTGACGATACAGTAACTTTGAATCGCATACGGTGGTTGAAAAGTTATCTTAATTGCTCGGTGTATGAAGTGTAACACCCAAACTGTTTTCTCGAGCAAAGAAAAAGACGATTTTCCTGTTGAATATCTATTGCAGTTTTGAAAGTTAATTATAACAAATACTGATTTTTTGTTTTTCTTATCTCTCTCTGGAACTATGTTGGAACAGTAAAGTACTACAAGTAAGTGTATCTATTTCACAAACAACATCTTCCATGCCTAACTATGTCATGTCTTGTAAAATTCAACTTGCACTGATTTCAATATTCTATTTGTTACTTGAACTGATGATATAAAACCTTACCTGTCTTCCATTTTCTAGTTTTGTTTTCTTTTTTGAACGAGGATGTTTTAAGATGCAATTCAAATGATTAAGGAAGAACATAAATCATCGCTGCCGGCGTGAACCCGCGAGGTTTAAATCTTGTGCTACAGAAATTGTCAACGTCGTTCCCAGTTCCCTTTCTTCATACCCTCAGGGATCGAGGTCAAGAAATTATCAGAATGTTCTACCTCATAACACAGTAACGTTAAGAAGTGTAACTGTCTAGAATAGTAAGTGATGATGTCATAATTCTTACAGAGATGGGGAATTTGCTTACAAGTACACAAAGAAAAGGAAAGCAGAGGACATGCTAGCCTTCATGAAAGAGTACGGTATTATTTTCATCTTGTCGCCAAAAATTATATTAAAATGATTTGTGCTTTGCATGTCATTGGCCAACCTACTTTTTCATAAATTATCAAAGTGTTGTATTAAGGAGATCATGAACCTTGGATACATACGAATGTGAAATTTTTACTGACTAATTTTGCTTGGAGAATAATTATATCTGTTCAAAAATTGTTTTAAATTTGCTTATCTCTTTCTCAGTCCCCAGAAACCTGCACCTCCTCCTCCACCACCTGATTGGAGTAAGGAGTCTGGTAAAGTGCATTTCCTGACTAACGAGACTTGGGATTCATTCATGGCCGAACATCCTTCTGTGCTGGTCATGTTTTTTGCTCCTTGTATGTACAAACAATTAATTTCTTATCATTTCAATTATTATTTAACCTTTTTTTCTGTTGATACAGCGGTAGATTATTAAAGTTTTAACCCAACGTGAACGGCTAGTCGTTTTGAAATATCACATGTACGAGTCACGTATAATTCTCTTATCACGTGCCATTCACGTGTCAATCTAAGGTAATGGAACGACTCTGTTAATTGGTTTACTGAAAATTATGTTAGGTTCAATGGAGGTTCATTGGTTCGAGAGGAATCACATGACTCACCAATTGTATCAGATTTTTACACCCGAAGGTTAGAGGTTCGATGCTTGGTGGACAACAAGGATTTTTCTTCATCTCATTCTCGTGACGGAACAAATGACATTTTTTTTCTTAATTTAATCGTAATGTGGTCAGTTCGTTTTTCATGATACAGCAAAAGAAAGGGGAACTAAATGAGATGCTGTTGATACGTTAGTCTCTATGTAGCAATTATTTACCGTTGTGGAGGACAACCACCATTTTACCCACACTGAGGTTAATAATTGTATTAGTAAATACCACACAAAAAACAAAAAAAAAGGTTTATTTCTTTCAATATACCGAATCATGGTCAGAAATTAAACTCTCGACGCGCGATTTTGTCCCATAGGCTGCTCGGAGGTGAATAAAACTTGCTATTCACTTCCGAACCAGCCAATCAGCGCGCGCGATAAGCATTACTCACCTGTGTGGTATATACTAACAACATTTATTTATTTGTTCATTTATTTACTTTTTTTAATCCATTTTTTGATGTGTGTTTTTAGGGTGTGGTTACTGTAAAGCTATGAAGCCAAACTTCTTTAAAGCCGCTGAGATCCTTAGTGAACAACATGTAAGTCTCTCTAAACTTGTTCTGGGAATGTTTCACAAAAATTCTTTGTTCTTTGCAGGTGTATCATCTTGCCTCGCCTTAATGTTTTCACCTCCGTTTTGCTTTTCGTGAGTTATCGATTATTATCTTATCGATTTGGTTTCCGCTGAAGTATATATGCACAGTATACTGATGTAATATCTAATTTTATTTAGCCGTCTGAAGCGTTAGCAGCTGTTGACTGCACGAAATTCAAACCTATTTGCAAGCGGACCGGTCTCAAGGGATATCCCACAGGTAAAACTCGTCTCTTCTTTCGGTACGTCTAGTTTGACCATGATTCACGTTAAAATACTGCTAAAAACGAACGGTATGGTATAATTTTTTGACGAAAGCTGTCATGCTTTGACAAAACTCCGACGACTTTTAAATCGGACAAATCGTCGAAGTGGGCGTTTTGCATGTCATGGCTTTTAAACCTCTATGAGCAGAACAGCGAATCGATTCAATGACTTTAAGTGGACTTCTTAGTTGCTTTTCCATTGTATAAACTCTTTAGCTGTAAATATAATTTTTGACCGAAGACGAGGGGGGACGCGCTTGTTCGACTTGCAACGTTTAATGGGCCATAGCTCTTATTTGGTGTAATGTTTTTTCTCTTTTCTTCAATGTCATTGACTGACCTGCAAAAGTGAAATACTACAAGTAAGTAATAATGATTTGTTATCTTCACCTTTCTACTTCTTCATTTCAAACGGTTTGTTAATGTTCCTAAATATGTTGTCAGCTTCTCGACATGTTTATTTTTCCACATCCTAGTTTTGATGGAAATTGTAAATGCTAAGGCCAGAAGCGTGTGACAATAACTGGCAAAAAAAAAAGGCCTCGCGTCTTTTGCACATATTAAACGCAAATGGAATCTTTATCTTAACAAAAAATCCGGAAAAATCATCGAGGCGATAGTGATGTTCTGTTATGTAAGAACTGATTTTGCAATCATAGCTTCTTCAATCATTCGCCATGTTAAAACGTTGTAGAAAAAAAACACATTTTCAGAAGGTGGATGACTGATAAGGCTGGAATAGAGAAATTTATATCGAAGTACTGCCATTTTTCATATTCTTGTCGGAAACAATTTGTTGCGCTGAACACATACAACTTTATGTTTTCTCGTCACAAAAGAGATTTGAAAGTTTTATTAATTTAGGTGCCAGTAGCTTATTTTCATGGCTTCTTGTCAAGCAATTAAGAGTCGCATTAAATAGTATCCTCTTTTTGGTAAATTTCTTTTTTTTTTTTTTTTTTTTTCTTATTTAAAGTCTGTACGTGGATACTTAGAGAGAAATTGATGCTTGTATCTTGTCGTAGTAAACAAAACTAAAGAATTGTTAGCTATAAGTTCGTTCAAGAGATTATATTTTCTTGGTCTGTTTATAGTACCTGACTTTCTTTCATTGTTTATCATAGAAATGGCGAAATGGAAAAAGATTATGATGGTGATAGGTCGGCTGAAGATATAATTAACTTTATGAAGAGGTAACTTCAATCATTCGTTACGCGACCATTGTCGCGCATGTGCAAGAAACGGAGTGTGCGCGTACGCTCCTAGCGATGCCGCCATTGCTTTCTTGGGGACTCTCTGTTATATGTGGCATGACAGGTTATTAACTTTGAATAGTAATTTCTTATGATTGTTCAAGCTTTCCATCAAAGCATAGCTTTGTCATCATATCAACGCAAGACACTGAATTTGAGTACCACAAGAGTTCTTTGAGAAACTTCTTGTTCATGATTTAACAGCAAATTAACGCGTTTTGTGTTAGTAGGAGAAACTGGAATATGTCCAGTTTCCCCTCTGGCGCATCATCTAATCCTTCTGTTCTCTTCAGCATGAGTGGTGTGGACACTGTACCTGAAGAAACGAAAGGAACTGAGACAGAAAAAGAAGAATCAGATGGATTGAAGATCTTAACCTCTGCAAACTTTGAATCCTTCTTGTCCGAGACAGAACACGTGTTGGTTATGTTCTTTGCCCCATGTAAGTGCCACGAAAAGTAAACTACTACCTCACAATCTTTATCAACTCTTGGTTTTAGTCGCAGAAATTCTCTTCAATTTTGCAGATGTTCAGGATCAATTTCTGTTGACCTAACAGTCCATTGTGAATCTTTTTACTCCTTTAGGGTGTGGTCATTGTCAGAATGCGAAACCCAAATTCCTGAAAGCTTCTGAAGCATTTGCCGAGGAAGCTAATAAAGCTTTCACTGCAGTTGACTGCACTCAGGATAGCGGTACGTTTAACTAAAGTATTTCTTGTCTCTGAAAGAGTGAGGTTCAAAATGAAAAAATAATCATTAAGCTCTTAATTCCTCCATTCGCATTCCTTCTTAATCACTGCACACCAATCAAAAGACATGAATGCTTATGAACGCGTTACAAGGGCGATTAGAATCATGGGAAGAACATAGGCTGCCTTTGGAAAAGCCTATTCCAAGCGTTCATTCAGTAAAACGCAGCGAATTAGTAGAGGGCACGATAGCAAAGAAGTGAACAAGCGAGGGAGGTCTGGGTCGGGTATTATACGATCCAGACCTCCTTCGTTTTTTCACTCCTTTGCCACTATCGTGTCGTTTACTATCTTTGGATCCACGGAGATTAAATTAGGTTTGCAGCCTAAAAAGAAAAGACTGGTAACGAGTTACTGGAAATTGTCACAACTAACTTTTGACATTTTCCTTAACAGATTTGTGTGATAAACAAGGCGTGAACGGGTATCCGACCATCAAGTATTACAGATATGGTGCTTTTGTTGTTGAATACGACGGCGACAGAACTGAAGAAGACTTTTTGTCCTTTATGAAGTCACCCCCCAACCCCCTCCCCCCTGATCAACCAGACAGCAACCAAGATGAAAAGCGAGACGAACTTTAACTTCGAGTTTTGTATTTCAAATTTAGCTTTAAATTATCCTTTCAAATTCGGCCATTGCCAAATGATTCCGATGTTTTTACGAATAATTCTGTAGAGTTTAGCAGATGCACCCGACGTTAAAAACGTCTCATCAGGAAAATTTACGACCACGTCTGCAGCATACACCAATTTACCTCTGTTTTCGTTCACTTTTCTACCAATACTAAAAACGATCAACAGGAAAGTGATAATAAATAAATTATCTCTGTCTTTCGGCCTCGAACGCAAGTATTTCCTCTTTAGTTTGGTTGCAAAACAGACGTTTAATGCTCACTTTTTCCATTCTTTGTACGCTTAGACGTGGTTGTAAGTTTTTATCATCAGACTTATTGCTTTCCATCACTCTCGCTTCGTAGGTTTACTGTGAATTTTTTTTTTTTTTTTCATAAAAAATTTTCAAATCAGGAAGTGCACTTTTCAAGTCAAAATGGCCGTCAATTCATCTCACGACAGTCAATTAAAGATTTTTTTTCCAGAAAAAGGAATCATTCATTCAGCTTGCTTATTTCCGAAAAACATTTTTGATTTATTTATAAATGAAATTGCTCTTCTATAGCCTGTTATGTTATGATGTAAATTTGACATTCTGTCAAACTAATGTGCTTAAGCAGTCAAATTTCCGAGAAGATTCTCGACGAAGCGGTAGCTTAAATCAACTATAGATCATTGCAAAGAGATAGGTAATCATTATTGAAATAACCCAGAAAAAGACCTACTAATGAGTCACGGATTGTTAGGCAACACTCCATAAACTCTATGTGACATTACAAACAAATGCGCGAGGTCAAACATAGGAGAGTGTTCAAAAATATTTTTTTGTCAGATATTTTTCTCCGTGAAAATGCCGGTATCGTTTTAACCACAGATTAAAGGTCCAAATAAAGACAATTACGTACTACAAGTTTTCTTGTGCTTTATTTTAAATGAATAAACAAGCCCAGTCCAGTTCTGCCTCTCTGATTGTCATGCAATGTCGCGACAGGCGCCCTGAACATCATGGCCATGTTAACGGTTACAAAAATAAAATACAGCAAAAAAAAAATCCTTCTGTTTTTACTTCAAATCGCCCCATTACTTTTCAATCGTGCTAAGAAATCCTACGGATTTTCTTTTCCTCTCTATTTTTAGGGTCTAAGAGCACCTGTAAATGACGTATGATGAACTTGTAAAATTTCAACATCTCGTGTACTGCGTATCTGTGTTATGTACATTGAAGAATATTTTGCTGGCCAGCATCGAGAGGACCAGAACTATTTTATTATATATTGAAACTATTTAAATGACACTCAAAGAATTAGAATTTGCTGGTGTGTCGTGGTACGCTCAGGAAAGAGCTGGAGAATGTGGTCTCTTAAAGCCAACTTAGAGACGAGAAGACGAATGCTACATAGAAATCATCACAACACAATTGAAAAGTATTTGTTCTCGTGCAGGATATTACAAGGCCCTGCGCACACGAAGCTCTCACACGTCCACGTAAGCTCGCTATTGAGCTGTGAAAACAGTCATGGCTACTGAGTCTCAACAGAATTAGGTTACAAGATGGTGCATGCGCTGCTCTCATTTCTTCTCTCTGCAGGAGCTCGACCCGTTGTTGCAGGAGCGGAGGCATGAGGAGCAGTCGTCTGAGTGTTTGAATTCATTTCTCCGATAATGGCCCGCAGTTCGGATATCTGGAAACAAATGATTGAATAAGAGGATGATCATCTGTCACGCACGTTGGGCTACGAAATGATTGTCTCAAGAGGAAGCAGTCCCTGGCCAGCTCCGATTTCGCGGTCAAATTCTCCACAAACTCCTGAGCTTCAAGGACATTGGCACGTCAGACCATATGCCAGGTTCACATTTGAAAAGCGTCCTGTATACTGTTAGGATTAGCAATATCGACAGCGTCCAGGATCGAACTTTAGCCTTCTTGGAAACTGACAATTATGATGGACTGTTACACTTTAAGGGGTGGGGAGGGGGGTAATTGTCATTGACCAACAGCACGGTGGTACATTTTTCAAATTTAAGGGTGCACATGGCGTTTTTTTAGAGACGGGCAAGGGTTTTCCATGTTTTTCTTCAAAATTGTCCAATCACTCGGACACAAAAGCTCACCCCTACAGGGAATAAATAAAGCCATGTGAGAGTGAACTGTAACACACTACTTTTAAATGTTTTCATCGTCAACATAGACAGTGCACATACCGGTACATCACTTTTGCCTTCGGACTGTTTCTTGTCACAGAGCTGGCGAAGATGATTCTGAAAGACAACAGAACTGAAGTTATAATTGTTCAGGGAGCATTATCGCAGTTCGTCTAAAAGATCAACACGTTCCTGTAAGCAGATAACGCGGGTTAACAACCTGCGTCAGGAAATGAGTGCGATACTCTACACTAAAAATAATACTACCATCGACTTTGAAATTTGAGGAACTTTTTCTGGTTTACAAGAATTTCCTTAGAATCTCTCCCGTGCTAACTAAGACGGTTTTTGTGAAGTACTGTTATTTTTTTTGTGTGGATAACATACATTGTTTTGGATAGGGAAACAATTTAACATGGGGAATTTACTTGAACAGGGTTGGTTTCTAGAAGTGTCCTAAAGATTTTTGTTAAGGGTTGTTGCCAAAGATTAGTCTGCGATTGCAGGTATTGTTATTGCACCAACGACTGGAAACCTACCAAATTCACCAGTTGGAAGAGAAAACGGAAAGCTCTCTCTCCGAGAAAAAAAATTAGGCAATCGCTCGGGATGGTGTTACTTTACGATACACTGAAAAATAAGTCATCAACCTACCATTTTGTCTTGGAGTCGTTTGTTCTGCTTCTTTAATGTTGCATTGTCTGCCATTCCTTTTACTACAGCAGGAGTTAGAGACACCTACAGAACAGTGTTTCACAGAATGAATCAATTTTGCAGTCAACGTACTTCACAGGAAATAATTCCTGTTTAAGTCTGTTGTGAAATCAGCCTGAAAAACTTAAGGTAGTATTGAGTTCGTGCTCACGTTTTTCTTTAGTGTTTCTGCTCTCATAATTGCTTTGGTATCTTTTCCTTTCTTGGCAGTTTTGTTGACCGGTTTCTTGTCGACCACTTGCTTTCCCCAGAGCTGTATAATGACCTCCTTGTTTTTCAGAAACTGGATTAACTGAAAAGGAATAACGAGAAGTGATGTGACTATTTTAATCTCACTTTCCCTACTAAAGAAATCAATGTGACCAACAAAAAGGGCTTGAGTGGTACAGTAAGAATAACAGGTAAGGAGTTACACTGCGCGCGCTACGAGCGCTGCGAGCTCCGCTACTACTTTCTCAGATTTCCGTCATCAGAAAATTATGCTTACATGAATATCAGACTGTCATTCTACTCCGAAAATAGTGCACCATTTTGGCTAACCAGTCCCAGGAGTTTCGAAATGACAGCAATCTTCTGCAACCACATTACATCATGGCATCCCTTACCCAAATAATTTTAACTTCTCCGTCTATGGTAAGGATGACACCTTTGTGTGTGAGCACGTAAACGAAAGCTACTTTCTGTATTTCTTGTGGTACAGTTTATTATGCTGTACAAGGTGGCTCTAACTTTAAAGTCAGTTCATGAAACCCTAAAATGAACGGTACAGAGAAGCACTTTCAAATGGTACATTGTACCTATAAAACTGTTTGGTTCTCGAGTTTCAAAAGTGGAATTGAAAGAGGAAGCATTCAGTTTGAAGCTCCTAAAACTTTGAGTTACCTTCGGTGGAACTCTCTCAAAACTGAAAGTTCTTTCGTAGTTAAATTCGGGATTCCTTGTTCCAGATTTTACTTCCGTCTTAAGATCCGCTTCAAGGTACATGGAATATTTACAGTACACGTCCTGTTTTGAGAAAAAGAGAGTCTTGATATCGTTAAAAGGCAGCAGTCATATATAAAAAGTGGTGAAATACAAAAACACCGAAGTGTTATTAATCGTCTCACGATGAAGTAACTTCTGATGTGGTTCACGATGTTTCGACTACATCCTACTTGCATTCTTCAACCGGTGAGGTCCAGTAGTTATGGGTCACATTTTAAGGAATTTTCCCTTTTTCCCCGCGAAGTTTTTAAACTTTTAATTACCAGTCCCCATTAAATCTCTCTGATGTCACCCTTTGTCTAATCTAAGCAGTAAAAACGGAAATCAATAATTAGATCTTACAGTGTAGCGCTTTGGAATTCCCTTTGCACTCTGCACTCGCACCACAAACACAAGCTTTCTACCTTCCTGTAGAAGAGAAACACGTACTGTCACATTTCAAATTTCCTCAGCTGTTCGCACCAAGAGCTTAATGTCAAATCTTTTGAGAATCCTCTTTTCTTGCAAGAGCTATCAATTCCTTACAACGCCATCGATGAAAGAGCGGTAGGTGAGAAAAACAGAAAAGACTAAGAAATGCACCAAGGCGGAAGAAAGATGGTTAAGAGTTAGGACGTACTTGAAAAATTTAGTTTTGTATTTTTTCAAAGACTCAGATTTCATGATGTAGTTTTTTGCAACTGCAGTTTGGTCTCGTCTTGTCACACGCTTCTCTCACTATTTGTTGTTTGAAAAACGTGGTGTGTGGCGAGACGAGACTACAGTTATGAGATTATCTAAGACGCAGCTTGATTAAGAATTTATAAAGATTTACCAGTTGACTAGGATCGTCAATAAAGATGTCATCTTCTTCTGTGATTTCTTTTCCTTTTTCGTTTAAAGGAACGACTTCTACCTACGGGAAAAGACAGATATGCCAAGTTCAAAGTTGCTGAAGAGGCCATAGACACCATGTTGAAGGCAAAAGGATCGGGTTGGAATGAAAAAGAAAGCGAAACAGTACTTACATTAAGATAGCCCAGTTCTTTTCCTTTGTAATCAGTGATACTTAGCTGTTCTCTCATATCAAGCTGAAAGAGAAACAAGAAGAAATCAAGACATGTTTGCCTTAAAACGAAAAATCAGACGGTTGGAAAACATGAGAAGCTTATGGGAACGAATTGAGGCAATTTTTAATAATGATTTAAGTAACTTGAGCGACCAGTGCACGGCATTCAGTAATCTAAAAGACGGTATAAAAATCTACTTAGTCCGGCCATGTCCTCGTCCATTGTCAATCGGTCACTTTATCAACTTTGATGCGATTCAATCAAGTTGTAACGAAAATAAATGGAAGGGTGAAAATAAGAAGCAAGGCTGGAGACTCCTAGGTATTTTTGGATTTAGGCTTCACGGCTACAGAAAAATAAAAACGTCTTATAAGAAAAAAGCAAGCGAACAAACGACACTCATCTAGCTCTTATTAAACTAACATTTTCGAGACAATAATAAGCTAAAAGGAACCAGGATAATTAAAAATAAGAGAAAATAACACAGATCATCAGCAAACAATAAGGGCATGCTTACCACATATCCCAGACTCTGCATAGGAACAGCCACACAGCCAATCAGACTCTCGACATCCGGGCTTTCAGTAAAAGGATCTTTCTCGTCTTCGAGCTGCCAATCATCGCCGTCTTCGAAATTTTCGTACATTTCGTCCATGACGTATTTCCTGTTGATAAACTTGGCTTTTGGCCAGAGGTATTCGACGCCAGTTTGTAAGTCCCGCATGACCACGTATGGCTAGCACGCAAAAAAAATAAAACATCATGCATTGCGAATTCCTTGTTGCTTGATGTTACAATTCAAGATGGGTTTATCGTGTGAAGCAGACAACATGAATGGTCTCATACTGATATACACAAATTGACAAAATAACACAAAGAGATTGTACCTCGGGTCTACCTTCGGGAAGTCCGCGAGCCTTGGCAGAAACAACAGAGACTTCAAACGAAACCTGGAAGATAAGGGAAAGAGATCAGACACATGAAGATTTCTTAAAGGCTCCTTTGGACAAATGTAGCCACACAGTATTATTTGCATTGTAAGATACAAAATGGAGATTCTTTTTTAGTACCTTCTTATCCAACTCTTGACTGATGGCATTTGCTTCATTTACCATCGGCATCAGATCTGCCAGATCTTCTCGTAACAACATTGCTTCTGAATATATGAAGACAACAGGAAGTGAATTTCTAAAGCTGGAAATGTTTCCTTAGATTTACAATGAACAGCCAACTAATTGGCTGATGAACGACTGACTGACTGACTAAATGACTGACTGACTAACAGCTGACTGACTAATTGATAAACTGACTGATTCACTGACTGGATGAAGGAGTAACTGACATCCGGACCGACTGTCTAACTGACTGACCGAGTAACTAACAAACCAGCTGACCACCCAACCGACTGACTGGTTGACTGACTCACTCACTGACTGATCAACTGACATTACATTTCACTGTCAAATGGACTGACTGATTCATCCACCGAAATCAATAGCTACCCAACTCAACATCTTCTTCACCTTTTGACTCCTGATCATCCACGTCAAGTCCGGCGTTCTTGGCGATTTCCTCCTGCGCCATTTCATATGTTATGCCCGCCTGCTTCAAAGAAGACGACTGCGCCTCAGCAGGATGATGAAAGACATAAAGGTGACTTGTGCCAAACATAACTCTACAGACACACCCCAAAAAAAAAACACATGTAAGATGCAGTCAAATTAAAGTCAGTCTTTAGGTTCCGTTGTCAAATTATTCCATGCCCGTCTCACACCTAATAGCTCCGGCATCACCTGCGTGTAAGGGCGTGCGAGGTTGAGCTCTCTCGGATGCTCTTAATACTGGAAGGATTGTGACTATTTTGAACTATCGTCTTCATTATCTAGCGCTGAACACTCCACTACATTTTATGAACAGTTCCCACGGGTGCGCACCTACCCTTCCCCAACCCAAAATTAACAATGACTTGTTATCAGTTGTTAGGGGAGTTAGGTTGGTTAGAGGTTTATGGGAAGGGTGGGTGCGCAGTTGCTCAGATACTGACATTGATCCTTGCAGCTCGTATTACGATCGTAAACTCTGCAAACATATCCCATCATTCTAGCGGGTGGTTACCTGTCCAGATGGTGAAGTTCTTCTTCTTCGTCATCATCAACCGGTTCTCCATTGACGAGGACTTTAGCTTCGCCAAAGGTTTTGATTGTGATCTTTTTAGAACCTTCATTTTTTATTTCACAGTGTTGCTTCAGGATGCTAAACAAATAAAAACAGCCAAGACGGATACGGAAATAGGTAAAAATTAGGTAATTACATAATGAGAAATACTTATCGTAATTCGATGTCAATTACGAGTAGTCCTCCAGAAAAAGAAGGTACAAAAGATGTTGAAGATTTCTCCTCCCTAGGGATTTGAACCCCGCCCTACTGTAATTTCTAGAACGAATCTCATTCTAATAAAACAGGAGTATTGAGAACTCGTGGAGGAGGAAAATGGACGGCTCGGTTGTCGAGTAAAGAAAGCTGATATCCGACAATGTTTAAGACAACTTACTTTAATCCATGAAGAACAATGTCTGCTGGCGGATCACCCTTTTTGTTGCCGACTTTAACGACTCCTAGCATTTGAAAAGTAAAACAAATTGAGATCACAGAAAGCAGAAAAGTGCCATAACCTTCATTCAAGATGATATAGCATACCTGATTTAACCATGTGTACAATCATTCCCGTCAGCTGGGGATCTGGGTTCAAGTTCCACAGATGAGGAGTTGACTGACGTTCTTTCTTTTCAGCTTCTTTATCCTGATGGAAGACAGGTGAAACACAAAGGAAACACGTCAGAAATAAACAAAAATTATCAATGCGCAGAACGAAAAAACAAATACGCAAATGTACTACTATTGAGAGGTATCATGCTCATAGAGTACTCTTTACGATTAATAGTGTTGTCAAACCAAAACTAAGTAGTGAACTAAACCGCGAGTCAGAAAAACGGAAAATCCAGAAAGAGCCAAATAAGATCACAAAGACAACAAGCAAGCTTTCCCAAGAGTAAGCGCGGGAAAACGCGTCGGGTACTCGCGTTTAGTTTTTAACTATGCATCTGATTGGTTGAGGAGGTGGCTATTACAAAGTTTGTCAAAGTGAAATGGCTACTATCCTAGAACAGCGAAATGAAATCACGTTGATGCCCGTTGAGTTCCTATTAACTGTTGTACAGCAATACCTTTAGTTTGGTTTCACAACTCTGGTCAAAAAATGTTCTCTTATGTAACCACCAAGAAGGTAATCGCGGTGTCAAGAAGCCTGCTGGCATTTACGCAACAAAATTGTGGCCACAATGATTCGAATTAAACACTATTTGAATAATCTAATACAGAACAGTTAATGTTCCACCTTGATATCCTTTTTATTTTCAGCAACTCTATCATCCCAACTCTTATTCATGTCCTGTGTTTCCTGCTCTGTTTGTGCCATAGATGCTTTTATCTCCTCTTCAATCTGTTTCCTGAGTTCGGCCATTTCCTCTTCAGACAATCCTTCCTTCTCGCCGTCATCATCGTCATCGTCGGCTGATATCTTCACAGATTCGCCTGCTTGAGCTTTCTTTAACATTTCCATGAGTTTGTCATTTTCTTCTTTCAACTCCCTGATCAGTTTCTCTGTAGGATCCTCGTTGACTTTCGCCGATGTTTTGATCTGTTTAGCACGGTCAGCTGTCATAGAATTATGAAGTTGAATTTTGATATGTTCTACTGTTATGATACACAGTTAACGTTATAGAAATTTTGTTTCCACCGTTTTGCGTAATTTTAAAAATGATCGCAAAATTATTGTGGCATAGGAAGGGAAAACTTAATTTTTCTCCAAGATTCTAAACAATGGCTAAAAAAGAGTCTTAGACTGGTGTCTTGAAATAAGTTCTTTGAAAAAAGCCTATGCCGATCATCTTTTTTTTTTGCACGATTTTGCGCTCATAAATTAGTTTAAGTAAGTAAGTAAGTACACTCTTTATTTAAAGAGGGCAGCACTTTATAGCCAAAAGGCTAATAAACTTGAGGTCTAAATAATCTTCCAATAAGGCATAAGAAGACAGAATAAAACTCACCATATCTTAAGGTTGAGAGAGTTTCATCATAGTTTATGTCTGCAGGACTGATGGCAGCAATCTGGTTTGATGAAATGTAAAATTAATTTAGGACCTTTAGTCCTTTACACCCTAACATCAGTATGCATATTCTCCACACTGTTCTCTATACATTTCCAAAGAGGCTGACATGGAGAATTTGTTTAACAATCAAGAGGTGCTTGATGGTGATCTTCTCCTCTTTTCTCATGACTTTTGTGTTTGATTCAGTAGTGATGTAGTAAGGAGAAATTAGATGCTAATCACTCTTAGGGGCTACAGTGTTAAAGAAGCCAAGTTTGAAAATGGAATTGTTCATTCCTTACCATCATGGTTTTACTGTTCCCACCAAGAGCATTTTTCAAAAGTTTTGTCAAAACTGAATCTCTGAATGGAACTGTAAAATTGAAAACAAATACTTGTAAGTAACTGAAAATAAAGTTCTTGCTGATGATAAAAATATATAACGATCTCTAAAGAGCGTTACTGATTAAAATTATCATAGCTTTACCTCTAACATTTTTCCCATTGGCCTTGTCCACAAGAGCTGAAATTTAATCAATGAGTTACCAGTGAGAATTAATTAAGATAGTTTCATATTAAAGTCATTTGTTTGTCTCACAACATAGGATTGAAATAATTGCTACTCTAAAAATTTCCCTATTTCTGGTAACTAATTTCACATAAATGAATATCTGAAAATTTAAAGAATAATTTTATATGAGGAGTCTTACAGTGCTTGAGACATCCCTTCTGGTGTGAAAAACCACTAACTTATAGCAATAACACTTCCTGATATTCTTTGCTCATGCCTCACCACATATCCCACCTTTGAAACATCTTGCCAACCCCCCCCCCCCCTGTTTCCATCAGCTTATAAGTTTAAGTTCATCACTGACCTGCAATAACATTTCCTAAACTGGACAATGACTGATTAATGGCTGCTCCTTCTTTCAGTCTATCTCCTGTGGCTCCAGTAGAATCTGCTCTCTCACTATTGACAGCAAGATAATTTTGAATTGGTAGTATTACTTACAGGTAACATCATTGTTGGTGCAGTAACATCTATGGGCCAACTCTTTTGGAGTCAGAGGTGTAGGATTTTTTTATCTTCAAAGAATCAGGATTAGTAAGGGAAAGGACCAGATCATATCTTGAGACAACCAAAAATTGTAAAGGATTCCTGAAGAGTTGATAAAACCTTGTCTCCAGTATTTTTTCATACAAAATTAGGGATTTCAGAGAAATTATGATTCATGAAGGGGACTTTTCTTTCCTTATATTTGTTTAGGTTTACTTTGCTTATATTGTCAGTTTAATTCTTTTTCAAAAAGCAAAACTTATAGCACTGCTGTAAATTAAAACTGCACATTATTCTACTTTTTATAAGGCTGATGAAATCTGTCTGCAGATATGAGCTGGCAAGACTAATAAGGTTGTAGCTTTTGATTTGCAGGTGTTGACAGATACCCACATAAAAACTCTTGAAAAGAATGCATACCCCATTTACTGGTAAGACCTTTGTACCTCACTTATTGGGCAAGTTATGAAACAGGAAAAATAGTTTCAAAGACAAAAAAAAAAACACTGACCTTCCAGCCAAGTCAACCAAGTTGATAAGAGATGTTTTAGCTGTCTCCTCCCCAGCCTCATTCTTCCTCTTTTGCACGAATTTCACACCAACTATAGTGTGTGCACGGCTGAAAAATTCACAAGTTCAAAATTAAACTAATTCAAATCATAAATGAAAAATCTGTAAACCAGTATGATGGATTTTTTCATGAAGACAAAGTCCTGGGCTATACGAGTACCAAGAGCATTCTTCACCAGAGCAAGAAATGATAAATTTTTGGCCAAATGATGGGGGTTTGGAACAGTAAAAGTTTTCCATGGAAGGAATATTCAAAATTCCTCCCACACCAGATTTTTAGATTACATACCTGCTTGTTGCGTTCATGTTTGTGGCTGCTACAGTCCTGTTTGTTGTTCCTTCCTCCATGCGCATTTCAATATCTTTGTATTCACTAACAGGCACAGTCTTAAGTCCGTCAGCATAGAATCCTTTTGAAGGATGTTGGCGCACCCGCAAGCCACCCTTATTGGTGGAAGGGTTCAAAAGGTCACGCACCTTCTCATTGTAGATTTCAAGCATACTGAAAAACACCTGCAATTTAACATCAACTGTGAGCAATATTTTACTCCTGAAAAGTTTGTTGATCTCTTTAAATCTTTTGTATACATTATGTCAGAAGTCTCTGAGATCAGTTATGGTATGGCATCCATCCAGGCATGCTCTTGTATTACAGGGTTTTATTGACAAATAAATCCTGCTGTTGGCATTTCCAAGGACAACACTTATGTGTCCTGCAGAAAAGTCAGCTCAGCAGCGTCATACAAATAAGTACATAAATACATAAGTGGCAGCGTGATTGATGTCAAAGTAGCATTTGGTGGTCTCAGCACTACAGCAGGTGTGGCAAAACTGGTTCCTTAAAATGGTGGTTTCTTAATTTCCTTTAAAATTCAGATAAACCACAAATTTGTGTAATATCTTTAGCCAGAATTCTAAGAAATTAAACAGTACCTCAAATTGTGCCTCATCTCCTCCTTGCTTTTTCTCATCAATTCCTTTGAAAATTTCTTCACAAAAGATTGGTACAATGCCTGTAATCAAATGTGGAATAATTGTTTTGGAATTAATTACTTCCTATACAGGGGCAATATTCTCCTTACTAAAGAGATGTGACTACTAGACTTGACAAGCAACCATTGTTCAGGATTCTACCTTTAAAGGACCTGTAAATAAGACAAATTGAATGCATTGAACTGGGAAAACAGTAGAAATCAAAACTAGGTGAATAAAAGTGAGATGTTGTAAATGTTAAGTCAATAACACCAAAAAATAATAATAAAAAAAAAAAAAAGCAAAAGAAAGAGAGAATGGACTGATGTTACCTTTGTTTGTACCATATCCAACAATTGACCAAGATTTCCCTGAACCAGTCTGTCCATAGGCAAAGAGTGACGTGTTGAATCCTTCCCAAGCATTTGTCAGAACTCCTTTACCAAGATCATTATACACTTTCATCTATAAAATCAATAGACAATCTCTTAGTCAAATGTGGCACAAAAGGTCTGAATCTTATTTGAAGCCTTTTTTTTCCCCTAACTTTGTTAATCTCCCCTCCTCTATAACAAATTTTTTTTTACAAATTCTGTGGCTGTCTGTGATTGTGTGATTGTGTTTAGAGTTTTGTGTGAGGAAAAAAGGATCAGACTTTGAGTGATGCTTTTTCTACAAAGAGTAGCTGAAATGAAGATCCACATCAATAGCACACCAAGACATCAAATACTGAATTAAAGGGAAAAATCCTTTTAAAAAAGGGGTGTGGTCACAAGACCCCCTGCCATAAGTCTGTCCTTGCACCGCAAGGAAATGTCATAGTGAAAGAAGCAGTGTGACAGGCATATGCATGGGGTCAGGGGAGCTGACACTCCCATAACTTGAGGAATGATTCTGATTTCCACAGGTCATGATCTCCCAGCCTACTGGTGAGAAAGGAGCAGCCGGCCTCCATCCTTGAGAGAATCACCCCATCAGTCTTCTCATAAGATCACACTTCTGACAAAATAATTTTTTTCTGTAGTACCTGATCAGCATATTTTGGATTGGTAGCTCCCAGATAGCCGTTTGGTTTTTCTTCGAATCCGTCATGAGACCAATAACTGTAGTCGAATGTGAATTTTTTGGGTTCTTCACCAGGCTCTTCTGGATTTGTTAAGTACGTTGTTTGACCTTTCATTTCAACTATCAAAGTTGCATTTCGGGCCTTTTCACGTTTATTGTGTGAAGTGTTAAGGAAATCGCTAGCTCCAGCTTGAGGAAAGCTGTTAGATTGCTAATTTGTTGCTTATCACTAGCAGACTGTAGAGAAAAGTGCAGACGTTTTAACGGAGTTACAATGGTCTCCTTCGAGTGGATTACGAACCCTGAGCGGCCAGCCTAGTAACTTTAAAATAAATCTCCGATCCTTTATTTAAACTTTAACTGGGTTGCGATATAAGCACTACAATCAAGAGGAATGGAAGTGTAGTGCTTCTGATATTTTCTCTTCCTTCGTTCAGTTGCAAATCTATTGTAGTCCATTATGACCTTGGTTCAGATTTCTCACCTCCAGCGTCACACAATCCAAGATACTTAGTAAAACGTTGTACCTTGCTTTACCAGCTGTTTTTTAACGCTGGTCGTATTGTGCTTCAAACTTCACTTCACTGTGACTTTTGTTAATAAGAAGCAGTCTAAATGAAAATCGTTTAGAAAGTTTTGGTGAACAGCAAACCGTCAGAGACGGTAGATCAATATTATTCATGCCCTACTGTTGCGTACACGAAAAAAAAAAACAAGTGTGACGATTGTGCAAACATCTAGACATGAAAGTTAGAACGTAATGAAATAAGATGATAATAACGTTCTTAGTGGGCGAGGAAAAATTGATGTGGAGTGCCATATAAAAAATTATATGGCCAATATCATAATCTAATATGGGATGTCAAACTATTCGAAAGGATAAACTAACAGCTACGTTGACACGTCCTACAACCAGATACACACAAACTTTGTCGCACTGGCTGCATTAGGACTAGCTGGATTATATCGTCGTTAAAAGGATATAAAAGGCCTCACTCTAACGGCCACCTTGACGTTTTCTGCTTCTCCGTCCGACATTTCTGCTGTAACAACTAAGCGTCACGTCTCTATGTCAAATGAAGAATCAAAACTACTGATGTCTTTCCGCGAAGCAAATCGATCAGATGTAACTTGTCAAGTAGATAGTTAAAGAAGTCTGAAAATTTTCCTCGAAGTAAACAAGGTACGAAATTGAGTTTGGGTAATTTTGTGCGTCATAAATGGATAGCAATCAATGTTCTTGATGAATAGTGCTCTGTTGCCATGTTGATCGGCCAAATGTAAACTTTACTGTAATAATTTATGAAAAAATATGCAAATAAGGTTTCCATTCAATAAAATAAGCTCTACGGATTTGTTATGACAAAATCAAAATAGCAACCAATTTTCCTGTGGTTTTAAATATAAAGGAATAATTCTTTTGCGTAAAATGTGTAGAACAAAACGTTACGGGGCCACCAATGTCGAATCAGTCATGGTACAATAATATATTAAGTTCATGGATTTTGCCAGTATACTATTCATTTATTTTTTTCATTTAATTTCCCTAGTGATGGCAAAAAACAACCATTAAAAATGTCTCATAGCAATACTAATCCTCCCTTCAAAACTACTAAAAGGGCATTTCAATGGTAACACATTGTTTCAAAAAACAAATGGCTTGCAGAAAGAGAAGGCTTTACTGATAATCAAGGCTTACTATCAGTGCTTACTATTATAAGCAGAAGTTATGAGAAAGTTGAAGTCAAAATCAATGACAAAAGCAGGATACCATTGGCTCCTGGTTTTTTTTTAAACACAAACCTGAAAGTAGTACTCATAACAATGCAGTTTTTAGATTTTACAAACACAAATAAAAGGTTAAAAATTATGAAAATAAATTTTTGTCTAAACAGAATTTCCAAATTTATAAATAACAATATTTATCAAAAAACCACGCAAATGAGGTTGTGTATTTGGTTTAAATAAGCAATTTGTCTTTTGAAACAATATATTTGAAAATTATTGTGGCCTAAATTTCTCAGAAAATTGTTTTCCCGGTGACTTTCAGCCCTACATCAGAGCACAAAACGAAGCTTAAAAGATGCTTGAAACATCAGCTTTAGAAACTTTTCACAGTGGCTCATTCACATTATCAACTCAGTTGATGAAACTGACCAATCTTTTGATACTCCCCACTGATGCAGCAACATAGTTTACCTAAAAACTTAAACCTTTTATCACAGTGTACAGCATGTTCAAAGAACTAACCATTAAAAAAAAAATTTTCTGCTTTTTTATTTCAGTTTCTAAATTCTTCATATTACACTGCATGAACACCTGATGTAATAAAGCTCATATGGCACATAGAACTGGCGTATCACTGTGTTGTTGTGCTTTTCACAAACAAGTAAACTCTGGCATTTATAGCCTTACTTTTGATCATGTCTTACACTGTTGGTTAACCTGCTAAAACGAAAGAACTAAAAAGAAAAGAAAAATAGCAAATTGGCCTGCACCTGTCAATACCATTTCAGGAAACCAAACTTTGCACACACTTAAAAATCATTCTAACTTGATGATCTTACAAAGTCCACTACTTGGTCTACAGGAGTCTAATAAATAATAATGATTTGATGAGAGAAAGTTAAAACCTGCTGGGTTCTACCAAATATTACCTGTAAACTCTAGTTGTTCTTTTACAGTGGTTTAATTTGTAAAGAATGTCATCCATAGCAACACACAGTGAAGATAAATCAATCCATGCTCTGTCAAGATTCTACTTTCTGATATTGGGATGATCTAAGCAGAAGCCAGTTGAGTAAATTTGTATAACCTGTTTGTTAATATATGCTAATGAATTTTCACTACATGCTAATCAGAAGAACAATTAAGAAAAGTTGTGAACATTTATTCGATCAACCAATGCTGCAAAGGGTGGTGATTTTTGTAGGGTGGTAGTAATGTTAAGTAACAAAAATAAACAAAAAGGCAAGTATATTCAAAAGAACTACACATATACATGCATATCTATAACCTTTTGGCACCACAGAATGTTCTTGGCCTGTCCTCAGCTAAAATAACACTTGTTTTGTACAATCTAGTACATTCCAACATGTGCCTAATATTCTTGTGACATGTTTCACACTTGAGGGATTGATGTGTTCACATCTGTTCTAAATAATGTTCTTCACAATATCATTTTGTGACAAACTCATTAGCATATAGTGAACAAGGTATACTGATTCACTCTAGCAGCTTATGAAATTTAACTGCATGACTTTATAAATGATCACTTATTTAATTGATCAAATTTCAATCATCTAAAAACCTTTTATAAGAGTTATTTAATCCTTCAACTACAAGAAGTGATTAACATTTTTACTTTTCCTTACTATATCATTACAGTGTCAAGTAGATAGGTAGCGAGATCTCTTAAACTTAACAGTTTCAGGATATTTGTTTGAATTAGATGTAACACCAAATTCTCATTACTAATTAACAAGGAAATGTACAACAACTTGAGGGGAGAATTGCAAATCACACATTCGAAGGGTTAAAAATAATATACCTGCGGCAAAATGTGAACGCAAAAGAAAGTACCAAACCAGAACTTACAGAGTTTATGTTATACATGTTGAATAAGCACATCAGAAGGGGAAACACATTAAACATTCTTATCACAGCCCAGAAGAGAAGAGTTACATAGAACTCCTTCATTCCAAGGTACTCCAGCTCACATCTACCCCTAAGCATTGATCGGAAGTTTAAGACAAATAAGTTTTGTTGATGTGACTATCTAAGTCTTTGCTGGAATGGCTCCTAACTGTGCTTGGACTTGAGCTTGAACTTTTGCACTGAGCATATCCTGAACAGCTGCCAAGAAAGAAACAATCTTCTTGTAAATAACTATATAAGTGTGAAAAATCAGGTTTTAGATATAACAATCTATTTGTAGACGTTGTATATCAACAGTAAAAGATGACAACACAACTTGTGGATGGTTAAGAAAGGTATAAACACAGATCAATGAAATAAATCTCATTTAAAAGGTCAAGGAATCTCTAAATACAGATATTTGAAACAAACCATAATGTACAATATCAAAATGTTGAAGATACAATAATCATTCCTACAATGAAGAAAATAAGAAGAAAGCATCATTGAGGACTACCTTGTCTTAATTTATGTTTTTCTATTAATTTAGGTTGCAGTAGTTCCAACTGTTTAGTCACCAGATCCACTTTTCTTCCAAAATATTCCTCGGCTTCCTTTAATCCCTAAATGTAACATAAGAAAATAAAACAGAGAAATAAATAACTCATACTTAAGGTAAAAGCTAAGAAACCTTTAAACTTTGAATTTCTATTCTTTTGGGAAAAAGAAAACAATTTTAGCTCAAAGAATATTGCACTAAAATCTGTCAAGACTGTGTTTGAAAAAAATGCAAGGGGAAGTTTGTAAGCAGCATTAAAATGAACAAGTCAAAAAAGAATGGAGACTTTCCAGTGGTTTATAGCATCTAAAGGGAAAAACAACTTTCTTATACGTACCTTTTCTACAAAATAACCAGTTCCAATGTTTACTAAAACTGATGTTGTGTTTTCAAGAGTCCCAGGAACATACATCTGAAGTGACTTAAGGATAAATTGACTTAACAAGTCTGCAACTTTAAGTCTAAGTTTATAGATTAGATTGGATTCCTTACTTAGTACTGGTTTCAAATGGTTCTGATCTATAAAGGCAGATGGATTTATAAGGCCTTGCATTTTAACAGGACCACACTAGTCTGTTCTGGTGAAGTCACCTTACAGATTGCGATTAATTAATGGAAAGAGTCCACATGGAGTCAAATGACTAACTAGATCCATACTACCTTGTTGTTAACTGTTGTAAGTCCTTTCACTCCAAGAAGGGATTAATAACTAATGACTTCTCCTTATACATCGATCAAATTGAAGTTTAAACATTCTTCCTAAACAACCCCAGCATTTGAACTTAAGAAGATTAATTTATTACAATTCTTGCCCTCTTGGACAAAATCTAGACAAAATCTGGAAAAACCTGCCTTCATATGTCCCACCCAAGCACAATTTTTTTATTGAACAATTCTTTGATCATTGGATTAATTAAATTCATCTAGTAACAGTAGTCACCATGCTATGACACAATTATTTTTGGCTAATTTGTAACTAACATACAAAGACAGGCGAAAAATATGCAAAGGAGATCAGATTTTGGAAATAAATCAAAGCATTAGCATGAACAGCCCTATGTGAGTGATCACACGTGGTATTGGAATTGGAATTAGATTTCTGAAAGGTTCAAGGTAGTGTTCACTTTAAAAACCTGAGATCGGTCAACATCTCTACCTCTTTAATGAAACTGAGAAAAGAACTGTCGTTGAAGATAAGATTTGGATAGCGAAAGAACAGTTATGCGCGGATCAAAGGATACAGAACTTGTAAGTGGTACCAGAATAGGTTTTCCTGTTGAATCAATTTGTAAAAAGTCATTCAGTACGGGCAAAAGACAAAATAAAATACGTCGTTTTAATATTTTTAAAGACTAGAGCTCACCTGACTCCTTGTTAATAAGTTTCTTGACATTTTCTTTCGAATCTCCAAACTTTTGCTGGGCGATCTTTAGCTGGCTCATGGAATCTCCCAGCAGTTTTACTTCCTAAGTGAAACGAATCATTTGCTTAAAGTGCATCCAAATGGTAAAATTCAGTTGTAAGAAACACTAAATGCTTACCTCTTCAAGCTGAGACCTCAGATTCTCCAAATGAGGTATCTGAAGTTGACTAAGTTCCACCGCCTCGCCAGCCGCCATCTTAAAGTTTTTGGCAGTGTTGGAACCAGGCCTCCTTACTTCTCACCTTTCAATCAAGTAAGTTATCGCATGAGGGAAGTGGGGGGAGGGGGGGAGGTCAGTGATTTCTAACAGGGGAATTGTAGTAATTTGACTAATTAACTGCTAATTAACTGCCAATTAACTGTCATTGAAGGGAGACCTAGTAAATTTTATCATGAAACAACCAAAATTTTGTTATTGTTATTATCATTATCAAAGACAGTGTCACAATGACAAGTGCCTTTACAAAAAGACCCTCTTTTTATTAAAAATTTTCCATATACATGTATTGCTGTTACTTAATTTACAAACTATGATTTACAATAATTATTATCATAATTCTCTCTGCAATCCAGACACATCTTTGTCTGAGCACCATATCACTGGTTTTCTTAAGATTTTGTCAACTTCTGATACCCATAATATAAACAGAGAACTATATTATTATCTATACACTATAAATGTGTCATTCCTTGTTAAAGGAGACTGAAACAAAATGCTAGTCAACCCAAACTGTATGTCTTGAGTATTATAAATGGGAAACTTTATTATGCTCATCTATGAAGTCATGCCAGCTAACTTCTCACAAACATTTCAAATACATTAAAATAAATAATTCCTAACTAATATGAACACTGCTCTTTAACAAAACCCCATGTATTTGATATGAATTCAAAACTGATCTTAACAATACAATACTTGTACATCAATATGGGTGAATACTGCACGTACGATTACCAATTCAACTGCCAGATTTTTTTCTAGCATTACATAGAATGCTTTTATGATAGGCCAACAAAAAAAATTTGAATTGACATTTGTACACAAAGTATACATCTGTAACCAAAGGTGCGATCATCAGAAGAGCAATAAAAAACAATTGTTCCAAAAAGTAAATTTGCAAAAGTATTTGGCTCAAACCTAATTCAACTTGAATAAAAGCTGCAATTGGTCTTGGCTGTTGAAAATACACAGAACTACCTGAATTAACACAATCTAGCCTCTTAACCCTTTACACCCTAACATCAGTATTCATACACTCCACACTGTTCTCTGTACATTTACTAATGTGCTGCAAAAGGAGAATTTGTCTAACAATCAAGAGTTTCTTTTTTTGGTGATCATTTCCTTTATTCTCACGACATTAATGTGTGATTAAGTGGTGATATTGTTTGGAGAAATTAGAAACTAGTCACTCTTCGGGGTTAAAGGCTTAATTCATATCTCTTTCTGTTTTGATAATTGTCTGCCATATGAACCAAAACATTCTAAGAGCTCAAAAACTCTTTGATGAGATTTAAAAGCTATCAGTCCACTGCTATTACTCCATTTCTTCGCAATATCATTATCAGGTTTGTTGTATTTTAGTTCACACTTATCAAGACTTATCTTATCAATTTCTTTTGTAATTGATTTCAATAACAGGGCTTCCTTATAACCTACCACCCCTCCCCCCATGGAACACAAAATTGCATGCGCTGCACAGGTATCCCACTTGAAGGAAAAGGCACCAGAAAGGACATAGAAGTCAACATTGTCGTCAATAACATGAAGAAGTTTGTTGCCAGCACCTGAACTTGGAAATAATCTAATTCCTGAAGACGTTAGAGTCTCCTTCACATTTTCACTTTCACTTCCACTTATTGTTACCTTAAAAGTACTGCTAATTTGAGTATCTGTTGATGTTTTATTGGATTTCCTTTTATTTCCCAGGGAATAATAGGCATGTCCAGCATGATTTACTCCCCAGAGCCTCCTTCCATTCCAACATCTTGAGGTTGTATTCTCTTGGATTAGCATGGAAAATGGCTGATTGATCACACCAGCCACAGGTATACCAGTTTCACGATGAAATACTCCAATTAAAACAGTAGCACAAGGTAAACCTGAAACGACAATACCATCAACTTCCTTCCCTGGAGAATTTGACAGGTACTCTGATGTAGAATCTGTAAAAAGAAGTTTGTGTATGATTCAAAAAGGGTGCTGTAGTATGGGACAATAGCAACCTTAATGAACCCCTTGTGAATGCCTATTATTTGTCATATCCAAAACATTAGCTGTGACAGTGGAGAAATATGACTTACAGTACCTATCCAAACTATTCAGTAAAATAATGGAGTTAAGTGATATTTTGGGGGGTAACATGCCATGTTCAACAGGAAATTGTTTAAGCCTTGCAGTAATTCAGGATTATCCTTGCCTGAACAAATGCACTTCAAAATCAACGTAAAGATTTCCGCACAGCCCCATACTACCACTGAAATACAAAGCCGTAGTTCTAAAGGCAATCTATTTTAAGTTTCACCTTTTTTATCCAAGAACTGTATGCATGATGAGGTATGAGGTGTGCCTAAATCTTACCAAATTAACTTAAGAAATTCGTATTTTAAAAATAAGAAAGCATCTAAAAATACACTCCACCCTAAATTTCCAAGGTAAATATTTTTAATTGCACTTGTTACAATATAATTATATTACCGATTGGATCAATCCAGATTCCTAACTCATTCAAGGGAAGCTCAAAATCCAATTGCTCCTCCATTACTTTTATTTCTTCCGTTTCCAAAACGATATCAGTATGAATGAGCTCTGCCAGCAGTCGAGCAGCGATCTCATTTCCGCACAAAACTGTAGTCAGATGTCTTGAAGTAGATTCCGAGTCTTCTCGAACCTCAATTCTAATTTCTTGGCCAAAGCTGTTTTTGAATATGTTGGATTCCTCGCCCAAAATATGGCCTCTCAGTTCAGGAAACTATATGATAAGAAAAAAAATTACTCCGATGATGAATAGATTCTTGTTTTAAGAACGACTGCACAAAATAGTGTAAACAATCAATTCAGCTCACTTTCAGCGAAACATCATGCTTTACTACTTCCTGTACCAGAACGTCGGCCAGCGTTTTAAAATCACGAACAAACCGCTCATTCTTCTCCTTCTCTGCTTTCTCCTCAACCATTAATCCAAAAAGCTCCTCCTGACAGCGCCATGCTCGCGCAATCTTGGCGGATTTTTCGCTCACTTGAAGCAAAATCTCGACAAGCTCTTTCGCGGCCATTGGAAGACAGCAGCTGAGTAAACAACATTAACATTTGAAGGGAGGGGAGGGTAGGAATAGGAACCGTCATGGTCCCCTCAATTACTATGATTGGTCGGTAGAGGAGGCCTCAAATTTGTGAATTTTCTTTTATTATATTTTAACATTTATCATTTTAGAGATGATATAAAAATTTTTTTTCCAGGTATTTTAGAAAATTGGAGTACGAGGAAAAACTGGCCGAAATAATTACCCCATACTCCGTCCCATTCCCACCCGGAAACTTCTGGCGACTACCGCTGACACGTCAGATATATTTGCCGCCATTTTTGACTTTCTTGACCCTTGTCAAGGTTTTCGTTTCTGAATCGTTGCAATTTGACTCGAGATGCCTCGTGAAATTATAACTTTGCAAATTGGACAATGTGGAAATCAAAGTGAGTTTAATTTCTAACGTTAAAAAATAATTTCCTAAGCTTTACCAGCTGGATTTAGTGATTGTGTACATATTGGACACTGGGTTATGATATTTCACTCGTAAGCTTTTTCATGGACCTCATTATGAGCTGTAATTCTCAACGTAGCTCATATTATTTCATTCACTAGTTGGAATGGAGTTTTGGAAGCAGCTTTGTGCTGAGCATGGAATAAGACCAGGTAATTTTATAATATGGTGCTCAGTTATTAGTCAAAATATATAAGCTTAGTTTTCCAACTCGATTATATTGGTATACGTTCCATTAATCGTAGAGAGCTTCTTTATTCTAATTATTGAAATCTAGTTTGTTTGCAGAACTGGTCTGTAGACTGAAAATACTTTGTTGATCGAGGGTTTTTTTTTAAGTCTCGAAATTTTTATGAACTGGTCTTTCTTGATTTAAAGATGGAATCCTTGAAGATTTTGCCACAGATGGAACTGACAGAAAAGATGTGTTTTTCTATCAGGTACAGCAAGAAAAGCTACGTCATATTTTTAACATGTATGGAAAAAGAGCTTGTGTTATTTACTGATTTTAAGCTTTAACCCCGAAGAGTGATCAGAATCTAATTTCTCCCAGCATTATTACCCCTGAATCAAACATTAAGGTCATGAGAAAAGAAGAAGTGATCACCAACTGAAGCAGTTCTTCATTGTTAAACCAATTCCCTTTGTACCTTTGGAAATGTGTACTGACGTTACGGTGTAAAGAGTTATAAGCAATGTCTGTTAACCCTTTAACTCCTGGAAGTGATTAACATAAAACTTCTCCCTACAATATCCATACATTCTTCAGCAAACAGGTAATGAGAATATTCAAACTTATCTGTTAGACGCTGCTATCGTGATCTAGCACCAAGTTCCCATAACTAATTTACAAGGAAATGTGTAGCAGCTACAGGGGAGAATTAACAATCAGATCTTGGGAGTTAAAGGATTAATTCTATTTTCTGTAGGCAGATGATGAACACTACATCCCCAGAGCAGTTCTGTTAGATTTAGAACCAAGAGTAATAGATGCAATCACATCATCACCTTATGCCAACTTGTATAACCCTGAAAATATGTACACATCCAAGCATGGTGGAGGAGCTGGAAACAATTGGGCCAGTGGATACTCACAGGTGATGGACAAGTTATGCACATGTTTACTTCCTTACATTTGGACATAAACCTAGAAAATTGGGCAGAGTGAAGTCCTGTGAAAAAAATGATGGGATGGAGCAAATATATTCTTGGTATAATGTTGTTTGAATAGAGGTTTTAAAAGTATCAACTATTTTTCATTGGAAATCGAAAAAACTGAATGAAAAGTCAAGCCAAAGAACTGGTCTTTTCTCCAGAAATTTCATCCACAAGCCCCAGCTCCATGCGCTTGATCCAGTTCTCTTACCGCACATCCAAGAATACTGTACATTACCTTTTCAAATTTTGGTCTTCATACTTTTTTAAAAAGAAGAAACTTTCAATTTTACTTTGTCAGGCTGAACGTCTTCATGAAGAAACTTTTGATATAATTGACAGAGAGGCTGATGGGAGTGATAGTCTAGAGGTATGGTAATGTGTATGTTTGAGTAGAATTTAGTACCTTCACTCCACTCTCTTTCCTGTGTCATTCTGAGATTCTATTCTGAAAGATATGGCTGTCTGAACACCTGAGTTATTTAACAACAAGGTCATTGGCACCCTGACTGACTTAATCAATCATTTGCTAAGGTGACTGATTAAATTGATTTTTTGCAGGTTGCCTAACCTTTTATTTTCTTAACTGATTGACTGACTGTTTGATTGAATTGTTAGCTTTGGGGCTAAATGTCTGTCTTTTAGGCTGAACTAAGTACTGTCTTTATGACAAACTGATTTGCCTATGGCTAACTAACTGGTGGACTGTTTAACTGATTATTATTTGTTTGTTTTTGTAGGGCTTTGTAATGTGTCATTCCATAGCAGGTGGAACAGGATCTGGTATGGGATCATATCTATTAGAAAAACTTAATGACAGGTACAGTAAAATTTTAATGTTGCAGTTAAACGTAAAGGCTTTTAGGGAATGCAAATCATAACAGCAAATGAAACAAAGCTAGAGATTTCTGCTTTATCTTCTCTAGACTCTTTAATTGGTAGAATTAAGTTTTATTGGAGTCAATGAGGTTTGCATAGCCCATGTGTCAGCCCTCATAGATATTTCCAAAGTGAGAGTAATTTAGAGAAGTTCACAACTTGATTTTTACTCAATATTTCTTTCAATAGATTCCCAAAGAAGTTGATTCAAACATACTCTGTGTTTCCACAGCAGGTGAAAAACTGTCTCTTAATAATTATTTTTCTGGTTCTCTAAGTTTGTAGACAAATTGCTGGATAGTACATTGAGCACTTTTTCATGCGATAGACTTGACAATCCATGTCATAATGGATAATATGATCACCTTCCAGAAGCTTTCCTGTTCTCTTGTATTTCTGACAATAAGTGTATTGTTGTTTCACAGGAAGACATTAGTGATGTTGTAGTACAGCCATATAACTCTATACTTACGCTCAAGCGACTCACTCAAAATGCAGATTGTGTGGTATGTATTATGGACAATATTTTGCACCAACTTGTACAGGAAATTGCCAGGTTACAAGCAGAATCAAGATATAAAGGATAGGAATTTGTTATCAGAATTTTAGCATATATGTAATATGAGCACAATTTTCAAAAAGTAAGGTTAGAGTTTTGAATCTCAAAATGTACTCATCTTAGTATCACGAGTACTTTTGGATTTTGGAGTTCAAAATTATATGGTTTCTGGACCGTGGGTTATCGTTTGATGACTACAATTTTGATTTCATTCAAAGGTTGTTCTTGACAATACAGCTCTCAACAGAATTGCAGCAGACAGGTTGCACATACAAAATCCAACATTTTCTCAAGTAAATCAACTGGTATGTCATGGCATTTACCTTTACCTCATCATTTACTTTATATCAGCATTTAAGAGTTCAGCCACTCAGGTTGGCCAAACCTTTTGATAGAAGTTGTTGTTGAAAAAGAAATTGGATGAAAAAGTATTGGTCTTGTAGGAAAGTCTGCTCTTCAATCTTTGGTTCAATGAGCCTGAACTCTTGGTTTTTTAAAGAGGGAAGGAGATAAAATCAAACCTTTCTAGACTTGGCTTATGGCTATAATTTGCCTAATGTTTTTTTGTAACAGGTATCTACAATCATGGCTACAAGTACAACAACTCTTAGATATCCAGGTGAATGAGTTGTTTAAATCGTAGAAGTAGTGCTAACAATGTTAGTGTATGTTAGGGAATAATTTAACTTGGGTTGAAATTGATTTGACACCATTTGATACAATCTCAAGGTGAGCTAAGGCTCACTGATGAGCTGATGAGCCAAGGCTTAGGCTCATTAGTCAGTGACCGAGGAGATGACACAGGGGTACTTTAAAGGTTATACCCAATGTGATCCACTTTCTAGGCATATCTGCCTGCATTAAAACTTGAGAAAATCATCAATTTTTCTCTACCCTGACAGTATGATTCGTTCCTTTTAAAAATATGGTAATTGAAAAGATAGACAGCTATACATGTAGCTATACTATACCTACATTTGATATGCATACCTCCTTCAATAAACAAGGCAACTGAAAGCAGTTGGTTGTAGATTTTGTTCATTCATTCCTTTTATAAACATTTTGTTGCAGGTTACATGAACAATGATCTGATTGGTCTGATTGCATCTCTAATTCCCACACCACGATTACATTTTCTTATGACTGGGTACACTCCACTTACTACTGATCAGAAGGTAATTTTTAACTGTTTAGTTAAATGGTCTTTTACAAGTGATAAAAGCAGTGTGGCTAAATCAAGCCACACAAGCAGACACCCTAAGAAAAAAGGGCATCTGTGATGGAATTACATTGTTAGCAGGGTTGGGTTGTTTAAAGCCAGGTTAAGATAGCCATTAATGTGAAATCTGGTTTCATATCTGAAAGATTTTAAATAAAATTCAGTGTAATTCTTTTTGTCCACAATCTGATTATTGAATGCTCTATAAAGAAAAGGGAAAATTATCCCAAAAAGGCTTTTAAACAAAGGAATAAAGAAACCTTGATTAAAATTTAACCCTATTTTAGCACTAATTGGCATTTGAACAACTGGGCCCAGATTATGTAGCATGAAGTAACTTTGAGTAGAGCTATGTCTTCTGAATGAGGGTCTTGTCTCTTGGGCCCAGTTGGATAACAGGCAGATAACACTATCCAACAGATAAATTGTTATCCAGCAGATAAGTGATAGCAAAATGTATAACGTTATCCACTGGACAGACATTTATCCAGTGGATAGTGATATCCAACCTCTGAACTACTGGGGCCTACAGGTTATCTTCAGTTTTACATCACTCTTAGAGGGTGCATTGAGAGAGCTTAAACTATATTGCCATTATATTATCTCTCCTGGTTTCCTGTGTAGCTTTTTATTGATAGGTCTTATCATGCAACATGCTTTCTATGATAATAGAGACTATTCCTCAAGGGGATTAAACAAAGGTTGCAAAGAAGATAATCTCTCAGCTAGATCTGATGACAATAAAAAAAAATCTATTAATTTTTTCATTTACATTCCCTTTGACTTTCTTCTCTATCTGATTTTAAGGTGGCTAACATCCGTAAAACAACAGTCCTTGATGTAATGAGGAGGTTGTTACAGGTAAGGAGAGCTGTCATAACAAACAGGAAAAGATGTTATTGATTTTTAAAAGTTATGTACTAAACAAATCTTTAAACAGTAGTTTTACCTAGATGAATATAAAGTTGATCTCCTTATTGAGTTTTTGCTTGAAATTTCTCTCTCTTTCTTTAAGCCTAAAAATGTAATGGTATCGACACTTAGAGACAGGAAACACAACCACTGTTACATCTCCATTCTGAACATCATCCAAGGCGAAGTTGACCCCACTCAGGTACATAAATATTACTTTATCAGTTGAATCAGATGTCATTTTCTTGGCTTATTGAAAAGGCTATTTCAGAGCAAGTGTTTTTTGTATTCAAGGTTCATAAGAGTCTACAGCGGATCAGGGAAAGAAAGCTTGCAGAATTCATTCCATGGGGACCTGCCAGTATTCAGGTAAAAGACAAACAAGGTATTGCTGGGTCCACTTGCTAAAGAAAACTTATAATTTTAATCCAATGACTGATTCAGCTCGTTTCCTTTATTTATTCTCCTTCCACTTGACCTCACTGTCAAATTGAATTATTAACTTGGTCACATGACTTATGCCCTGTGTGGGGTGGAGTGGGGTGGGGTGGGGTAGTTATCTACCTCTTGCAGAAACAGTATGCACACTTCATTTGATGCTGCTTGTTCTATCTTGATTTACTTTTGGTGACACTCCCCAAATATTTAAATGTGATCCACAAACTGCTTAAATCAAGAGATCATCTGTTCCTGCTTGAAAGGCTAAACCTTGTACATACATATACATACATATACTTTATATATTCGAGAAAATAAGCAAAAAAAATTATAAAAATAATAAATAAATAAATTTAAAAAAAACATAATGACATAATTTGTGACATAATTTGTTTCGTAAATTCAGGTTGCATTGTCAAGAAAATCTCCATATGTACAGACAGCACACAGAGTGAGTGGACTGATGTTGGCAAATCACACAAGTATATCAACTGTAAGTCAAATTAGATTTCAGTTAGTGTTTTCATTTTCGAAATGTAGCAAATAGCTGTTTATTTGATCAAATAAGGAGCAATTTCGCTTTGACTCACACCAACGCATTTGTGAACAGGTATTTGAAAAGAACTGCCGACTCTTTGATAAACTTCGGAAGAGGGAAGCCTTCTTGGAAAATTATAAAAAGGAGGAGATTTTTAAGGACAACTTCGACGAGCTAGATGCTTCAAGGTGAGAAACGGGAACTTGCAAAGAGAAAGAATCGTTTGTTATTCCGAGGTTTAAACCCTTAGATTATAAGCGACGAAATGGTCCCTCGGGGCCTCTTCTTCATTTGGTATGAGAGCCCAACTAGTTTATGGGAAACGAAAGTGATGCGCTCTAGATCAGATCGATAAATGTGTGCATTGGTCTTCCTGTTACGTAGTTATTTGATACTTTGTTTCTTTTACAGAGAAGTTGTTCAACAATTGATAGAGGAATACCAAGCCGCTACAAAAGCTAATTACATCATGTGGGGAACTCAACAGCAGGTCATTTAACTTCATTAAAAGCGATTACATTAATAACAGTGGGCTGTGCATCAGACCCTAGCGTAGCACACTTGAAGCGATAATGAAGACAAGTTTTCCTTTAGTTAGACACAACTATTAGCAATGTTAACTTGCGATAAGTTTTTTTTCCTAGTGTGATAGGAAGGGGCTTTCAATCAACATCACAATCGAACCTTTTTTGATCACCAGTGTGGAGAGCATGGAATATCATCTGATTAATATTTGAAGGAGAGGTGGGGGTTGCTATGAGGGTCTAGGTAACGTTTACGCCAACTCCACCGTGTTCTTCTGTTATACATACTCTGTTAACGGTTCCTGGTTTTCAATAGAGACATATTTTTATCAAAATTTCCCGAATTTCCTATCCTTCTCAGTTTCGGCGTCCTCTTTTATCTTCCTTTGTATCCCCTCACACCACACTTCTTTGAAATCCTGACAAAAGTTGAAAGATTAATTTCTGTTTTTTATTTTTGTTGTTTTTTTTTTGCTGTTGCTATTTGTTTACAGGGAGCGACCGCGTCTGGATTAGATACAAAGATTTGATTTCAAGAACACGGGAAACAGATTTTCTATTTTGTATCTCTTGTGCTGGGATTCGGCTTAAAGACCGACTCGCAGCGACATAAGAATCATCGAGTTTTGGCGGTAAAAACGACAATCTCTTTGAAACGAAGGGCAGGGGAGTGGAGGAGAGGAGTAAGGAAATTCGATTGCAGAGAGAGCGTAAAGTAGAATCGTTGAGTCCGGGGGGGGGGATTTACGGTTTACTCAGCAGATTGAATAAATATGGCCTGTTTTCGATTCGGGCATTTCTTTCTTGTTCGTTACTAGATTCTGCACTCTGATAAATTTTCCTCTCTTCCTCGCATGTCATGCCAGCCACGCATACTTCAAGCTTTTGTTACTATAATGCGCAGTTAAATGATGTCAAGCAGACAGTCTGTCCAACTGAGATTGAAGAACAGAAATGTTAGTCTTTGCAGACAGCATCGCCCAGAAGCACAACCTGGCAAACTTTGTAGTATTATCTCCTGTGGTTAGACCCTTGAGACTAAATCGAAATCACGGACAGTAAACCTCGCCTTGCGTTCATCATTTTTGCCACTCTAACATTATTGATAAGTAATCTAAGAAAAGTGTTTATAGTATTCCTAGGGCGCTAGTCCATTAAGAATAGGTATATTAGTCTCCCTCGCCAGGTCACTCAATTCTTTCCCTTGATGAAATTGTTTTAGATTCCCCTGTAAACTTTGTGTTCTTGTGGATCAGTCGGGACTAAATGCAAGAGCTGAACGCTTTATTAAGAGACTGACTTGACTGAAGCCAGTCAGGTTTATGTTCACTGAGAAATATTGTTAGACTTTTTGCCGCTGAGTAAGTTTACTTGTATATAAATCCATAGATACGTTTGTTGAAGTGAGCATATTTGGTTAATTGTAAAGAGAGTTTGGTGAAAGTAAACGTGAGTGTGCGTGATCCGTGTACGTGTTCTTGCGGGAGAAATATGTGCAATAGCCTGTATGAAGAACCATTGCGAGGTTAGATTCTACTGACCTGTCGACGCATGGTGTATTTTCTATGGTCATTTATCTTCGCCCCCTTTCTCCCCCCCCTCCCCCCACCAAAAAAAAGGAACAGAAATAAACAATTGTAAATGTGTTTGTGTCTCATTATCGCAAAACTGAAAAGAAATAACAAATAGATTGAAAAGAAAAGAAAACCTCAAAGATTTGCAAGGTCATTTGGAATCCGTGCGTATCACCTCTACCCTGAAACATCCTCGTTCCTTTGTTGTTTGTTCTTACCTTTGAGGTTTCTGCCTTGCCAATATAACTTTTATTTAATGGTTTCCATTTATCCGGGGTAAACTTTCTTTCGTGTCAGGAAAAAACTGAGTCATGACGCAGATCTTTAAACGGTCCATTGAACGGGAACCCCCGCCTCTTTCTTAATGACGCACAGCAGAGTTAATGGCCCACCGTCCAGATTAGATTTTTATTCATCAAAATCAGCGCAGCTTCACTGCTTGCGGAGTCTGATTAAGAATGTGGCTAAGGTTAATTAAAAGTGAAGGAAAACAAGTCTTGTCTACTAGTATCTACACTGGAAGAATAGAATGTTTTATTTAATGTCGAAGACGTGGGAAAGGTTTGCACAATCTTCCGAGCCAGAGGCTCGTGTTTAAAACGCTCGACAAACTAAAAATATAAGACAAGATGAAATGTGGGTTATGCGTATACAAATATTAAAAAATATTGATAAATATTAACTAGCCAAGAGTATGTAAATATGTACAAATAGATGATATTTGATATAGTTGCAATTGTCAACAACAATTCTGACAAATTGTTATTGACAAGTCTCTCTGTTTAAAAGCTGTGACGTCAGTTCGTGAACAAGGGAACCGATCAACGATGTCTGCCATCTTGCCCACTTTCTTTTCATGTTTGAAGAAAACACTTGAACTCCCTCTTAGTTATTTATAGCACTTCTCCAGTACAACGGAATTCAAAAATGTATTTTTTTTTCGGTGACAAAGCTATCGTCGTCTAGTCACGCGTCTTGTCAATTTAAAAAAGTAAAAAAGTAAGACACGCTATCCATTTCTCCGTTCTTCTTAAGCTGACTGATCACAATTAAATATTTAGTTTCATGCGTTGGCACGTGCAGACATCTCTTTAACGCGTGCTGTCGATAAACCCGTGACCGGCACTCATGCACTGAAACTCGCTTTATTTTTGATGATATAATTTTTTATTTGAATGCTGTCGTCAAATGACCGCATTCCATTTATATTGTGATGCTGTAGTAAATTTACATGAAAAAAGTAACAAAACACAAGATATTCATGAGCCAATCACGAGCCTCTGTAGATAGTCATGCCATGCTTGAAGGCTGGGGTGATGACCAGCGGCGCTTCTTTAAGCCAGTTTAGTTCGCGATTCGTGTTTCACGTGGAAAAGGTTTTGTTTTGGAAGGTTTGAAAGGGAGGTTGTAGTTTAGTGTTACATATTAAACAATGTCTTCTCTAGAAAATAGCAATCGAGGGGCACTGGCTGCCATGCCCGATCCTGCTACTTTTTATCGAAGGAAATTTTTGTGTGCCGCCCCAGCTGGCGGAGGAAAAGGCAAGCGGCATCCAGGGAAAGCTATCCTCGCAGGTGAGGCACTTTTATTTATAGCAGTTGTTTCTATAGTTTGTCAGCTGTGAAGTTTTGTTTAGCCAATCAGATTTAAAGGATGATATCTGTCTGTTTGAACCAGCTTTGCCTCTATCACTCGTGGGAGAATATTCAAGTGCTTGCGATCAATGAACTACTAACGTGTTTTGAGTAAGCTTAAAGAGTGAGTGTTCTTTTTGTTTAAGTATGGGGACCATTTGTCGTTACGGCATGTTTCAGCGACTAGACTATAGCTTAAACACGAGAACCTTAAATTTCTATGCTTCAGTTTTTATTATACGCAGAGAGAACGGATGTTTTTCGTTGACGCTTTATCTCTCTACTGTTACTGTTTGCAATTTGCCTTTGCTCACCCTTGAAAGTACAAAGGTCGAAGTAGCTTCGTGATTTATTTCACTGAAAGGCGTCGAAGACGTTTCGAGAAGTTATCGTAGTTAGGGCCTTATGAAATATCATTGAACATATATCGATTTTTTTTGTTTTGTTTAGGCGAAATCGAGAGATAAAATTTTTTCTACGTGGCAGAATAATTTTTCCAATGTGCGATTGTTGCTTGTGGGACTTGGTCGCTTTCACACATTATACCGTAAATCAGAATGCGTTGGAATCTCTAATAACGGCTGACACTCCGCGGTTAATCGTTAATTAGCTTGTTAGCGTCTCATTTGAGGCTGACATAGTAAAAGGAATGTTGGGAAGAAGTGTAATTCGTGTCAAGGAAACTTCAAGAAATTTTTTGTGAACCCAGAATCAATATATCAATTATGGGTGGTATGGGGGTGTGTCAAACGTCAGGACTGCGCAATTTCCGACTTGCGTGACTTCTCATTTCCGATGGGAAGGGGCTGAATATAAAACTAATAATAATGAAAAGTCCAAAGTTGAAAGAGGAAGCCTGGGAAATTTTGAAAAGTGTGTTGTGTTATAACATTAAACAGAACATTGCCAGAACTGAAGCTATTGACACAATTGTGATAATTTTTTTGGAAAATTTGGAAGCCAACTTTAACTTTGACATTGATTGCTTGGGAAAATGTGTACTGTTCCAAAATATTTTGTTGATGTTTTTGTCCCCTTTTTTTCATGGACAATTAATATTTCAGTAAAAAATAAATTACATCATTTAAAATTTTTTTAAAATCTTATATAAAATGCATAGAGAAGGAAAGAGAGAGGGAGGGCTGAGTGCATCATGTTAAGGATACCTTCATATTTCTTGAAACTAGACATAAGTTTAGAATATATGAACTAACAAGTTTTTTTTAGATTGTACTTTGAAATCTTTCACAGAAAAAAACTAATTCTGTGATATATATTTTTTTGAACAGGAGGGATTGCAGGTGGACTTGAAATCTGCTGCACATTTCCAACAGAGTATGTAAAAACCCAAGTACAACTAGATGAGCGAGCGGCAAAGCCTATGTATAAAGGCCCTCTTGATTGTGCTGCTAAAACAGTAAAAAATCATGGGTTTTTTGGACTCTACAGAGGTCTTAGTTCATTGTTGTATGGCTCAATACCAAAAGCATCTGTAAGGTGAGGGATAATTGTCTTTTGTTATTTTGTCAAAAGAGGTCAACTAGTCCATTGAGTCATAGACAAATGTGTGGACTTTAATCCTTAAACACCAAGATGTAATTAACATGTAACTTCTGCCAACAAAATCCATAAAGTATCCAGCAAACAGGTGATGAGAAGACCCAAACTTATCAGTCAGAAGATGTTATCTTAATGTAACACCAAATTCTTGTAACTGATTGACAAGGAAATTTGTTGGAGCTAGAGAGAAGAATTGATTGTCAGATTTTGGGAGTTGAAGGGTTAAAGACACATGCAGTCTAATAATGTTTAAATTAAAAGCTGTGTAATTGATTTTGCAGATTTGCAATGTTTGAGTTCCTAAAAAATAACATGGTAGATGACAAGGGTAAATTAACACAAGTGCAAACCCTCCTTTGTGGATTAGGAGCAGGAGTTGCAGAGGCTGTCATCATAGTGTGTCCAATGGAAACTGTCAAAGTCAAGTTTATTCATGATCAGACACAACCAAATCCAAAATATAAGGGTTTCTTTAATGGTGTTGGAACTATTGTGAGAACAGAAGGTAAGTTAAATATTTTCAGATATACAGAGGAATTTTTATTCAGGTAACATTTAAATTGAATCATTTCAATTAAAGGAGGTACTTGTACTGGTAATCAATCATAGAGAGGTGACCTAGTGATCTGCATTTCAACTGGATCTCAGCTGGGATCATGGGTGTACCAAATGAGCTTTTTTTTTTCTTTTGGCTGACCTTTGATTTCTTTATCTTAGGATTTGGTGGAGTCTACAAGGGTTTAACAGCCACCATAATAAAGCAGGGAACCAATCAAATGATTCGATTCTTTGTATATTCCAACTTGAAGAACTATCTTCAAGGAGGTGACCCTAGCGTAGACATTGGCTCTATAAAAACATTTTGCATTGGTGGAGTTGCAGGGGCAGCCAGTGTCTTTGGAAACACTCCTGTTGATGTTGTTAAAACAAGGATGCAGGTTTGTGAACACTGATATTTTTTGAAGATGTTTGCTTGAACATTTACAAGCTGATACTCGTTTTTCTTCTTTAATTTTTGTTGCATTTAGCAGATGACTTGTCTATAACAAAATAATGAAAAACTAAGAATGGTCATTAAATTTGATGTGGCAACAAAGTGCCTGTGTGAAAGCTTTCCCTATTTTCTTGTATGTTGGCACTTATTTGAAGAGTATCTACATGTTGTCATTGAGGTTTGGCTTGGAACCGGTGTGATTACCATTTAGACATACACAATAAGACATTTTTGTTTCTTGAAATCTCTCTTGCAGGGTCTAGATGCACACAAGTACAAGAACACTTTAGATTGTGTAATGAGGATTATCAAATATGAAGGACTGAAAGCGTATGTAAAAATTATTTTTGTAGACTTGTAAGATGAAAACAAAGCTGCTAGTTATACAAGCTAAGGACAATATGTAGGTCAACCCCTTCACAATAGAAATTCAACTTTGGGTTTTTGTTAATAGGTTACTAAATCCTAATAAAAAATGAAGTGTAACAAATCTACTGGTACTTTCAAATAATGGCTTATGAAGACTTTTATCTCCTTTTCCAGGTTCTACAAGGGAACAGTACCTCGTCTTGGCAGAGTGGTCTTTGATGTTGCCTTTGTTTTCACTTTTTATGAAAACGTCATGAAGTTGTTGGATTATGTTTGGGAGACAAACTAAATGAACAATTCTGCAAACCTATAATTTATGATTGCACCTTTTATAATCAGACAGATGTAATTTGAACACTGACATTATTTCCTTTACTTTCAAGAGTAGTTTTTCCACAATAAATATACAATGTTAAAGGTTAACTGTACTTTGTTGGTACAAATTATTTAAGAGGTGAAAGGTGGTGTTGAAATGGCATTATTAATTTTATTTTTGGAAAATTTGCAAGGAAATTGGAATTTTTAAATTAACATAAATCCTTTCTTTATTGTGGGGTACAGGTATACACATTATTACACAGTATGCATACCTATCCATTCACAAGATGATGATTCCAGCATTTTGGGAGTAAAAGAAAGAACTAATCATATTGAAAAGGGATCAATTCACAAAACAAAATATTTTACAACAATGTAAGATTTCAAGGTTCTATGAATAATAATTACACTAACAACAATGCCTATTAATTATTAAAAGGTATTTACAAAGGAGTGTTGTGTGCAAGGTTTCTGTTCTCTTTATTGGGTTGTTTTCACTAATAAACAGGGTACCATCCTTAACTCCTTAAGTATTGCTGCACCATATACTTGATAACGGTAGATTTTATATGATATTATTCTGCCTGAATGATATGATCAGCCACTGGGTGAGGTAAAGCATCGGAAGAAACTGCGCACTGACTAAATATATTCATCATATTGACCTGGACTGCCATCAGAAAATAAATCATTTAATACATATAGAAAAAAGCCTTTAACAGCCTGGGATTACAGCACCATACTCTTCATCTGTTTCAATACCAATGTCCTCCTGCAAAGCAAGTAAACAAAGACATGATAAATTGTGGCTGAGTTTTCCTTTATAACCAGTCTAAAGTTATTCTCCAAAGGAATCTCAGGATTTTATCTCATGAGCAGGGGGGAAGTCTTCTCTTTTTGAGCACCTCACTCTTGGTGCTCCCAACAGAGCTCTAACATCAATTTTTTTTTCACTTGTGCAGAGGACTTTTCTGAAAAGGAAGGGAATGCTCTTTGCCTAATTAAAAAGAGAATTTACTCCTAGGTCACCCCTGGGAGTGAAATGATAGTCACTAGAATGCTACTCACAATTAACATCTAATTTCTCTTTACAACATAACCGTCAAATCACACATCAAAGTCACAAGAATAAAGGAAATGATCCCCAACTAAAGAACCTCTTGCTTATTGACAAATTCTCCTTGTGCCCACCTTAGGAAATGTGTAGAGAACAGTGTGGAGAATATGCATACTGATGTTAGGGTGTAAAGGGTTAACTTTGTCTTGCAGTCACTTGACTATCATCACTTACAGAGACTGGTTAGTTTACATACTCAAAGACACACTCTAAAATGATAAAATATAAAAAAAATAGCTTAAAAAAAATCTCATTCTATAAAAAAAGGAAAATTCATCTTACAATAAGCTGTTTCTTGGGTTTGGGATAGCCTTCCAAAATGCCATTTAAAATGTCTGTTGCCTAAAGAAATAAATTACAAAACACATCAAAGTTGATGTTTTAAAATTACACTTAAAAGTTGTTGAGTGATTATAGCCATTCCACTGATCTGGGTTGCAAGGAATGAACTTGGATCTCCAGGAAAAAAGAGAATAGTCAGGAAGAAGTAAGAAAAACTTGACATCATAAGGGTTACACAATTACTGGTGAACCAATATACATGTATTTATCTTCAAGTTGTGGCTTTTAATAGACACTTCTGCAAGTGACACACTTTTAATTGACAGATTGTTGTGTGGTAACAAGAACAGCTTTTCATAAGCTACTCTAATGAAAATAATTGCTTATTCATAGAACATTCTATAGGATTACATCAAATTTCAGCAATAAATCAGTGTGCATGACTAAGGGCATGACTCAAGCATAACAAGGTAAACAACATATCATTCTAGAAAATTCTGAAGTGTTCTGGAACACTACATTACATGGCCCACACAACAAGTAGAACATTAACTAAGAGGATCAAAGAACTGTACACAGGACTGCTTATAGCAAACCAAAAAAGTGTTTAGAGCTAGATTTAAACCCAGGACTGCTGAGCTTAAGTCCTACACCCTACCACACTCAGTCATCCTGTCTCTGTGATGGTTTGGGATAATTAAGTGGTGCCTTGGTTGTAACTCCTGAATTTTTTGCCAAACTAAATTCCTTCATTTTCTCCTCTAACAGAATTGCCCCATCCTTAAAAACAACTTATACTCAATCAAATCAAGTCAATAAAGAAAACTATCATACCAATCGCTTCCTCTTTTTCCACATCTGGACATACTGCTTGTGATCCTTATAGATCTTTTTTAAAGAACAGGATATCACAGAGTAAAAACAGAAGTGAAAGAAAAATGCTCTCATGTAAAAAAAAAAAAAAAAAAAAAAAAAAAAAAAGCTGCAAACAACTTTAAGGATCTAAGAAGTATTACCTTATCTTTTTCCTCTGGAGTAACATGCTTTGTTGCTGAAAAAGGAAAAGGTATTAAAAAGTTTTGAATTATCTGGATGCAAAAAACTCATTATCATGCACCTGCATGTAATTAGAAAAAGTAAACTCACTAGACTTAATACTCTTGAGTCTTTCCTGGTATTTGTCACACTGCAAAAGGAAAAAAGGGAAGGGAACTTTAAATTTTGTATTCTATTCCAATACTACTGCTCCTAGGCAGGATAGAATGTGACAGTGAATCTAGTTCAGTCTTGACAGAGACCTCATCCTGAGACAAACATGTATCGGTTCAAACACCATTTCTTCCTCTCACTATTTATAAAGAGAAGAGAATCAGTCATTGACAAAAACAAAAGCAGTAAATGACGAAAAAAATCACCTTAAAATAACAAATATTGTAGTAAATAAATACCATTAAATAGATGTATAACTATAATCAGATACATTGTAGCATACAAGTTATGCATTCAGCTTTGACTGCAGCATGTAAATTAATACCTTTTGAGTCAGCTCTGATAGTTTGGCCTTGGCATCTTTGGTTGTAAGTGTACTGTTAACATTGCGCAGCTCTAAAATCATATAGGGTTAAGAATGACATATTTGATACATGCCCTAAAAATCACAGTAAAGCATAAGCAAAATATATCATACAAAATGCTGCCTACAATTCTCACCTTTTGAATAATTAGCCAACATGTAGGAAACATGAAGGAAGACACAAATGGACAAAATTGAAGAAGGTTATCACCCATTTGAATTGGAGGTTGAACAGCTAAGCTTAACAGTTAGTTTTATTGAAAGCTCACAAGAAATATATCCTTGTCTGAAGCTTTGATTGTGACACCTAGACAGAATGTTTCTGTAATTGCCTTTCCCAGGAAACCATAGTGACATGACACAGCCCCTTTAAATTTCAACAACTATTGCACCATCCTTGATAATCATTGTCATTTGTTATTTTTCATGAATATCAGGGGTTGCGATAAAAGCCACTTACTGGTAGTCTACTTCCACTTTTAAGACCTCTTATCACCCTCTGTTTAGTCTGCAAAGGGTTTATTTTAAATATGCTACACCATGGCAAATTAAGAAAACTTATGCAATTATCATTACCTGACTCTTGAGTTTTCAATGTTTCTTGTAACTTCTTCAATTTCTCTGAGCATGCACTGATTTGTGAATCAATTTTCTTGATCTCATTTTCATCATAGTCTCCAAACTGGTCCTGCAGATAACCAAATAATGATTTTGAAAATGTTACTAACTAAATCAATTTACTTACTATGATAGCATTAATAAAGACAAAACATGTCATATGGTTGGTTTTTTGGCTCCTTAGGAAACCAGGAAAAAAAGCAAAAAGCAACCATTTTGTATAATCAGAAAAACAATTATTTATAATTTTTGTAAGTCTTTCAGGTAAAAGGCACGGATCAATATCAGGATCTGGGCAACTGCCCACCTACCCCTCCCTGAACTCAAAAACAGTCAATTGACAACAACTTAAGGTTAATGTTGGGTTCGGGGAGGGGTAGGTGGGCAGTTGCCCAGATGCTGATATTGATCCAAAGGTACTACCGTAATCACCTGTTTAGGTGCATATGCCTTCTGCTTCCCATTAATCTTCTCAGTGATAGTGCCTTCACTAGCAAGTTTTTCTAAACTCCTTTGTACTGCCTATCAAAAGAAGCAACACAATGATTTTCAATTTATCAGAAATAAATTGAGTGCAGGACTTTCATTCACACACTATGTGTGGGTGTTTGTATATATTGTATTTTATGGCAGTTGTTTTGAAGGAAATAGAGGGGAAAATCTTATTTGCAATCCTTTGATCTCTGTTAAAGAATGAAAGAATCACAACACAGAAATAGAATTTCAAAAGTGCGTATATTTACCGTTTTTCCATACTCTTTGTGCAGATTCGAGAAAATATCAACTGCAAAAAAACATACATAGGTAGATAAGCTTTAGTAACAATGATAATGAAATCTGGAGTCTTTATTTATGTATAAAACGGAGGAAAAGTAGCGTTATCTAATATACTGGAGGCAAGATAATCATATTTCAGTTTGATTTTTCTTACTTGCACTGTAAGGTCGGTTCTGTTTGGTAAGATACGCCAACACCGCTTGAGACGCTGTAATTCACACAAAGAACACAATTTCAAACGTGGAACAAAATTTTATCGAGAAAAAGAAACATTGTACATCCAGTTTATTTTTAATATACCTTCTTGTTCGGATTTCTTACTCATTTTCCAAAAACTTCACTTCATAAATTTCCGCGCCAAATTTGTACCTCGCGCCATATAATTTCAAGTGTTCTTAAGTGACATAGGAATAAAACCGCTGCCAAAGTTCACAGTCATACTATAAATTATAGGCTAAGACCCCGTATGGTTCTCTTTCTCCTCTTTACCATAAATCCAAGTGTCTGAGCGAAATGGTGGGTAAAAATCCTTGGATTATTTCATAAATGAAAGGCCATCGAGAGTAATAAATAGCTTCCTATGAAAGCAGAGTTGTTTTCTTTGTTAGCTATAAATATAGTTTTGAGTATTTTGTAATATCGACGACTTGTTTTCCCTCGTCTCTCCAGGCAAAGAGAACCAAGAAGGTCGGAGTCGTAGGAAAGTATGGTACTCGTTACGGTGCCTCACTTCGAAAAATGGTTAAGAAAATGGAAATCACCCAGCACTCGAAGTACACATGTGTCTTCTGCGGAAAAGTAAGTCTGACATAACGAAGAAAAATACAAATTCGCTTGTTGGTGTGAGAACTCTCGAAAACTTTGCGATCATTCTATATCCTAGGTCTTGCACCATACCAGAGTGATTTGTATTTTTCTCCAAATCGGATCAAATGATTCGCCTGCTGTTACAATATTTATTACCATAAAGCATTTAATTACGTACATGAAAAATGTCAACCCAAAGAAGAACACCACAATTAAGTCGAATGCTAGTTGTCAGTGTTATGAATGTCAGCTCTCTCCATTCTCTTCGTGGTCGGAGTGAGGACACCTCATAACAGCTGACAAACAGTGCTATCTGAGTTGGATAGCTACATTTTTAAACCATATGTCTAGCGCTACATTTGCAATGAGTGATTTTGATATTGCTGATAGTGACAGAGGGCAGAATTCTTGACAGTACGGTATGTACCAGGACCCAGTTGTTCAAAAGATGGATAAATTGCTATCCAGTGGACAAGTGTCAACACATCTTACTGTACCATCAACTGGATAGAGATTTATCCACTGGACAGTATTAACCACCCTGTGAACAACCAGGGCTAGGTATAATGCCTAACTTGCCTACAAGCTCTTTGTGCCTCACTAGCTTTCACTTGTAAAATCAGAATTAGCTGGATGCTTTCACAAGTCACTTAGATTTATTTTAATGATTTGCATTTCCTACAAATAATAAAATCTTCCTGCATCTTGTTTCTTCTTCCAGGAAGCCCTGAAAAGGAAATGTGTGGGAATCTGGTATTGTAGGGGATGTGGAAAAACTGTTGCTGGAGGAGCTTGGGTTGTCAGGTGAGAAAGAATACCCATAAACTTTGGGTTCTGCTGTTATCCCAAGCATTGCTACAAACTGCATAAATGATTCTTCATTAAAAGGGGACTAAAAGCCAATGGACTGTGACGACATGTCTTTCTCCACACTCATTTATCTCCCACAGTGAAACTTGCATTAAGCAGATTCTTGAACTTAAGAGACTTTTGCACTTAGCAGACTCAAGTTGAGGTCTTACTGGTTTCTGCTTTGTGCAAATTTCAATTTTATTTGTTCAGAAATTAATTGTCAATTACTCTTAATTTTGTCATATTAGTACTACTTCTACATATCTCAGATTTGTAAAAGTACTCTTGTGTCAAACTTTGAAGAGCCTGCCAATTACAGAATCAAAAGTAGGATACCCTCTTTTTCTGGTTAAGGTCTCCATCTTAAGGGAAATAGAGTGACATTAGTTAGTCCAAAGTTTTCTTTGACCTAGACTGTTTTCATAATAAAAACTTCTCTGTGTTTTCTGATGCACGATGATGAAAGCTTCTCTCTCTTTCATTTTAGCACCACAGCTGCTGTGACAGTGAGAAGTGCAGTGCGTCGTCTCAGGGAAATGCAGGAGACATAAATTGTATCACTTGTACAGTTCAACAATAAACCAGCTCAACTCCAGTTTGCAATTTTTGCTGTTTAATGATTTTTGTTTTGATTATAAAGATATAAAAGTACACTTTTGATTGCAGATTTCCTTGTCTTAGCCCCACAATTCTGTTTGATTATTTTGAGGCCCTGTGTAAACAATTAATCTCAAAGGAATAACTTGTACCTTTTTCAAGGTTGTTAGTATAATTTTAAAATTTGAGAAATTGGCCAGAGTTTAAGGAGTGGCAAAGTTTCAATTGTTTGTGTCCCAAGCTGCAACCATTTTGGTTGTAATGGCTTGTACTAGGACTAGATTTGCTGCAAGGATGAACTATTTGCCCACATGTGTTTGGCAAACAGGAAGAAAGCAGTAACGCTTTCGTCGCTCTGTATTTATGTTGTAAAGTTAAGATTTCCCCTGGGGACCAACCATTTTCTTCTGGAAATAATTTTATGACGTGAGATTTTCCCTAGGCCAGGTTGTTCAAAACATGATTAACCAAACCTGGGATTAGTGTAAATTTTAATTCATGCTAATAGCTTTGTAAAGGAGTTTTCTTTTTTATTTTCTCCTTTTAGTTGCAAGTCATATTGAGATAAACCTCAACAAAACCTGAGCTCTTGATACACACTTCTCTACTTGAGAAACTAAAGCTAACTTTTAATCCTAGATTAACATTAACCCCCTTTCAAACAACACAGCTTTGGGTTAAATTCTTGCAAAGTTTAAACAGTTGGTATAAACACATGGTTGACTCTGCTAGTTGTCAGGGACACCCGATCCTCAGACACCTATGGGCAAATAGGCAAGTAAGAGGGAGGAAACTCAGCAGCTTCAGCTGGAAGGTAGAGTTTGTTTTCCCTTCCCCTTGCCTGATTATTTGCTCTCTGTCTCTTCAAGGATGTAGACATCTCTGGAATCTACAAGCATAATTTAAAATTATGATGGGTTTCAAAAAAAAGAACAATGTATGCTATTTACAATAGTCAGAAGTTGCAAAACACTGAGAAAAAGGATTCATTCGCAATTGGCACCATCATTTCAATCTTGTCATGTATTTTAAAACAAAACTCCTGTATTAACTAGGCTTGTTCAGTCAAGTTGGCTGGATACTAACCAGTGCTGAGATCTTGCTCTTAGTCAATACCCATAGGTCTGCAAGGGGCCTCAAGTGACTCATTATTAGTGCCACACCTAAAGCAAACCTCTCCCCACCTTGTCAAAAATCTTCCAGTGAGCAGAGACACGCATGCTCTGCCACTCCTACGATAGCCTACTTACATTCTATTTTTTATTAAAAGCAAAGGCTTCCTGTCAAAAACTGACATTTCAATTTTCATGAAACTGAAAACTTAACTTCAAAGACCAGCTTTTATTGTGTCACTATCTTATAAGCTGATACTGCCATTTATTATCTCACACGCATATTTATAGAACATTATATTAATGAAAACCTCATTCCTTAGGCGTTATGATTACACAAGTGATAAAATTAATTTAATTTACAAGCAAAACAAGGAAACTTCCTTTTATCCCCTAAAATTGAACAACACCCAATTGGTTCCAGACCAAGTGTTACTATGCGCGATGGCTGGAATATTGAATAAATAATACCTGTTAGAGCTATGGTTTCTAGAAAGCCATCCTTTTAAGTCTCGCTTTCTTTAAAGAAAAGACCTTCACAACAAATACAGCCTAAGCAATTTCTGTTCTAAACCAAACAAAGTGGCACCAAAGGCTATTGGATCACTCAAATTTCCAAACTTGCCATTGATTACCCCAATAAAAATTAATACTAAGAAGCATTTGCAATCACTAATAATTGAATAAAGCTTAACTGACTGTCTATCAAATTTCATGTCGAAAATGCTATTATTTTGTCATTTCAGTAGGCTTAACTTCATCAACTCTCAAGTTCCTCTTCACTCCAGTCTCTGGTGGACTGCAAAGGCACTTCTCTCAAACATGGGCTGATTCACAAGCCTGTCACACCTAAATTTTGGTAAGCTTAATTCTCAAATGGAAAAAAATATGTAGTACACTCCAAACTCCAAAAACTTCAAATTAAGATTTTTCTAAAACCTACGACAAGGGCTAAAACTTTGCATAGCATTTCTACAGGTATCTTCATTTCCTAATAAAAACTGCAAAGACAAGGTATTATAGCTTTTTAACCATTACATTCCCATGAGAGATTGTGCTTTTCTGAGCTCTCAGGTGTAGAAAAAAGTTTTCTAGAAAAATCTTACAAGAAAAGAAAACGCATCATACAACTTATACACATGAATGCCACATGGCAAAAATTGGCTATTTCCAGCTACAGCACCCCACAAGCAATGGAGACAGCCGAGCCCAAATTCTGAAAGTATAATCTGGTAAGATGAGTCATATTGCCATTGAGATTTTCATGCACAAAGGAAGTTGCCCATGCTCTCAACTTTGTTTAATCTGTTTCACAACTGACAAAAAGATCAAACAGCTGTAGACTCCATAGGAAGCATAAAATGCATACTAACTTGACAGAATTTAAAAATTACACAGCCTCAAGAAATCTTTCAAGTACAGAATATTTTGAAATGACACATCATATCAATACCCCAACCACTTTCCAACATAGTCAGTCGCAGATCCCAGTCGACTGGAATTGCCACTGTCTGTTTGATCAGTTGGAATCATGCCTTCAGCTTCTGATGGGTCTAACATCTCATAATCCGACACATCTGAAGATATACTCTCTTTCATGGTGCTCTCAAGTGTTTCTGATATCTGTTGGTTAACTTGTTCTTTAGATTCCTTTGCCTCATCCATTTGTTTTGAATGTGTTGGCTCACTGTCCACATGTGATTTCCCAGCTGGTTGAACAGCCTCAGTGTCGGATTCTGAGTCTCTTTCAATGTCTGGAAATTCTAGTCCCCTCATTAACTCACCTTCCTCCAACTCTAAAGTATCCCCAAACTGACTTATTGATGAAAATTGTAGATTATCAACAAACACAGTAGAGCTGTTTAAGCTTTGGCTTCCAATTTCAGATTCTGGAGAATCTTGTGCAGAAATTTCTTGGGAAAAAAGCATAAAAGAAAAATCATTCCAAAAAAAGTATAGAAGAATGATAGCATTTTTAATTAATGGAAGTGACCATATAAAATATAAATTTTGAAGTATATATGCTACAAATTTACCAGAATTTTATTATTTTGCTGGATTTACCGAGACATGTATACCTAACAAATAAATGCATTTTAAAAGGAACACCTACCTACATGTGTACCACATTGATTGGCAGGACTCTCAAACAGCCAATTTTTTGAAGTTAACTAAATTTAAATCTACCCCATTTCTCATCACCAAAAGCTCTTTGCCATATCCAAATAATAACCCCTGGAAGACTTGATTAAATTTTAAGAGCTATCTTGGATCCAATCTGTGTACACTACCTTGTGTTTCCAGGCTGTCTTTTCTGCTTGTAATAGAACTCAGGCCTTGAGTTACAACTGATGAAATAAATCCTTCCAGGAGTTTAACCTCCACAGGTGGTACTGAGGAAGAAGGTTCTGATTCCCTGAAATCTTCATCTTGTGAAGGGACAAATTTATCTTCATTGACCACTGTATCATCAGCAACAGGACTGAAATCCTTCGCAAACTCATCGTCACTGTCAGCTGGCATTTCTCCTTTAGTTCCTTGGAAGAATTATTACACTAACTAAATCAGTTTTAAACCTTTAACTCCCAGGAGTGACCAAGACAGAATATCTCCTTACAATTTATATCAAGCAGACATGTTATGAGAACAAAGAAAAATATTAATTAGGGGATTATTCACTGATCCAGTAACAAATTCTCTGAACTAACTTTTAAAGAATGGTATAACAGATAGTGAGGAGAATTATTAATGAGATCTTGGGAGTGAAATGATAAAAAAAACTAAAAAATGCACCATTATGACAATGAAAACAGAGTATGCACTGGCTTTTTTGGTTTTGAGCATCTTTGATCTTATTTTTTTGGTTTGTCCATTCAAATTGTATGGTTTTTTGGTTTAGTATATGTTGCAGCCTTAGGTGAATCCCTCTTTTGAAAACGTGAATTTTCCAAACAACTTGGACAACTTTCAATCAGCATCAATTGGTTTCCAAACATTATTCTTGGTGGTTATCTACTTTTGAGTTAGTCAATTCCAAGTTTTCAGTTTTCATGGAGATGAAAGAAGGTTCTGTGGTTTTTGATATACCACAATACCCCAAAATGATGAACAAGTTGGTGCATTAAGAATGTGAATTTTCATTATTCATTAGTCAGACCTGTTGTTACAGCATCCCTTGTTCGCTTTGTCCTGGTATTTTGCCATTGGACTACAAATGGTCGGTAAAATGGCTCCACTGCCTTTTTGATTACTATGTGTATTCCATTGTACTTAATGATGGGCCAAAAGTACAGTGCACAAGCTAAAATGTAAAAAAGAAGAGAGAAAAATGTTCTTAGTTTTTTTTTTAAATATCATTTAAACTGGTAGAAAACAGTCCCCACAACACACAAATCTCCACTTCCCAAGGAACTTCATATCAGCCACATTGATATCATTTTGAATCCGTAATTACAACAGGTATGGAAAGATTTCCACACAACCCCATACCTTATTATGCATACAGTTTTTTGGATGGATTGCCTTCAGGACTTTGGCTTTGTTTCAGAATAGTATAGGGTCATTGAGAAACCTTTCCCCAAGATGTCATATATGCTTCATACATTGAACAACCAAAAGATTGTTTTAAAATGTGACTTAAGAATATTTGAGAACAAGCCAGTAGTACCCCCTGAGATGGAATTAAAGTAACAAAGTTAGTTTATCCTCTGTGTTGTCAATAAAAGTAATGATCACCAAAGCAACAATTTATTATGATCATAAATTACCAGTTTTTAAGGTTTTATATTTGTCCATTACCTTCATTCCTCATCTATCATAAATTAATATGACAATCTTTCTCATCTACAAAACCTTACCAAGATAAAAATTAAAAAACTTCACCTTGCATATAAAATATTGGCAGCAGGGGCAAGTACTGGTAAGCAAACACCACTACCAATAAAAGTCCAAAAAGAACGGCATAGTACTGAAAAACAAGATAGTCATTACCATAATATTAATAACAATGTCAATTCAAAATGAAAAAGAAATTAATACTGATCTTAAATTAGGGAGAAAAAATAACAGAAAATATCGATACAAAATTGGGAAAATCGATGACATACCTTGTATGTGCTTTCAGCCTTTAATTTGTTCAATTTTTCACGCCAAGCAGCGAAGCAACTCCAAATCGCAGCGAGTCTTTCACAAAGACGAGGGAAAGATAGCGTGATTTGACGACTAAGGGACAAAGTTAGTCGATGTTCATCAGTTCATAGGACATTTGTTTATCTCATTACAGGTGGAACATAAATAGATAATAGATCCAATTTGGGGTAAGCCATTTGGAAGTTCTAAACAGTCCTTCGGGATATCAAAACATTATAAAACAAACTTAAAACTCGAGATTTATAGAACGAAAACGCAAAATTTGAAGCTTCCTTGTTGTTCTTTAAATAACACTTACCTGTCTTCATCAGTAAGAGCATCAAATCTACCTGTGTCATGGAGAAAATCATAAAAAATAATTATTGAAAGGATCCAAGTTTTATGCAAATGAAGACCATCCAAATTGCAGAGAGATTCAAATTGTCAGGACTACCTGTAACGAAGTGTTATGACGTACCTTGTACACATTGCCACACCTTACATCTGATATCTTCCATCAAAAGTGATGACGCCATTAATATTATAAGCAGCAGTACCAGACGGAATTTCCCACTTGCCATGATCCTGTGAAACGACATGCCACTCGATCAGCACATCACAATAACAAATAATTCTTTTCTCACCCAACAACTTACCCGACAAGAATTGTCATCGCAATGAAATAGCTCAACGAGTGCGATGGTTTTTGCCACAAAAGAACACTCTGAATATACTCCCATCTATTTTCCACAGGCCTTAAGAGTTTTCTAACGCGTTCGTAGTACTCTTGATTGTCAGGATTCTCAGATCCCGTCGAATTTTCTGTGGAATCCCCCTTGAGATTTTCGTCCGCCATGTTGTGATATGAACTTCTGCTTGCGGATCTTTTTTAACATACAAACGTGACGTCATGGTAAACATTCTTAACTTGGCCCAGGTCTCCAATGTAGGTCTTCTCTCTCTTAGAGGCAACGAACTGGAACGCTAATGAACTGAGATTTTTTTTGATAAGCAAATATCTGCTTTTGCTGGGGCATTGATAAGCGAATTAATTAAAAATTGTTCAGGGATATTGCGGACCATCCTCCTTGGCGAGGTAGAAGGGATTGCATAAGTACGCAGACGATTGTCAAAGTAACTGTTTTCTCGTTCATTATACTTTTGAAATATGTTCTTTTTTCGTCAAAACCATTAAGGAATTACCCGTTCTTAGGAGAAGTTCAGTCTCCACGCACGCTTAAAAACCAGGGGAAATATGATCCTCGTTCAATCAGACGGCGCACATCCTAAAAACCACTTGAGTACGACGGGGAATTCCTTTCTCTATTATCTACAATCAGTCGGTAGCCGCGACAAATAGCACACACAACGAATGGAAGAGGTCAACTATAGAGGCCTGACCCACTTCCGGTTACTACTTGTGATGGAATTTCCGGTTATGCAACGGCATTGTGGGTAGTTTCCTCAAGGGAAATGAGTAAAGACCTTGAAATTGTCTGAGAGGTGAGTATTTTTAATCCCTTGACTTTTTTCTGTTTACAATTTTGGCCAATATAGACAGTAGCTTGAAAATATGAGACTCTGTGGTTTTTTCGAAGTACATTGTTTTTTTTCGGTTCTATTCCTGGAAGGAATGTGTTGTTGCCGTTCTTTCACTGAGATCCTAAATATATGACTAAAATAATCGCAATTTGCGAGATAGAATGAGCTCAAAATTTGCCTCTCGAAAGAAAAATAATCGACAATCTCGCCTGTTGCAGGCCTTGAGAGATTTTACAGCAGCAGATACATGTTACAGCGATGGTGCAAATCCTCTGTCTTTTCGAATAGGTGAAATATTCACATTTCTGAGTCGCCGCGACAACTATTGGGTCAATGTTGAGAGGACGGTTTGGAGACACAATCCGCTGCTCAAGACGAAGGAATACCTGACTGTTGAGCGTGGTATTGTGCCGGTGGACTATATAATTGAGATGGACGTTCAAGAGAACGAAGGAATGTCTTCACGCAAAGAAGAAAATTGCCCGGTTTCCAGCGGTGATCATGATGAAGCAAGTCATGACAACATTTTCGAGGTAAACTCACCTTTTTGCATTCTAAAGTTCTTGCGATCGAATTTTGAAGACACGCATCTTTCGCATGTCTCTTTCTCGATAATGTTATTGCTTAACTGGTGCATGAAGGACAGAAGCTAAGTTGACTATCAAATAATTTCAATTATTTCAATACGGATTCCCCAAATGGGTCAGTTTCCAAATCGGATGTGCAAAACATTCGATCTCGTGTGAAGAATTTGTATCTGTGTCGTTCATGAATAATTCTTTGACGTAACGGTCAACTTAGAAACGATTTTTATTTCTCATGATAGATCATGCCGATAGATAATATAACTTCAATACAGATAAGATAACTTTAGACTAAAAATTCCCAATCTAGTTGAAGTTTGATGTCTCCACGAAATGTTTGTCATGAATTAATTGAAAAAGGTGATCGTAAATTCATAGGATATGAATTAGTAATAAATCCATTGTTGGTGTGGCTTCAATGTTTTGCTTGAATCCTTTATTCACACGAAAAACACGTGAACTTAAGTTAATATGAGACGTAAATATCACCGAGCCTCCCTTAGACTTATGCATGTAAGAAATTAAGACAGTTGTTTTATTATAAAAACCTACAAGTATTTGTGTAAAGTATGGTGATCTGACTGAGTGTCTTGAAGAAGGTGTTTGGCTTGACTTGAGGTGCATTAGAGGTTCCAGGAGTTAAATATTTTTCAGTGTCCCTTGACCTAGATCATTTTTAGTTTAAAAACTTTAAATCAATGAGGGGTGTCAACAAGAACTTCCTATTCGTGAAATTTGTAGTCTTTCCCCGGTCATTATATTTTCAATAGAATGGAATGAATTTTTAGCTTTGTACCCAGAACCAGAATTTTTTGTGCCAAATATTCTTTGAGTTTCTTTGTCTCTCCTTTTCCTGCAAGGGATTCCTGATCTCTTAGATTAAAGCTGTCTCCTTTAAAACAGCATTAAAATCTACATCTAGATTCAAGTTCTACCCTATCCGTTGATGGTTTGTTTTAAAAATCCTGTTCCAATTTCTATCTGTTATAAGTTCTGATCTCTAATTACTATATTTGAAATGTAATTCTCCAGCTCAGAACTGAGAGAGATGGTTTGGCAGAAGAAGTTGAACAACTAAAAAGAAAACTTGATGAGGCTTACAAAGAAAATGCCACCCTTCATGAAAGGTGAGTATCAGAAGGACTCTCCACATGCCTTTTAAGAGTTTTTAATACTATTTAACCCTTTAACTCCCAAGATCTCAACAGTAATTGTCCTTACCATCTGCCAAACAATTCTCATCATGTTAGTTTGGAGAATTTGGTATTGGATTAGTTAGTAATACCATAATTGATATTTTTTTAATTGTCATCATATGTCTACATGATATTGTACAGATATAGAAAGGAGAAAATCTGTCCTGGTCACTCATGGGAGTTAAAGGGTTAATCTATTTTAAGGTTTTTCCAGAATATGTGATATTTATTTTACTGAAAGCTATTTGTCATGAGATTCAGTATGACTGCTGTTAAAACTGTATCAAGATGCAGAGAGAACTTTGTAGGAGAGAGGTACAGAGGAAAAGGTCTGTGGCTTGTATTAAGCTAAATCAATGGGGTGGGGGGGGGTGGGTGAAACAGGAATCTTCCTACTTTAGATAGGTACTGAATTTCATTACTGGATCGTAAATTGTTTTATTAACGAAATTAATATATTACTAATTTTCAAGCCAATTGAGAACTTGAGATTCATCATATCTTCAGATAATGAACTTAATCACTAATGAAATTATATCTAAATCTGACCTATGCTTAGTTTGCTAAATGGATAATGATAATTGTTCTTATTGACTAACAGATAAATAAAGGAATGATTGAGAAAAATTTTGATTTTTTGTAACCTTTTAAGTGCCTTTTATGTCTGAGTGTTGACAATACTAGACAATGCTTTTAAAAGTTTAATGACTTGTGTAACTAAAAGCTGTACAATTGTAATTGATGGAATATCAGAAGAAGTTTTCAGTACAAGGACAAATTAGTAGATTTCTAACCCTCCATTCCTGGCCAGTCTTGTTACAACAATAGAAAATAAAATTTGTGCTTGCACTAATTCTAACTAAATGCAATAAACTGGAATCAGTTGATTGTGTTGTCTGATCATCTTAAGGAAGGCAGTCCTGGGAAGGACTGTTGTCAGCAGTAATGGCTGATGTTTCGACAATCTAAGCAGTAGTCATCATTCAGGTTACCCAAATGACAGTCAGTGACATTAGCAATAGTCCAGGGGTCTATAGTCAGTTTTATGTGTCTTATTCAGACTCTACCTGTGCACCTAATTTCAAACAAGAGCCAATAATTAACCCTTCAATCCCCAAGAGTGACTCACATCTAATTTCTTCTTGCAACATCACCCCTAAATCAAACACTAAGTTCATGAGAATAAAGGAAATGATCACCAACTAAAGAAGCTCTTGATTGTTTAACAAATTCTCCTTGTCAGAACCCTAAGGAATGTAGGGAGTAGTTTGGAGAATATCCATACTGATATCAGGGAGCCAAGGGTTAAATTAATGATATGTTATGATATGGAAAATGAAACTACACCATCAAACACTGGTTTTCAAACAATTTAGTAATTGAGAATTAAGTCAATAGATTATTTGCCTTTAGATTTTCTGATTGAATGAGAGACAGAACTGTTTAGCTTATAGGTGATTTTTTGGGTACCCTCTTTTGATAAATACAATTAGATGCCCTAACATTGCTATTGATTTTGAAGGTCTGCTCAAGAGTACAAGCACAATTTACAGCTTGTTCATCAGCTGTTACAACAGTAAGAAATCTCTGAAAACCACTTAAAATTGGAGCTACAGAACAGTTACGCATACGTTTTAGGCCATTTGTGGTTAACAATGTGTCTTTCATTTAACCTTGGCTTGTGGTCCTGAGTTATTCTAACTTAGAATTTTTTTTTCTTATGTTGAGACCAAAAGCTAATAACAATAGCTCACCTTTGCTGATAGTGTGAATTTTATGTACTTAAATGTATTGAAATGTAATGAGTGATTAATAAATAATTAGAATAAATTATAAATGTGTTCACCCTAACAGCATTGAAAGGGTGACTGTTTACAGAAAGAGGGTCAATAATTTCTTTTGCACTAATGACATTTGTTTTGTTATGTTTTTCATGTATCTATAGTTAAGATTTGGGTGTTATTAATTGTTTATTCTGATATTTCTGTAAAAGGCTAATTAATTGTTCATGTTGGTTATCATTAATAGCTTTTCTATTTGTTTTGTTTTCATTGAGTAAAAAAAATACACAATCACTAAGTGAACAACAGTTTTTTATCTGTAAGGTGGTGTACCTGATGGAATAATAACTTCTTTTTAACCAAGTACAAGGGCTGTACTGGGGAGTATTGGTGTGAGGTCATGGCAGTTTGAACCAAGCTCAGTATAGTCTGTACAAAGATAACCAAGGGCCAATATTCCCCAGTATGGCTTAAGCAAGCAAGATTACTAAGTAGTTTATTATATGAGACTTGGACCAAACTTGTTTATTCTGAATTTGCTGCTTTTGTGAATTGAAGTACATGGCTAATGAATGTTTCTTTGGAAACAGTCTGCATGGCAAAATTCTGACCAAGTAAGACCAACTAGAATGCTTGGATTTACCTGAGGACTACCTTGCCATTTAATAAATTGTGTATAGTTCATATTTCTTGTCCAGCCCTATGGCATGATCAATACACAGCACCTATTAATAGCTGTGCAGCAACATGTAGCACTCTTAAACATACTCAGTCTGCTAATCACATACTACCCTCTTTTTGTAAACAAGTTCCCTAACTTGTAACTTTGATCAAAGGGATTCTCAATAGTCTCTAACTATACTGATGCATTTAATTTCTTCCATTCAGTGTTTGATGTATTTGTTATTTGATAAAAATATTGCTTGTAAGAGTTGACACTCATTGATTTTCAAATGAAACATAAACTAAAGCTACTCAAAAGAGGGACAGTCCATATATTAGAGATTCAATTTTACCTTTTACCTTGTTGATTTTTTAGAAAATCCTTTTGTTCATCAAATAAGGAAGTGAGCAGCAACCATAGCTGGAACTTGAATGACAAAAATGATTTTGTGCAATTTTTTTATTTTGTTTGATCTTTGCTTTAGTTTCTGTTCACCATGAGATTTTGTTTGAGCTAGAAAACTTGAAGTTATCTGTGATTTCCTTTTTGATAATGATTCATTTTTTTTTCAGGTATTATGCAGTTGGAGAAACAATGGTTTCAACCAAGGAGCAACTAGCAATTGCACAGGAATCTTTAATTGAGGTAGTTGGAGCATTTTTCTTTTGAGTGTCAGAAGCAAAGCAGGATGGCATGGGTGTTGGTTTCCTTCACTCTGTGATCAGTCAGGAAACTTTGCACCACCTTCTAACCGAGCAGATGCAAATCAAAAACAGATCAAGACTTGGTCACTTCCTTTTTTCTGCACTTCAGGCAGCTCAATGGTTTTTAGTTTGAGTTCTCATAGGCTCCTGGTGATATTTTCCTTGGTCCTAATAGGCACTTGAGATTATTATAGACTGCTCTGTCAAAAACTATTTAACCTTTCAATTTCAAAGGATGCAATAAATAATTTTAAAAAATTATGAAAAACAGCAGCCATGACTGACAATAGATAGCCCCATACTTTCCAAGAGTGATCTTTATGAAAATCTCATAATACTATATATTTAAATAGAGGATATGACGCCAAATCTTATATTAAAGGCTAGCCATAGAAATGTAAGGTATTTGTTGGAAGAATTAGTTCGCAGATTATGGGAGTGAAAGAGTTAATTCTCTATGTCCCTTTGCCACATCCTGTCAGCCAGTGTAATTACTTATTGTAAGTAGCTTCTCGTATTTTGCACTTTCTATCCATTTCAGGAGCAGAAGAGAAGCCGTCAATACCAAAAGCAAGTAGAAGACATTAAGAGTCAGATAAACAAGTCTGGCAATAAATCAGCGGTATAGTTTGAACACACATTGACATTTCATTTGTGTAGGGTGATTGTCCTCTTGACTGTGGTTTTTAGGAGGGATGTCTGTAAAGGTCATGAATGACATTTTTAAAATCCAAACCACAGTTGTTCTCATTACCCTGGTGATGACTTCCATTTTTTACTTAACATTTGAACTCCTAGAGCTGATTAACATGTAACTTCTCCTGATAATGTCTATACATTATCCAGCAAACAGGTAGTGAGAGTACTTAAACTTATCATGTAGAAGTTGTCATCTTTATCGATGACTAAATTCTCTTAACTGATTTACAAGGAAATATATGGCAGCTAGAGGAGAGAATGAACAGTCAGGAGTGGTTCAGTTGTTCTTGGCTGTCCACACAATGCCACTATATCCCTTGGGTTTCATGTATTACCACTGAGAGTCCTTCTATATCTCGTTTTGATCTTTTTTACATTCTTTCTGGCTGTTGAGCTGCTAAGCTGGACTGAAATTACATTATGGACACTGATAATTAATTATTTCATGATGATAATGTTGCAGATAAAACTTCTGGAGAAGATTATTCAAAAGGAGACAAAATCACAGGCAAATGGATTAATACAAAAGGTTTCTATTTTGTTTTGATAACTCATGAATACCCACAAAATTTGACCTTACCCTGATGAAGGGCTAAACTCTTATTGGTGGCCAATTTACATTAAATATTTAGTTGATAGATCTAAATCATCAGATTTAAAGTAGTTTGAATGCAGTACATACAGTTTACCTTGACTAATGATTAAGCTGAAATATCCAGTTTTTCTTGTACTGATGGCTACTATAGATCTGTTCTTTATATTCAGTACTTAACCCTTTCAGACAAACATTTCATGGTGCAACTGCTTGATTCTCAGCAAATTGCTTATAGCTCTCAGTTTTCTTTTTAGGATGCTTGTCATTCACTGAGCTTCTATCATAGTTACCAGGAATGGTCATAACTGTTATTTCAGTCTACTGACTGAAAACAATTTGTTGTTGTGCTCTTATTGCAGACCAGATCTGAAAGTTCATCAGATGACTTAATGCTTTCTTGTGCTCTCTGCCATGAAAAAATGAGGTACTGCAATATGTTCTATGAGCACTTTCTAAGAGAATTAAGGATGCTCATCATCTTTGTCCTGGACCTTTGAACTAGAGTGTTATCTATTGCTTAGGATGTATATTATAATTAAGGGATTGTAGAATTCTATGGCTACTGCACAAAATTCCATGACCAGATTTTTTCGGCTGAAGTATTCTGTGGTTTCTTCTTCACCTCTATTACTGAAAATGCAGCTTGCTGAGTAGTTAAGATTTTTTTTATCTGACCTTGCAGGGTGGGTGACCTGGCTTCTCATTCTAAGGTTTGCTCATCAAAAGATACAGACAAACGACCTACAACGTAAGTGTAGAGGGTCATATCTATCAAAAATTAGATTAATTAGCAAGAAAATGAATGTAGTGTATCTACTTATCAGTAGTCATCATTGGAAAGTATCATCAGAAGTAACCTGATAGAGGCTGTCTAGGTTTTATGCAAAAATGGCTGAGCTATACATGTTATTCAGGAGCTTCATTTTAAGATCATTTTCTTTGAGTGGTTTTCATGCGTTTATGATCAATTATGATCTATTATCAATGATTTGATTGGTCCATTTTAGTCCAACAACACCAGGAACAGACATGCTTCGAGTTACAGTGACCTGTTCAGAGACTGATGAGAAAAATACCACCTTTAAAGTGGTAACGAAGGTAAGGAATCTGGATTTATTTCATTGATAGTTGTAGAGGATTACTGACTGACTGCTGCAAGAAGCACAGGTTATTTCTTTGACTCTGTCAACAATGTTGATCAGCAGTATGCAGGAACAAGTGACCAAAAAATATTAAATGATAATTAGGTATGTCATTTTAGAAATTTCCCCATAGTATACATATTTACAAACATTTTTGAGGAGAAAGGTGATGAGGTGAGGGTAAAGCAGTGAGGGATACCTACTGATAAGAAACAATTTTCAGCTCTAAAACTGAAAATGTATGACAATCAAGGCAGAGAGTTGTCTGAGTTACAGATTTTTTTTTTTTTTTTTTTTTTTTTTTGGGGGGGGGGGGATAAAGTAGGGGTCCTAAAGAGAGATTTTAACAATTCATCTTCAATTGTTATAATAATTAAAATTTACATTAAAATATTTTCATAATGACGATGTATTTGCAGACTACTCATGAGGACTATAAGTTCTCTGACTATGAGGTTTATCGCAGTGAAGGTGATTTTGAATGGCTTCAGTCAGCACTGGAGGAAGCTTGTCCAGAGAGAATAGTACCTCCAATGGTGTCACATTCATCGTTACATGGTAAATGACAATATTGGGTCTAGTATACAATTTTCAATCATGGTCAAATATCTTACTAGTACATCCAACCATATGCTGTGTGAGAGTTTAAGGTGGGTGAATTGCAAAAACCAGCAGCAAAGCTACAAGAGGAATAGGCAAGAGAAATTGAGAAACAAACTGCTGGAATTTCAGGGAGTTTCAGTTTTATCCTCACATTAGCAAATGCTAAATTCCCATTCAGTTGAGAACTTGTACATCAATCAATTGTTTTTGTAACACCCCCCCCCCCAGGCTTACATGAAGTTTAACTAATAGTAACTGATATTAGAGATGATATGAAAGATGTAGACTAAAGTGAGGATTGGAGAAATTTGGAACTGTGAAAATTTTTTTCATATTAAAGATTAAAACGCATTTGCTACTGTCAAACAAGGGCCAGTGGTTTATGAAATGGTAAAATGTGCAATACAGATGGCTGGGTTAGGTTGATTGATTTAGTCAGTGCATTCTAGAATGCATTGTGAATAGTGATTTCTCTCTTATGTGGTTTGAATCTGTTATTTCTGTCTTGAGATTCACATCGAGAAATCAGAATTTTGTTGCATTTTGAGGCCATCCTCACTTAATAACTCTCTGAATTGTTAATTTTAGGAAAAATGAGAGAGGGTCAAAGATTTCTGTCACGAATTTGTGCCCATAAGGTAAGAAAATTTATATACAAACTGTATGTTTTTTGTAGAAATTAACACAGAAAAAAGGGGTCTTCTCTTTAACACTATGTCCATTTTTCTTTCCAGATTTTGAGAAAACATCATCTTCTGAACCTGTTTTTAACTGGTGAGGGTCAGGTAAGACAAATGTTTTGAAATTCATTTTTCTAAAGCAGGTCATTGTTAGAGAGTCAGTCCCTTATTGTTTAGAATACTTCCCTGCATATCATAAGGTTCAGGTTAGAGTCTTGGCAGCTCATAAGTGTTGTTAGTTAGACAAGATACTGTTGCACTTCATGTGCTTTTCTCCTCTCTGGAGTACAAGTGGGAAACAGCAAACTGTTAGAGGTAACATTGACTAAATGTGGGTGAATAATGTGAATGTTGGACTTGCATTCCAACCAGGAGAAGTAGGAATATCTTCAGTTGCCACATGCTTCAGAAAAAGACATCACACATGTACAGTGTATGACCCAATGTCACAGGGCATAATTTTTTAGTATGTCTTTTCTGAACAAGTTTATGCCGGTATTAAATGTTCAGAAACTCTTTCCCAGTTGATGATGATGTTTTATAAATCACTTTCAGGATGTACAGAAAGCAAGAGAGGAATTAGATAAGAAAAAGAGAAAAGTCAACAATGTGGCTGAGAAGACTTTGAAACAGGAACCATGTGACCAGAATGCTCCTGTGATCAAATGTCAGGTTGTTATAATTTTATGAGTAATTATTTATCCAGTAAATTATTAGTCAAAATTCAATCAATTACTAAATCAGAATCGGAACTAATTCTGTTTGATAATGAAACAGATTGATGCAAGTAGCTTCATAGCTGTGTTGTTTTATAAAGAGTCATTATTGACAGAAGAATATACAATCCTAGACCCTTTTGATCAGAGGTCATGAAAAATTTCAAAATGTTATTGGTAAAGGTAATGGAAGTCATTGAAATTTCTAACTTCAAAATAGTGCAAGCCTTGTTAATGTCTCCAAGACCCTGTTTCTGGTCTGATTAGAGATGCCTCCTGTATTTGGAAGAATATTGAGAACTTAATGTGTTGTATAAATACAAATCTGAGCTTCAATGTCGTTGTATTAATTTTCACAATAGAGATACTTGGAAAAGTTTGCAGAAAATCTTGATGGTTTGATCACACACCTTGAGGATAGTCTAAACAAGAACACAGTAGGTATGAATATAGAATTGATCCTTGCAGTTATGAACACTACTGAACTAATAGTTGAAATAAGGCCTGAAAAAAGCTCAGGCCCATACGGGATGTGAACCCATGACCTCTGTGATACTGGTGCAGTGCTCTACCAACTGGGCTAACAACCCAGGTCAGAGCTGGTCTTTATGTTGGATCCAAATAAACCTTCGAAGTGGTGAATAATGGCTGTAAACATATGAAAATCATATGTGTGCACTGTGGTTGAAGAAACAAATATAGAATTGATCCTTGCAGTCACTGCTGAACTAGTTGTCGAAATAAGGCCTGAAAAAAATTCAGGCTTGTACGGGATTTGAACCCATGAGAACAACATTTAGCCACTATCCTCAAATGTTGTCAACCCTTTCACTTCCAAGATCTCATTTATTTAGTAATTCTCCTAACTGTACATCATGCAATTCTTGTGATACCAATACCAATTTCTTGAGAATTTGGTATTGGATCAGCAGCTAATCCCCTATTGAAATTTTTCTTTATTCTCATCACTTGTCTGCTTGATATTGTACTGATACTGTGTGGAGAAATTCTGTCTTGGTCACTCATGGGAGTTAAAGGATTTAATGCTGCATCTTGTGAAACTCTGCCCTCACTGATATTTTTTGTAAATGTTCTTCATTTTTAGATGGCCCTGGGGTTTGGTTTAAATCTTTGGCAGAATTTGAACCTGCAGAAACATATTTAAAGGTACTATTATCATTATTGTCAGTAAACTCAATCAGTGAGAGAAATAATTGAATGTTATTCAAATTCTTGAGTTATTCTGAATTTCTTCATATTAGACTTTAAATATGATGAAGTTTAGACTTTGTCAAAATTATAATTACTGTGAGCTAATTTCTGAATAACCTTAGTTTGCTCTTACTTTATTTTCCAGGTTGCTACTGAGGCTCTCAGTAAAATCTGCATTGAATTGGAGAATAACAGAGTGAGTGGAAAATAAAGGAATTATATTTTCTTAGAATTGATGCTGTTCCTTATCCTGGATTGATCAATGACTGATGCTATGAATCAGTGAATGAAGAAATGAACGGCTGAATGACTGATTGATGGACTGAGGACTGGTTTTTTATTTCCCTTTTGTGACTGGATGTTTGATGTCTTAGCTGATGGCTTATTTGTCCCCAAGGGGGATTGTGGAAATGAAGTGTTGTCCAACAAGATATGAATGTATAACAGAGTATCTGTAGAGGGTACTAACTGATTTGTTTATAACTCTGACTAGGAAACTGCAGAAGAAAAACTGATTGTAAATGACCTGAGGAGTGTTCACCATTATGTCAAGAGTGCTGAGGTGTGTGTGTATTTCATTTCTGAATCAGTTTCCACACTTTTCCACTTGTATTTTCATGAGCCTCAGGCAGTTTACTTTTTTCATGTTGAGTTTCCACAAGCTTTATGTCTTATTTCCTTCTCTCTAAGTGCCTGTTATGATAACTTAACTTGTGGTTTTTACAACACTGAGCCAAAAAGAACTCATGACATATGATCACATTACTGTGTAACTACCACCAAATAAATTTTTTTTCACTGTTGCTTTTTACTTGAGGTTAGGCTTAGAATCCTAATTCATGCAGGCAGTAAAGGGGTTAAGAGGCTCTTAATTGTTAAAAAATTTATCCTTGTCAGAACTGCAGAAAGTGCACAGAGATGGAGAATATTGAGTATGGGGAATATTGATACTGATGTAAGGGTGTAATTGGATGAATTGATTTCATGGATCTTATGCACCCTTGTGACTCATGATATGACTGCTAACCCAGTTCTGTATTGACTGAAAACCAGCTAGGCCCAATTATTGTTATTGATAAGTTGTTTGATATCATTGTGTTAAGGTCCTTCTTCAAAGAGTGCAGACTGCTGTTGAGATGTTTTTACATTGGGATAAAGAAGTCAGAAATTATGAGCAGATGAAGGTAGGTGGTGAATAGCTAAATTTTTCTTAAGGGAAGCTTCTTCTGTTGGATCAAGTTGTTCTCAACCCGACAAAAATGTCTTGTGATTTGACAGTTGTCAGAACAAATGGGAAACAACCACCAGAATGAATGATAATGGTAGACAACAAAAACAAGAAATATTTGAATCTAGCGATTGTTTGACAACATGGGTTGCAACTATTATCTCAAACAATAGTTCTTTTGTTTACCAAAGTCCACAACAAATAATGGCTACATGTACAAAAAATTTCACCTGAAAATGGATGATATTTGGTTCAAATTTGTCTCACTGTAAATGTCTTACTCCCATTCATGCTAACAAAAATATTAGCTTGAAAAATCTTTTTTGGTAAATTAATGACAATTTATTGCATGAGTGGAGGTTTCCTTAAAGAATTTATGTATCAATAAAAATCTACTGTCATCGTGCAAAATTACACCCTAACTAAACAAATTTCTACCAATTCCAACTTTGTGTGGTTGGTTTACCAGTTAATTCACTTAGTTCTTGTTAAAAGACAGTCAGTATTCATATTTGTTTGCTTTACATCAGAATCCTGGTTCAGATGAGGACAACCCTGATCATGCCAGTCAGACACAGAAATGGGCAGAGGTAAAACAACTGTTGCAAGCTGCATGTAAATAGTTTTTTAGAGAATACTGGCAACAATGGATGGATATTATTTGTTTTATTTATTTATTTATTTCATTATTTTTACAAGATGAATTCAAGAGCTCATTACATTTGCTGCTGAGTCATAAAATAGCAAAGAAACATTTACACAAATCTTGATAATATTAACGTAAATATTTGTAAGTATACTCATTGCTTTCTGATCATTTTGTTTTTTTTTTAGTCTTGATATAATATTTTCCAACATTTTCAGGCAAACTCAAACTGTGCAGATGCTAAAACAAACCTTGAGTTTCTTTGTAAAGACTTGTCTTCTGAGCTTGCTCACTTTGATTGGCGGAAAGAAGTAGAACTTCGGGAGATATTGATTGAATACTCAGAACTCAGATCAGAGCACTTTGAGAAGGTACAGTTCTTCAAAACTAGAGATTTCATAAATTATGCAATTTCTTGTGTGAGATTTGCAATTTTAAAGTTTTTTTGGTAAATTCAACTCCTACATACCTATTCGCTGATTTGTTATAACCATTTCTTAGGTTATTTCCTCTCAATTCCCAAGCTATTCCATAGCATCCAAGATGTTTTCACCCAGTTATGGTCCAAACCTCAGACAATGTGAAAATGACATTTGGATGTATTTTTCCTAGTGTATTTCCTAGGAACAAGTTGGCAGCTACTTATGTGGGTTTCATTTCTAGTTTCTTTTCCCCTGGGCTTAGTCTTCATTCATCCCTACTCACAGTTCCCCAGTATTTTATGTCTAGAAAGAAATACCTCCTCTATCCCACCCAGGGTTAGGATAAGAGGCAATTGTGAGAGGTTTTTCTCCTTGTAACACTCCCAAGTCTTTTTTTAAGGATGCATCATCCCAGAGAGCTGAGTCAAGATGGAAGTGAACCTCATTATTTCATATTTTTCTTTTTTAGGTCCAGAGCAAATGGTTTGGAGTGAAACTAATGGTGGAGGCACCCATAGCACCTGAAGTTAGGGCAATTAAATGTGTGGAAGATTCCTGATGAATAAAGTTAAAGGCAGTTAAGTTTCTCAGTTTATAACCAAATTCACAAGATTTAGTTGGAACTCATTCCTTAAATAATTGGCCTCACTACTTGAAAATTAGTTACTCTAGCTATGCTTTTAGATAATTAAGCAGTATAATAAATTTTTATTAGAATCTCTCAGCTTGTAAGTTTGCAGTTACAATTAAGAGTTGTCCAACATTGTGTCATAGGGAAAAGTATAGTTTACTGGTAAATATTATGATTAAAAGCTCTTATATTTAACATATGGAGCGGTGATGTTAACAGATAACACAAAGATTTGAAAAATATAAGTTCAGCAAAGTAAATGACAAAGGTTTTACACATAATTTAAATGAAAGAAATAATTACTGATTGAATAATATATTGCACTTATTATAGTAATAACTATTATGGTTATTTTAGTTAGGAGCCTAGCTACTTACATGGGTCAAAGACTGCATCAATCCACAGTAGACCCAATTGTAGTTCCTTCTTATGCACAAAAATTTGCCCACTTTGCGAAAAAGTTCACAGATATTATTTCTCATACAAATGACAGAGTAAATGAATCAAAAGAAGCTTTGAAAGGAGAGACAAAGCAGCATTCTAATGTAAATATATTTTAAGATAAAATTACTACCTAATGAAATGACCAGAGAAGGGAATTAAAATTATTAACTCATGAAATTTGTACTTAAAAGGTCATGGGCACATTCAATGTCAACAAATGAGATTCTATGCATGCTCTTTTACAAGCAACTTTGAAGCCTGTGTTATGTTGGATCATGGATTAGGAAAGGAGATATTCAAGGAGAAGGTTTCTTTTCAACAGAAAAGATATTTCAAATTGCTTTTAATGTCACTGTACAGTTTCTCTTATGTATGAAATTATTAAATTTATATTTAATTTTATATGTTTGTATCAACACCTTTGATTTGAGTGTAACCCATCATTTGACTAGAACTAAATTTAATTAGCATTACAGGTAATTATCTCTTGGTACTTTTGTAATTTTTTGTTTTTAGAAAAGTAAAATTTTAATATAATGACTATGAATCAAATTTTAAGTTTTAAAAATTTTTAGGAACTTTTTGCTTCCAGGTAGTATTCCATCTTCAACTACAGTTATAAAAAGTTATACATGAGAAACTGTTTGCAGCTTAGTCTTTTTTTTATGCTTTTTAGCATTTATTTCCTGCTACCATTAGTCACTCAACCTCCCCACTGAAAATTCCATGATCTAAGGGTAACAAAGTGTATGAAATTATACAAGAAGAGAGAAGCATTATTAATATTGCCCTAATGGATCTTTTATTGGCTGAGTTATAGTAGTTTCAATGGAAAAAGTATTCATAAAAGATATTATTTTGTGAATAACAAGTAGAATAGGAAGTATATTCTTCTGTAGTCACCAAAATTTGTGGTTTTATTGAGTTTCATAGGAAAAAAATAAAGTAAGGTGAAAAACCACAACATGTTTGATTACTTTCTGTAAAGTTGCTGGTTTGAATCTTGGAGTATCAGTTGAGTTGCGTTGTATACTCCTTCAGGAGCAAGCAGTCCTGAAAAGGACTGTTGTCAGTGATAATGACTGACTCTTTTAACAAAATGAGGGGAAGAGTTTGTCAGATCAAAGCCAAAAGTTGTATATCATCTTAGAACTGACATGGTAAAGGTATTATCAGAGAGAGTGACTCAAAGCAGGTTTGTTCATCAATGGGGGCCATGGAAATAGATGGGAACTCCAGATTTAAAATCTTTAGCACCCCCCCCCCCATTTTTCCCTGATATGACGCATAAGCTTTAGATAATGGTCCATTACCCTCAACCAACTGGAATTGGTAATATTTTTGTCAAAGTTTGCATAAGAGTAATTTCCTGTTGAGTAGTTGGTTGTAATCTGGGGATAGCATGGTGTTACTCAACTTCACTTTGTAATCTGCCATTGTGCTTAATTTCCTTTTGGCCTTAAAATGAATTAAAATCAAAAGCCTGTAACTGTTTAATTCCAGTGAGTGACCAAGACAATTTCTCCTTACAATATCAAGACAATATTAATACAATATCAATACAATATCAATACAATATCAATACAATATCAATACAATATCAATACAATATCAAGACAATATCAATACAATATCAAGACAATATCAATACAATATCAATACAATATCAATACAATATCAATACAATATCAAGTAGACAAGTGATAAAAACAAAGAAAAACATCAGTTAGCAAATGGTTAGTTGATCTAATGCTAAATTTGCTAAACTAACTTCATAAGTATTGTATGGCAAACAGTAAGGAGAGTTACTTAGTTGATCTGGGAGTGAAAAGGTTAAGGTGGATCCTGTTGGTTGGGTAGCCTATTTCTAGGCACAACAACTGAACTTATTACATTTATTTAGACTAATTAAAAATACTATGAACATTTAGCTTCTTTTAATCAAGTAGGCAGAAAGATAAGTAGGTAAAAAAATTGTAATTGTTTCAAACTATATACAGAATGCATCATTCGTTGTACCAATCATCTTTCTGATGGATCAAAGTTTATCAAAATATAATAGTTTACAGTGAATATTAACCAGAGGGTTTATCATCAGGACAATACTGGATTTAAATGTTCATTTTTGATGTAGCACATGAGATTGAGGTCTGTGAGTTTTGTCAAAGCAATATTGTTCCAACCACTATTTGCAGCAGGGCTTGCTGGACTGGGATGCATGATTGAATATATTTCAACATTACTGTCTTTTAAAGCCTTCTGAGCTCTTTCCTCTGCAAATTTCCCAACACCAACAACAATTTTTACTCCCATCAACTTTACAACATCTGCCAGAGATTTATCACAGAGCTCCAATAAAGTCTCTCTCTCTTTCTTGGGCAGCTGAGGAGGTGTAACATTCTTACCACTTGATTTCATAAACACCAGTGGGCAATAATTGTGAATGAAACAATTGGCAAAAAATGTCTCTGGTGATTTGCAGTGTTCTTGAAAGAAACCCCAAAGTCGGCTACCACTGACTTCTGCTCTTGTGCAGTCAAGTCCATGTATAAGTCTTTTAGGATGCTCTTGAACTGGTTTCTCCACACTACCTTTTATTTTAAGCCAGTCTACGACATGTTTGGTATCTCCAAAAGGTACCTAACAAATAAACAGGAGTTAATGAAAGCAAAATAATTTCAACAATCTTTTTAGCTGTTTATCACTCTGCACAATACTCTTTTGATATCAAATAAATGACCTTTTCCTTTATTTGTTGAAGACAAACTTTTACAGAGTATTCAACATTTTCTTGTCATCAAAACACCTTTATCACAAGAATGATTATTTAAAGATAGCAAGGACAAAGATGAATTAAAAGACCTTGATATTGAAGGAGGTTGACATGTTAAATTTAAGGCTAATCTGCATATGAAAAGCATCTCTCTTACAATGCAGTTTTATAAGATTGACTTCCTTGTTGAGGAGATCCTAAAGTCTTTCTTTGATGCGTTAAGTTAATTTGTTAAACTTTATTACATCTACTTGCTTCTCCTTGCAATATTATACTTGAAATATGATTGATTTGTTGGTTTCCAGTACAAGTTACCAGTCTCCTTTATTTAACTCCAGGAAAGATCTTAAAAACCTTCAATTCTCGTCAACACAGGTGTTGAGAAAATAGACTTGCCAGCTAGAGGAAGTTATGTATCAAACATTCTCGTAAATATTTTATGCAGCTCGAATGGAGAATTGCTCAACAGATGTCTATCACGATAAAATATTGCATGCGGAGATTCCAGACCTTTAGGGGAGCTTTGCTCTGGGAACAGGCTTGTTGATCAAATTTCGGCTTCATAGAATATATTTCACGGGAAAAGTGCTGCACTTACTAGTTAACAGACGAGTTACTCATCATACAAGCTTACCCCGTTCTGAGCCATTCCAAACGGACCAGGATTCATTCCCAAAAAGAGCACTTTTTGCCCAGCTTTGCAGTACTTCTTGACATAATCTTCATGTGTTTCTCTGGCATATTCAAGCGGGTTATACACATGCGTTATTGGAGAAGAAAACACTAGCGGCGATAGTTTTTTACAAAGGTCATCTTCAAGTTTCAAAAATTCGTCACAAAATTCTTCTTCAGCATTCACTTTCCTCCTCTTCAAAGGAACAATCAAGGCAGAAGCCGCCATGTTTGTTTTTGTTGTAAATAATTCCAAATTAGGAGGATTGATTGTTACAATTTAGACACGTGGTCCCATCAATTAGTGTTACTTCCATCCGCCATTTTCTTGGAACTCATCGGGAGAGAGTAAAAAAGTTAAGAAAATCATGTCTTCTTCAGAACCTGAGCAGCTGCGAAAAATTTTCGTCGGTGGTCTAAATCGTCGAACAACAGAAGAAAGTTTGAAGGAGTATTTTTCAGCGTGGGGGAACATCGTAGACTGTGTTATTATGCGTGAAGGCAAAAATGGGCCTTCGCGTGGATTCGGATTTGTCACGTTCGATAACGCTCAAGCTGTTGACGATTGTTTGAAAGTGAAAAATCACGAGCTGGATAACTGGGAAATTGAACCAAAACGGTCGGTTCCCAAGGGCGAAGCTCAGTCGAGGACACGAAAGATTTTTGTCGGTGGGTTGGCAAGCACGGCCACAGAGGAAGATGTGGAAGAATATTTCACTGGCTTGTGTGAAAAATTCGGCAAGGGAAAAATATTGGATATCGACCTCAAAAGAGATAAAGAAAATCCCAGCCGGCTCCGTGGCTTTGCATTCGTCACTTTCGACAATGAAGAAGTGGTTGAGAGCATTTGTTCGATCAGTTTTCATCAAATAAAGCTTAAGCAGTGTGAAGTTAAGAAGGCAGAATCTCAAGCCACCATGAGGAAGAAGGAGGAACAAGAGTTAAAGGAGTCACGGCGCTCAAACGGAGCACTGAATACTCCGAGCTCTGAAGGTCAGGCATAGTTCTTTATAAAAGGAACTCTCCGTTGAAATATGTAAAGATAATCTTTTTAAAAATTTTCGAAACTGAAGATAAGTTTAAGCCTCTTACTATTTAGGATTGTAGATGATGACACCACAAACCACCCCACCCCTTCCCAATTGGTAGTCACCATTTTCACACCTAACCTTTTACACCTTAAAATCAGCATGCATATTCTCTATACTGTTCTCTGTACACTTCCTTTGGTAACGATGAGGAGAATTTGTCTATCCATCAAGAGCTTCTTACATTTAAGTTGATGACCATTTCCTTTTTTCTCATGACCTTAATGTTCGATTCAAGTGTGATATTGTAAGGAGAAATTAGATGCTGGTCAGTCCTAAGGGTTAAGTATAAAAACTGTCTTTCAGTGATGCTCAACATAAATTGGCAAAGAACTTCACTCACACATATGACCTCAAAATTCATCTACAACAAGTTACTGGCCAATGCTCTCCTGTGTGCTGAACTCAAATCTGTGTTGACAGTTTTAATTTTTGTTTATTGGAAAAAGGTTTCCCAGGTTGGGGCTCCAGTGGTGGAAGTTTCAATGCAATGAATTCTGGATATGGAGGCTCTGGTGGAAGAGGTGACCACATTTCTAAGAATGAAACATTTTGACCCTTTTGGAGAATCAAACACCGTCAGATTTCGTATTTTGTAAATACATGCTTCAAGTAGGTCTTGATACACAATAGTTGATTGGTCTCCCTTTAACAGTGTTTGGACTATTTTCTCTCAAATCCTTGTCCAGAGCACAAGCAAAATGAGAACCAGAAGCAAATTGACAAATGTGGGTGCAAACTGGTTGAAGAGGGAAAGGGTGAGAGAAATGAGATGGTCTACAGGTCTAAATTTTGCACAATTCTTAAACAGTTAAGTTATTCTTGGGCAAAATTGAAATAGATATTTCAGCTGTAATCAGGTGCACTGTAGTTTTGCTGTGAATAAACCTGACTTTGCATTATATTTTCAATTAATAAGATAAATAGTGTATTTTTATCATTATCATTAATTGTTGTTGGATTTTTTTTCCCCAGGGAATTTTGGAGGTCCTGTCAGCAGTGGAGGTGGTAATGGCAGCGGGTTTGGGACTGGTGGGATGCCTGGCACTGGTAGCATGGGTGGTTTTGGGGCTGGTGGGTTTGGTAATCCTGCAGCAGCAGCTGCTGCATTAATGAGTGGATTCAATCCAGCAGCTTTTGGTGGATTTGGTCCTGGTGCAATGGGTAACTTTGGTCCTGGTTTTGGGTTCAATGGTATGGGATTTGGTGGTTTTGGGCCAGGCTTTTTTGGTGGTTTTGGAGGGTTTGGCCCAGGCAGTTTTGGAGGGGGTGGTCAAGGAGGAGGAGGAGGAGGTGGTGGTGGTGGGACAGGAGGTTTTGGAGCTGGAAGTGGGTATGGTGCTGGGAGTGGTGCAAGTTATGGTGGTGGGGGAGCCTCTGGAAGAGGTCATTCTCATAGTAGTTCTAGCAACTATGACAAAGATAATTACAATGAAGTTCCTTATGGTATGGGAGATGTTAAGGGCAGCATGGCCGGGGAGCGCAATGTCTCCTCAGCTATGGCAGGCTCTAGCGGTACTGGTGGAAGTTCTGGTGGTGGATATGAAGGGATGAACAACCCAATGGCTTCTGCTTATGGCAGCTATCCTGGATTTGGCTTTGGAGGCTTTCCCTCCATGGGTGATTGGAATCAGTTTGCTGCAGCTGCTGCTGCTGCAGGTGGTGGGGTTGGGGGATCAGGAGGAGGGCCTGGTGATTATCAGATGGGGAACTATGGTCAGATGAATTCCAGCTATGGTCCGGCCAATCGTATGAATAGTCGTGGTGCAAATGGAGGTGACAAAAATAATCGAGGATTCAGACCTTACTGAGGTAAGATCATATACATTGTGTCGTATCTTTTGTTTAATTTTGAACCATTCTCAACTTCATCTATGGTTGTGCTTCATTTCATGAAAGTTACTAAATTTAATGTCATGAAATAATATTTTGCAATTTATTCGCCTAAGCATGAATCAAAGTTGTCATCAGAAAAATGAAGGTTTCTTTTTTTTCAAAGAGGTTTCTTAGACAGAAAGATCAATGTCATCCAAAGGTCAACATCATCCAAATTTTAACAACATAGTTCCACCAATATAAATTAGGAACTACAGACACAATTAAGTATTGTTTCTCGAAAATAGGATCTCTAACTTGATTCTGTTCAAAAAAAATGTTATCATTTACATGCCTCTTTAGTATCAAAATACATGAAAGTCCTGATACTTCAGATTTACACTGATGATTCATCTGGTACAGAACAAATAAGTTATGAAAATGTCCTTTTACTTACAATTTGAAATGATTCATTCCAGGAATAGAAGAGTACAGTGAGTATTTGTTGTTTTGTAGTGTTGTTTTTATATGCAGTTATTTATTTGGCTGTTAAGTTTTAGCTACATTTTGTTGCTGTCTTTCCTGTCACAAGGTGTGATAGGTAATTTTTAATATTTTTGTTATATGTTTAATTTTATTCCTGCATCTGTTTAAAATGTTCCTGATGATTCCATGAGTTTTTTATTCGAAGTAACCATAAATGATACTATACTATGAAATAGTAATTTTATTAGGAACATTTCTAATATTTGATATTACAATTTTTTAATTATTTGTGAATTCTTTGAGCCATCAGATCTAGAGGCATTAGCATATGCTGGACAACTCTTACTTACACTCACTAACACTGTGTACTTTTAATGCAGGTTAATTGTAGCTGCAGTGAGTGACAGACAGTTACAGCAAGAGAACTGAACACATTTGAAACAACAGAGTAGACAGGCATTCACAGCCACTGCATCTTATTCAGAAGCTTGGAAGTGTGTAGTGTACAAAGAATAGGGAAGCTGCTGCTGTAGACTTGAGATGTAGAAAATAACACATATAGAAACAGATCGACATTAACTCATAAAGTTGGTAAAAGTAACATTTTAGTAAGATGGACTTTGAATTGAATCATAGCCGCAGAGTGATGTTAGCAAACAGCAGAAATATGTACTTACACAGTCAAAACAATCATTCTTAGCACAGTTCATCACTTCTTGATCAATTGTTTGAGATATTTTGCTAGTGAATTGTAACAGCCCATCAGATTTACTCTAGCTCTTTGCATGAGATTTCCTAGTCTAGTTATAAATCAAGAAAATATCTTAAATCTCCTAAATTAGCATAAATTCAGAAATTTGTTGTCTTGCAACAAATTTGTGAAATTTTCTATTTTAGATTAGTTTCCATCTGCTCATTTGGTGTAAACAGTCAAAGGTGTGGTAGATTCATGGAAAAAAACCTACTCTTGTTGCATAGAGCAATTGATTTTTTGTAGTATTGTTGCAGTATTATTTACTGACATTTAGATCTCAGCTGTATAGGAAAGGGTAGTAAGTATTAGTTGTAAATGACTTGGTAGTTATCTAATGGGGGCCAATGAGGAGAATGTAGATAATATGCAATTGGTTTGTGTTGACATTGGCACCTTAATAAACCTAATACTCCATTTTAGAATAGTAATGATAACTAGCAGATTGAAATAGTTAGCAAACTTGTATTGAAAACCATAGAGACATCTTGAATTAGTGACTTCTATTAAGGACATAAAAATTGGTTCAGATTGTGGTTTTGTAAACCTGGTAGTTAATAACATTTATATTGGGTAGTAGACTTGTCTACACTATAGGGAGTCATGTGTCTCAATTCTTAGTTTTGTCATTGTCAGAGCTGTGTATAAAACTGTTTTCCTTAAACACATTTAAATAAGAAAAGAACAGAAAGACAGGAGCTTATAATTTTTAATTTAACTGCTGTAGGCTGACAGCCTTTGTTTTGAGTTGAATGTGTTAGGAAATTTATGAAGGTCTAATGAAGAACAAGCTAGCAATTGTGGGGAAACAATCTCCCATGAGATGGGGGATTATAGTAACTTGAGGAAGTTATATCGTAGCCAGGATATTAGATTGCATTTGACTGTTTGACTGTCTACCCCTAGAGGAGAGGTCTGATTACTATGCTTCAGTGTAATCCCACTCCAGTTCAGTTGTAACAAATCATCCCAATTTTGTCTAGGAAAGTTATCAATCTTTTTTGTGGGGACAAAAATTGACTCCAGGCTTAGAACTATTCTCAGAGAGGTCACATAGACCAGAGACACATAAATTTGGTCACCTGAATATCATCTCGTGATAAATCAGTGAAGTGGAATCTCTTCCCAACCCTAAAACACTAATATCATCATCTGTGCCTTTAAAAACTCGACTTGCCTTTTTAAGAAAAAAAATGAAATTTTCTGTAGGATTAAAAAAATTAAAATGAAAAACAAGCTGGTAAGTTTCTCTCCTAACATGTAAGTTGTATTTGATGAGAAATAAAGTTGTTTCTTTGCAAATTTCTTGCATTTTTATTGTATAGAATTGTGTTTTTGCCACTCCTTTTTCCTTTTCGCTTCGAATGGTATAGGCTTACAGCGGGTGCTGGAAACAGGTACCGGAAAGTATCATCAAGGCAAACATTTCAATTGTGTGGTCTTTTAAAAGCTTATTCACAACTTTCGGTGTGAAGCCATTCTTGTTCGAGTTTCTCCAGCTCGTGTCTTGAATTATAGTTAAGAATTTCGTACCCAGGTATCCTACGAATGAAGTCTTTGAGGTTTAATAGACCGAGAGAGGTCATGATTTTAACTTCCATCTCATCCTCAGAGGTTCTCCACATGACTCCCATTGCTCTCGGGAAGTTATTTCGTTGCTACATCCAATTTATTTAAGACTGAAATAACTCTCAGTGCGCAACACATTTGACGTAACACACACCCTTTCGGGTAGTGTATCCTAGGTCCCTTTCCCGCCCCCCAGTTAACACGTGACATTGTTAGAAATACCTTTTTCTATCTTCTAAAGTATAACCATGGTTTCCTCAGTCCGTGGGTCTATATTGATCCCCCGAGACAAACCTTAGACATTAGCAGGTGGCCGTCACGGGCTAGTGGTGCCTTTGGATGAATTTAGACAGGAGTAAAAGTATCCAGGATTTATCATTATTTAAATAGTGCCTGCTGGGGTGAAATTTTGAAGGAGGGGGTAAACCGCGCCCACCTAATGATCATCACACAACACAAGAATACCTTGCGGTCCGTACATCGCTATACCCAGTGTTTTTACAGTGAGAGTTGACATCTGACATTTGATGCCTTTAGTTTATCGTTCTATACATAAGGCAAATTTTCAATATCTGTACTGCATTAATAGTGAGCAGTCGTGTTTTATACAGATTACACGGCCCGGTAGGGTATCCTAAAGACATCAGATTTAGTCTGGTGTTTGTAACAATTTATTCTTCGCAGTCATCATCAACTCCTGTAGAACACGACGATTTTGTGTCTCGACTGAAACACCATAACACAGGTTAAAGGTACGTCATAATCAGCATACATTATTTTCTTAGAGTGGGCGTTAAGAGACAACTATGATAACTCTACCCCAGGAGATACCTTTATCTTATCAAAACGAGAAAGCGCAAGTATAAAACACCGCGTTCCGCAAGGTAATCCGATGTTAGCGGGGGGAGAGGAGAGGGGAAGGGAAATTGTAGGTGAAACGGATGGTGACCAAGTAACATTGTGTATTACCGTGAAACAAATTCAAAAAAGAGAAAAAGAGAGACGTTAGATGTCAGTGTAGTCCGGTGCAATCTTAAAATCTTTTACCTTCTATACAACGTTAGATAAGATCGGGGACAGCTATCCCTACCTGGTAGGTAATTCCCACACCCCTCCCCCCCCTTCCCCGCCTGAATGCGTTCAAAAATGGGCGGATAGCCTATCCAAGATTGTTCCAGAATGGTGAAAGATTTCTGCACAGATGACCTTTCGACACTTTAGGGACGAAACGATCATACTGCCATGGAATAATAAACATCCTGCGAGGTAACCGTAATTCATATCAGAATTCGCTGTCAAGCTTTCACAGGCAAGGTAAGCAAAGAAGATCGTGAACTCTACAGATGTCTGTCAATATTTTAAATTGACTGTTATAATGACTCAGTAAAACACTGAGGAGATATTTGAGTGGCACGTTTTCAAGCTTAGCAGATCAAGCTCATATAGTATACAGGTAACGGCTGACAGATTCTTAGAGGTAAGTAAGAAAGTCAATTGCTTCCCAGATCTGTTATGCTAGCAGATCTTTGTTTCGTACTTTGCGGTCAGCGATGGAATCTTCCATTACAGAGAAACCACCAACAGAGGTTTCCTTACACATGACTTGATAGATGCTGAACAGAAATTTCATAACAAGTTTTGGAATGCTGTCAAACTGGCAGTGTCACGAAAGATCTGATTTTGTTGTCATGACATAAACTCAACTCCAAACTAGCTCTTGGAAGCTGAGATCCAAAATAGTCCCAAAATATCATAAAAAAATATCAACCATTCTAATAGAGTGTTTGTTTACGAAAAAAAAATCGATAAATGAAATAAAAACACATCACTTCTCTAGACTTTTAAGGACCCTGTTTCTCTTTTGAAGCAGACACTCGGTCTACCGGAAAAATTGGTAGTTAAGTCCCCTTCTGGTCTCCGAAAGTGGACGCTGTTGTAAAACCAATCACCATTTCTCTGAGCGGGTTTCAGCAGACTGTTTCGGATCCGTCAGACAATTTACCCGGCTCCGGCATAAAGAACAGATTTCTATCTACCTTGCTCTCGTAATGCATAGCAAAAATTGTTACTACTAATTTAAGATACCAATCATTGAAAAATTAAACGCCTTTTCAAGAAACGTCTTCATTTTGACAGAGAGGCTCAAAAGAGCACATTGTGTACTCCATTAAAGCGTAATTGGATGAGAGACATACGTCAGAGCGCAGCGAGAAGTTTAAGGCCCCCAAGCGAGTTTCTTTTTCTGTCTTTGAGTTGTTTGTTTCTGTTTCTTCATGTTTTGTTTGGTTAGCCTCTTTTTGTTAAAGTGACAAAGATGGCAAGGCTTTCTGGCGCCTGTATCAATTGTCGCTTTAAATCCTTAAAGAAGGTCTTACACATTTTTTCCTGTTACCCTTTTTTTCTTCATATGACCCTGTTATGACCTTTTTGTTTTAAAATTAAGGTGTTCTTTAGTACAATACTTTTCCTTTTCCGTTAATTTGCATGTTCACAATGCCGCTTTTGTTGTGCAGGCGCCTTGCATAAAATGTACATTAACAAAGTCAGTCTGGTGTGTATTTTTGTTATCTGTGTCACAAGTTTTGCTTTCGACGGGTTACAACTTGCGTAGATTGCCAAAGATACGTTTAACTTAGTAGATAGGAAATCTTTGCGTAAGGTGAGTGTTCGATGTCTTCTGCTTGTTGTAAAGAGTAGAGTTTTGACTACAGTTTTGTTTATAATGTTGTGCTTGAATATTTAAAGCTAAGAGGTTCGATTTGGTTAGTCAATAACGCACGACACACTTGCCAAAACCGTGCGTAGGCGATTAAAATTTCACTTTTATAGAAATGTGCGAGTTTCGCTCTAATTGTACAATTATTATGTAATACACGGTTGGCCATGAAATATCAACAGCTTGCATGCTCGTGATAGCGGCCTCCTGCGTTCGATCGGTTGAAGAAAGGGGGGAAACGAAGGGTTTGTTGAAGCTAGTTTAACTCTAGTAATACATGAAAATTTGAATGTGACGAAGAACAATCTTCATCGTCGACCTGCCAATGTTTGAAATTTAGAAAAACTGAAATGTAGCGATTTAGGATTCCAGCGAGTTTTCCTCGTATGTTAACACTGCAAACACAAACATCTTGAGTCATTGCTTCGAACAATGATCTCAAACAGGAGCCCTGTCTCAAAGTATTTTGCATGATCTCGAGCCTTTGGCTTACACAAATGAGGCTATGCAAACTTAACATACATGGTGTGGTTCAATCTTATCCTTGGTTCAAATTTTATTTTCTTTTGTTTTTGGGTATTGTAATGTATGATAATGAGTTTGAAATAAAGGAAAGTAATATTTGAACAAGAATAAAATTGAACCACAACATATACAAGCGAGCCAGCTTTTAAAACTTTTACCAAAATCAAGGCCGAAATTCGAGTGTGCTTATTTCACACACTTTAGGATTTGGATTGTATTTTGTCCATTTAATGTTAATGACTAGGCTGTACGTCTCAACATGGTTAAAATCTATAATTATATTACACATGAGCACAATATAAACTCATCTGCCGCACAATGCCTTTTCGAAGTGCATTTGCTTCAGGCACTAAAATGGTAGACAGTCTTTAGCTAATTTACATGTCGCGTTGCTAAGCCATTTTGAAATGAGTTTGGCTGGCCTGCTTTGGAAACCCCACATACGGTGACATTCAAACCAAGAAAAATATGACGTATGTGTAACAAATGGTTTATAAAAAATTAGTCTCCAATGATCTCTATTCCTTCCAGTTCAACCCCACACCATGACACTCAGTGTGGATGGCTTCCTTACGAAGATTGGGGGTATGGGACGGTTCCAATGGATGCTGGTCTTTGTGGTGGGTATCATGATGGTGCCTGTCACCTTTCAGCCCCTCATCATGGCGTTCTTTGGATTAGAGCCCCCCTGGAAGTGCGCTCAAAACAGCACCGTTTGCAACTTTACAGGTGAGTAGCCGTATTCTCCGTTACCTCAGGGGAAGGACGAATGAAAGGACATCAATGGGGTTTTATAAATTGATTTATCAATTTCCTTTTTTGCTTCTAAGTGTGTTTGACTATCTTGCTTTCTGGCTTTAAAGCGATTTTCTTCTGAAAATCAAATTTCTCAAGCTTTTGTTCCTCACTTTGTTTGGTGATTTCCGTTCTATTAACATGTTGTTGTTTTTGCCTTTTTAGAAGAATTCGATATGTCATCGAATAACCCGAACAAGGATTTCAGATGCGATATTGATGACAGTGAATGGGAGTTCACTAAACCATACACATCCATCGTCACAGAGGTGGGCTCAATCTCTTCTCACTTCGTACCATTACGCCGCCGTAAAATCTCCCATAAGTCCCCTTGATAAGGCTATAAGTTCTGATAAGTACCCACTTTCTAATTTTTCCCCTTCCACCCTCCCCCCCCCCACTCCGCTTCCCTTAGTTTAAAACTTCACATCGAAAAACTGTGCCAAATAGCTATCACGTTTTTATTTTAATGTATTTGTGTGAGGTATTGTTTCACTTAATAATAACCTTGTATTTGAAAACCTACCAAAGTTTCAGTATTTAATTTTTTTCGACTAAATTATTGCAGACTGCATACGTTATTCATTAGAACTCGGCGAGACTGACTCACATTCTATGACTCAGTCAGTTACTGTCAAGTTTCTCGCTCCACCCCTATCTAATAAGTCTCCCTTGTCAGTAGGGTCCCCCGGAAGCATTGGAAACTAAGAAGCCCCGCTCCCTACGGGCCAATTTGCAATATAAAGCACTGATATGGTTAATTACCGTATCACTTCGAATAAGCGCCTGGGCACTTATTAAAAATTTTCAGCCAAAAAGAGGGGCGCTTATTTTAAGGCGGGTGCTAAATTCGAAGGGGGTGGGCGCTTTTAAGAAAGTCTTATTTGTACTGATTCCGCTGTAGTTGAAGCTTAAAAAGTTACAAATTAAGTGGAAGTAGATCCATAACTCCCTTTTATCCCTACTATTTAGGAAAGTGAGGGAGGAGGGGGAAGGCGCTTATTCAACAAGGGTGCTTGATTGGTATCATGGTCCACGGGGTGGGCGCTTATTCAGAAGTGTGCTTTAAAGAGGGTTAACGATTATTTGAGGAAATACGTTATCTATGGAATGCAAAGTAAATGACCTTCGACTTCTGATCAACAGTGGCGCTTGGTGTGTTCCTGGTCCACATTGGCTTGGGTGACCACCTCGATCCAGTTCCTAGGTTGGCTTTTTGGTAACGTGATATTCGGAGTCTTATCTGACAAGTATGGCCGCCGAAAAGTTCTCTTCTTTTCATGCAGTATGGTTTGTTGGGTGGCATTTGCCAGTTCGTTTGTTCCTTGGTATTGGTTATATGCTGTCTTAAGGTTCATGATCGGCTTTGGTCTCGGTATGTATGAATGGTAGTCACAGAACACTAGATAGGATCGAACTAACAGACTTGATCCGTCATAGATCTGAATTCAATTGAATTCGCTCTATGATTGGTAAGGCAAATGCATGTCACCTTCTCAACCAATCAGAGCAAAACTAAAACGATTTGCGATTTGGAAAGTCGCTTCATACAGTTTTTTTTTGAGCTCTCATTAGCTCTTTTTAAAATCTTCCTTGGCTCTGATTGGCTGTTGTGATTACAAATGCAGGTGGAGCCATTGTGTGCCTCTTCATTATGGCAACTGAATTCGTGGACCCCAATCACCGCGCCATGGCAGGCACTTTTGCGTGGTATTTTTGGACTGGGGCCTTGATGCTGGTGGCTCTGTTGGCTTACCTGATTAGGGACTGGAGGAAACTTTCTATCGCCACCTCGGCACCAGGCCTCGTACTTTTCATCTTTTGGATGTAAGATGGCGATGAGTTTTGATTGCTTTATATAGTGGTCGGAACCTGCTTGAGTCAAGCAAACGGCGTAAACATAAAAATTTGTTTTTAATACAGACTAGTTCCTGAATCAGTACGCTGGCTGACAACGCATCAACGAGTCGAAGAGGCGGAGAACATTCTCAAGCGGGTGGCAAAAATCAACAAAAAGCCCATGCCCGAGGAGAACTTGGGTCTACCTGACAATCAGAGGACTACAGAGAAGGAGGCTGGGTTTATGGATTTGTTTGGATCCCGCTCGATGATGAAGAAAACTATTATCTCTTGGATCTCTTGGTGAGAGAATAAATTGAGGATTTTTAAGCCTCTATAAACTATTCTGGTATTCTATCTCTACCTGCCTGTCTGTACATTGATTTATTTGTAGTTTATGCAATTTTTTTTAATTGAATGTCGAAATTAATCCGGAATTTCTTTGTTTTTGCTTTACTTCGTTTTGTGATTGGTTCAGAAAATTCGCGCCACTTTCTCGACCAATCCGATTCAAAATAAAACCAATCGCACCTCGGTCACGCCAGTTTTGCTGCGCTTCTGGCAGTTTGCTGTTATTCACTTTGGATTCTCTCGACTGCTTTGTTCTGATTGGCCATGATGATTACTTTCACTTCATTTTACGACACTTAATCAAAGTGTCGTTCGTTTGTGTTATTCCTTATTCACTTTTTTTTCTAATTGCCTACTTTGAACCGTAATTTGTTTATTACTGTATATTTTTACCTACCTACAAAATGTAATATTACAATATTTAAATTGGCATCCGACTAGTAAAGCTTCCTGTGGCTACTTTACTGACTTATCGATTTAATATATATTTCATAAAATTTTATCTTAATTATCTTAGGTACAGTGAATTGCCGTTGCTGTGCGAATCGCCACTCAACGTATTTTTGATATCATACATTTGTTTCACTATCTTAATCTTTCTTAGCTGCAAGCGCACGGTCTGTTTTCTGCTTTCTTGACAATTCCTGCTTGGAAACCAGAACTCAACAAAACAGAATGACATTTTTACCTTCCGCGAAGGAGCGATCTTGTAAAATTCTAACCAGTTCATTGTCTTTTCCTGACAGGTTTGTCAACGCACAAGTGTACTTTGGTGTTTCGTTAGGTTCTGTCATGTTGGGTGGTAACATTTATCTCAATTTTTTCCTAACTTCGCTGGTCGAACTTCCTGGCAATGCCTTCGCTATTTACGCCATGAACAGGTTGGTTTTCATAATCGTAATCTCTGTCTTATCTTCACTTAGCCTTCGTTATTTTCACAGCTGAACGCGCGTTTCTCCGCCCACGGGAAGATTTTACACGGGTCGGGGAGAGGTTTACTGGGGTCTGACACTAATACCCAGATCCCTTGCAGACCTCTAAACGGCTTTCATTGCACAAGATCTCAAACTTTCCCGCGGGCGAAAAAGCACTCGTGCCGTTACACTAATAATAAGGGCCGATGCACTAAGCTCAGATCATTTTCAGGGCACTTATATACTCCACTTTTTTCGAGTAACTGTGAAAAAGCGATCGATAATATCATTTTCATCCATTTTTTGTTTCAGTAGTAATTTTCTTACCTTTTTCACTGCAAAATTAATTTGTTTTCATTAAGCATTCTCGTTCATCCTTTTTTAAGAATTTTGGTTGTATCCTACTGACCTCTGATCCTTTTTTTCTTTCTAGATTTGGGCGTAAGAAAGTAGTTGTAATAGGTTTAGTTGTGGCAGCCATATCAAATCTATTAGTTACTGTTTTTCCTTCTGATCCTGATAATTCAGGTAAGGTAGATTTCGGACAAAATCTTTCTTTTCTCATTTCACATTTCGACCTTCACCCAATGTTAGATAGGACTGACCTCTCAGATACATTCTTGGTAGTATAGTATTGCATCTCTAGGCCCACTTTGAGAAACAATTTTTTCTTTTATTTCAGCTTTGCAGAAACAGGAATACAAATCCTAGTTAACACTCTAACTTTCTCGTTTTGTCCACTTTTGTTCTCCTACCCGTCCCAGGCGTTCAGTTCGTAAAACGTACCGATATAATAAACGGCGCTGTGACATCGGTTGACTGAAATTGAGGGAAATTTGGGTCGAGTAAGGACTTTCCCCTTTTATTCACTCCTCCGCTACTGTCGCATTTACTACAGCGCTTGGTTTAAGTAACTAAAGGCCTACCACAGGCCATCCTGCTTATACTCTTTTACGTTGTCAGTGATTTCTCTTTTTTCTCAATTTTACTCTGTAGGATACGCAGCAGGACGTATCATCTTTGCTATGATTGGGAAGTTCTCTGTTATGAATTCGTTTGATGCCATTTTTGTGTTCTCCTCAGAGTTGTTCCCGACTGTAGTGCGGTAGGGATCGTTATTTTCAAGTTATCAAACAAAGTTTCCCCTCTCTTATTGGAAATCTTTAAGTGGTACACAAAGCTGCCAGTTTCGTTTATACTGATCTATGATTAGCGGTCGGTTAGCTTGCGTAGCATGCGCTAAATTTAACTAGGGGCGAGTGATTTTGTCAGGCAAGCCACATGCGCGCGAGAGCTTTTTTGCATGACTCTCGCCATCTTGCCTTTGTTCGTTAACTGTGAAACCTAAGGTACTTAAAAATTGTCATCCAGAATACTTAAAGTCTGTTTTACCTTCGATTATTATATTTTTAATAGCCATTTAAACTCGGTTCTGCAACGGCGCTGCTAACAACGGATTGTTTTGGTCCCCGCATTTTTCGGACAAGAATTCAAGTGCGAAAGGGAAGTTGTCTTGTTCTAAAAGTAATTTAAAATAAAAATTTTCTTTTCTCACAGAAATATCGGCCTCGGTTCATCTTCAGCTGCGGGCCGTTTTGGTGCGATCACATCACCATTTGTGTTAAGCTTGGTATGTACGACCCTATGATGAGCTAAGAATTAAAGAACTGATTTGCGAGACTGAAGTGAAAAATAGCGTACATGACCCTCAGCAGTGCTTAAACCCAACCTGAACAAGCTTTTTTTTTGCAGAGTAAGTACATGGTTCAGCTTCCTTATATTATCATGGCGGTAGATGCCTTTGTGGCAGGAATTCTGTGTCTTCTCCTCCCTGAGACTAATAACACTCCGACAGCCGAGACACTTAAGGGTGCTGAAGCTTCCGGAGCTACTGATCTAAGCCTGTTGGCAGCAAAAGGCGAAGACGAAGAGGAGGACCCCGAGAAAATGACTGTAATGTAGGGAGATCTACAGCTAGTAAGAGGGGTTAGTACCTAAAGTCCACTCCTGGTCAGCGTAAGCGATGTAAATTAGCATCTAATTCCCAACACTTTGTAGTTTCTTGGAAGGAAAATTTTACTTAAACTTTCTGCTTGTTTATTAGAGGAACAGAAAGAAACAGCAGTGCTTTTAATCTAAGGCAGGCTTTCTTTACTACAGAAGTAGTTTTTGAGTAGACATTCTCGGTTTGGCGTGCATGCAGTGGTTTGAGTTTTTGAAGAGATTTTAGAATCCTAGACGACTTGTTGCCAGAGGTAAAACTGTATACCAGCGAGCCATCGGGAAATCCAATTGCGTTTTTAAAAGTTACTGATAAGAAAAGTGGGCATTTAATCGGAACTAGTACAAAAGATCGTCTTCTCTTTTTAAATTCGGGGTGCAAGGCCATCGATCGATCGTTTCTACCAAGTGCACTTTTCACCATTTTCGTAACTCTACTCCAGTTACAAAAATCTACTACATGTCAAGTATTAGACCGCAAGTAGTCACGCCTTTTCGGCGAAGTCCGTTTCGCGTCCCAAAAAATCGGCGGAAAAGGGACTGATGATAACGCGCCGCGCGGAACTCCAGGAGAGAGGTACACAAAAAGTACCAAAAGAGTTCCGTACAACTCGTTGACGCCAATTTCTATCTTTTTTGTTGTTTAGTTTTTTATTTTTACCCGCGCGCCAGACTTCGCCAAAAAGGAGGGACTTCTCCAGTCTAGTATAGTAACATTAATTAATCATAGGAGTTATTAAAACTGTTCGATTAAAGCTGGTTTATTTATATTTATTAATGCCACTGACCAAACACAACCCTATCCTTGGTGAAAAGAGTGCGTTTTGAACAGGCGTGAGTTATTCAGACGGGCACTCGCGAGCTAACGAGCAAGAAGTCACGCGACAGATCGCTCGTGGAGAAAAAAGAGCACTTTATTAATTGTTGGTATTTTTTATAACAAAACTAAATGCAAAATACAAATTTTGAGGGGCTACGATATAAAGATTGCTAGAGATTCCCGAAATGTCGAACTTTGTCAAAACGTCGGTGACTGTCACCGTATCCATGGTAACCATTCCTTTTCAGGACTACTCGGACCTCACTATAAAAACTACATTTATCGTTATGAATTGTAGCTGCGAATCTGAATGGTTTTGCCGAGGGAAATGTCGGTCAGACGTGAAAGCTGAGTAAATACAATACTTTTTGAAGAAGGAAGCATAGACAAATCTGCTAATTCTGGAGCTTAGTCAAGAGATAAATCATTCACGAAAGAGAATAATTTCGATTATTTTTTTTAAAAAGATAATCAGAGTAATGTCCTAAGAGATGAAAAGATATTCAAAATGATTTCCTAAGTTATAAAAATGTGCAAAAAAAATGTTTTTATCCAAAGTAGGATGTCCTCTTAAGCCTGGAACATAACCTAAATACTTTTCACTTTCTTCGGCGCATTAGAACTTATAGCAAGGCAGTGTAAGCATTGTTTGCTTTCATTTTAAGGAATAGTGTCGCGAAACTGACGCACGTACAGTAAATAGTTCTATATTAGAAAATCTCTTCTTTGTAGAGAGAAGTTATTGGAATATGACCAGGAAGAATTTTAAAGGTCAATTTGTAAGAGTCAGTTCACCTAGTAGATATCATTCATTAACTAAAGATGATTCCACAGAAAGAAAAGAGGTCAAACGATTTTTTGTAACTTTCCTTGAATGTTCCCAACCAATCTTTGTTTCGATAACTGCAATGAAAAAGTAAGTCACCGTGTTCGCTAAAGAGATCTGATAGACCAAATTTACCTCGTACATTGACTGTAAAAACCAATACCATGTTCTACGAATGCGCGCGCTTATTGCGCAATACAGCATACGCAGTGCAATACTGAAGAATCACCTCAACAGATTCTGCCTTTGTTAAAACATTTAATTCCAAAACTAACACTTGTCATAACTTGAAGGAGAACCAAAAGAAGTACTTCGGAGAGATAGGAAAAAAAAACTAAAGGTGGCAAGACAATCACAAAGATGTAGCGTAATCCACGAGGTTTGCTCTGCTGTTTGTGGTGTCTTTCACAGTGTCGGCCATGGTGAGTTGCTTGCCATCGGCGTCTTCCTTCTCTTTGTAATCTACGGCTGATTTCAATGCCATATATGCTTCTTCTGTGCTTTCGGTTTCCATAGTTTCAGCAGTTGGCAAGTCTTTTGTCTCTGGTAGAGTCTGACAAAGGATTCCCGCCAACAATGCATTGCCTCCCATGATGCCGTACGGGAGGAGTGGGTGAGTAAATCGCTATGAGAAAGTAAAATATCAGTTTATCAATTTAAGTTTAATTTTAAATGAAAGTTATAAGGAAACCCAGAGTATATTGCGATTATTTTCTCTACACTGTAATTGATTCAGATAACGCGCTTTTTCTCAACCAATCAGATACAAAAACAAACCCAATGACGTAACGGTCACGTGCGTTTTCCCGCGCTTGAAGCTGTTACGTCCTTTTACTTTGGGTTATCATCAGTTCTTGGCAAGTTTATCTTTGTTCTGATTTATTGTTGTAATTATTTTGGTATTGTCCCATCTAATTTTAATTAAAGCGCGCTAATGGCAAAGCAAAACAAGGAAGTGTAATTATCTGGTCTATTTTATGTAAGGAAAAAAGAAAAGAAAAAAATCCTCACCAGATGAATTACATAAGAAGATAAAAACGAGCCAACCCGACCAGAGGCTGTTGATGTGCCCATTCCTATGTTTCTGTGAAGAATGATGAACCAAAAAGTTATAATCAAAATGGGTATTCTGTTTGCTGCACAAAATCATCGCCAAGAAAATTGGTGTGGAGCGTAAAGCATTCTCAAAACGATCACCAAGCAAGGCATTGTAATTGGTTAGGAAAACAAAAGTGCCCGAAATGTTTTTATAACAGTAAGTTACTAAGGCACTGTCTTTGACAAAAGCTCTCGAAGTCACTGATAAATTAAAAAACGCCAAAAGTTTACGCTGTTGAGTGAAAAATAATACCTGATGCATTGTAGTTAGTTAGGAAAACAAAAATGCCCAATTTTTCTGTAACAGACAGTTACTAAAGGCCCTGTCTGACAAATGCTGTAGAAATCATTAGTAAACTAAAAACGCGAAATTTTACATCATTCTGATTGAAAAATTCTACCTGATGACTGTTGGGAAGAGTTCCGCAGCGTAAACATAGACGGCATCAAATGAGATGAACACAAAGAACTTTGCTGACATCGCCATAAGAATACGACCAGCCATGAACCCTGAAAACAGAGCAAGGGTAAAAACAAATCAGTTTCATGCACGTGCTACATGGCTTTTTTACTTGCATCGATACTTGTTTAGCTCGTTGCAGGCATAGTTTTGCTGGAGGGAAAAAAACAGCATACCGAAAAAAGACCTCTCTCCTTGTAAAACCGATTCGATGCTGTTAATCCCAGTAGTATGCAGGACGCATGTCAGATAAGAACTAAGTATGAAGTTTAACTGACCGAAGAGTTCTGAATAGCTCATTTAAAGAGCACCCAATCGCGACATCGAACCAGGCCTGGTTGGAATCCTTATGAGGGACAGGTGACGAATTTTAACAACTTGTTTTTCCATTCGAATTAAACGGCGGAAAAATCGCTGATTCACCAAAGTCGCACTCATCAAAAGGGTACTAATGCGCATGCTTTGCTCTCAGGGTAAGTGATCGCAGACTAAAATCGACTGAAAGTTTTTTTACGATCCTTTACAGTTCCTTCGCCGTGTCATTAGAACTTCTCGCTCGTTTTTTTCTGTTCTGTCAATCTGGTCGAACATTCGAAAAAAGAAATGGAATGAAAAGGACAGTACAAGAAAGAAGATGAGGAGTTAACCCAGCAAATATGATGGTACGACCTCATCCAGTATGAATCATACCTTTATCGTTCCCCGGATCATACATTGTACATAACACTGCACCAGTTGAGGCGAGCGCAGCAAGGATCAGGAAATAAACCAAAGGCTTTTTGCGGCCGAACCTGATGCACATAAAAACACAGGGAAGAATGAAATATTGACATTCTGATAAAAAAAAAAAAGTTTGATATCACAGGACAATTCCCACCCTGCATTAGGTACTGAGCGCTTCTGTCACCACTCACCTTCCCATGATCCAGATGGCCACGAAATTGGCGGGAAACTCTATAACGGAGGTCAGGAAGAAATTCAGGTACATGTTGCCACCAAGAGTCGGAGTGCTGAACGATACACCATAATAAACTATGCCGTTTACAAACCTGCAAAGGAAAGCCAACAGATGAGCGCAAAACATTGTATCACTAAGAATTTGTTGTGGACACTAGTCCTGGGTTTACCAAAGTATTTTTAAAGCTCTCACATCTGCTAATTATTCTCGACAACAGCAAAGATAAACAGTAGTTTTTAAGTCTGTAAGCTGGCTTTGAATTAGGACGCTCCATGATTGGCTCAAAAAACTCACTTTCTCAACCAATCAGATCCATACAAAAACTATTGATCTCTCGCGTTTTCCCGCGCTTTCCTTTGATTTAAATTCAGTCTTGCGAAACTCTTTGAAACACGCCGTAAGCACCTTTGCTACTTACTTACCAGGCATACCAAGACACCAGAGTTCTGTGAACCATTTTCTTGGTTCGAAATAAATCTCTGATGTCACCTATCTGTTGAACTTTCCCATCAGCACACGGGTTGTATAGGGGTTCCTCTGGGTATTTCTTCTTGTTTGTCGCTGCGATTTCCCGAAGGATTTCTTCCGTCTCAGAAAGCTTACCCTTGAGTAGTAGATACCTCGACGATTCCGGAACAAACCTTGACACAAGATTAAGGACAATAGAAATTTTCTTCGTATCCGACTGTGTAGTAAAAGTCATACTGACTTGTAACTTGGAAACTGTGGGAGAGTTTTTAGTCTTCTCAGTCTTAGATGACCGGGAGTTTAGTGTTTCTCCTCATGGACGTATTGGATCCTAAATTTTCCCTACCCTTTGCTGTTACCTCTTAAACGTCTGAATGGAAAGAGTTGTAGAGACTCTGTGACAGTGTCTCGTTTAAAGACAGAAAAATGAGCTGAAGCCACGAGGGCACCATGAGAAACAATAATTGCGAATTTGACGAGTTCCAGAACTCATCAAATTCACACATATTTTGCTGCATTATGCGTTACCTCACAGGTCGAGTTTGATGCCACTCCTGTGCATCCCCTCCCCTGCTTGGAAAATCTTATAATTGCTCACCTCCACGCCAAAATAGAAATCAGGCCGGGTGCAGAACACATGATTGACAGCATCCTCCAGTCACGCACCGCATACGCTAATCCTGCCAACGTAACAAGACCCAGAGCCCACGAGTAAAACAGTGACGTGCCAGCGACATGCCGGTGCCTCTTGCCGACAAATTCTGTTGCCAACACGTACATTCCCATGGATCCACCCCCTAAAAAATTGATACAAGAATAAAAAAATATTGTTAATACAAGAAAATAAGGCGCTGCTTTACCGTGAATTAGTGCAATATTCAGAAGCCAGATATCGACGTTAGTAATTATATAAAATTTAACAATCATTCATGTACGCGACGCGGTCAGTCTGCTGGCCGTTCTCTAACTGTCTCAGCCTGTAGGACCAGCAATTTTCAACCTACGTATTTTGTTCGAATAGTTGAAATATTGTTTTTAATGTAGCTCTTCCTAGACATTTTATCTCTCTGGGTTCTTTTAAATTATTTTTAAAAACAACTGTAAGTCTCTTTCAATATCAGTTTTTGATGTGGTCCATCTCTCAAGACTTGAACCTGTACGTTTCAATCGAGGGTCCAGCACGCTTACTGATAAGATTATACGGTTAAAACTATAGCAATAATAAACGTATAATCAGAGAAAAGTCCGTAAATGTTATGAACTCTTTACCTATACTTAAACCTGTACAGAGTCTGAACAGGATAAACAGCCAGAAATGATGTGGAAAGGAGGCAAGAAGGCCAAACAAACTTGTTGTGAACGTGAAGATCAGCAAAACGGGTTTACGGCCGATTTTATCAGAAAGAACACCTCCACCAAGAGCACCAACCAACCAGCCAGCGAACACGAGAGATGTGGAAAGGCTCGACAGAATGGCATTATCACAAACTAAGTCAAACTGAAATGCATAACATAGCGGAGGTATAAATGGTATGCTCGAAAACAGATACACAAAAACAAAAGAGATTTAACAGCGCTTGTATGCAAACCCGACAAATGTGCAAGCAGCACAAATAACCAGTGCAAATACGAAAGAATCAAATTATGAACTTAAAGAGAGTTAAAACCTGAAAAATATTTTACATCATATTGCGCAGAATAGTCCTAGTATCAAAATCTTCTTGTGGTAGAATTTATGATATTAAAACCCTCTTTTGAAAATTCTGAATTCCTTTGTTACTTCACCCTCTCCGTCACATCCTCCTCCAAAGAGGTCACTATTTACACCTCTAATTTTCATCCAGTCACAGGTTTTCTTTTGTAATTTAATTTAATTTGAGTGAGTTAAATTACCGTTGTGACTACAGATGTGAAATCGTCAGCAAACTTCCAGGATTCTCTAGGCATTTTACATCGCCGTTCATCCGTAGCGTCAAATTGACCACTAATGTTACAATGGCTGTTATTACCGGCGCACATCCATTTCGGTTCAGCCGAGATGAAGCTGGGTAACATCACCTGGTATGTTAAATTAATCATTTCAATGTAACTCAAGATGATTATGAGACGGATCTGGTACAAACCCATGCTGCCAATTTTCTCCAACACTTCATCCACACTCAAAGCCATTTTCAGTTTCAAGGCGATCGCACCAAGTTTTCGAGGTGGGACTAAAATACGAAGAAGGAGAAAAAGAAAGGTAAGAAAACAAGAATCGGGCTCAAAAAAAAGTCTTTAACCTTTTAATTTTCAGACAAAATATACATTCTATTAAAAAAAAAACGCCCCGCCAAAGAAACACGTGAATAACGGTGATGCGCATGGCAGAACACGTGTAAGCATGTAAACGTGCGAGGCGTGTCTCCTCCTTGAAGGGGACACACGCGCGCCTTATTTACCCTCGCGCTTCGTAATTCTTGTGCTTTGCACTAGTTCGCAATTATATGAATATGATCACCAGTTGCCAGCTGCGTTCAAGTGATACGTAACAATGTGATTCTAGCTTGCATGGCTGACGAATTTTTGGGTACTCGATGAATCTAAACGTGACAGAAACAAGAGAATTTTGCTGCTATTACGCGTGGCTCTGTCGCTCAACTTTTCCTAGCGCTCACAAAACTACTGACTGTGCAGGTTACATGAAACAAAGCGAAAATTGGGTGCCAAAGGCCCTGAACACGAAAGTAGTTTAATAAATGAGGATTTCACCAATTCTGACTCACCTTCTACAGTTTCCTACACAGTCTGTTGTTCTTTCCCACGGCCAAATTCATCGCCAATTGCTTATTTAATAACAGTTTGAAAACCAGACCAGTATTTTTTCCCGATCATAGAAATTGACTAAGCAAGCAAATTGAGAACTGCAGGTCAAATGCAATTAAGTCTTCACAACATTCGAATAATCTCATATATATATTCACGAAAAGACCAGAGCGTACAGGTTTGCGAGGAAAATTTCGCGTATATATAATATTCGCGTATTATAAATGCCTAGGAGTTAATACTCAAGTGCTAGGTTTCATCCTAATAAACTAGTAAGTGTTCATTCAAAAACTGTTTACTTTCATACAGTTGCACAGATCAAGTACTCAAGAACACCTGCCAAATTTTTGGCCTTCATTTACCCTCAGGAGTCAATTCACCGTTTAATTTTGCCATTTTAAATCGTGCAAATCGGAACCAAGAAATCCCAGGGGCGACACTTGGGGCGGCCTATCTTTCGTCGTCTGGCTTAGGCGCTGGAGAAGTTCATCTCCGCTGCTATGATTGCCTCTAAAGTTTTTGGGAAGAGTATAATCGAAAAGTGTACCACACAGAAGAGACAAATACTTTGCTTAATACAGCTTTGCACGTCGATAGCCGGTACTTAGTTTCGCTTTAAATGTTGGATACCAGTGCAAACAGGTACACAACGAATGTGTGTCGATCATGTAACAAGGCTGCCTCTTCGTGCAATGTACAATATTCCAGAGGAACTGTGAATTCAACTAATGTTCACCGTAATATTTGCAAATGACCCTACCTTTGGGCACGTTGCTTGTAATCGTCTCAAATATTTTAAGAACTCGCCTGTAAGCCACAAGGATGCGTAAAATTCCGAGCAATAATGAATGTTTGAAGATGAAATGAGGTCAAATAACGAGAACAATGCATTCCTCAGTTGATAATTTACAAATGTAATAATAAGTGACGGGCGGAGGGCGAGGGATGGGGTTACTGCCATGCACACCCTCGACCTCGCTCCTAGGGCGCTTTTCCCCTCAAATTTCTCGTAAAGGTGGTCCGCAGTACCAGGAGTTTCAATAAGTTTTTCCACAAGCGGCTACCAATGGTGTAATCAGCGGCTGTGCCTGGAAAGGAAGCCGTAAGGCGAAACCCTAACATTGAGGCCAGACAGCGGTGGGAGGTATTAAAGGCGGCCGTAACCGTTTCTTTTTTTGTTGTGGTCGCACTACAGACTTTTGTCCCTGGGAAACGTGACTTGATGACAGTCCACTCACGGGAAACTTAAATGTACCAGTGTGACCGATTATTACCTTTGGGAACTTTTAGCTGATGGAACTGGGATCGGTCAGGAGAACGAAAGGTTTTCCCAGCTACCCTAAAGCAACAGAATTAACATTGAAAATATTGGTCAACACCCCCCGCGGTATATCACAGGGAGTACCCCAGAGGTCATTGTCAGTGACACAGGCATGCTCGATAGAAAGAAAGACAGGATGTTCGTAACTGAAGGGTCCAACTAACCACTTTTTGATTAGTGGTTCTGTCGCACTTTGTTATGGGCTTCGCTTCATGTAATACCTGTCACGATCTTTGTAGCAAAATTATCGCGCTTTGTTATGAAATTTCACATTTTGTAAGAAGGCAGGGGTCGCACTAAGGGAAAGTTTTCAATTTTTTGAGAAAAAAGACAATTGAAATGCGTAACCGCAACAAGAAAAAAAACCTTTTTAGTCGAAGGAGAACAGTCGCATTAGTGAGGTAACTATCAGTGTTTTGACTTGTTGAGAATTGCATGTTTACTGCTGGGAAGAAAGATATCGCGATCATGTGTCCTGTTGAAGAGATTTTCCATAGTTTGCACAAGAAACATCAAATCGGCAAGGTTTCACTGACAAGCGTTGACATATACCACTGCGATTTCTTTTGTTTAACGCAATTTTTCCAAAATCTGCCAGCCTCACCCACGTATAAAAATGTTCCCGAAGACAGATTTTAACCGCAAAGTAAACACATTTCCCAAGCGCGACACTCGTCGCACTTTGTAACAGACCATCAAACTTTGTAATCCTTTGTAACAACAGACCATCCGTAAATTTTTTAAAGAATACAGATTGCACTCACCCCACGGGCTCGTGCAATTTTGTTAGCCTTTGAAAAATTTGCTGGGGCTGATTTATCCCAAATTGCATCCGAAATCATGTGATTACCTATACTAATGATACAGCTAAATCTAAAAAGCGATGTATATGTGGTAAACCCTAAAAATAGACAGCTCAAATACAAAATCCTCGCATCACACTCTGAGAATGTTAAGCTGACAAAGACGAAAGATCATATCTCAAAAAGCAGTGTCATGAAAAGAATCGTCTCCGATGTTTGCACTGCTGTTCATCTCGTTGCCACAATTCTCTTTTTCTCTCTTTTTATCTTCATTATTCTCTTTCCCATTATTCATTTTCTCACGATCTTTCACTTGTTCCTTTTCATCGTTTAGCTGTATGTCGTCCATGGCCATATTTTGAATCCCTAGTTCCACTCCCTCCTGGGAGTCCATCGTCTCAGGAGTGGGTGTTCCTTTCGTCTCTGGTAGAGTCATACACAATAGACTGGCTAACAAGGCTTTGATTCCCATGATGCCGTAGGGGAGGAGAGGATGTACGCGCGTCTGTGAGAAAAAAAATGATGCGGAAAAGTCTTAGGTCGTGAGAGTCAGCAGACAGAAGGTATCCAAACATCAATGTGGCCATTTCGTTTAGAAACCCTTTATTTGCCGAAAGGATGCGGCGGTTGGCGCGAAGATGAGAGTAACTTAAACGCTCAATAGAATTAGGGAGATGGTAAGTTTTGAGCCCGGAAATGAAATAGAGAAAGATGTCTTTCGTCTTGTCACGAACGTGGGACAAAGAAAAAATTCCGAGTCCCCATGAGGACATGCTGATCCTAGCAGTATGCAAGACGCGTGTCATATGAACCTCGTAATAGACTTCGCTCACCGTAGAGTCTCTGTGGCTCAGTAGTAGAGCATCGGAGCGCAGGTCTGAGGTTCATTTCCTCATGGGGACTCACAATTTTCTCTTTGTCTCACGCTCGTGACAAGACGAAAAACATCTCTCCCTTAAATACTCAATGTTTATGGCTTGCCAGACAACTCGGTAGTTTATATTTGTTTTTTGTTTTGTTTTGTTTTGTTTTTTTTTTCACTTTTGCCTTACTTTAGGATAAAACCCACAAATAACGTCAATTCCTGTAGTTTTAAAGATTAGTGCTAACTTCCAATAAAACAACAGGCCCTTTGTATGGATTTGCATGTCGTTGACTTGCGCATGATACTTACAAGATGAACAATATATGGTGAACAGAATGAACCAATCCTGGCAGCGGATGTAGAGGTACCCATTCCAATATTTCTGCAAACAAAAACGTCGTGAAAAGAAAAGTTTTACCAGGCACTCCTGTTTTGCTAGATGTACAGTTGCAACGGTCCGACCTTGTTTAATCAGGAGGGCGGATCTAGGGGAGGGGTGCAAGGGGCGTGCACCTTCCCCCCCCACCCCCAAGATGGCCTACGTAATTAGATACGACTTCACAGTTATTAAAAAAACAGTTGTACTGCTTTCTTTGCATTGTCAGCAGTCCCTAATCATGAGCCTTCTTCTTCGTTGTTCGCTTTTAAAATTTGTTGACGTCACCCATCAGTTGCGTCATTCTTTTGTGGGGCGCCCCCCCCCTCCTTCGAAAAATTCCTGAACCCTCCCCTAGGAGCAGTGTCTTTATCGAGCAACGCAAGGATCTCAACGACATGCGCATTGAGGTGGATTGCATAAATCCGTGTTTCATAATGCTGGGTCATCAAAAGTTATTAACTGTGGAAGTTAAATGTACCGGAAAGTAAAGATAGATAGGACTCTAACCTGATGGCCGTTGGAAACAGTTCAGCGGAGTAAACATAGACTGCATCAAACGAGATGAATACAAAGAACTTAGCAGCAAGAGCCATGATGATCTTACCAACAGCATAACCTGAAAACACAAAAGACCTTCAATTGACAAAGACGGGCCATTAAAGAAGTAAAGGGAGGGAAAGGGGAAAAAAGACATACACGAAGAGTGAAAGAAAATTATTGAAAAACAAAGGAACAAAAATACATGGAAAGCTTAAAAAAAATGTAGATTTACGCAGTTGGAGTTTGTTTTCCCCTATACTTTTCCAATCGTCTCTTTTTTATTTTAATGGCGCTTTCTGAAATCAAGAACACACATCTCCTTGGTAATTTTCATGCTAGCGACAGAATTGAAACTGATGGCAACTCTTCTAGGATATTCCTTCGATTCCTTTTCCTCAATCGCCTGAGTTTCTTTCACGGAAAATTAGGTCGGTGAATTCACATGCAAAAGTAGAAGAACACAGTAATAACAGTGTTAGTTTTTCATTTTGGCGGGTGTGAAATTGAGATACGATATTGATCTTTTGTTTTACTGCTAAGTGGTCATCCATCTACTCTTCACCACTCTCGGTGTCTTTTTACTCTGTTTCTCGTCCATCTCTACCTTCGAAACTTACATTTGTCATTTCCTGGATCGAACATAGTAAACAAAACAGCACCAGTCGACGCAATGGCAGCAAGGATCAGACAGTAAATCAGCGATTTTTTACGACCAAACCTGAAATGAACAAAGTAAGCAAAAAAGAAAATATTTCACGTGAGGAAAGAACGAGATGATTTTTTCAAACGACAACGACTTGCTTCTTAGACTATCAAAATAGAAATTGTAATCTTTACGGTCCATGAACCTGAAATTTAAAGGTCGGTTCCGACAAGAAAAGGGGAGCGATGAGATCGAATCTCAAAACAGGATCCTGTTTAACAACCCTTCCCTATGTAAAATCAGTAATGTCTCGTCCGGACTGAACTTTCAACGCAAAGGAAAGAGGCCAACTTTTTTGCACCAAGAGTATAGTCCGGTGGAAGTTATGAGGATGGTGCAAGTCGGATCCATGGCTCCAGTTTTCCAAGTTTCACGAAATCAAATTAAATTAAAGATGGTATGCGTTACAGACTTACTTTCCCATGGCCCAGATGCCGACATAATTTGCAGGAATCTCAATAATGGATAGCAGGAAGAAATTCAGGTACATGTTGCCGCCGAGAGTTGGAGTGCTGAACGATACACCATAATACACCATAGCATTTACAAACCTGTAAGCAAAATCAGTGCGCGTTTGTTGCTGACAAGGTAATCTTTATGATTTTTACAGCATCTGTAACGGGCGGGATGCTCCACTCTTAGGAGTGTATTTTGTTCAAATTTATATTGAAAAATTTATGTATGATGAACTGAATTATACTCGTATTTTGATTAGTTCTTACTATTGGAGAACAGACGCATCGATAGCGTCACCATTAATCATTTTTAGCTTCTTTATTATGTAACACAAACAGATTTCGTGTTGCCGTGGGTCTGAACAGTAAGAGATCACAAAAAACGACAAAATGTGTCGCCAAAATGTGGCACTTTTTTGTTCTTACCACATTTTGACGTAATCTGTGATCTTTGGGGGAACAAATGCGCGGCAACGTGGAATCGCTTTACGGAATAGAACAAAAAGACAACAATAGAGACAAGAAAGGAATTCTGGTGAAAAAAATTACTTTCGAATTTCTTGTAAAAAAAATCTCATTATCTTTCATCAGTTGAAAATCCTATATCATCTTCTTGACTGTCTTTTAGGTACAAAATTCCATCTGAAATAAAAATACGCCCTGAAATACTCTTCCCCTGGCAAAAAGGAGCTCAAAACCTTTTAAAAAATGTTTGAACTTGTAAGGAAGTAGCTAAAGACAGACTAAGCCCATATACGATACACAGAAAATTTAAAAGAAAATTGCGGAAGGTTATTCAACATAAATCCAAGCACCTGTCTTCGCGGAGAAACTAAACTTCACCAGTCTACCGACACTCACCAGGCATACCAAGAAACAAGAGTTCTGTGCAACATCTTTTTTGTTCGAAATAAATCTCTGACGTCACCTAGATCCTGTAGCTTGCCATCAGCATTCGGATCCACTAAAGGCTCCTCTGGATAGGTTTTCTTGTTTGTGGCAGCAATTCGTCGCAATATTTGCTCAGTTTCCGTAACTTTCCCCTTGAGCAGCAAGTACCTCGATGATTCGGGGGTGAACCTTAAAGAGTTAAGCAGGAAAAAATTCAATGGGAAACTCTGTCAGAGAGGCTTAACAGAAAGCAAAGTTTAAATTTTGGCACTAATCTCTGCAGGCAACCCCCCCCCCACCAACACTTGAAGTTAGTTAACATGGGGATGGTTTTTTTCCATGCTCTTCTGAAGAATTAAGGTCTGCGAAGATACCCTGTTCAAGAAGGGAAAAATTGATAATGCATTTAAAATTCAAGACCCTGGAAACCATATCCTGTTTAGCAGCACGTACCCGTTGGGAGGGTGTGTCCTCGGTAGATTACACAGCTCTCTCCTCAACTGAAGAGGCCCTTAAACTAATTAACAAAGGTAAGAGATTTTCATTTGAAAACGCTCACCACCAGCCTATGAAGGAAATAAGTCCAGGTACCGCACAGGTGATTGAAAGGAATCTCCAGTCACGAATGCCATAAGCGAGCCCTGCTAACATGACTAGAGCCAGGGTCCATGAATACCAAAGTGACGTACCAGCCACGTGGCGATGTCGGACGCCTGCGAACTCAGTGGCCAGCACGTAGATTCCCATGGCTCCGCCACCTGATGGAATAGACGGTGCGTCAGATCAGCAAAGCTTACACGAAGAACTTCTTCAGTTTCCCTCTATTTCTTTCCACTAATGTCATAAGCTTCAACACAGAGTTTTCATCCTTAAATTTTATGTTATCAATCAATAAAGGACAGAATTTGAATGGATTTAATAAATGACGGGCCAGATTTCTCCCGCTTTCTCCAGTTTGATCTTCTTTTGTGCCCTGTTAAGTGTACATTGAACCGTTTTTTAAACCTTTTTTGGTTCCCACTTTTTCTGTGAGAAAAAGTTGATTTGGCTTCTCTCTTGCTCCGAGTAATAGAATTTAAAGACGTCATCTGACATCGAACAGACACGCAGCGAATTCTGTAGAGTCAAGTGCGGAGGAGGGGGGAGGATGTCGGAAACAGAACCTCATCAAAATGCATGTCGGTCATTAAAGAGAGTGCATTAACAACGGAGCTCAGAAGCGCTGAATCGGAGCAATGAAATGCTATAGTAAAGATGTGTGAACCGCCCCCAAGAACTCAAGACGAAAGGGATACTTTTAAGCTTAAAGAAAAGATAAAAGAAAAGCTTCACTCACCGAGACAGATGCCAACGAGAAGCCTGAATAAAATGAAAAGCCAGAAGACATTTGGGAAAGCAGCCAACCAGGCGAAGATGCTACAAGTCATTGATCCTATATACAGTACTGGTTTTCTGCCAATCTTGTCTGATAAAACTCCTCCAATTAACGCGCCCACAAGCCAGCCGGCAAATAGGAGTGAAGTCGAAATGGTTCCAAGCAGAGCTTTGTCACAAACCAAGTCGAACTATAAGAAATTGTTACAAACATTGTTTTACGTTTTTTCGAAGAGTCGCCATATAATCATATCCTCCAAACAAAAAAGTAAAAAGGTTGTACGAGGCTCAAATACGTGCCGCAAGACCATCAGGGAAAAACCAAAGTTTTCCTTTCACGTGCAAACTTTTGGCTTGTTCTAGGCAGTCAGCAAGAGTAAAAAAAAGGGGCCTCTCACGAACCCTCTCTCTCCTGATTTTCTCTCGTCCAATCATTCGTTTATCTTCATTATCTGGTTCCTGTTATTCCTGCAAAAAACCCCGCCGATTTCCTCTCCCGGTCGTTCGTCGGCCTTCTGTGACCCGGCTCCTACAACATACTATCTCAGGAACTTGTCTATTGTCTATAATGAATTCTGACCTCAGTAACTACTGACGTGTAATCATCAGCGAATTTCCAGGAATCTCTCGGCATATCACATCGTTTCATGTACAGGTCATCACCGGGTTTAAACTCCCCAGTTAGGTTACACGAGCGGTGATTGGCCACACACATCCAATTAGGTTCAGCGGCGATGAACGTTGGTACCATGACTTGAAATGTTATATTGAACCACTCTATGTAGCTTAGGATAGCAATCAGGCGAATTTGATAAAATCCGAGGCTACCAATTCGCTCCAGTATCTGATCCACAGTCAAAGCCATTCTGTGAAATGATTTGAAAAGATTTTATCAGAGGAAGGAAACATAAGTAGTGCGGTGGACTTCGGATCAAAAAATTCCGGTTTGAGCTTTGATTTGCTGACTGAGTTATATTCTCAGGCAAGACATTTCATTCTCACCAGGCCTCTCTCCTTCCAGGAATGTAATTGGTACCTACAATCTGTCAGGAAAACAAAAACTGCAAAAATGCCGCTGTATAAATCCGTATGCGTTGGACTGGAACGACTCGGAAGAGTCGTCCCAGTCTTATCACGCATTAGCTCTGGAAGAGGTCCTACAAGAGCTACGTACATAATGTTTCTTGAGAACTGGCGAATGTATTATCTTCCCTGCAGAGCTTTTATTATCGGATGATTTGTGTCTCGACAATTAAATCAAACGTGAATAGATTGTTGAGTAAATCCTGTCAAGGTTCCGGAGGAACAACCTTTAGTAATGAACAACTGGTGAAAGCTATGCACTCCAAAAATATCAAGTTTTTGTAATTTGAAACGCTAGATAAGAGCTTCAATTACCAAAATTCTTATCATGATGACACATGCCCTGATAAGCTCGTTTGACAATTAGGGGCCTGTTTACATGAAGGTTGGGGACCCCAGGTAGGTTAGGTAACCCACCTAGGTGGGGTAACCCGCCTGTCCATATAATCTCTTATTTTATCTTAATCACATTTATATGGTAGGTGGGGTGACCCACCTGAGCGGGTTGCCCGGTCTGCTTGGTATGGTAACCCTGTCAGCCGGGGTGACAATTTGCCATGTAAACCGCTCAAGATGGAGTAACCCGCTTAGCCGGGGTCACGTTCATATCAAAGGGAGATAAAATGAGCCAAGGGGTAGCGAAACACATGTGTTTTATAACTTTTTCCTTTTCTTAGCCGTCCCATACTGAGCTGAAACATCAAACACTAACTTAACGTCCTATTAGCAATGAAGACTCGACGGCAATTTAGTCAAGTTTTTACTTTGAACTTAAGAGTACATTCACATGTTGTAAATAACTTTTTTTGGTAACGTTTTAAAACAATTCGCCGCGGTGACATCTTAAATCCCTGATTGCAAGCGCGACAATAAGCTCGAGAAACTTCACGCCGGCCCCGGATTGTAAGTAAACGCGGGCTATTTTTGGACCACGGCGAGGCGGGTTACTTCACCTACCTGGGGTTCTCCACCTCCATATAAACAGGCCCTCAAAAAAAGGACACCGGAAACACTTGCTCATTTTTCCCCTAAATAAACAGGCCTTTTTTTCGTCTTTCTCAGGGCCCTAAGCCTTGCTAACGATACCTCGAGTTGCTTTCCAAGACTTCGCCATACCCAGGACTTCATCTTTGGAGCCTTACGGACCATTCAAATTTTCTTGGATCAGTATGTTCAAAACCATGTAATGGGATAGTCACAGAGTTAAATATATCCATGTCGATGCTTAAATCTTAAATATTACGTTCATTTTTTCCTCACAATCGGGAGTATTTTGAAAGTTTTGCTTTAGCTCTGATTTAACCCTTGTTCAACTGATACTAAATCCAATAATTATATAATTACGCTTCTGACTCCATTTTGAAACTACTCATGAGACCGGGTGACACTGGCGTAGTGGTGGTAATTTCCTTTCGTTTTAAGCCATTTAAATCAGAAGTAAAGAAAAAGATTTGCTTAGAATAAATTTTCAATCTTCTGAGAGCTTACCAACTTATTCTCCTGGAGGAGTCTGTAGTGAAATTTACTCGAGAGCTCTTAATGTGTTTTTTGTTTTTGCTATAAGCTGATATTAAGCCCAGGACACGCAATTTTGAGGCCATATCGAGATTTTCCATTCAACCAGGTCTTTCTGTTTTGATCAAAATGCGTTTGTTCGGAATGAGAAGGCGCATAAAGCGCGTTAGCAACTCCATAGATGTGAATAAAGATACGAGTTCATACCTGTTGCGTGAAATAGTCAGGCTACCCTTTGGCGAAGACCAGAAGGAATGTTCGATCTCGTTGATATTTTAGTCAAGTTGCATCAGCGAAATCTTGAAATCGTATACTTGTGTCACGTGAAAAAAGACAGACGCGTAACATCAGGTCAATTTTAGAGCTCGCGCCTAAGATCTGGTGGTATATTTGTTTTTAGCTGTTCAAAATATACATATAAAAAAAACCACTCGAAACTAGTTTATGTTCCCCATGGACGAAATATGCTTTTTGTATGTGCGTCATAAGGATGCGCAAAGACAGACGTTCTGAAAGTGTGAGGGGAGTGGGTCCTTCCTTAACGCCATATTAGAAATTATTTTATAAGCATTCAGGGTTGTTTTAGTATTATAAATGATCACTTTTCTAGGCCATGCAAGGGGTGTAACCCCCCCTTCTTACATTCCGATGAAATGCTTATTTCATAATACTCCATGATAAGTTAGAGGGAAAAAGCAAGTTGAAATTTCAAAAGTGGCCGTCTGACCCCAACATTTTTTTATTTTTATTCTAAGGTCCTTCTTAATATTATTATTCGCCCTGTAAATTAGATTATCATTTTCTTTTTGTTTTGTTTAGGCAGTTATGTGAATTTCCACTTGGCCTTTGCGTATTCGCTTGACGGTTTTCATAATTTTTTTTTGTTAAGTTGTCGTGCTGCCCCGTCTTGTTCTTTTATCTTTTCCCGTTTATCTTTTGCCCATTTTATTTCCTGGGGTTTATTTCCTGTTTCCTTATAAGAACATAAGGAAACACGGTTCTCTTGGTTTCCTCATGGTATATTTATTTTAAAGTGCATGTCATATTACAATAGTTGCCCAGCTTGTGATGAAAGTCATGAGTCTGCCTTTTTCTCTGTTCATGTGGAACATCCTAGATGAAGCCTACTTGAAATTTCAATGGAAATTTTTTAGCCCGAGATTGAAGAGAAAAAAAAATATTAGCACGTGAACATGAACAACAGCAACAACAACAAGTAGTGATTATCAGAACGTGGCGGCAAATTCAGACAAAAAATCTAACCGAATACTTCATAAGTTATTATCAGCATGTGTCAACTCAGTGCGTCGAAAAGAAACTGCGCACGGCCTTGACTACAAAGCAAACCTTCCAAAAAATTCAATTTAACATCATGTATGGGAGTTTGGTTTTGAAAAAAATAAAAATTTAAGTATCTTACATTCGGTCAAAAGAAGGAAAAAAGAAGAAAGTAGAAGGAAAGAAACGCAACAAACATTCGTGAGGACGATAAGCCCGACAGAAAAAAAATGAGTGAAGAAGGAAAGGGAATCGCTTACCCGGCACTCCAACAAGGAGAGAACGCTTCAAAAGCGGTTTTTCTTGGCTCTTGCCTGAGTTAACTGACGGACGTCTTTGATCTGAGAATTTGAAAACGCGATTTACCAGCCGTCACTTTGTTAAACCAGAAGCTGTCGAGATCTTCCAGTATTCCTATTTTTTTCCTTAATTCTTACCACCATTCATATCATCAAACAATACATACGTGTTCCCTCAAGGTTATAAGGCACAAAGTGTCAAAGGCTATGTCTTGCGGTCTAACCAAAGAATGCACTAGTGTTAAACTCAAGATAGAATAACACAGAAAAAAAAAACATTAAGACTTTCATTCAGTGTTCTATGTTTTAAAAATAAACTCTTTACCGTATTTGGTAGTTCTAGAACTAAGCTAGATCGTATTGTATGGGTTTAGTTTTTCATCGGACTGGAAGCACGGCCAAAAGGTTACAATGCACTAGCCGGGAATCGAACCCGGGCCTCCCGCGTGGCAGGCGAGAATTCTACCACTGAACCACCAGTGCGTCTGAGTTTCAGGGGGTGGCCTCTAGTAAAACATTGGCTTCGCCTCGGGGAACATTGAGAGTTGAGGGGAAAGCTTCTCTTTGAGCCACCATCAACTGTTTTGTTCTGCATAAAAATCAAAGATAGAACAAATTAGAGGAGAGGGGGGGGGGGCTAAGGTCTCTCTAGTTTAAATCTTATTAAAACGTTTCTTCCTAACTTTTATCTTTCCAGAGGAGTCTCTCAACATTTTCACGGTACTTGGTTGTGGCCTTGTCGTTAGATTGCGAGTTTTTGTCCGAAAAAGCAGCTGAATTTCGTCCTCGGTTCTTTCCTGATGCTCTTTTGAAAGTATTTACTTGCCACGACTGAAAAAAACTAATTTCTCGACGTGAGCTTGCTCAGGAATTTGTTCCGGTTTCAAGTTGCACAGGTCGTTACAATATTTCTCAAGTCAAAAGTCTGAAATGCTTGCTTCAATGCAATATTTGTCTTTGTCGTTAGAAATCAGATAAACATGATAACTAATCAAGTATTCCATTCCTCCTGCAGCTACATGGAGACGGAGCTTGGGGAGAGATCCCCAGACATCTTCACCTTCCCGCCCCCCTTATTTTGGTTAAAAAAAAAAAATGAAAAAAAAAATCGCAAAAGGAAGAAAAGCCGGCAGGGCAAGCGACAAAAAACCGGGGCCCCTTTAGCTCAAGGTCTGGATATTACAGGTAATGACAAGATTTCGAGTGCAATTTGGTGTAAATAAGAACGAGTACATTTTTCAAAGACATCAAAATCAGTAGTCGTGGAGAATTTCAAGTGCTTTTTCACACCAAGTATGGGTACAACATGATTACGCGTGCAATTTGGTGTTGGGCGAGAGTAAATTTTTCAAAAACATCGAAATTGCATGAGCCCGTAGGGCGAATGCAATTGCAATTGCTTATTTACACCGAATCACACAAGGAATCGTGTTGTTACTTGATGGCATAATACATGAAAAACGCATTGCAGACAGTTAAGACGGACAAAATCATGATTTTGGCAGCACGCGTGCTATTGGTGATTTGCACTCGTGTTACACGTAACTACATAAAAAATGCACTCGTTTCATGTTTATTACTATTCACAAATATACAACCTAACTTGTCAAGGGCAACAACAACTTGAATTGTCCTAATCCCTAAGAGTTTTTTATTTTAATTTATTATCACGCTGCGTGACACACGACTGAACAATGACCTCCGAGGAGAAGAGGAGAGTGTTATCTTAATCACGCCCAATCCTCCTTAATCGTTGATATGGATACTGACGAGATCCTGGAAGAAATAGGAAGTTATGGACTCTTTCAAAAGCGAAATTCTTTACTTCTTGGCCTTATAATTTTCGTACTGACCTTCCAAACGGTTTCTATGGTGTTTATCGGGGGTGAGCCAAGATGGCGGTGCAAAGGAAACAGCTCTATATGTACACGAAACGAGACGTTCAGTTCATACGACGGCTTTTACAAAGCCAGATGCAATATGAGTTCTGACGACTGGGAATTTACCACCGAGTTCACATCTATCATCACTGAGGTTGGCCTGTTATTTTTCTCGAAGTTTGGACAGATGTTTCGAGGTTAAACTTCCTGTGCAAAGTCTGACCAGGATTGTAAACAATGACCTGTGGAGTCTAGTCTAGGGTCGGATGAATTACGGTTGAAAATCTGAGCATTATGCCTTGGAGCGTCACCCCTGAAAACATCGCATGTTACTGAAAATTATGCTCAAATTTTTAATAATGCTTAATTTGATAAAAACAGTTTCGAAGATTTGCTCAATCTCCCTTCTCCCTTTCCTACGGCCCAACAGGTGAACATTATAAGATTGAGAGGCTTCAAGTTCAGAACAAAACATTTTACGGAATCAAATTCCATGGAGAAAACCATGCTCACTGATGACGTTACTCAGGCTCCATAATTTATCTCTTGTCTAACTGTAACAAGTTTAATCAAAATGCCAGCATCATGCTTGCCAATCTGATTATTACATTCTGCCAAAAATTATGCTGGCGTAATTTATCTGACCCTGGGTCTTATCTGACCCTAAGGCGAGGTTCCTAAAAGGGGGGAGAGGAGACTGGGGTGTTTTACTGGAAATTAAGTTGGAGGAACGGTATGACTTGCTTCTCAGACTACTCCCCTGGGCCTTTTAGATAGTTGAAGAAGCTGTCTGGAATTCTGCATCATAGGTGGAGGGGTATTTTTCACCCTTTGAGCCCCAAGATCTCAGTAGCAGGTTTATCTATTGTCCAACATACATTTTTCACAATGTTAGTCCAAAAAAATTTGGTTTTGTAAGGAGAAATTATTTCTTTGTCAGTCATTGGAGTGAAAAGGTTAACCCCTTTAACTGCCATGAGTGACTAAGAATTTCTCCTTACAATATCAGTACAATATCAACCAGCTAAGTGATAGGAATAAAGAAGAATATCAAATTGGGGATAATTAGTTGATCTAATATTAAATTATTGGAACTAAAATTATAAGGATTGTATAGTTGACAGTGAGGAGAACAACAAATTTGATCTGGGAGTCATAGGGTTAATCAGTAAGCTTTTTATGTTTCACCTTCGTGGTATACATGTTACCTTTTCCATAAAGGATGAACATGAAATGGCTTGCTGAACTGTAAACACTTTATGATAAGGGTATGTGCAGCATGCAAGCAGACAGCTAGCCAAATGTTCAGATAGTCTTTAACCCTCTGTGGCTATGAATATTCCTCAAACACATCATCATTTTGTTCTCATTTTTTTCTTTTTACTCAAGTGGAACCTTATTTGTGGTGCAGAATATTATGCAAGCCTGTCACAATCCATACTGTTCATTTGGTGGATTCCAGGAGCATTTATTATTGGAAGACTGTCAGACAAGTTCGGTAGAAAACAAGTCCTTTTTCCTGCTGTTTTTTTTGTTGCTGTGTCTTCACTAGCAAGCTCCTTTGTTCCTGTGCTATGGTGAGTAGAGAGTAAAACATAAGGGTCTGTAGATATGGGATTTCTCTTTGAGTGTTGAACTTGATATTTCATGAGTGATTACAGCAAATGCATGAGATATTGAATTGAATACAGGAGGTGAAGTTCCACATCAATAAGCAACCATGTATTATTTTGTGTCTTATATAAATGTAAACACCATTGGCTTTTTCTGACAAGAAAATTAGACAAATAACCTTGGATTGAGAATGGTGAGTGCTTTGCCATTCATTCATTTATCTGATGGAGTGGGGCAAAAGGCAGGCAATGTGTAATTAATTATTGTAATTAATTATTGTAATTAGATTATTGTAATTTGACATTTTTCCTGGGACTGGAAATCCTTGTAAAATAACATGTTTTATTTAATGAATAATATAAATGTCAAACGGCAGTAGATTTAAGAATCATATGTTAGCATTATGCACATCATGCATCAAGTATTGGATCTACCAAGGGTGTTGCTAGGGGAGGTTGTGGGGTGCCCATGACTCCCCCCCCCTCAACCCAAAACACATCATGGAGGTCAATAAGATAATCTGGTAAGTACCCTCTGTATGACATAGTGTGACCACCCTTTGATAAATCCTGTCTAAGCCCCTGTCTACTTGACCTAGCTCTGATTGGCCACACAAGTTTAATCATTACTTGAATGAAATTGTTGCAATATTTGCAATATTTATTTTACTTCCCATATGACATTTTTCTCAGGCTGTTTTTGACTCTAAGAGGAATAACAGGGTTCTTTCAAGGAGGTGTTTATATAACCCTTTATGTGCTTACAACAGAGTTTGTTGGACCAAAACACCGAAGTTTAGCTGGGACAGTGGTTTGGATTTTCTACACTTCTTCACTTATGATCCTGAGTGGATTGGCATATGGAATACGTGAATGGAGAACTTTGTCAATTGTTATATCTGCCCCAGCATTTTTACTTTTGATATTTTGGAGGTGAGGAAAAACAAATCATGAGGTAGAGATAAAACTATCACATGGAAATAAGTCAATGAAAATTACCTTGAATGATATCTTTGAGAACTGCAAGAATAACATTCTTTGTGGGTCATGGAAAACAACATAGATGTCATAAAAAAGCTTGTGGAAAATGTGAACCTAGAATTTTTTTTTGGAATGTTTTATCTTAAAGGTGGGTACCTGAATCATGTCGATGGCTGATAGTTCACAACCGAGTAGGTGAAGCAAGGAAGGTGTTTTCATTGATTGCTACCATAAATAAAAAACAGCTTCCCACTGAGACACTTGCACTTGCAGAGAATAATCACAATGCTGTAGAAGAAGGTGGATTTTTGGATTTGGTTCATACCAGGATCCAGCTTATACAGACTGTTATTCTTTGGTTTGCGTGGTAAGCATTTTTGATATTTACAATTAAAAAAAATAGTAACAAAATATAATTCAAGTTACTTTTAAACCCCTGATTTCTTCCCCCCCCCCTCTTGGCTGCTTCAATGACATATCATTCAAATGTCATTCTTTCTTAATTACAATTAGTAATGCTTCCAGGACAATCCCCCCCCCCCCTGAAAAATAAAATAAGCAAGGCTCATTGCTGCTTTCAGTATGTGTGATGCCTGTGGTAGATCATGATTGTTTTAGAAATTTGCTTGAGTGTTGTGTTTGTGAGATGCGGAGATTAGCCATGGGCTCATGAGCCATGTGCTGGTGCTTCTCTTTGAACTTAAGCCCTGTTGGTGGGGGGTGCTTATTGGATGGGTGATCACAAATAATATCCCCTGTTCCTGAGTTCTTTCTTGTAAGTGCTCTTCCTTTTCTCTCTGCAATAAAAGAAATTTTTGGGTAACTTCTTCACCAAAGCGGTGATGTTTGGTAAAAAGTTAACTTTGGAACTTGCTATCATGACATGATGCAGTGCCTGGAAAACTGAGTCCTTGGAGAATGAAGACTTTTTTTTTTCATGGAGCAAAACTCATAAAACTGAATCCTAATGATGTACTAGTGATGTCTGGTTTAGCCATACTTGACTAGCTTGTACTTACAATTGCTGAGCCAGTCAACTTTCTGGAACAGCATTGTTCAATTATCATCAGTTATATATGATAGCAATTTTTTCCTTTAAATACAATTATATTAAATTTCAAAACCAGTTTTCTAAAAACTTGTAGGAAAATGTTTATCTTTCAGGCGTTTGAGACAAGATATTAATTTAATGTTTTAAACAATTCTTAGGTTTACTAATTCCATGGTTTACTATGGAGTACTTTTGAGTGTTGGAGTGCTAGGTGGAAACCTTTATTTGAATTTTTTCCTCACAAGTGCTATTGATATTCCCAGCAACTTTTTCGTTATCTGGTTCATGAGTTGGTAAGTGTCTGTTAATTATTAGGGGGATAGGGTTGGGTGTGGGGGGGGGAGGAGGGGGGAGGAGGGGGGGAGAAATTGGCCATACAGATATTGAAAAATTTCTTGTGTCATCTTCAAGGGTGGGGTGTGGCTGTTTATAAGTGAGGTTGTGCAGACCTGATGAGCAGTTCCTAATTTTACCTAATGTAATTTGTTGTGCAAGTCAATAGGAATCAGCAGAACAAAAAATATCTTGGTGTAGCTAAAACTGTTCATGGTCTGCAGTGAATGTTAATCAAGGACTTATTCTGAAATTGGTATTTGAGGCAAACATGAAGGAAAGAATGTAAATTGTAGATGTTTCAGTTAGCCAGTAAATTGATAGACAATCATTCAGCCAGTCAGTCGGTCAGTTTTAAGGTGGAGTGGTGGTTCCTTGGGTGAGTATGTCACTGTGCCCTTCATTTAGTTGGTTTATCAATCAGTCAGTCAGTCTGTTAGTGCATCAATCATCTTTCAGTCAGTTGATTGCTATGTCAGTCAGTCTGTCAGTCAATCAATCAATCTGAGTCAATCAGTCAGTCAATCAGTTGGTTAGTAATCCATCTTACCACTCATTCTGCTGGTCATGTCAATTTGTAAGTCAATTAAGGATGAACGTAATCACTCAATCAGTACATCAGTGTCAAAAGATTGGTTAGTGCAGTGTTGGTGGTTAGTGTGTTAAATAGTGGTTGTGTGTGTTGGCAGGAAATAAAAGATTTATTTAATGAGCCACCTAGGCCATCTCAGTTAGTATAAAACACAACCTGCTATAAAGTGATGTTTGAGGTATATTGATTTGGGTTTTTATTATTCCAGGGGAAAAGGAATTTTGTGTAAAAGTTTTTATGGTAGAAAGAGAGCTTTAATCCTTTGTATGAACCTGGCAGCAGTGTTCTGTATCACTGTTTCTCTAATTCCTCCAGAATCTGATTCAGGTGAGGGAATTGTAGAATTACTTTGTAAACCTACTCATTTACTTACAAAGTGCAACTACTGTTAAATTGGGCTGATTTAAAGTGACCAAATCATTTACTGAAAACGTGCAGTAAATTTCATCGGAGTTTTTAGTCACCTTTGCCTGCTTTGGTCTGAAGTTCTGATTGGTTAATTTGAATTTTATTGTGCGTTATTCGTGCGATGTGATGGTTGAATTTTTTAAGAGACCCTGGCTGTAACACTCTTAGGCGTTTTGAATTTGCCTTCAAGTTAGGTGTGGTTAATATTTTTATATTTGTCATTCAAAATTTCGTACTTTGTTGAAACGTTTTTTTTGTGGTCAAGTTATTGCATAGGCAAGGTTACCAAATGATTAATTGATATCTCAATTTCATTGGTTCATTAAACGCTCCACACTTTGCCACTCGATTTGATTCATTCTCTTGATAATTCGTTTCTCTATTTTAGTATGTTGTAACTTTAAGTTATGTTGAATATACTTCCATGATGACTTCATGATAAAGTGTTCTGCCTCTTTTAGGTAGCACAGCTGCACGTGTCATTTTCACAGTCCTTGGAAAGTTCTGCATCAATGCGTCATTCAGCACAATTTACGTTTTCTCCTCAGAGCTCCTTCCCACAGTCATCAGGTTTAGTTTGCTGGAATTATTTTAAATTTATTCTTCAGAGAGTGGGAGAGAGTTGAATTGCAAAACATAAAATATTTAAAATCAAACCTCTCCTAGCTTATACTGCTGTCGTTCTTAAGCGGACAGCTCTCAGTTATTGCTACTAAGTCAAGAAAAGGAACAAAGTGATTAAGGATTTGATGAAAATCACCTCTTTTATTTTTATATGTAATAGACGCGGTGAACTCCGGGTCTATAGGTCTGGGTTTAAGACTTGGTTGGGTTCATGTGATGAGTTCCTGGGCGAAACACATTACTCTTACAGTACCGGCGAACCTCCATGCCGGGGGAGTAGTTATACTCCCAGTCGCTTCATGCTACAGAGACCACGATAAGTGCAGTTGAATGGACCACTAGGGTCTGCTGAAAACTTAAATTCTTTTACTTTGTTCTCACAAGGAATTTAGGAATGGGAAGTATGGCTGCATTTGATCAGGCTGGTGCTAGCATTGCTCCATTTGTGGTTTTACTGGTGAGTATAACTTCAATCTGCCGGGCTTTAGATGGCAAACAAAGACTAATCACGCCTACTCACTTGCGTTTTCCTTCGAACAATTTCTTTTGGTCTGATAGGTTTTTGTGATTTCTTGATTTTTATTTTACTGACACAATCGAATGAGAGCGCTTGTGTTTTGTTTTAGTCACAACTGTGAGGCAATTTAGTAACGATCGCAAGTCTGTTTAAGGAGCCAAGTCGGTCGCATTTTTTCATAGAGCACTCTTTTTACTGGGTAATTTAGTGTTAACAACTGAGTTAAAAACGTAAATTAGCCACCGTAAAGGGTAAAGAAGCAGACGTTTCGAGCGTTAGCCCTTCGTCAATCGCTCTTACGAAGGGCTAACGCTCGAAACGTCAGCTTTTTTACCCTCTAAGGTGGCTAATTTACGTTTTCAACTCAGTTTTTGACACTAAATTGCCTGCTATACTCTCCCACCGACGCAGCACCACAGTTTCTTTAGAAACTTACCCCCTTTACTCTTTTTACTGTTTAATTTTGCGAGGAGTACTTGAACGCATATTTAGAGTTTTCGATTTGAACCGCACATAGATATTTACATTTTCTCTAATGAAGAAAAGATCTTACCTTCTTTTCAGCGGCTGCGACCCCCGTTTCGGGCTTTGTTTATGAAATGAAACAGAAAATGTTTAGAGAGGAAAGGTGTCCTGATCTTCAGCCGTCTACCATACGCGAGTAACAACCTAGTCTGAACAAGTATATTCTGAGAGTGACTCTCTTGAAGTACTGGTGTCTCGCTTACCTACAGTAACTCTCCAACATTGCTCTTAAGTTACTAGTTCAGGTTTATGCGTGTCGTTCAAGAGTTGTTTTTGTTGGAACAAGCCCATTTGCTCCTTCTTTAATGTTCTTCTTCTATTTCAACAGGACAAAACTCACCCCGTGATCCCATTTGCTGTGATGAGTGGCTTTGCTTGTGCCTCTGGGTGCTTGTGTGGTCTTCTTCCGGAGACCCTTGGACGGCGGACCTTGGAGACATTAGAAGACATATCCCATGCATCTCCTTTACACGATGAACTGCGTGACAGCGATCAGAGTGAAGAGTATCTAACTTCGTCGGTGTAAACCTTCAGTGTCTGGAACACAATGACTTTGCCTCCTGCTGTGACTTAATCGTTCAATGTAAAAAAATTTCAAAAGAAGCTCATACTGAATTGTTCAGCAGGGCTTACATTGAAGAAATGTAAAATAGTTTCCGTGTTTACATAGCCTGATGTAAACACGCGGGAGGTTGGGAGAACACGAGATAAGCGTAGGAAACCACGACGCGAAGCGGAGTGGTTTCCAGCTTATCGAGAAACCATTTTACATTTCTTTTATAAAATAACTAATGAAAGAGGAACGAAATATTCTGCAAAACTTGTATACGCTTGTTTACATACGCACATGTAAAATGGTTTTATGGCCAATCAGAGCGCGCGTACTATTTGAATTATTTCATAAAACGTTTTTTTAAACCATGACCTTGAAAATGGCCATTTTTTAAGAGCATCTATTCACGAGAAGAAAGCATTAAACTAACAACTAAATGGGAAAATGGACCGGTTATGGTGACAGAACGTGATTCTATATTCATTTGATTTTTTATTTTAAAATATGAATTCGGGCCCGTTATATTACCGGGACTTTCAAGAAACGGGTCCTTGCAGAGCTATTATTTTCACAGCGCGCCTAAATTACTTTATATTTTCACTGTGCAATAGTCAGTAACTACTGGAAGGTTTTTGATGTATAAAATGAAAAGCAAGGAACAAAGGATGGAACCTTCTGGGACGCTAAAAACGATTTCCCTGGTTTCCTAGTATTCCGGTCTCGCACGTAAAATAAGGGCGGTTTTAGAGGTTGGGTGGGAACCACTACTCAGCCGGAGGACGAAAAGCAAGTGAAATAAGTCCCTAAAGAGAATGTCGGAGTTAGAGATCTTGATCAAATCTAAAAAGAATAGTCATGTAGGCAGTGCGTGGTCAATGTTTCTCTAAAGAGCATTTTTAACACTGAAAGAGCCCGTAAGTGAGGTAATCATCAGTAGCCAGAAACCAAATTGACACTGAAAATGAGTTTGTGGTCTCTCAGAGAGCCAAAAACTGGTTGATGCTAAAAAAAATTCGAGGATTCTCGAACTGCTGCTTGGAGAGATACGGGTCTGTGGTAGGAGGTATCTGCTAAACGTCTAGATTTCCATTCAAGAGTTTCAGGTGAGGTCAGAAAGCCCTCGCAAATTACTCGCCTTGTTTAGGTGCAAGTTTTGCAATGACTACAGTAGCTTCCCTAAGGATATGAGCTGAACACGTTTCTACGTGTAAATCATTACCAGCGACGGTTTTCCATCACGAGATTCATTCGCACAGCATTCACATCCTTGAACTTTTTAAATGAGGATCACGAGAATGGCCCCTTTCCAAATGACACATTGCGTGACATTTCGTGACCATGCCCCACCTTGTTGTATTCAAATTTTAGTAAGATTCGACCAATCAGAATACGAACTTCTGCGTGGCTCGGCCAATAGCAAACCATATAATTGAATAACAAGGAATGCAAGCAACGAAGCGTCTGTAAATGATCACGTGACTTACCGAGCGTGGTTGAAGGTCTGCATATTGTTTGAATCCACCATCTTGCTCTGTGGAGTTATGATGGGTGTTAGGAGCTTAGCGGCTGGTTTGTGGTTATTCCACTGCTTGTTCGTCGTTTGTGCAAGTGAGTATTGTGTTTGATTTTGGAGCTGAAGCTATTTTCTCTCTCGAAATAGCGCTAAACTGTTGCTCGTATTCTGCCGAAGCGAGAAACAGAAGTAAAGATATTAGTCCCACCTACATCTGTGCCCTAAATTATTCGTGATGTGGTAATTCCGCAGTAATAATCTTCAGTGTGATGCCTTGATTTCTTTTCATCCTCGTGCTACAGAATGTGCGATCTTTTCTGCGTCCCTCTTAATTGTTATTTTACGGAAGTCCATGAGGGCCAGGACCTCTGTGGAATTTGTTCTGATGTTCAAGCGAACAATTCCTAAACTGTTTATGCGAATAAGTTTTGAAAAATTACTGCAATACACGCGTATTAAAGCTGATTGGAAAATTTGGTGTCAGCATTTGTGGTTTATTCTTTGTTTTTGCACAATTTTCGACAATTTTTCTTGTTTTGGTCTCGATTTAAAACGAATTAAGCGATGTTCATGATCTGTAGAATGTTGATATCAGTTCAACTGTTCAAACGTAACTGTTCCCCTTTTAACGTTTCATATTTCAGCGTATCTTTTTAAAATTTATGCTTAAGCGCTGATGTATTTTGCAGGTCTGTTTACACTTGTAAGAAGCTCAACTGTATTTGTGCTTAGGTAATGGACCTCGCCAAGCAATTCCAGTTGTTTGGCATAGCTTTGGCGAAGTCGGCTAATGTTTTTATAAAACTTGAGGTATTTTTTCGTTAATTTCATAGGAAGCATTTTTGTACGATGACGGTTTTCTTAAAACTAGAAAATAAAAGTGTTTGCAAAGTCAACCTATAATCGAGCAAACTGCACAGAGTAATGAAGTATACTGAAACTTTCTCTGATAGCATCGAACCAAGTATTTCATTAAACTGGAAAAAATTCTAACTATGGGTTTGTTTATGAGATACAGAGTTTCATTTCAGTTTTTTTGAAAGCTTCCTTGCCTTATGTGTTAACTGCTTCGATGAAATACCTGGTGGTTGACCGATCAAGAAAGAAATGTTGCTACTTTCGAAGGTGTTATTTCCACCTAAATCATTGCTCAGCGATTTGTGCACCTTTGTTTTCCGGGGTAAAATTCTCCTATCTCGCTATTTTCACCCGTGGCTGTGTTATGAAACCAGAAACAATGAAAACATTGTTACTTTCGCAACGTTTCTATATTCGTGAAGCGCTTATTATTCATTTCTGATTTAACTATCAGTGTTCTTTTCTGTGGCCAATTGAATCGGGCAATATGTTGACTAGTTTTCTGCTTTATTTTGTCATGAAAGTTTGACTAAATTGAGAGCAGCGATAAAACGTTTGTTGGCGACAGTTTTTTCAGCTATTTATTTCTTGATGGGTGTACAGAGTTTGACTCTGTTCCCAGGAACGTTAATATGTTTGTAGCCCTCTAAAACGCTATTGCATGTATACAAAAATGAAAAACTTGTTTGAATATTTTTTCGCACATGTTATTTTTATCAACATCTGTTAAAATCAATTTTGACAGACGTTCTGAAGATCATTTTAAAGTGTTTGTGTATTGAATGTATTCTTGCTCGATAAGATCTTTGACTCACCTGGATGAACAAGAGAAAGCGAAGTTTTCACGCTGAGTAATATGATCCAATTGACGTTTGCAGTTAATGTGTAGGTGTCATAGTTGTTTTATCTTTCTCTCCATTATTTACCTTTGCCTACTTAAAACCATAACTTAAAGAAAATGAATATTTGTTACCAAAGGAATCAGTTTTACATATGGCCAAAGTGGAGTCAGCCTAAAAGTCACTCGTATTGCATTTTTCATGATTGAACATGTCTTCTTGTTGTTGCTTGTTTCTGAAATTACTGGTAACAGATCTTTGTGCACAGGAAGCCTAGGTGGATTAAATTCATCACATACATGTGTCATCGAGGACAACAATTACTGTAACCTTTGTTGTGGAAGTTTGTGTGATGTAAACTGCTTTAGGTCATGCAATTTATTTAGTTTTAAGATACTTTCACTTTGCAATTTCTCTTTGTAGTTATGTAATGTGCATCTGCATTAATGGTAGTTATTGCTATTGAAATGTTTGTTGTAAAGTTTCAAGATTTCTTTTTTTCTTTTTTTTTTTTCAAAATTTCTACAAATGAACCATAGAACAGAGGTAGACTCTAATATTGTAGGGATTTCCTTGAAGGCAGGGTACCTTGTGATTTGACAGGCTGTTAAGATGACTTAAGCCTGCTGCTTTCCAAATCTCAGACAGAATTAAGTTCAAATTACCTTTCCATATTTTCTTTATACATGTATGTCTCCTGAAAATTAAACAATAATTTACTTTTCTATTATATACCTCATTTACCATTTTCATCATCATCAGCCAAGAAGGGGTTTCAGCACAGAATGCATCACAAAAAGTAATGTTGTGCTCAAAAGGCCTAGCAATTTTACGAGTTAATGTGCAAGTAACTGGCAAAAGGAGAGGGTTGATCTCTCAAGATTCAACCCAGCACACTTCTCCTTAAAATTTTGATTTGTGTTTGTACAGAATGATTATATATGTACATCTAAACACTGATGACACTGTCTAATGAATGGTGAGCAGATGTAAAGATTTAATAAGTTAAAGATTACAATTTGCATATGGAACTAATTTACTTGTTGATGGATGCATCAAATTCAGTTTTAATTAATTATGGAAATGATAACTTTGTGGCTACAGAGGCATGGTACTTTCTGCTCCAAAATACAGGAAAATGCTTTTCTTTAACAGCAGAATATCAAAAGAGTAATTTTTTTGTCTGAGTTCAACTGAGTTATCCACAGCAATTTTCACCATATTCTATTCCAGCCTCTTTGGGACAATTCGTAATGCTTCTTATATAACTGGAAATCCCATGGCTGGGAATTTCAACATTTTCTTATTCTGTGGTATTAAGTTCTGATATTTTGTCATTCTTTTCCTCTTCTTTGGCCTTACCACCATTGTTGTTTGGTATCATTAGTTTTATCATTGTTGATAATCTGTTAAGTGTTGGACTAGGTTTAACTTGTGTTCACCACTTAACTTGATTTCTACATACAGTTTCTTTTGGCATGTTTGAAGTTTTTGTCAGTAATTGAAAATGTTATTGCCAGTTGGGTCTGACTCTAAGTTGCCATGTAACTGTTAGTTTATATGTTGAAGGTTCAAAATTTTCCTTGGTTTTAATTTAATCCACCAGTTTGAATTGTGCCAGAAGTGGAATGATATTCTCTCAGGTAATCCAAAACCAAAAAAAAACAAGGTGAAAATAATGCAAAATTTCAGAAAAAAAATGGAACAAGAACCCTAGAAGGAATTAAATCCAACATGTACTTGAAGTGTATTTTGTTTGTTTTTTCTTTTAAGTTAAGTTAAGGAATCCTCCCACTTGAATGATAGGGTTACGTTGTATGTTTAGAGAGAGTTTTGCATTAAGGTGGACAACAGAACAATTTTGCTCTTCACTCGATAGTGAGTATCTAAGCTTATTTGATTTTTGGTTCTATCAGTTGACCGCGAATTCCCTGGTAATGCTTACCTCAAGTACGACGCCAACAAGAAGCCAATCAACTCTGAGGAAGACATCTTGACTCTTCAGTTTAAGACAGTTGAACCCTCTGGACTGTTGTTCCATACCCAAATGGGTGGTGGTAGTAGTGGAGACTATGTCACAGTTGAGCTCTATGGTGGAAGTTTAAGGTATGTAGCTGTGAAAAGGGATTGTCAGACAATATTAACTGATGGTATTATTACAATGTGCAGTGAAGATGGCAAGCTTTTATATAGTCTGCTGCATGCAAGGAGCTTATTGATAACAATAAGGCATTATATGATAAAAAAGGCAAAGTGTTGTTAACAGCGACATTATTCATGCCTCTGTCCTCCAGTAGATTATTGGAACCTATCCAAGTGTACATAAAATTCAACTTATTGTATAATTTTGTTCACTTTTTTGGTATGTTTTTGTTCACAGGTACAGTGTACGGCTTGGTGGAAGTAATGATGGCAAAGAATTGTTACTGGGCCAAGATCTTAACGATGGAAAACCTCATACTGTAGAAGTGGTACACAAGGAAACTGTCATAAATGTTACGCTAGACACTAAAACATCACAAGAGAAGAGGGGTAAAATTACCACCAATTATAAAAAGCTTGAGGTAGATGTTGGCATCTATGTTGGAGGAGCACCTAATTTCCAAAGCCTCCAAGGGGTCAAAGCACAGTTTTACTTTGTGGGTTGTCTTACTGATGTGAAGTTTCGGATCGAGACAGTTACACCTCCACGTGAAATACAATTCCTCAAGGAGGGTGTTGTTGAAAGCGTGAAAGTTGATATGAAAAAGGGGTGCTCAACAGTAGCCTTTCAGCCATACACTTTTTCAAAATCAGACTCTGCATTTATTTGTACAATTGACAAGAAGACTGATGTCACTGGAAGCTTTAAGTTCCGAACATATCAGAAGTTTGGAACTCTCCTTAAGCAAGGTGATGAACAGAATGGTTTCACCATAAAGTTTGGAGGAAGTGGTATTACTTTGAGTTTGTTTGTCAAGGGCACAGCGACTGAAGTGACCCTTTCCACTAATGTTAATGAGGCAAAGGTTGACACTGGGAACTGGATTACTATTGAATTTTTTGTCTCTGCCACCAACATCAGGTTGGAAGGTAACAATAAATTACCAGTCACAAAAACTCCAACTGAAGCTGTGGGGAATAATTTCTTCCACTCTGATGTAACAGCTGGTGGTTTCATTGGCTGTATGCGAGACCTTAAAATCAATAATAACGACTTTAAGCCAGTCAAGGGAGTTGACATTGTCAAAAATGTGGAATTTGACAAATGTAACATCACTGATCTTTGTGTCTTTGTCCCCTGCTTGAACTATGCAAAATGCACAACTGATGGAAAGGAGCTGACTTGTAATTGCCCAGGCACTGGCTACAAAGGAGAAGTGTGCCAGTGGGGTAAGTACTTGTAGACTGTTGATTGTATAACAATCTAATGGTAAGATGAGATGGTGTGGTTATGGTGTACTTAAACACCACACCACATCTTATCTAGCAACAAAGTTCTGTTAAACCCTTGGACCTCTAAGAGTGACTAACATCTGATTTCTCTATGCAAAATTATCACTACTTGGAGAAGCTTTTGATTGTTACACTAAGTCTCCTTGTCAGCACCTTAGGAAATGTATAGAGGACAGTAGGGAGAAGATGAATATTGATGTTTGGGTGTTAAGGGTTTCAGTCATGGTTATGATGTATGTCCATAAATTAGAGAATTTTTCTTTCATTTTTGGTATGGGTTTTCGGACAGAGGCTTTGCTCTTTTGTTTGTCACTACCAAATATTTGTTAAGAATGTATGGCAAATTGTCAGAGTGTAAAATGCCGAAGCTCATTAGTTACTTTGCTAGACTTAAGCTGGGACATTGTCTTTTGTTCTTGGATATGACATTTAACTCTCCCCACCCAAGGATGTTCATTCAATCCTGTATGTCCCAAGATCCAAATAGCATTTCTCCTTACTGGCTGCCATACATTTTCTTGTGAATCACACAATGGAATTTGGTGTTATGGCAACAGAACACCCCTCTGGCTGACTGTAACTAGTCTGTTCTCATTGCTTGCTGGCAGTATGACATATTGGAATTGTAAGGAGAAGTTACAAGTTAATCGCTTTTGGGGGTTAGAGGTTTAAATGATTACTTGCTGACTGTCAGGGGAACTTGACTGAACGCTGTTTTGATGCTGTGATTTACACAACACTGATAAGCTGTTATTGGATGTGGATGAGCATGACATCATGAATTACTAATGCAGAGGTCTGAGTTATTATCTGCCTTTGCTGAAGGCTGAGGCTGGTAACACAGACAAGAGGTTTGATAATTTTTGATATCATCTGAAAACTAAATATTTGTTTTCTCATACATTCTTTAAGTGATCTTCAAAAATAGACACTTCTCTGAGTTTGCAAAAGTTTGACGACATGGGCACAGACAAGGGGCTGGGAAACTAAGCAGACTTTGTAATACCAAACCCAATATCTGTTGTGGATATTGGGTTATCTAGTCAACTTTACATGCTAATGTCTATAGACTGTATGCTCTTGATCAATAAGGGTTTTCATAAGAAGTCTAATGTGTAGTAAGGGAACTAGTAGATTACTGACTTTGAGTATGTGAAACTTGTAGAGTAACCTTCTGTAGCTTCCTGTATACAATGTACTGTATAGATATTTTTACCTTTGTTTCGACTAAATTTATTATGCATATGTTCTCCCCACAGCTGAGTATGCGGAAAATTGTGAGGCTCATAGAAGGCGACTCATTAATCTAGGTGGAAATCCCACTGATAGTTCATATACAGTTGATGTGGATGGGCCAGGTCCATTGGTGTCTGTAAGGCTGTTCTGTAACATGACAGCCAATCCAGCAATCACAGTAATCAAAACTGACAAAGCAGGGGGGAAGATTATCACCACTGGTGATAAAGGCACTCCAACCCAGCCTTATACTGAAGACATAAAGTATGTTCCTTATTTAAAAACAGCAAAAGCCTTGGCTAGGAATAGTGAAGCATGCAAGCAGTACATTGACTTTGGATGCAAAGGTGCTAGACTCCTCAATGCTGGTGGGAAAGACAAAACAGGCTATTGGGTTGCTAGTAATGGACTTTACAAGTATTACTGGGGAGGTGCCCCACCCAGTATGGAATCCTGTGCTTGTGGAGTGAATAAGACTTGTTCAGACAAAAGTAAGATGTGCAATTGTGATGCAAGAGACAATGTTTGGAGGAGAGATCATGGGTGGTTAACTTCTACATCTGACCTGCCTGTAACACAAGTGGTTTTTTCTGATGTGAAGGAAGGAGAGGCAAATTTTTCTGTTGGGGATCTATACTGCACAGGTGAGATGTGAATCTTTTTAGATGTGTATTCACTGTAAATAAACCTACTATTCCAAATTAACACATAGCTTCCAAACCCCAGCCTAAACAGTACCACTAGCTTATAGAGCAGTTGTAACTTTGACTAGTGAGTGCATAGTATTTTCTGGGGGAAAGGGGATGTTGAAGCTTCTAATTGAATGGCACTGTAGTCTTTCAAACATTTCACATCTTTGTTGTTATTTTTGTGAAGGAAAAACCCAAAATACAGCAACAATCATTCATGCAGATGGTGTGATAAAGCTTGATAAGTGGTCCCCACCTTCTCATGGGGTCATCTCTCTGTTGTTTAAAACACCTTATGCCAAGGGAACAATACTGTACAATGGCGATAACACCAAAGATTATTTCCAGTTGGAAATTGTCAATGAAACCAGCATCAGGCTGAACTACAATATCGGCAATGGAGTTGAGAAAATAGAATTGTCTCTGGGAAATGACAAGAAACTAAATGATCGTGAGTGGCACACAGTAACTGTTTATCACAACATGTTACAATTTGGACTGAAGTTGGATGAAGAAGAAAAAGAGAAAAAGAACCCTGTGCTCTTAGAGAAAGACTTAAACATAGATGATAAGCTCAATATTGGAACAAACCCCAGAGATGTTACAGCAGGATTTGTGGGCTGCATTCGTAGACTGGTAAGCAATTACTGTAACAAAAATACCTGTATCTTTCACTTTATCAACTTTGCTACTCTTCCAGGTTATCACTTTTAGAGACTTAGTTGGTTGTCTCCTATTAGTTAACACTGATAATGGCTTGTAGCAGCTTTTGAGGAGTTTACATTTCTCAGCATTTGCACTTTGGAGGAGACAGCTTTTCGAATTTACTTTGGCGGTGTACTCACCTTAACCTTAACCTCCCAGATCAAATTTGTAATTCTTCCAGTACTGTTAACCATACAATTCTTATAATGTTACTTCAGAGAATTCAGTATTAGATCAACTAATTATCCCCAAAGTGATCTTTTCTTTATTCTCATCACTTATCTGCTTGATATTGTATTGATATTGTTGGGAGAAATTTTGTCTTGGTCACTAATGGGAGTTAAAGGGTTAACTCTGTACAACCTTGCATTGGTATTCATATTCTCTACAGTGTTCTCTCTACATTTCCCATGGTACTGACAAGAGAGTTTATCTAGTAATCAGTAGCTTCTTAAATTGGTGATCATTTCCTTCATTCTCATGACTTTCTAATTGATTGAAGGATGATATTGTGAGGAGAACTTAGAGGCTAGATCAGAACCAGAATTTTTCAGTACTTAAGTTACATGTACATGCACAACTAACAGAATAAGGGATTTTGTCATTTTCTGTGCAGCAAAACCTGTAATCAGTAAGCATCCAGGGACCTTGTGTGCGATTCTCTTATGGTAGACCATTGCTCTTATTGTTAGTCTGTCTTTTTCTTACAGAAAATAAGGGGGGAAATGTCAGGAGCTTGCTATGTACATAGGCCCTGATAAACAATTCTGCTTGTTTTCATTTTCATAAGCAACCAATTTCAAACTTTGGATTTCTAGAATTTTAGATCGCAAGTACAAGATTTCTATTGCATGGCAGTTGAGTAGGACCTTGTGTTCATTGATTCATCATGCGATGGAAGTCTCGAACTCCTAATCTAATTGTTTTGTATAAATCTACCAAGCTTTATGAAAAAGTAAGGTGAAGATAAGCTCACAAATGTATGCTTAAATTGATTCAAATTTTCAAAGAATCAGTTCACCTTATGCCCTACTCCCTTAACTCCTCATATATCTCAAAATAGATAGCAAGTAGCATAGCCAATCAGATTGCAGTGTTATAGAGTGCTTGTAGGTTGGTGCTACATGTAAATTAGGTTCATATGTGATAAGTTTAGCAACTTTGGAATCTTTGTGAGTGTAAAAAGTTGATGAATTTTGGGGCTTATGCTGAAATGTAAACAGTTGTATTCAAAGGTGTAGTATTATGAACCTGGTAGTTATAGTTGAATTTCAAGGAAATCAACACTCCTCTTCAGGGCATTGTTATTTTTTTCACAGACCATTAATGGTGAATTGATCGACTTGGAGGGATTAGCAAACTCCAAAGAATTCAGCTACGTGAAAGGTGGTTGTGGTGCAGCATGTGACAATGATCATTGCAAACTTGGCAGTAAATGTGTGGATAACTATAATGTATATAAATGTGACTGCAGTTTAACTCCTTTCTATGGATACTTCTGTTCTCTGGGTGAGTCTGTGTTACACGTAAATCAGTAAGTTAAGGTAGTTTCCTTGAGAAGAGTAGTGTCCAGCCTTTTTTTTGCTTATGTTATTCTTCCCTGGTTTTGTAATCATTGCAAAGCTTCTTTCAGCCACCTCTCCTGTCAGCAACCGTTTCTTTTCAGCCACCTCTCCTGTCAGCCACCTCCCCTTTCAGCCACCTCTCTTTTCAGCCACCTCTCTTTTCAGCCACCTCTCTTTTCAACAACCTCTCCTTTCAGTCATGTCTCCTTTCAGCCACCTCCCTTTTCAGCCACCTCTCCTTTCAGCCACCTATCCCATCAGCCACCTCCCCTTTCAGCCACCTCTCTTTTCAGCCACCTCTCCTTTCAGCAACCGTTCCTTTTAGCCACTTCTCTTTTCAGCCACCTCTCCTTTTAGCCACCTCTCCTGTCAGCCACCTATCCCATCAGCCACCTCTCTTTTCAGCCACTTCTCCTTTCAACCACCTCTCCTTTCAGTCATGTCTCCTTTTAGCCACCTCTCCTTTCAGCCACCTCTCCTTTCAGCCACCTCCCTTTTCAGCCACCTCTCCTTTCAGCCACCTCTCCCTTCAGCCACCTCCCCTTTCAGCCACCTCTCTTTTCAGCCACCTCTCTTTTCAGCCACCTCTCTTTTCAGCCACCTCTCCTTTCAGCCACCTCTCCTTTCAGCCATGTCTCCTTTTAGCCACCTCTCCTGTCAGCCACCTTTTCTTTTCAGCCACCTCTCCTTTCAGCCACCTCTCCTTTCAGCCACCTCTCCTGTCAGCCACCTCTCCTGTCAGCCACCTCTCCCATCAGCCACCTCCCCTTTCAGCCACCTCTCCTTTCAGCCACCTCTCTTTTCAGCCACCTCTCCTTTCAGCCATGTCTCCTTTCAGCCACCTCTCCTGTCAGCCACCTTTTCTTTTCAGCCACCTTTCCTTCCAGCCACCACCCTTTTCAGCCGCCTCTCTTTTCAGCCTTCTCTCCTTTCAGCCCCCCTTTCCTGTCAGCCACCTCTCCTTTCAGCAACCTCTCCTTTCAGCCATGTCTCCTTTTAGCCACCTCTCCTGTCTGCCACCTTTTCTTTTTAGCTAGCTCTCCTTTCAGCCACCTCTCCTGTCAGCCACCTTTTCTTTTCAGCCACCTCTCCCTTCAGCCACTTCTCCTTTCAGCCAGCTCTCCTTTCAGCCACCTCTCCTGTCAGCCACCTTTTCTTTTCAGCCACCTCTCCCTTCAGCCACTTCTCCTTTCAGCCAGCTCTCCTTTCAGCCACTTCTCCTGTCAGCCACCTTTTCTTTTCAGCCACCTGTCCTTTCAGATTTAAATGTTGGGTCAGGGGAAAGGTACTTCATTTTGACAGCATCTTTATCCCCTTCAGTAAACAAACCTTTTTCCATCCATGAGTACCAGGGACCAGCAATAGATCAGTATTCAATCCAGGAAAGGGAAGGGGTGTGACATTAGTCCTTGCCTAATGCTATCTTCAGGGTTCTTTGTCAGCTGACAAACCAGTTCCTTTGATTTTCACTCCTCTGTCTCTTCTTACAGTACAACACATTGAATAATGTTATAAACTGAAAGGTAATAATCAGACCAGATGTTCTTCCCTGAGGATTAATTTTATACTTTACTTAAATTTTGCCTTTATTTTGCTTGTCATAACCTTGCAAACCAACTGGTACATTGCTTTACATGTATAGAATGTGTAAAGTAGAATTCTAAGTCCTTAAATGTCCAAATATTTGGATAGTTAACATGCTCCCAGAGCTTTCCCTCCCCTCCCCTCCCCCCTTTCCTGGTGTTGGTACCCGAATTTGAGACACACTCTTTGTGGGCCTCGCCATACACACACACACACACACACACCCCCCCCCCCCTTCCTAGTAAAACGTTCACCACATAGGTTTTGCTATGCTTTTTGTTGTTACAAGCAATGTCTTTTCCTGCTGTTGTGTTTAGATTATGGCGCATCGTTTGCTGAACAAGAAAGCGAGATAACATACACCTACCCTACCCCTGAGAATGTCCCCGGCGTAGACATAGTTCTTGGCTTCAAAGCGAATTCCAAAGACAAATGCGGAGGGGACTTACTTAAGATCACCAGTAAGGGCACTCAAGATTTCTTTCTGTTTTCAATCAACTCGAAAAAGAATCTCGTGTTTTCCTTCAAATCCACGTTGGGTGATGGTGAATTTGATATAAGCCCCTCCAAAAACGATGACTTCTGTGATGGAAATAGACACACGTTTTCATTTGTTCGCCGAAACGAGAAACTTAATTTCACCGTTGATGAAAAGGACATAAAGAGGGAAAAAATGACCGGTTAAAAAACCCTTTCTCCCGTATGGAGAAGATTATCGTTGGAAAGCAAGGTGATACTGGTTTTAAGGGCTGCCTCACGGGTGTCAAAGTGACGCCGTTTAGTTTTGACAAGTCGCATCCAACAATAAGTCCCATCAAGGATTATGTTTACGATGGGAAAACCAAGAATTACAAGGCCTCTGGTATCAGTGGAGATAGTAAAGAGAAGTGTGGCGAGGAGCCGGAGGTGCCTGAAAACCCACCCACCCCGCGAGATCCGGGCAGTTCCGGTGGCTCTGTCCAGTCAACAAATCCTTATGACCCGACTTCTGGAAGACGTACTGATGATGACAACAAGACAGCCATCATAGTGATCGTAGTGCTCATCTTGGTGCTGCTGTTGGTGGTTTTATTGATTGTTATATACTGGTACTGGGCAAGACATAAGGGGGAGTATCACACGCACGAAGACGACGAAGAGCTCAAAAGCACGGATCCGTACATTGACATGACCACCACCCGGAAACCCATGGAGGAGGACGTGGAAAAGAAGAAAGAGTGGTTCATCTAAAGGTGGTCTACATTGTTTAGACGAGTTTCTATTTCAGTCTACAGCAATCATTCATGTCTTTAGTCGGCGGTGGAGCGCTGAAGAATCGTGCCAATCAGTGCTGTGCATGACTGATCTTTTAGCTAAGTAAACCATTTCTAATTTCCATGTAAATCACGCTAGATTTCATCAGTTCATAGATGATCTTCTCCCTTAACGTGAGATAAACTCGCACGAGGGGTTTTGTATTTGGTACTCCGTGAACACCACTCGCATACTTTGCGTGTGGCCTAGAATTAATGGCATCTGAACTACTTTAATCGAAGATTTTTTTTACAGCATGAAGTGAAAGTTGTTGTTTGTTTTCGAGGCGAGTTGATGAGCATAATCTGTTTTATTGGCAGTATATTTTACTATTTTATTGAATCATAAAACTTGATGTATTGAATTTTTTAGGTGTTATTTGCCATATGCAATTGTCTAGCATAGAGAAAGCTATTATAACTTCCAGCCTTTGCCTTTCTGGGTGACATTATTCCATCGAGACACCATAATGTAAAAGAGTTTGTACCCAAGGCATTCGCGGTTTTGGAGTAGTTTGTCCAATTTCCGGCTCAGGGCTCAGGCAGAAAACCACGTTGCATTGCATCATTATAAATTTACGATTTTTTTCGTGAGACTTAAAATTTTCAAAATGGACTCGCGCTTGAGCAAATTGTCGCTCCAAAAGAGTAGTGTAAGAAATGTGTGATTGATCGAGCTTTTATCGGTTTCATTTAATCGAAGTATGTTTCTGTTGATTTTGCTAGAGTTTTTTTTAGCCTTTACTTTTGGAGTAATGAAACCGGGCTTCTTTACTTGGCATCAAAATTAAATCAAACTTTTCAGAATGAGGCGTTTCAACGCTTAATATGGAATTCAAGGTTTTGCGCGTTTTTTTTCAAAGTTTGACGTATGCAAGTATTTATCAGGTATCGAGGTAAAAATTTTCTTAAGTTGTCTTCGTACAATATCATATGGAATTAAATAAAAATTTTAAAACTCTTCACCTCGGTGAATAGATACTTTTCTTTGTAAACTTGCCAGGATAAGGAAATTTAGGGTTCCAATCTATGTAGATTGAATGTATATGTAAAGACTCTTCGAATTTTCGAATCAGCAAGTACTAAACGTAGTTTAATAGAAGCTCAAGTAGATGTGTAATTTTAGGGAATTGTTGTGCTAAGGCCAAAGCAAGGGTTCCGTGTTTGCGCTTTACCAGTTGGTCGAATTCAGCACGAACTGGAGTTGCCCTTAGATGATTTTCGAAAAACTATCGCTGATGATCAACCGTATTTTTTCGAACATCGTCTGTTGTTAACTCAGTCACAAATTTGAGGACAATTTCCTAGAGGGACTGTTGCAGAGATCTCGTCGAAGGGTGTTTTTGCAGAGGGAAAAGATTAACTGCTCTATGTGGGAGAAATATTTTCATAATTTGTACCTTTTTATCGTTAATTACCGACCTAAGTTTATGGAGTACGAAAGAGACCCTTGGGGGGGACCAATAGAGTGCTTAAATCCTGTGCGATCTCAGTTTGAAGTAATTAGCGCTGTCCTCTGACTTGGTTTCTTGTGGTGGGTTCACGGACAGACTTGTTTTGGTCTTAAAGTGGAAGTTTTTTTTTTTTTTTACCTCTAATCAGCTGCAAATCGCAAATAAAGCTTTTAAACAAAAATAGGCTTTGATTTGAGCGTTTGCATTTTTGTCCGCCGGTTTCTCCATCACTAGCCGTCACTTCGAGAGATTTTTGTCCTATAATTCCCCTTTCTGTTGTTGAATGTCTGGGAAATGACAGTTGTAGATTAGTAGCACCACATTTAATGGCCAGGGAAGCAGACAGAAAGCGAAAAGAATCCCCATTCCATTTGTATTAGAGTCCTCACCTTAACAGATTTTTACCTTCCTTTAATCACTTATAACCAGTCACACAGCTCCCCGCGGTAAAGTAACGTGATTGGAAAGAGTGCTGGTTTTCGTACCGTGCACGTTGTACGGGCCCAAGTTATTTTAGGGATTGATAACATTACCCAACGGATAAATCGCTATCCGGCGGACGAATTGAAATGTTAACAAAACGTACTGCGTCATCCACCCTTTGAACAACCAGGGCCAGAAAGCTTGGCTCTTCACTAAATCATCCACGAAGTTTATGAGAGTAACGGTACCATCTCGCGTTTTCCCGCCGAAGACGGCCATTCCGTCCCAGAACGCAAACGGTCCCACAAGTCGTCGTCCACGTTTTCGTCCTCATTGCTAAGGGTCCCTATCAAAGGGAAAGATTGACGCTTTGAAACTTACGGCCCTTTAGAGATTGACTTCTCAAAAATTGATTTCCCTACTGGGTGGTAATGTGGGAAAATGATTTTTCTTTCCAATTTTCCCTGGAAGAAATTCATTAGCAAATAGCGAATGTGACAAATACTTCAGGATTCTAGAATTTAACTTCTGGTAGAGAACTTTGAAATAGTAATGTAGTGTTAATTTCGGAATTTCAAGGAATTTCCCTGTCGAACCAGGGCAATAAAAACTTGAGTGGTGTAGAATTCAAACACAAAGTACGAAAGTAGAACAATCTTCCTCGTTGGCCTGAGGGTATTTTTTGCCAGCTCCATCTGTGGCGAAATTGTTTACTAGCTCTGCCATCTAGAAATCGATAAATAAATGCACACATGGATGTAATTTCATTTAACATAAACATAATAGCAGATGATATGATACAATACAATTATATAAAATATAATACTTGTGATATAAATTATCACATAATGTAATACAATCGAATGTAGCTTCGTACAATATAATTAATTATCATATACCATGATGCAGCGTAATGTTCCACCATACGATGAATAGCACAGATATGATATCATATGACATAGAGTGATGTGATATTATATAGCACAGTATGATATTTTTAAATACAATATGACAATATAGTAGTTAAATTATATCATAAATATAGAGTAATTTTCAAAGAATTTGATCTTGATGAAACCTCAGCTCAGTAGTTTCGAAGAAAGATGGCATTGCGAAGAGTTGAATGATAATATTATTTAAACTAAAAGTGATCCATTAATTTGAAATCTTAGCTTTTCATGTCAAATTCAATTGCTTTGAATGATCTTGTTAGACACAGCAGGTACAGAGGGGCTGATTTTTAAGGCTCTTCGTAGTTGGCTAAACTTTTAGAGCATTAATATCTAACCTCTGCAGCAAAAAATATTCAGATAATTCGCCTCTGTTTGGCTAGATAGACACCTGTATTTAAAATAACCCTTAGAAGAAACTCAGGGTAGTCCTGTCAGAAGCCTAAAAGTAGATTACGATGATAACACAGATAACTACGCTAATTAACGATTTATTGTCTCAGTACCCTGATTTCTATCAAATTACGTTTATTTGAAATTTGCGTTGACCTTTTGATCGGCGTCGAGGATTTGCTCGTAAATTCGCTTATTACTATGAAAAATTTTTTTTATCCATTCTAGATAACAACTCAAATGCTTGGCTTTTATCTTTATAGCTAATCGTTAACAGACATAGTCTTAAAGAACAACTTAAACTGTTTTCGACAATCTTTAGCTTGTAATGCGCATCATCGAGGCCGCATTCAGTCATGGAATGGCCTTAATAACTTGAGTTTCTCTTGGTCATCATCTGCTAAACTTTGTTCATAGGCTAGCTTATTAAGAACGGTTGATAAAAATATTTCAAAATACGAACGTACATGTAAGCGTTTCAGAGCTTCCAGCGCTCCTTTGAAATGCAGCTACGTCGTGCATTTCATTACCCAAGTCAAAGCAAACTAAACTCGTATGATTACACATCACTTTTACTTTTGAGCCAACCAAGAGTCTTTTTAAAAAGCTATCGAGGAAGAAAACTGTAAAATTAATGAGCTGTAAATAAGATAATAATTTTGATTTGCAATGTGTGAATTCTGACGCTTGGTTGGCAAGATAGGGAATTTAACAGGAAACCACCATGAAAGGCTTTGCAAGGTAAAGGTCTAAACTTCAATTAAAGATTGTCAAAATGTTGACTTGTTCCTTGGTTCCAGATTGCTTGTGGCGTAGATATACAACCTGTACTAAAGTTTTCCACAGGGATGGAGTGATTGTCGCCACGTATTTGAAGGTGGAAGGAGTTTATCGAATCATGGAACGTAAAGGAATTTGAATGAGAGGTGATGCTTGCCTCTGATAAACTACAGAAGCCATATCTATTTTGGTGACTAAGGTGTTTCAATCGTTTTTGAATTTCGTTTTCAAGAGCCTTTTCTACGAACTCATTCTCTTTTTTCCATTTCATTCGACGATTTTGAAACCAAACTCTGACCTGTTTCTCGGTGAGGCCGAGAGACAGGGCAATTTCAATCCTCCGCATTCTACAAAGGTATCTGTTGAAGTGAAACTCCTTCTCCAATTCTACCAGCTGTTTTGAGCTGTAGATGATCCGATTGAGCATTTTATCATCTTTTCCTTGTGTTGCACCTAAAGAAAAAGATTTTTTAGTTTCAATCATTACAACTGCATAAAACTTTGGTGACTCACACTTCGAGCAAATAGTACATTACTTTAAACAAATGCCCCCGCAGTATACAACTGACATGGATGCCTCCTTTTTTTTAACTGAATTCGCTGTAATTTTATGGAGATAAATCTTTCACTTTGCTGTTAACAGTTAAACGTCTTTTGCATACAAGTTTGAATTAATGCGAAGAGTTCACTTGGAGTCTCTCGACCATAACAACACATTTTGGTATTCGTCGGATCAACTTCTCACGGAAGGAAACGGCGTCGAGAAGGCTAAACAGATTTGCTGTGGCTAGCGTGTGGAGTGGGGTTATTTTTTAAGTGTGAAATACTTTGACTAATATGTTTTGGAAGAGAAATATATGTAATTATCATTGCATCCGGCTTGCAATGACAATGAGAAAGGTGCAGAGTAAAATTTATCTTCGATCGGAGAAGAACCATAAAGTCGTGTTTAATAGCTTCAATTTGTATAGTTGCTTGTAAGCTCGCCTGAATTGCCAAGGGGCCAGATATAGAGCTTCTGTAAAGTTGAAGTTCATTGGAAGAGAGGTTCAAAGTGTATTATTGAGTAAGTAAAGCTTCACAACAGTCAGTACCACTTAAACTATTGATAATTAATAAAATCATGCAACAACACCCAAGAATGCAACAGAGGAGTTGAGGTATGTTTTCAAAGAGAGAAAGATTCAAGACTTACGGAATCAAATTGAACTTAAACGAAGTTAATCGATAAAATGATTGTTTTAATTCCAAAGGTAAACTTTGCTACATCAAAATTAAGCAAATCGAACTTTGCATGCGGCCGGGCACATGTTGCGTTCGGAATTCAATGCATTCGGAATGCAGCACAGAGCTATCCCTTAAATCACGAATACAAAACATTTCGTATAGGTGGATATTTTTCTGACAAATATACTGTTCAAAAGTGATGAGGCCAAAATGCCCAAGAATCGACAATTTTGTGGTTAATTTCGATAGGTTAGAGTATTACAACTGCCCCGCACACCAAGCGGTAAGGGATTGCCATGCCACACATTAGAACATGGCGTGTCTAGTGGTCTTTCATCATCTAGGGTAAGCGACAAGTCAAATGGTTCAGTTTGAAACACCACGGAGATTTAGCCATAACGTAAATATGAAAAATTTCTATTGAAAAGCTCATAGAGAAACAAACACGAGGATAAAATGAAATCCTTAAAGTCGTCTGATATTCATCCCTTCATATGCTCCCTTCATACTTGTTCTTAAGAGATGTTCTACGTCGTCAGCCGAGGTTTCACCACGACCTAAAAGAACCTTTTCCAGTAGTCTACTATCTATAAACTTATTTTAGCGAGCGAAATACTCTTAATAGCCATCGTGCTTATGTAGTCTATGTTATAGCTCATTGTTTATGATACTTGGCCCTTGATTTTGGAAACATCTGCACAAATCAATATCATTTGCGCATAGAGGGGGTTGTTTTTCACCTCCACCCAACTCCCTGTTTATGCCAAGTTTAAGAACAAAAAATTTTTTACAGGCACCTCTTGAGCGAAATTCCTTCATCCATGGGTATATTTTATAGGTACTGTTTTCTCCAGTGGCATCTTTGTTTGGTAAGTTAGCTGCTTGATTCTCCAATCGTTGGCACAAGCCCGACTCATCACAAGACGTCACACCCGACTCATCACTGTTGTTTTTTCTTTGACAGTGATCCTGATCCTTGCTTGCTTTCTGCATCATTCACTGTCCACACACTGCGCTTAATATAAATAAGTCTCTGATAAAGGATTTTTTTTGTGTGACCTCTGCCTGTTTAGAGATCTGAACTCGCAAACATGTACTCAACTAGGGAAGCACTAGGTCGCGTGGGCGGTCGAGTAGGCGAACCGGAAGCTTTGATATCCTTACGACCTTTGTCCCGATTTATAGTGTAGTTTCTTTACGTTAAGTGATACTGTACTACTACTCATCAAAACATCCAATTGAATATTTGTATCGACCGTGCTGAAAATGATCGTGTTGTCGTATTCTTTCGTGCTGTCACGTGACAAGCACCCGTAATTAATTAAATGCGGTTTAGTTGCTCTGGTATGAAGCTGTGAATGTATTCATACCCTCGTCAAGAAAATGCTCTTGGAAGCGGAATCTCTTCTCAATTCATTTTGCCATACACTAACCCTAACCCCTAAGCGCAAAAAAAGCAGTCAGGGAAAGTTAATCAATCGCTTTGACAAAGGACCATTGCTCGAAACGTCATCTTAGGAACTCTTTACGGTGACAAATTTACGTTATTAACTCAGTTGATGAAAATGAATTATCAAGTAAAATCCTGAACAACACACCACCACGGTTTTTTTCCGCAAATTAGTCCCTTTAGTCAGTAAAAGGCACAGGTTTGCTCAACCTCGTTCCCAGACTCCCAGGAACTCTTTTCCTCCTGTCCGCTTGAAGGAAGGAACGAAACACTAAAGATTCGAGGTTATGCTCTGATGATCTTGGCAAAAACGATCTCTAACAGACAGGGAGGTCCTATAAACTATTTCTCAGCTGAAAAAAAAATCAAATTACTACGTTTTGGCTTATTTTAATAGAGTGGGAGAATATACATATCACACATATGGAATCAATGACACTTTTCGCAGCTGTAAATCGGCCTAGAGATCGTTCTTCCAACAGGGGTCAATCGATTAACCGCGGTCGGTTAGCTCATGCGGTAGAGCGCATGACTGCAGTGCGGCGGCGGAGGTCGTGGGTTCAAGACTCAGACCAGACTGACACTTAGGGTCTTATAATAATTGAGAAACTAAGGTTAAGTTAAAAATCCACCATGTCAGAAATAAAATATCGCTTAGACGCTGGAGATATGATACACAGGTAAAAGAAATCGGAAAATTTTCATCTGTGTCAAACATTTAAATAAAGGAACAAATCACGAAAGATTTGTGTTAATATACGCGTTAATTTCGTTGGAAAGGGGATTTAAAATATCACGAATTAGCAAATAAGTTTGTATTATTGATTAAGAAACCTTGGTATTTTCGCCGGATCATATCTGTCGAGTCTTGTGTCTACCAGTTCGGTATTGGGTCAGGTTAGAGCTTCTCAGATCATCTTGTCTTAGGCCAGAGCTATTGGCATAACAAGTTCTGGGATGATTTCGCAACGCTCATACACCCTCACTCTCTGATTTAAGCTATCAACCATCACAACTTTCTTCGAGGCTCTTCCTGAAATCCTCTTCTCTTTTTTGTGTATTAGTAAAGGAGGGGAAAAATGAAAGCATTTATCCAACAACACGAAACCGGAAAACCCGTTAATTATTGAAATATTAAACGACATTTATAGTCAGTGATTCACCTTTGCTTACAGGTCATGAAAAAATTTTGTTATGATAATCTCTTTTTTACTTTCAAGAAAGCGTGGTTAAATTCCATTATTCACCACGTACTAGTTGCGGCTATTGTGTAAATATGTACCCAGAAAGCCATAGGGTCCCATCGTTCATTATAAACGCTTTATTGAGTGTCAATGTTTTTGCAATCGAGTGTAAATTTTCGGTTATTCATGCGATTTTCACTGTGTTTTTTTGACGATTAAAGGTTACTTAATGTTTTTTAAAACGTCGTTCTTTTCTAATACACAACAGACTGATTCTCCCAGTTTTCAAATCCAGACACATTTTGAAATAACGTTAGCATTAATGCCGGAAGCCGCTCTTCGTGATCATTAAAAATTGTCGCTTAAATCAGAAAAACCTATGCTTTTTAAAAATTAGTCAATTGGCGTTATGCATATATTTAAAATAGTTTCGTTCTTGCTGGTTGAAATACAATGAATTATGAACGTCCAGTAGCAAGGTTACAAACCAGCGAAGGAAAACGAGACACTGGTCTGCATTTATCATGGACAGCATGAAGGAAGGCTATTGTTAGCAAATACAGTATCAGTTCTCATCTTGCCAGATTTTCGACAAAATGGTGATCGAATTATGACTAGTACAATAGAGTTCTAGTCTCAATTTATCAAGGAATTATATTTTATTCAGTAAGTTAATGCCAGTTTATTCGATCAGCAATTCCATGTCAATGTTTAAAAGGGACTTAGAGTCATATATTTCAAGTTTCTTCCAAAATGTTGATATATTTAGATATTTTCCTTCGGATATTTATACTTATGACTCTTGCACCTAGGATAATTATCTTAGCTTTGTCTGTTGCTGCTGATAACATTTTGTTTAAGATTCATTTTTTTCTTAATTTCTCATTTATCATTTTTATAGACAGTCTTGAAAAGCAGTGCGAAAGAAGAGCTAGTCGATTTTTGGCTCCATATAAATGTATTTATTTATTTATACTTATGTGTCACCAAGTCAATTATTGCACTTAACACTTTAAACAATGACTGGAAACACCAATCGATCTGTCTGGGTTCAAACTGTAAGCTTTTTTTATTACATAATGTTCATCGGTGTATAGTCAGACTCGATGACTGCATTTGGCGATAATGTTCATCGGTGTGTAGTAAGACTCACTGACTGCATTTGGCGATCTCAGGTCAAATCAGTGAAACAAACCTGAACAAATACAACGCACACCCGAGGATTGAAGTTTTGAAAGCTTTTCTTGATATTGTCTTTTGTACTCGGAGTATACTCAGATACTCAGTCAAAGCAACTTAGTGTTTCAAACTTTATCGCCAGCTTTGACAATAAATCGAATTTTTCCCTAAAATTCAACTCGATCCGCAAGGTTTTAGTGAGGTTTTTGATGTTTCAGGAGCCACAACTCCTCCCTCTTCCACCGGACACAAGGCACTAAGCTCCTTATTAATCGTTCAGATTAAAATTGACAACTTTTGTCTTCTAAGCCAATCAAAACATTTGAACTTATCTCATGCACAATGCATGTGTGGAGGGATTGTAGGATTCTCTACCATGGACCATATAAATGTAAATCCATTAATGTTTGTCACGAACACCGCAATCTGATTGGCTACGCTACTCGCAATGTAACACGTGATAGACATGCAGTGAGTAGAGTCAGCAGCAAAAAAATGTGGGGTTGTGAACAAAATGAAGTAAAACCATGAGCCTGATTTCTTGTTAAATTTTGAACAGCCTTTAAATTTCTGCTAAAACCATAAGATTTTCGCCTTCGATTCTTATGCGTGATGATATTTGATCGGGCTTCGCCCTCATTCAATATCACGCGATAGAATCTCGAGCGCATAATCTGATTGCTAAGTAGAATTTTCCATGCTGTTTACTTAGGAAACAGCTAAAGGTCTCGGTAGACCGCTATGGAAACACTCAAGTAACACTCGTGTTGCCAGCTACACTTTTGCTTTCCTACTCTAACCACTTCCTGTACTCTTCTTAATGAAACAAAGCACGTCACTGTTTCGCCTTTAAATGTGACAAAGATGCTCTGGAAACGCGAAAAAAGTTTTCCGAGTGCTGTAAGGTGGGCTTACGAAAAAACTGGGCGGTATAACGTCCGGGGACGGAGACTTATTAATGGGAGCGGCATCTTATTTGCCTTAAATTACTCTGCAACACAGAGCCACGACCGTGAACACAATATGTAAAAAAAAAAAAAAAGGTCAAGCCAGCAATCTTTGGTCAAAAAAATGCACAAATTCATTCGATTTAAAAGTATTCTGGTTCAGACATAAGATTTACTTGAAAGATGTTAATAGCTGAGTGAATGTACGTAAATTTTGCGACTTTCGAGATACTTGGAAACTCAACCGGATTGAGTTCGAGGTATGAAGGCATTGTTAAAAGTTGAGCAGTAGCATAGTGCTGGGCATGACCGAAATTCGGCTTCTTACATACCTTTGAGAAAGCCGACAATACGTATGCTTAATTGTGGGCTAAAATTAAGGTGAATTACAATCCCTCCGCTCGAAATGTTGTAAAGTAGGAATCGCCAGGGTGAATGGGGGTTTCTCGATAAGACACATCTCGTATCTTTCAAGCTCCTAACTTGCAATCCATGCATGTTAATTTTTTTATCTCTGTTGGTAACGACCTTCATTCCTGCATGTATAATTTTTTATTCAACTTTCGTTTTCGTTAATCTTGAAGTGAAAATAGGGACCTTAAGCAGTCAGGACGGCAACGCCAAAGAAGACTTCGACAAAATAATGAATTTCTGCCTTTAATTAGAATTTCAAAAAATGGCTGCATGTGTTTACCGTCTCATACGGCGCCACACCTCAACTTCAGCATAACGTATAAAAGAAGCGTTGTTCCAAATGGAAATAAAAATAATTTGCCGTCGCGGTTTCGGTTCGCAGACGACGCAAATTGTGGCCATTTCACGTTGTTTTTTTGTCTAGGACGACTAAGAAATGTGCAAAGTTTTAAAATGCATGTGCTGAGCTATTATTCTTCCAATTAGATCTTTTGTTTTTCCATGTCCTCGTTGCTGTCACCGTCGTGGTTTACTTAAGGTCCCTAATGAGAGGTGAATACGGTACAATTGTGTATAACTAAGCATAAAGTTATTAAAGACGAGCTGAATATTAAATCTAGAATTGAAATGGTTCATACAATTTCATGTGTATTATGCAATAGTGCGAATTAAACAGAACCTTTGATAAAAGCAACGTCACTGAAGAAGGCAAGTGATTTTTCCTATGCGTTCTTCATCGTAAACAGAACCATAAACGCAACAAGATTAATGAGCTGTAAATTAGTTAATTGTAATTTACGAGGTGTGAATTCTGGTGGGGAACCAAAGGAAACCCTAATCCCAAAACAGATGCTTAGTAATCACCAATGATCGTGTGTTCCTTGACTCCAGATCGCTTTCGGCTTGTCCAGATATCTTGCATCGTGCTTCAGATGCATCGGAACGGAGTATTGATTGATAGAATGCATCGATTTGTTAAGTGGAGACCCATTTGGTTGCAGGTTTATCATGTTCAACATGGATAACTGGCTACCGAAGGCATTTTGAGTGCTGAGTTGTCTCATTCGTTCCTGAATTTCATTCTCTAGAGCCTTCTCAACACATTCACTCTCTTTTTTCCATTTCATTCGACGATTTTGGAACCAAACTCTGACCTGTTTCTCGGTGAGTCCAAGCGACAGAGCGATTTCGATTCTCCGCGGTCTGCAAAGGTATCTGTTGAAATGAAACTCCTTCTCTAATTCTACCAGCTGTTTTGTGCTGTAGATGATTCGATTGAGTTTTCTGTCATCTTTCTCCTGCGCTGCTCCTAAACACAGAGATAGCAAAGTTGTAATTGTCGTTCGTGATTTTTCCTGTCAGATTGGTAGTACTAATTATAACAAAGCAGCCCCACCCTTGGACTCAAACAATAGGCTTCTGTTAGAGTCTGACTGTCGTGGGTGCGATCCGTTTTACATGAAATACATCTTTATCTTTCGGTATTTTTATACGGCGTTTGAGTTACACAGGATCGGATATATCTCATCCTTTAGAATCAATGTATCTGCAGTAATTACTTGCAGTTTGCAAGCAGTTTCCACGGATCATGTTTAGTAAAACTGAGGTGTAATCTATATCTAATTTCATAAGCAGTCTTTCTTTTTGATGACATAAGTATATAAAAAGCTGCAAAAGGAAATTTCAGGGAAAAATGATTGTGAATAAAGCAAGTTTCAAAACGAAACATAACTACGCACATAAATCATTTGCATTCGGCTTGCAAAACAGAAGACCGAAATCCTTTCGGATAAATGTGTCATCAGCTGCGGAAGAAACACAGTTCTGGAGAATTACCATAACGGTATCACGAAAGCCTTGGTTGTTCCGACGCGGAGAAGAGCAAGAAGGCAAACTTCTGAATTATTCCCACAACTTAATAAAAAATAATACTTCATACAGGAAAAATATGTAGACGGTAAGCACCGTTTAAGGTGTAGCATTTAGCGGCAACGAGGTTGATAATGAAAATAACGGCTATTAGATGTAATATGCAAGCGCAATCGGTTTAAAGAGATGCCCGAAACACGCATAGACTGCTAAAACTGTAAATCATCATCATTTTGCCAATTTGTTAACATAACTTTGTTTTTATATAGCGTTTAAAAAGACATTTGTTTATGAAGCAGAGTCAAAAGCCGCACAAGAATGCAGAACTTCCAAAACCATAAGCGTACAAGCAGCAGAGAATGTCTCGTAAAATTTAACAGTCTGAAATTCATAATCTGGCGTTTATTTTCAATGCACAAGAAGGAACAATATGTCCGCCTCTAATGGCAAAAATACGTGTGAGCCGTTCATTGCACGCAAGTCGTGAGGCCTTCGGAATCATGGCCACGAATGGCAATGCCATTTGGCATGCAGCGCAACATGAGCAATCTGAATTGATCACGAAATGTTAAATATAGTCATATTCATGTGTCTCTCTCTAGCCACAAAATACAAATTCTTGGGAAAGAAAGGTCAAACAGTATAGAAGGCCATTTGTCGCCCTTCACAGCAAGAGGAAGGATTAAAACATATTTAAACATAGCGATCGAATGGATTCTTGTCCTGAGGACCGGCGCTAAAGACGTGTTGACCCTTTTGAGACAATAAGGGAATCAATATAAAGAGATCTATTCAGGTAAAATAAGCGTCTTCATTTCCTATAGAATAACAAAATTTTTCACATAGCCAGAATAGATAATTCGTTTTTACTCTAGCGCGCTTCGTTTCGGCTAAGAGACGGCTTCTAAACTCGGACCTTTCAGAATCCTCACACAACCTCTTTGAGCATCAATCTCGAATTCCCTTTGAAAATGAAAGACGTTAGAGGTCTGCCTCTTTCGAAAAAGGGTTTCCAACAGCACGATGTTATGAATTAGTTAACAATTTGTGAAAATGTGGCTCCTACCTTCCGTTAGTGACGGACGAAGCTTCGTAACGAATCACCATGTTGTCCGGCGAAGAACCACAAGAGTTACGAACTATCACTCCTACTAATCCGCCACTTAGGAAGTTCACAGCGTGCAAACACTCCTCGACTACACTCAACCGCTGATTCACCTCTTTGTTCGCACGAATTCATTTCCGATTTTCTTAAACATTTCCGCAGAAATAAGTTGCACAAAGAATTGTTGTTTTAGACCTACGCCCACTCTCCCTGTTCCTGTTCACTCAATGACTATAGAAAGTGTCTACGGAACCGCCGTCTTACCTTTCGAGCGAAACTCCTTCATCCAGGGATATATCTCTTGACCACTGCTTCCCGCTGATTCGTCTTTTGGTAAACTATCAGCTACCTCATTCTCAAAACCAGGAGTGACATCATGGATTGAGCCGAACTCTTTTCCTGTGGCGTTTTTACCTTGGCAACACTGCTTGCTTGCTCTTTCCATCATTCGCTGTCCCCGAACAGTTGCGGTAATGGGCAAGACAGATGTTTTCCGAAATGAGATAGCATCAGAGCTTATTGTTTTTTTTTTCTTTGACCTCTACATCAAAACAAATTCGTATACAGTCATTCAGTTAACGAGACAGGTCCCAGGTCGCGCGCATGCGGTCGAATGAATATTCTGCAAACCGGTTGATCCTCTGACGACCTTTGGAAGACACGTCACATTAGTGTGGTTTTTTATTGATTTCGCCGGTTTGTGGAAATTGTTTGTTGAACTCAAACGTTAGCTATGGAGAGGGAAAGCTGAGGTAACCTCAGAATGAATAAAAGCACTTTTGAGAAAATGGCTTTGTCCAGACATTGTGAATAATTTTCGTTCAATTTTTGGTTTGGTCAAATAAATCGAGGCTAGATTTACCTTCTGTCTGAAGTCAGTCTCTATCTCTTTAGCTTTCATTAGTCTGCTACAAGTTTGCATTTCAGGCTTAATTTTGCTTAATTTTAAGTCCAATACTAATATGAGAATCCTAGAGAAAACTGAACCCAAACTGAGAGACACTAGAGTAACAGAATCACCACAAACGTCAATATCAACCACAATAATAACAACCATAAGAACGAAGAAATTTATAGTATGACAAAAGAGAGAGAAAAAAGTAGGAAAGTAATCTTAGCCACGAATCATCTTTGTATGCAATTGTAGAAGATAGAGGCCTGAAGAAAGCTGCAGGTTGATTTTAGCCTAATTCCATAGAAATGTAAACATGTATTGGTGATTCGCAAAGGAGATTGCTTCGTCACTTTAGCTGCATAGCAAATGTCGTCAAAATTTAGAGCCAAACTCCTGACTTTTTTTATTGTCAATTTTCTGTCAACTTCGAGCATTCAACAACAACAAATAACTTCTGGTTCCAAAATATATTACTATAACATAAAACCTAAAAATATTCATCCATTTAAATAAATATGCAAGACGCAATTGCACGTACAAACTAATAATTGGCAACATAATGACCAAACTTTCACGTTGTTTAGAAACGTTGTGTTCAACAAAATGCATGAATGAAAGAATGTAAAAGAATTATTGGGCGGGTATTCGAAATTCATTCTGCAATAAAATTTTTCGCTGTAGGCATTTACATCACCTACGCGAACGAAGTCTGATTGCAACGAGAAGCAAACAAAGCATCTAACTTGACCTATAATTGAGCAATGGTCGATAATCGAAAGTACTGTCCATTAGCTCGTTGAAGCTCGAATCCTAAACGTTGCAACTCACATGTTCTTTAACTAAGCTACAGTTTTTTTTTTTACAGAAAGAGCAACAACTAATGCCGGGATAGAACCCACAAGGTGTTAAAAACTACTTCACAACCGGAATTAATTTTATCGCATTTGCTCCCTGTGTGATGTCCTTGCCATAGATAAGGACAGAAATAGAAGAGTTGAAAAGACCTGATATCAAACAAATTCTGTTTTAGCATTGTACGTGAAAGGCAATAAATGAAGGGGGTACTAGCTTACAAAAGGTTAAGACGAAAAGCGTACAGAACATTAACTCAAATGAACTATTCATTTGCTTTTAGACTAACCCGAATTTAAACTGACATCATTTCACAACGGAAATAAATAAATATCGCTCGCTACAAAACCACGAGTCTCTCTAACAGGAACGAAATAAATCTATAAACTGTAAATAGCATAAGAATTATGACTCATTCTCAAAGTGTTAATTCTCTCCCTCGGTGGGCGAAATATCGCTCACGAGGTTGTCAAAAAAATGTACAACAGGAAGCCAGCATCTAACGGCGGCTGCGCTGATAATTGATAATTACTAAAAATGTTGCAATGGTCCTTGACTCCATATCGCCCTTGGCCTTTCCATGAATCCTCCTCCATTGTAGTTTTGCATTGGAGTAGAATACGGATTGTAGTTTCGCTGAAAAGAGTTTGATTCGTTGAAAACAGACGAATTAGGGTGTGAATTCAAGTTCATCAATGATAAACTGCCGAAACCGTTTGGATTTTGTGCACTAAGTTGTCGAACTCGTTCTTGAATCTCATTTTCTAAGGCTTTCTCGACACTTTTGTTCTCTTTTTTCCATTTCATTCTGCGGTTCTGAAACCAGATCTTCACCTGCTTTTCGGTGAGTCCGAGCGTCTGAGCAATTTCGATTCTACGAGGTCTACAAAGATATCTGTTGTAGTGGAATTCCTTCTCCAACTCAACCAACTGTCTTGTACTGTATATGGTTCGGTTAAGTTTATCATCACCAGCTTTCTCTTGTGGTGCTCCTGTAAACAAAGAAATATCTATAATTTTGATTGTAAGTGAAAGAAGATTTAGATTACCTGGTTAGGTGCATTGGGACGAAAATGATAACCTTTGAGAGAAGTACACTTCGAACACTGATCAACCAAAGTCAACAAGAACAGTCCTGTATTACCAGTCTCATTTTCATCTTGCATATCAATACACAAAATGCATCTTGTCCTTTCGGTAATATATATTCAATTATTGCAATGAAGACCTCTTAGAGAAAAACCTTGATTTAATGGCATAGCTTTTACTGGAGTTTCACGACAATTCTAAAACCGTAAATCACAAAGATTGTTCTACTCCGGAAATACTTGCAATTGAATTTTATCGCTAATTCTTCGCTAGCTCATGAACTAAGTTTAAGCTCAATACCTTCTAATTAAAGTATCAGTTCAGTGCATTGTTATGGATGTAAGCAAATGACTTCCTTTTATCCGAGTTATCCTACAAAAGTGGAGAAGTATGAAACAACGGTCGATGTAAAAAATAGAGAATCGATGCTTCCGAATTTTTGGCTGAGAACGTGTCTTCATTTTTTAAAATCTCAACCACGGCTCTTTACGAGAGAAAGGCGAATTCACAACATACATCTAGGTTTTAGTCAAGGCGAAATAAAGAATACTGTTGAGTGCCCAATCTCGTGATATTTTGTCTTTTCCTAACGGAATTGATATGAAATATTTCAAGTCGAAGAAAGTACAAACGCAAATTCGACGGCACTGAATTAATTCCAGTACGATTTTTAGGCAGAATTACTCGCTTACGAAGAGTACAAGATTATAGCCTGGCATAGGATGATAGCCAACTTCTTAGTACAACACGATATAATTTTCAGGAGTTTTGTTCAAATTAATGGAACCGCTCGTTTAAATACATGTGATGCCCTCGGAATGCAATGGGGTATGCATAAAAACACACTAAATCAAAAATATCGTCGCATTAGTAGATCTCAAAACGCAAAATACTGGGGGAAGGAAGGCAAAAGTATCTGAGAAGAGACTGTTTTGTGGTTAATTACGACAGGTCGGAGACTTACAAAACGATTTGTTGCCCCGCACAGCAAGCGAGAAGGGATTACCACACATTTGAACATGGCGTATCAATTGGTCTTTTTCCTTCTGGCGCCAACGACGTGTTAAGGCTTCGAAACACCACAGAAAATTGTCTTAGCATAACAAAACGACGCTATCAATTCTCTTTTACAAGATCTATCCGGTAGAATAACTGGAATTGTTTGTTAAGGATCACAAATAGTACGGTTCGCACCTTCGAATGGCCAAGCAAACTGCTTCACAATGGAGAAGCGCCATGCTGGCGAGCCCATTCTTGGAGCCATTCTTTTCCGCTAATCCACAATTAAAGAACTTAACACGAAACAAACACTCTTCAACCAAACCTATTTCATGCGTTTCCACATCCTTCGCAAGATTTGGTTTTCAATTTTTAAAAAATCACAACAGAAATCGGCTTTGCGACGAAAGGGTTGTTTTTGACCTCCGCCCACTTGCGAAGGTATCGTTTAAGTTTAGGACAAAAATCACCTACAACTACTATACGTTGCTTTGTACCTTTTGAGCGAAATTCCTTCATCCAAGGGTAAATTCCTTGCAGGCCGTTTTCAGTGGATGCATTTTGTGCCGGTAATTCAGTGGCATCATCATCCAAGCGCTCGCATGAGCTGCACAAGTTAAGGGAAGATGTCTCATCGGACTCCGCGCCGTGGTCGTTTTTTCCTTGGCAACGCTCTGTATTTGCCTTCTGCATATTCACTGTCCACACACCGGGCTTTTAAATACGGGTCTTGAAGAAGATGAATTTGTTTTTGATAGTAGACAATACAAAGTTGACCAGTTTTTTGACCTCTGTACTAAAATCGATCCCTGCTGTTGACAAGACTCAATAGGTAAAAGTCATATTATTGTCCTAACTCCAACAACTAAAGAAAGAAAGATGTATTATCTTTGAGCACGTGATTCGCCGTGAACCAATCAAACTGCTTAGAGGTGCCTCGAGATTTCACTTATGGCATGTAACGAGATACACAAAGAGTTGAGAGAGTTTTTCCGAGTAATTCATCATTTTCGACAAGCCGTCGTTTTTTGAAGGTATTTACAGATGCCATGAGCGGAAACATAAATCTTCTTAACAGTCGGAACAGTTTGAACGCTGTGCTATTTAATGCAGCTTGTCTTATCTCGTGAAAATGATGTTTCCTTTTAATTCTACGTATACACAATCGTACAAATTCTGTAACATAAATTTCTTGAAACTCAACCCAGGAGCTTCCGTTGAAAAGGGGTTAATAGCGATACAAATTTCTTAAGTCTGTTAGCAAGTTAATCTTTGCTAAGCTCTTGTTAAAAACTTAAGTTTTCAATTGCTTTTGTAAACAGAAATAAGGAGTTTAGTGGAAGGAAATCAAATTCAAAGATTCAGTCATGTGGAGTCTTGTACGTGTTTGCTGTCTGCCTTCACGTAGTTTGGTTTGATACCTCATCGATCAAACAGAATTTTCTGTCAAAACACAGACTCATTTGCCGCTTGCTCTGGTAATTTTATCAAAACCTTTTCCTATGTAACAAATGCTATGTCGGTGTGGTTCTAGATATGCAAGGGTGCTTTTAAGAAGCTCCGAATAAGTGAAAATGAGCTTCATGAAAAATCAGATTAAGCGGCTTGCAAAACATTGTTCAAGTTTTGTTTTGCTTCTAAGAGAAATGCTGTTTTCTGATTTAATGCAGAAGTTGGATGTTATTTGTCTGAAGGAGAATGGAAATTCTAACGAACGCCTAAGTTGCGTACACACTTTCGAATCCAGAAACAAGCCTATTATTTGGTATGATATGGTGTTTTTCAGTGTCTAAATCCTCGAAGACAGCCACTGGCATAATTGATTATCACTTATTAACCAACTAAGCTGATGAGCACTTATCTCCCGCTGTTACGGTCTTTAACCAGGATTAATGACCTGTACATTTTTTACAGTAATTTTGGGATGAAATGCCATAATCACAATCTATTTACACAATGTACCGTCTAACACATATCAGCGGCATGTTCAAATGCAAATTATTCTTTTGAAATTCAAATTAATAAGGAAGAATGGACGCGAGACATTCGGACTCCAACCTATCCACCCTCATAACAATCAGTTCAAATGAGTGCTGGAGGTTTGTACTTTGCCGCATTATTGAATGTACAGTACGAGCGTGTGAAACCGTCTTGTAAACGGAATATGGATATTTATCAACTCTTTTCGTAAAGTAAGGGCGTTTTAACTTATTCATGAACCAAATAGCACATGACAGATTATTTGACCAAAAAAATTAAACATGGCGCACCAATGTCTGGTGCTAATTAGTTTAAGGGAACGGCGCAGTGGAATATTAATTCAAAGACGGAAATTTTCTCGCCTTTGAAGTAAGTTGTGAAAATAAAGAGACGATAGGACGACTTCGGGTCTCCTTGATTAAATGTTTAGGATAGCGACACAGCGGTGAAATCTGGATCGCGTTGGTAGTTGAAATATTTCGGAATATCAACAGTCGGTTAGTGATTCTAAACAGGAAGTTAGTGGTCGCAAAAAAATTCTTACATGAAACCTTAAGCAATCAGTGGACCAAGGGAACGGTCGACTTGATCAGAAACAAAACCCTGTCACACCGGCTGACTATGTTCGAAGGGCAAACTCCCCCGTCAGTGTCCAAACCTCCCGTCCCCCACCCCTTGGCAATTATCCAAGACCGCCGAGCGCGAGCTCAGCTAATTATCCAATACCGGCAGATAAAACTGACTCTGCTACCAAGTCTCTCTCCGCTCTTGAAGAAGCTCTCCCCTGTATTACCCATTTCGGTACCGCTGCCCTGAGGATATGGTTTTTGAGCCGTTTTGGTCTGAAAACAGTTATGGTTTTCGATTAGATTAGTCATAATAAGGGTATGATTTTTAAGTGCGCCACGTGTGCGCGTACACTTATGAATAAAACGGAAAGAGAGGTCAGCAAAATATGTCATCCAAGCTGATTCAGAATTTTCAGGTACATTTTAAAACTTTTGACTTCGCCGCTGTTATGAGGCTTATGGCGCTACAACAAAGCGTAATGGCTTCGTGAACAGAGTGGAAGTTTCAGAAGCCAGGCTGCAGAAAATTGCATCTTTCGGTCTGACAATGGCAGAATAGCAAGAAACGGGGTCTCATTCGGCCCCTACCAAGAATTTAGAGGGGTACCCTCTAGAGAAGCGCAAATTCAACCGAAGAGGCGTCCAAACAAATAAATGAGCAAAATTATCAGTTTCTGAAGAAACTGTTTCATCGCTTTGGTGGGCAAAAGAAAGACTCAGTCAAGTAAACCGCCGGCGCGAGTAATCTCGTTAAAAAGGCAATTTTTTGGGACATGATAGAGCCTATTGTACTTCTTGGAGAATCACATCACCCTTCTCTATGGAATGATAGAAATGGAACCTACACCGCTGCGGCAACTTTTGAAAACTGAGCTTACTTTTGATGGTTAATTATCCGTCTGTGGCGCTGTTAGTTGATCGTCAACAAAGTGTTTTATGTTCTCAGAACGATCTCCATTTATAATTTAACCTTCGTAACCTGAAACTAACCGTTAATAGAAAGAGGATTATTTCGTTGCGTAGTTTAGCATTACTCAATTCATAATATCCATTCCTTCAGCCTACCACAACAGCTAAATAAAAGCAAGTGATGGGCTCCTGATAAAAGGTATTATTAAAGGAACTAAGAAAAAAAAAAAAGAAAAATACAAGCACAGAAATTTAGCATACGAAATAAAAAATAGCACCTCACTGTCTAGTAATGTCGATAGCACAGTGTTTTTCTTAGTTACAGGAAAAGCTTAAAATATCCCTTACTATAAAAAGACAAACAATAAACGCCTTAACACCTGTGTGAGCCACTGTGTCTACGGGATAAAAGTACTTATTGCTCCCAATTAAGCTGGAAACCGGTTACTTCTGGTTTTAAGACAAATCGGGCGACACAATTGAAAACGTGTTATGACTCCCGCGTGAAACTTTCGTTGGCGGTCCAATTCGGAGCGCCTACAAGACCAACAGAGAAGCTATCTAGCCACGCATTTCGGTTGAGACTCAGTTAGCGGGAGACAGGATGGACTGCATGGTTTCCCAGCTAAAAACCCATGCCACTTTTACCAAGATTTGATTTTAAAATAAACATTTGGCCCATTTAGTTGATGGCACTTTTGAGGAATGTGCCCTTTGACTGCATTGCGTCAAGCAAAATGATGGAGAAAATCAACCAGCCCCGATTTTCCTCTCAACTTGCAAAAGATTCTGATCATTCTTGATTCTGATCAAGTTTTTCAAAAACGGTGATATTCACACTGGTTTTCGAAGTTACAGGTATATGATCTGAACTTAGGGTAGGGATGTTCTCATAGTAAGTTTTTCTGTTGGGAAAATGATCACAACTTATTGAGCCATAACTGGGTTTTTTTGCTTCGTTAAACAGTCGCAATATTTTGAATAGTCCATTCCTTCAAAAGTATTTTTTTAACTTTAAGATTTTAATGCTACACACCGAAAAACGCGAGTTAAAAAAATAATAACAATAATAACAATGATAACTAGTAATGACCATGCAATTAAAATTACATTTTATCTCTTGTAAAATAATACTTGTTTTTGGTGCTGATCGCCCTGGAATATTCAGGGAAGCCGACTTGAGGAATGCAATCAAACAATGTCATAAAACAGTTGCAAAGTTGAACATAACATTAAGGTTTGATAGTATAGCATCTTGGTTATAGATTAGATACAATGGTGATGGTCAAATCGAAATAATTTGAACAAACTTTTACATTTTGTGTAATAGTTTCACATTAGGTACAAGTCAACCCGCGAGACTCACTTCAATAACCCACGGGATTCAATGCACTCGCATGAAATCGAGGCGAATGATCAGTCACACAAGATAGCGCCTAAACACAGTCCAAAAAGAAGCGACATGAATAGTATGTGTTCTCCTAACGTCGAACACAATTACGCTGATGATAATAAAAATGATAAAAATGATAAAAATGATAACTATAATCATAATGATGATGGCAAATATTAGGGGTGAAATGTTTGAGGATACTTAAAAGAGAACGATATCGTTACAGAGGAATTACCTCATATATCGTTTTAGTTGTTTTTGAGATGTAGAAAATGCCTTAAAACAGAAGGAAACCGGCTGATAAATGAGGCGGAAAAATACCAAAGTGGACCAGTGAGAAGAGGATGATCATGAATGTACAATATAACATTCTTTCAAATGCCGAGCAGATGACAGGATTTATTATGCAAAAAAACCACTCTTGCTTCAAATTGGAAGAACTTGAAATCAAGTGTGGTAAATGTGGAGTAATTGGTTAGCAAATGTACATTTATCGGAAAGGGTTAATGACATAAAATTAACTAAACGGAACTGACGTTGGGTCGGACAGGTGTTGAGAAAGGATAAGGAAGATGTCACGAATCAAACTGTGTCCAGGACATCAGATAGGAAAGGCAAACGGGGGCCGGAGACTCTAAATTACCTGGGAAGGACTGCTCATGGGATGAGACCCAAATAGCGGCACAGGATTGGTGGAACTGGTGGAATACTGAGGAGACCTTTTACACCACTAAAGGGATCTAAAAGGACCAACAGTGATGCATGACTTGGGTATTGTCTGTGCCCTTAAGAGTGTTTGTCACCCGTTCATATCAAAAATTGAAAATATCATTATCGGCCGAAACAAGATATGACTAAACAAGACCTCAGGGATGTTCATTATGTTGCTGGCGTAGCTTCCTAATAGTTTACTTGCTACTCTTGATAGTTAGCCCTCATGGAGACAGATATTTAAGGGGTGTATGGGATACACCGAATAACTTAAACTAAATTTCTGAACGTGGCG